CCCTCGCTGAGCAGCCGTAATAAAGGCGCATCAGCGAAGTAAGACAGAGGCCTAAGGGTGGAATACAAGCCCTAGAAGAGGACGGAACTTGAGGAACTTGTCAGGCCCCAGGTTCTTGGTGAAGAGGTCGGCGGGGTTATCTTCGCCTTGAATGTAGAATAATTCAACCTTCTTCGCCTCGACGATCTCGCGTATATAATGATAGCGAATGTCGATGTGCTTGGTGCGCTTCTCAGTGACTGGGTTCGAGGCGAGGAAGATAGCACCCTGATTATCGCTAGAAAGCGGTACAGGCTCGAGGAAGTAATAGATCTCCTCGAGGACGTTGCGCGAATAGACGATTTGACGTCCAGCGTCGTCTACAGCCATATACTCGGACTCGGTGACAGAGTGCGAGACAGTGTTCTGCGCACGTGACTGCCAGGAGAAGGCGGCGTTAGCCATCTTGACGAGGTATCCAGTTTGAGAGCGGCGAGTTGTAGGATCAGTGCCCCCACTGGAGGCGAATGGGTAAGTAGGCTTGAAATGTTCGTCATTAGACAGACATACCAACAATATGGTGTTTACAGGCTTCAAGGGTACGACTCACCCCCTCAATTCATTTTGAATGTCATGATTCATCGTTCTGACTTTGGTCGTTCAGATCCTTACTCGCAGGAAGACCAGAACAACTTTTCGAAGTGGTATGTCGTCAATTTTCGAAGTCCCTCTATTGAAATCTAACTGCTGCACCAATTCAGCGATAAGATGTGCGGTGGTACGTGAGACACAACTGTACGACTCATATACGTGTTCACTCTTAATACGTGATTCTGCTCTAGGCCCCGAACATAACGCGACAGGGAACACGCTGGCCCAACCATCCTACTGCACACTGCCTATGCTCCATCCCCGCCAACGCCTTGACCAAGCTCCTGCCAACGGTCTAGGCCATGTCTCCAACGACGGTCACACTTTTGCCTGTCGCAACCCAGTACTATTGCATCAAGCTTTCCATGTGTAAGTCACGACGACTACATGCAGATTTTAGCGCCGCTAACACTGTTGCAGTATTTTCGTCATTGATAGGCATGTTCGACAACATCGTGCTTCCGCTTTCCTTTGCTGAATTACATATCCTGATCCCAGGTCCGGCTCCATGGACGGCGGAGACCGGAGACCTCTTGACAACACACCAACTACACAGCTGATTCGTAGGACCCACAACAATCGCTTGGGGGCTGTATGCTCGTCTTTGCAAGGGTTCTGGGAGGCTCGGCACAATGCAGTCACAGCCGGTGGTGGTGCGGGTGCGCGCCGTGACGCTTACACCGTCATTCTATTCAATCAGACATCTACGACCGCGCTCTCGCACGACTTCACAAATGTCCCGTCTCAGCTTCTCAACACGGTCCTCGGATACCATGCTTCTGGCGGTACCAATTTTACCGACGCAATCGCAATGGCTAGACGAAGCATGGAGTCTCACTGGAGTACTGAACGGTGAGCCGACAATGACCCATCTCGGTGTCTGTAGTTGAACTCTTCCCTCCAGGTCTCCGATCGTCATCTTTCTTTCAGATGGAGAATGCAGTATTGCAGACAACACAATGCAGGATCTGTGCAGGCGATCAATTGCCCTTGGGTATGTTCGTGTGTATATCGCATCCCGTTGAATGTACTAATATGCTCTCAAGGAAACCGCTCTCCTTCCACGCCGTCTCGTTCGGCCCTAGCGCAGGCCAGCTGCAGCGTATGGCTCAAATCGCCCACGACGTTGAGATCACCGCACCTCGTGACCCTCTGAACCCCCATGCTCACGTCAACTCGTCGTACCACGAAGCATTGGATACGGTAAGTTTTCGACCGATCCCTGATCCTCCCGCTTGTGCGGAGCCGTCGCTGATGTAGCTGCCTGTTGACAGGTCCGTCTGGCTGAGACCTTCCTGGGTATTGCCGACTCCCTCTCGAAACCGCGAGGCGCTCTCTTCCGTGGATAGGTGCTAGCGCTGGCCATATGAACGTGTAGCATACACCCCTCAAGAACGACGTTGTTGAAGCAAAGTGTCCCCCAGAAAGCGTCGCCGTCTCGTTACTCGCATCCTTACAGACAATCACATCACCGTCCTCCGAACCATGTATGATATCTTGACCAATTGTATTTTCTTGATGCTGCTAAGAAGCCCCAGGCATTCTCGAGTGGCGAGTAACCCGTGTACGTATTGTGACACTAGTCACCGTTTCCATGCTGTCGGCCACAGAAGGGGTTCGTCTTGCTTCGGAACTAAGTGCATATCAAGTTTTATCAGGAGTACTAGTATAACCTTCTATCATCGGCGGCGAGAATTTGCGCATGTTAAGGTCGCAATAGATCATCACGAGCTGCTCCGAGTCGTCGATCCCTCCGGAACCACCCCCGTAGACGCCTCGGGGCAGACGCAGGCGCTGTGCTCGCGTCACTGGTTGGCCCAGTCGACGAGCCCCGCTTGCGTCGAACACCCGTCGGCGGGGTGACAGAGCGTGCCCCGGACGAGCTGAAACCCGTCCAGGCACGCCAGATCTCTGGGGCCATCGGCCCCGGCATGCCCCAGCGGGGGTTGCGGACGGCGCGCAGCCCGACGACCCACACGGTCGCCATCCCGGCCTTGAGCGCGGCGCGAATGCCGTCGACTTGCGCGTGGTCGATGCCGTCGGAAACGGGGGTCGCGAAACGGCGGGACAAGCCCGTCAACTCGCGGGGGGTGGGTGAGCTTCGTGGAGGAGTAAGGCAGCGCGGGTTCGGAGGAGACGGGCCCACCGACGTTCAGCGCGACTTGCTTGGCGAGCTCGAAGCCGATATTGTTGAGCTACGTCGGCTACGTGTTGTACACCTGCGGGTCGTCACAGTGGGAGAGCTCGGAGGAGAGGGCAACTGAAAGCGAACCTGCGCACGTCGCGGACAGAGCCCTAATAATGCGCGAGCTATAGCTCACGCTCGGCACAGAAGCGGATAAAAAAGTTACCGCACCGCGCTCCCGGGAACCCTGGATGATGCTGGAGCGTATGAAGGTTCGCGTGGGTGCATACATATACTTAGGCCACCCTATCGCTGAAAACCCGTACAGGGCAAGCGGGATAGCCCGACATGGTATGCTTTAGATATCCGCCGTAAGCTGAGGGGGCGACCAGCCTCACACTTTGAGATAGCCGAGCAAGGTTGCGTGGCGTCCCCGAACGACCAGGCGGTGCGTGAACAAAATGCCGCTATCACGGATGGACGTTACAGGCCACTCCGGTAGTCACTGCGATTACCAGTGGAGGTCGCTGGAGTGGACCTTTTGCACATGCATACCACGAGTCGACGCGACTGGCACGACTAGTCGCGTCGTCCGGAATCGGAGGGCGCCGCTGCCCCGAGGACACTGTTGGCTGCGCGCTCTGCTGATTCCGGAGAACGCGCCCAGAAGCGCCGCCTCGCGACAGGCAGGCACAGAGTGAACTCCTTCGTGGAGGAGCGAAGGAGCATACGAGGGAGTGTGCGCGCGCGCCCGCGGCTCGTGAGGCTGCGTCGCTCAGGCGGGGAGGAGTGCCGCTTGGGTAGCCCCGCGGACACCGTTGGCTGCACTCCCCTCCTGCCTGAGCGCGTATCTACGACGTAGCCTCACACATGCATGGGTGCTCTGCACAGCGACATCGGTACGCAGGAAAGAGGGGATCTTGCACTCACCTTAGTGTACTCGTCCACCTCGACCACCTGTCGGGACCAGGGTGCGCGGGTCATTCCGGGAGCGCTAGGGCCAAACGGCGCGGCCTGGGCGGGGCTCAACGACGGCGGGGCAAAGCTTGTGTTGGACACTGAAAGGGAGGGATCGGCGCTTGGTGAAAGATCACTTCGTAATCTTGTACGGCGTCTATCTTGCGACGGAGCGACTACATAAATGCAGTGGCACGTGCAAGGTCTTGTCGCAGTGTGTTTGCATTGTAGTATCTGAACGGTGGACTGTGGAAAGGTCGCATCTGCTCCTAGAGCAATCGAATGTCCCTGCTAACCCAGGGAGCAGGAGCGAGTCTCAATGAGCCTTAGAAATCAAGTCGCCCTCCCAGACCTTGATAGACCTGCCCTGAATTCGCCCAATCTTGTGGCAGAGCGCCCCGGCGTTTACTTGTTTCCTCTGTGCACGTCGCGGGCACGGCGCTTCCAAGTTTTCAGGTGCGCTCGAATCAGTCACGCTTGTAAAAAAAGGCTTATGGTGCCCCTTTGCAGATGTCAGGAATAAATTCGCAAACTCTGGAAAGCCTTTTCCAGGCCGCGGTCGTTTTGACCGGAACGTCATCCTCGCCCGACTCACGTTCGGCCAACATGAAAGCAATTCTGCTCAGGCGACTACACGAATATCATGAATTTATTGGGGAATCGCACGAGAATGAAGACGGAACACTGGATGCCGCACAGCGCGCCACCGCTCTTGAATCGCTCTCCTTGTTAGAACATCTGCACAAACACTTGCAGGCACGCGAACAAGAACCGGCACCGGGCTCTGTAAAAGGAGAAAACTACGAAGCCAAGATGGACCCGTCTCTCGTGGGGTCCCGGGACCTAGCCCTCATGCGTACACTGTTATCCATCGTCTTTAAGTGGGCTCTTGAGCCTCTCGTAGGTCGTGTCGCATCTGCCATTCCTTCCACATCCGCACTCCATATCACCAAGGGCGCAAGAATCATCGATCTCACCGGGCTGCCGCACGAGTACTCGACGCTCTCCTCCATTTGCGACCGACTTCTTTCCGTCTCACTGTCCAATGGCGTTTCATCTCCGTTGTCACAGTCTGCGGTGGCCGCCATCTTACTGAATCAGCACCTCTCCGATTTGCTACTCCCGTGCATCGTCGTGGGCTGGCTCCCCAAATCCCTCTCATCGGAAGACATGCCTACCGGAAACACATTGCGTCCTCAAATCATGTACCTACTCACAAGGTAATTGAGTCACTTCTGTGATACGACTTTGACTAACCTGCAAATACAGATTGTCCGCTCCTATAGTGATCTCCGCCCTGGGACGGACGTTGTCCCAAACACCCCCTTCACTTCCGTACGCTCAAAAAGCGTGTAGCTTCATTCTTAGTAGGCAGCTTTTACGACCGGAGGGAATCCGGGCAGTGTGTGAATCCATATTTGGAGAAGAAGACGTAGGCGATGAAGATGCTCCACTGGAGAAGCTCGAGCACGTAGCACGTCTCCTCGGCACCGTACCATCGGGATGAAGGCGGAGGCATGTACTTCGCACCGCAAATTGTCTATAGTCGCTCACTTTCACGCAGGACTACTGCAACACCATGGTCCCTCGCTTGCTTCAACTCCTCGTACTGGACACTCGCGTGTTACCGCCCACCCATCGGCGGGCCATATCATTCTCTCTATCGCGTATCCTTGCCCGTGACGATGCACCTATCCTACAAACTCTAGCGACTAATATCGTCTTGCAGTTCGTCCACGATCCAATTTTGAAAGGTAGGCATTTTGCTACCATACGTTGCTTGCCACCAATCTGTTCCAACAGGTACCGGAGACTTGTCAACCGGTGCAGCGCTCCGTGCGATCGAGGTCCTTCTAACGAACACAGACCCGTCCCCTACTTCATGTCGACATTGCTCACACCCATAATCCCTTCTCTGTTCGCGATGTACGCTCATCTGGAGTCGGCGAAATCATCTGATCCGTACTACGCGAGAGCCTCAAGGGATACTTGAACACATGGGGAAGGCTCGTTGGAACACCGGAAGTAATAGCAACGTTGCAGCACATCATCGATGGAGAAGGTGGCAGCTGGCGTGTAGATATCGCTGACGAGATATCCCGGGCCGACGAGTAAGAAATTGGTATTGAACACGAACGGTCTACGCGATACTGATTTTACTGGCCCCACAGGTCCACGGAGCCAGATCCTTCGCTCTCCATGTTCACACCTCAAAGTCTGAAGGAGGCAGAGGATACAGGCCAGCTCGACATCGACTCCAATGTACTGGGACTCAAGCCGGACCCCGTCCGATTTGTGAACTTTGTCAAGTCCATCGGTCGGGCCGACGTATCATCAGAGATGTTCGTCAAGTTACTAGAAAGATACAGTGAGCTCAGAAGCCAGGCCGACACAGATCCCGTTCGGTATGGGTCAATAAGATATGACCACTACAAATTCTGATTTCATTGACAGGACGCTTCTCTATCTGCAGCTGGTGCTACAAATGCAGAAGCAACTTTCTACGGATGATACGTCAAGCGTGTTCAGAAAGCCGGAACACATTTTGTCGTTCATCAAGCATGCGTTGGAGAAACGAGGCCCGTCCGAGACCTCGACGAACAAACCCCTGAGGCACGGAGGACTTGGTGTGGGAGATCTTCGTATAGTCCCCGAAGACACGGAGATGTCGGACGAAGGTGACAGCGATGACGAAGACGAAGAGGGCGCCTCGGAAGGAGCTGTCGACGATATCACTTCAACCGCGGTCAAGCTTCTGCTCGCAGTGCTGGAAGGTATCGGTCCACCTCATTCGCGCTCCGACGTGAATTGTATTGACGCCTCAACCTCTAGCAAATCCGGATCTCTCAGCTCGAAACGCCCCCGTGCTGAATGACATATTCTCCCTCCTCGATCCTCTCTCAAACGTCCCCAATGAAGACCTCCGTCAACTCGCGCGCGAGGCCCGGATGGTCATGACCGCCCGCCTTGCCTCAACCTCCTCCGAAGCCGCTTCCACGCCCACAAAACCCTCGCCCGGCTCCTCCGAGTCCCCGCAAGAAACATACCAAAAGGCCCTGAAGCTCCTCCAAGACCCCCTCCTCCCCGTGCGCGCGCACGGGCTCATGCTCCTCCGCCAGCTCGTCTCGCCCGGCCCCGGTCTCGCCGCGCCCGCGCTCGACCGCGCGCTCGTCCCGGGCATCCTCGACGTCTTCCTGCAGGGCGCACAGGACGACGACTCGTACATGTTCCTCAACGCCGTCCAGGGCCTCGCGGCGATGGTCGACGGCTTCGGGCCGGACGTCCTCCGCGCGCTCGTGCGCGCGCACGCGGGCGGGCTCGACGCGCTCGCGGCGAGCGCGCTCACCCGGCAGGACGTCGACGTGCGCACGCGCGTCGGCGAGGCGCTGGGCCAGGTCGTGCGCCGCTGCGGGGACGCGTTGCCCGCGTACGGTGAGTGTCTTGCCCCGCGTTCTGTTCTGCTCTGGGCTGCGCTGACGCATCCCCCCCGTCTCTGCCTCTGCCCTGGTGCAGCGCCGCTGCTTGTCCCGCCGCTCGCGGCGATGGTGCGCGCGGCACACGTGCCGACCGTGCTCCGGACGTCAGCAGTCTCGCTCCTCGCGCTGTGCGTCAAGACGCACGCGCTCGCGGTGCTGCCGTATGTCCCCGACCTCGCGGACGGGATGGTGGACCTCCTCCAGGTGGAGACCGTCTCCGCTGCCGTCGCCCCTGGGGGCCAGTCCGAGCGTGCCCCGGTGCGGCGGCGGCGGAAGCCAAGGACAAGGCCCGGGGCGCCGACGCCTCCCCTGGCAAGCAGGCCGATGTCACCAACGATGACGATGCCGACGCGACGGCGAGAAGGGCCCCGAGAAGGCGACAGAAGAAGGAGGCGCGGCGACGGCGACGATGGACGCCCAGCCGACGAGCACGGACTCGAAGTTCCCGCCGCTGCGGCGCGCGGCGCTGCACTTCCTGGGCTGCTCGTGCAGGCGTGCACGGCGCGCGTGTACGAGGAGGGCGCGGGCGCGGCGCTGCTGGTGCCCCCGCGGGTGATGAGGCGCGCGCGGACGACGCTGGGTTACGTTGCGGCGACGGACGCGGACGACGTGGTGCGGGTGATGGCGCGGGAGACGGTCGAAGGCTTGGACCAGCTCGCGGAAGCAGTTCTCGGGCTCTGAAGCAGGTGCTGGTTTTCGCGCGAGGGGGTCTGTCTAACTGCAAGCAGCATGGCTCCCAAGACCTTGACTCGTAAACCAATCTTTCTCCCGATCGGGATTCTCCTGACCTTTCCCCCGATCGGGCGCAGAGGCACTGGCCGCCAGGTTGGGTCTGACCGACGGCTGGATGATCGAGCCAACCCAGACCTCGTGGCGGAAGTGAAATCCATGTGTCATTCCATGCGTGCTACGGCCCCGAGGCGGGCCAGAACCCGCATAGCCGGGGAAAACGGTACAGAAGGATTGACATAACAGGGAATCGCTGGTGACGTGGAACTGCGAGAGATGAGGTGTGCGCCCCGTATCTGTCCCAGCACCGGTGTGTGCGAGGATGCTGAGTCAATATGAAGGCGTGAATTGCTCTTGGTCCGCGGCCCGTGGGTCAGCACGAATGCATGACCGCGTACAGGCAGCGCCCTGTTCAGACGGTGAGGGTGGCGGAGCCGCTGTCTGAACAGAGACGACGAACCGGGCGTCCACGGCTGGCCCTCGCTTTGGATGGCCGGCCGGGGAGGCTGCGCGTCGACGAGGATGGCTCAGACTCAGAAGCGGCCTCATGCCGCAAGGCTGAACGCTCCGACGGCTTTGCCTATGTCGTCAACCCGTCTTCGGAACGCTTCCACTTTGGCGAGCCCGCGAGGAGGACGGTGGCGTGGTCGTTGTGTCCGTCGATGGGTGCGTCGAGCCTGAGGAACGGATTCGCAACCGCATGGCGGTACGCGGTGTGAAGGGCCCTGAATATCTGAGCACGAAGGAAGCCGCATGGGTTGGCACGAGGGAGATGGGAAAGCAGGGCTGAGAGGAAGACACACCGTGAGGACGTCAGCGTCGCGCACGACGGAGTCGGTGAGCGCGAGCGCGATGATTATCTTCATTTTGAGAGGCGTCATGTAGCCGTACACGGCCACGTCCTCCATGGTGTAGAGCAAGTTCATGTAACAGTCTGTCGACTTGGATGCTATCGCGGCTGCGTCTGCAGCGTAGTGGCCAAGGTCAAATCTTCTGGAGTCGGCTGGGCGAGGCGACAGGGAGCGGCGACGCACTGCGTTCGTCGATGACGTCGAGACTGGTGTGCGCGATGTAGTGATACTTGAGCTCGTCCTGGCCTTGGGCAAACGTGCGGATCAAATGGGATGGCTTTGAGAAGACACGAATGCGACTGCGTTCAACTTCAGAGGAGACGGCATGGTGGATGAGTTCAAGGAGTGCGAGATGTTTGGCGCTCTTCATGCATCATGCTGCGTCCTCGAATCTAGCACCCAACACTTAGTGTACGCACTCTCTTTCAGGCACATATCACATCGAAGGGAGGGCATAGCTAAGGGTCATACACGTTCTGTAGTTCATTCCGGTCATTCGTGCACAAGCGTCAGGCTTTCTCATCATGCATGCCAACGCCCGCGCCATCTATGACTGAAGCAAAGATTAAGATATATGCACCGAGGCTGAAGGTATAACATGTACTGCAAAGCGAGTAACGCCAGGGAATCTACATCGAAGGGCTTATAGCGAGCCGTTCGAGTAGTAGCGCCATGCGAAGTAGGCACCCAACACCGCGAGGGGAACGAAGTACATCATGCTGGGGCCACGAGTCAGATGCCAGCTCGTTTGGTGTTACAACAAGCACTTACTTCGAGCCCTGCTGCACGGCCGAGTTGACTGTGGAGTTGTGCGAGAACGAAGTCGACGCGGGCTTCGTCTTGAGCTCCTAAGACCCCAAAACACGTCACTTGATGGAAATTTGGGCAGGGAGTGAACGCACGTCAGTCTTCTCGAAATCTCCAACCAGCATGTCCTTCAGGAGGGCGCGTGCCTCATCCGAGTGGCCCACATCCTCAAAGGCCTCCGTCGCGTCACGGGCTGGATGACAATGAGTCGAAAGCAAGGCGATAGCATGGCAGACACATACCGGCTTCCGCGAGAATGACCTCGTCGCCTCCCGGGTGCTATAGATGTCATCAGGATTGGCTGGATGCACAATGTCGAAGGACAACGTACCTCGTCAATGAACTTGGTGACATCGTACACTGGAGCGCGGTGTGGTGAGAAGTCGGAGAAAGGCGTGGGGAGGAGGACCTACCCTTCTCATGGATAAGGATGTAGATGCTGTCCTTGGTCTTGTGCTGCTTGAGCTCCGCGAAGGTCACGAGCTTGGACATGGCTGGCAGAGGACGAGGGAAGGGAGGGAGGGTGGAAGCCGGGGCGGGAGAGCTGGCGTGATTGAGTGGGTGGCGAATGGGCGTCGTACTATATGAGCCGCCCACTTTCCCACGTGGACACTTAAGCACGCTTATGCGACCAACTCTATCAACGCCCGCCCTCAGCAGCCGGCATCCACTGCCTGGCCGTCGTGTTCTGGGACCGCCTGGCCGGTCTCCGATGCTGCTGTCATCTCCGAACAGTCCCGACCACGTTCTAACTTCGCAATAGCGCTTGTTATCTGCATGTAGGTTTTCCCACACATGCATACCAAATGCAGAGCCAGTGAATTGCAGGGGTGTTTTTTCGGTCCGGTCCACAACTATGGAGGTCAATTCAACATTCTCGTCATGCCTTGGCAATGCTTTGAAGCAGCAGTGACTGTGAAGCTGCTCAACACCAGGGGGGGCTTATGTAATGAACGCGGGAAAACCCGAAGATCGAATCTCCGCCACGGAGGCCACGACGCCGGGACGACTCCGAGTCCCAAGCGCACTCTACCAAACTCCACCACCACTTCCTCCCAGGCCTGTCTTCGATCGCTCGACGCGCCTCGAGCGTCTTTATTCTCTTGCCTCCAGCGGTTTCCTGCCACCTGCTCGCATGGACTACGACGAATCATCAGATATTCTCGGCGGCCGCATCCGAGTATCCCCCTCAAGTCCCCCTGCTTGGCCCAGTCCCGGTCAGGTTACGTTTGTCTTGGGACTGGGCTTGCGGCGTTGTATACATGGGTGCAGGTGGCCCCGCGTTTCCGACAATGGAGGGAGACAAGGTACCGAAAGTGAGTAAAATCGTGTTTGTTTGTTTGCCTCCGCCAACTCCCTTCTGCTTGTAGGGCTATGCGGAGACGGCATGGCATCCCGATGACGACAACAGACCTTTCAACGTTGCGTATGCGGCCGCTACGCAGTCGCGAAAGCTGCGCGATCAGCCTGGTCCGTCCCTGGAGGATTCACCCCCCAGACACCATGACGCCACTCGCGAAGGTGCGTAGTTCATGCTACATTTTTGTACGCCATCCTCCTTACATATCCTATAGGTCATTTGCGCGATACTCGCCCTGTCTCTGCATTCATCGGAGGACACTCATTGCATCGCTCGGCGGACCAGTGAGTTCTACTATTCTTGGCATAGCCAGTGGAGTTCCCTGACAGACACGCTCAGTCCTTCTGTCTCTCACCACCATGCTGCTTCGCGTCCCATTCATTCACAAGTCGACGATTCTGCAGCAATTGGCAATTCTACTGCCCGCTCGTCGCGTCCGATTGGAGTCAGGTTCCGCTCAGATTCCCAGCCCTCGAACGGCAAGCATGCCCTCGAAGATGATGCGGACTCTGACTACGAGACCTCTGCGAAGAAGAGTCGTATCGAACGGGAGGAGCCTGCGTCTGGTGACGACGTAGAGTGGCAGGGCAGTCAACCGGATATGGATGTGGACGAGGCACAGCCAGCTCAACGTGGTGCGAAGCGCGTTGCTAGCTCGCACGAAGATGATTCGTCTCCCCGTACAGAGCGTCGTGACAAGCGTGCCCGCAAGACCTCTGTGGACAACTCAGGAAGGTCGGCTGATGAAGGAATGAACGAGGACGAAGACGAGGAACTACTCGAGAACGCCACCAGAGGAAAGAAGAGGGATCGCGCCGAGGCTGATTCTGCATTCGGTGGAGATGACTCACTGGTAGAGGATGACGACAAGCCGCAGCGACGCAGGCGCAGGCGCACTGTACCCTCCACGGAACCCAGTTCAAACCGTGGTCAGAAGCGTAGCCGCGGTGTTGAATCTGTGGAAAGCGACGGATCCGGATCCGAACGTCCGGCTCGTCGAGGAGGCCCTAAGAAGCGGGGCAAACGGTCCCAAACCGGAGCACACTCAAACGACCCGCTGTGCAAGGGCAGGCGTATTGGTGAAGAGTGGGAATCCCATGGTATTCTTTTCAAGGTCGGTCCGAACGGGCAAAGGCTTCGTCAGGCTCTCGTCAAGAAATCCAAGTCCAGATTTTCTATGGTGCGTCAGGACTTTTCTCGTGTTGATTTCGTACTTATCGCGAACTGTTTTAGCCAAGCGATTCGCAGCACCCGGACCGACGCGCCAACGTGGAGATATACGTCGAAACATGGCTTACGGACGAAGAGTACAAGACCTCCAAAGAGCGTCATGAGTTGGACATCTCTCCCACACCTCCCGAGATCCAGACCCCCGTGGACCATTTGGTGAGTTACCTTCCCTCTTACATCGGCGTTTGTTCATGGTCGTATTTGCCAGGAATCCCCTTCCATCGCCGGCAAGAACTTGTTATGGTCATCCACCGCATCTCGCGACGGTACTTCTAAGCGTCCCTTCAGACAGTCTCTCACCGGCAATGTCGACCCCAAACCTTCTCCAACGATCTCTGTCCGCCGTGTTTCCGCCGTATACGACGCCCCCGAGTCCCCTGCCACGGAAAGTCCACAGATTCAGAAGACCAAGTCGTACACCAAGTGGGAAAAGCAGGAACTTGAAGCGGCTGCGATGTTGAGGATCCGTGAGCGATTACAAGCTGCGAAGAACGCATCGGTGCCCACCCCCACATCAATGCCTGCGCCGTCACCGTTCATCGGCACCACTCCCTCGACAGGCACGCCCTCCACCACCAAGACTTCAGAGTCGGCGCCTGCGACCACGTCAAATCCCTTTGCTTTCGGTATCCCTACCTCTAGCAAGCCCGCTGGTGCGGAGCCGTCGAAGCCCCCGACATCCTCTGTCGACTTTGCCAAGGCCCCGGCCAACCCGTTCGCTGCGCCTCTAAAGGCCCCAGGTCCTGCGGCTACATCGTCCGCACCCACACCCTCCGTTCCACAGTCCAGCGGTGCCGTCCCCAGCTTCTTCAGCAAGCCGGCTGCCCCCACTCCAGCCGCCTCCGCGGCACCGGCTGCGCTCCCTCCCGTGAACCCGTTCGCGCCGAAGTCCACAGAAGCCAAACCGGCGGACCCGCCGAAGCCCGCATCGTCCACTGCACCTACTGGCACTACATCTAAGCCCACATCTCAGTCACCCTTTGGTGCTCCTAATGCGTCCGCAGCCGACGGTCAGAAGCCTGGCACGTCCTTACTGTCACGGTTAGGTATGGGTCCACCTCCCGCCCAGCCTTCTGTGCCTTCTGTGCCTGCTTCATCTACATTCCCGTTCGGCAAACCCGCTGCGTCTGCTCCGGCGGTCTCGACACCCGCTGCACCTGAAGTGAAGCCAACTACCACGACCCCTGCCGGAGCTCCTGCTCCCACGTTGAAGTTCAACTTTGGTGCCCCCAAACAATCCACTCCCGCCCCGGCTCCAGCCGTTGCAGCCGCTGCGCCAGCGCCGCCCGCTGCTTCGACCGCCACGCCCTCGTTCTTCGGACCTGTGGGCGGAGCACCCAAGCAAGAGGTCCCTGGTCTCAATATCTTTGGAGCAGCCAAGAACGCGGACTCGGCGGCGGCGCAGAAGTCTCCGTTCGGCGGATTCGGTTCCTCCGCTGCCACTCCAAACCCCTTCGGTGCACCCACTTCCACAGCCGCTGGGACGAACGGGTCAACAAAGCCAGCGGAAGCGCCCAAGTCGGTGTTCGGAGGGAGTGCGACGACGAACACGGGAGCCACATCTTCACCGTTTGGAGGAGCTTCGAGTCCCTCTCCTTTCGGAGTTACCGCCGCGCCTACGGCGTCGCCTTTCGGGGCCACGTCGTCATCTACCGCATCCCCGTTCGGCGCCGCCACGAAACCCACGTCGGTATTTGGCTCTACAACACAGCCGTCAGCATTCGGAGCAGGAGCAACCACCACTTCGCCTTTTGGTGCGCCTTCGAAGCCTACAGAAACGCCAAAGTCATCCCTCTTCGGTGCTGCGACGTCCACGCCCTCGCCTTTCAGCTCAGGGGCGCCGAAACAGGAGGAAAAGAAGGACGGTGATGCACCCAAGCCTCTGTTCAGCTTCGGTGCGCCGTCTTCCACGACGACAACCACGACAACCCCTGCGTTCGGTGCGACTTCGAAGCCTGTGTTTGGGTCGACCACGACCCCCATCACCACGCCCACATTTGGGAGTGGGACGGCAGCTACCACAACTCCGGCCTTCGGTAGCGGATCATTTGCAACCGCCACCCCTGCATTTGGTGCGGCTACGACATCCGCTTTCGGCGGAGGATCCAAGCCTGCGTCTGCATTTGGTGCCGCGCCTGCGAGCGGCTCCACATTCGCGTTCGGCCAAGTGTCTGCACCAACAGCATTTGGCGCGTCCTCAACCCCCAACCCCATTGCAACCGGGAGTCCCTTCGGTGCGCCTTCAAACCCGGCCGCGACTGGCGAGAGCAAGCCCACGTTTTCCTTTGGGACTCCTGCGACCAATGGGACTCCTGCGCCAGCCGCGCAGCCTGCTACAAGCAACCCAACCTTTTCGTTCGGCGCGCCAAGCGGTTCGTTCGGCTTCGGACAGAGCGCACAAAAGTAGCCACCTCCCTCACACGTTCATTTGTTTGTCTTCATGTACATATGACCATGCTGTATGCTCCCCTCCCTTGTCGTAGTGTAACAAGCCTCGATATGTTTCACAATCCGCAGTCATGCGTTAGCGTTGTAAAACACGCCTCCAACATGCTGAGTGCGCGCGAACGCAACCGACGACGGCAGAAATCATATGAGCGGATCGGGGGCATACGAATCCAGCCGCGGCACGTGAATGTGGCGGCTGACTTCGACGTCGAGTGCAACGGCGGCGAGCACCCAACAAGACCCCAGTTGTCCTCTCTCCATCGTTGTCTTGTCGCTCGCCGTTGTCTTCAACGCTCTCTCGCCGCCCCTCTGTTTCCCCTCGCTTGTTTGCTCGCTTAATTCATTAAGACACCCCTCGCCGCGGGCCGACCCTGGCCTCAAACTCCTCCATCACCCCGCCCAGCTCTCCGAGCTCATTGGGCTGCCCCTTTCTCCCTCCCGCTCTCCCGCCCAGGCGTCGGAAGAGTCCACGATGCTTCCCCACTCAAACCTGCGGAGCAGCACGCCCCGCCGCCCGCCGCCCCCGGCCAAGGCCCGCAAATCGAGCTCGCTCAACTTTGCGACAATCCCGCCGCCGCCGCCGTACGCCGCCGAAGATGTGCGGACGGAGCGGGAGAGGAGGATGGCATCGGGCTCCCTGGGACCCCGGGGCTGGACGACTGGATGAACGAGAAGTCGCACGAGGAGCTGTCCGGGCTGCTCCTCAAGGCGGACGGGATCATCAAGTCGCGCGAGACGGGTGCGCCTTCCTCTTCGTCTCGTCGCTCCTCTGATGTGCTGAACGCGAGCGGCGGTCCTCCTGCGTGTGTGCGTTCGCAGAGCTGACGATGACCTCTGCGCTCTGCAAGTCGCTCTACTCGGACAACCTCACGCTCAAGACGAAGCACGAGGCCCTGCTCGCCCGCCTGCCGAGCACGAAGAGCCCGCAGATCTCGCGGCCGTCCTCGCCGCTCCTGCTCGAGCCCCCGAGCCTGCACCAGTCCCCGTCGCTCGGCGCGGTCGCCTTCCCCGCGTCGCCCGACAGCAGCGGCGGCCACAACCCGTTCGCCGCGCTGCGCCGGCGCGCGCGCCGGATCTCGGTCACGCCCGCGGAGCTCGCGCTGCTCTCGGACCAGAACGCGGAGCTGATCAACAAGCTCGAGGACCTCGAGGCGGAGTCGCAGAAGGCGGACCACGCCGGCAAGCGCAAGCTACGGAAGCTCGAGCAGGAGATCCAGGACCTCCGCGACGAGCTCGAGCGTAGCCAGGCGCGCGGCGTGGAGCTCGAGGAGCAGGCCCGAGCCGCGGCGAGCGCGGCGGCGGCGGAGCGGCGGCGGGAGGAGCGCGAGGCGCGGTTGCTCGCGCTCAAGGACCGCGCGACGGGCGTCGCAGCGAGCGAGTCCCTGCCGGAGGGCTTCAGGGACTTTGCGCCGCCGAGCTCGCTGTCGCGGCGGTCGAGCCCGTTCAAGCGCAGCGCGAGCGGGTCGTCGTCGTCGTTCACGGAGAGCGCGTCCGAGCCGTCGTTCGAGCAGGAGTTGAGCCTTGCGGGTCCGGAGGACGAGGAGCCGAACGAGTCTGACCCGTACTTCCCCACCGGTCAGACGAGCCTCTGCGCCTTTCGAGTATGCTATTGTTTCGCAGCTACTCTCAAGATCCGGGAGCTCGAGGAGACCAACGCTCAGATCCACGAACAGCAAAAGATCACGGAAGAACGCATGCGCTCTGCTCAGTGGGACGCCGAAAGTATTCGCCGGGTGTACGACTGCCTGGATGAAGGAGACGTCGACCTCGAGATTCAAGAGGAAGAAGGGCCTCGCACTTTCGGAACGGCCCCGTGTCAATGGTGGGCACCATCCGCTTCAGCAGCCTGCGGAGAAGTATTGCTGGCGACATCAGCAAGCTCATGTCTTCCGACTCGGACGTTTTCGCGGCGGTATCACCAATGACATGCAGAGTACTCTCCGGGAAGGCGCGAAGGGGCATACCGGACCTAAGTCACGCAAGACACTGGTCGGCTTGTTCGACGCTAGCCCAGACAACAGCTTGAGCTCGTCCAGCTGGGGCCGGTACCCACCCTCTCTCAAGGTGTCTCCCTCTTTCCGCACGGAGTCGTCCTTGGATAACACCCCTGCATGGTCTTGCTCCGCCACCGACGGCCTCGCATTCCCGTCTCCACCTGTCAGCTCGATGCACGTACCCTTGGATGGCCTCGGTCGTACTCTAGGCAGCGAACTCGGTAGCGAGTTTGGGGACGACTGGGCGGAGCGTGGCATCAATCACCACCTCCGCGCAAGCAGCCTCTGCGACATCGCCGGGCTGAGCACGTCCGTACCGGCTTCCCCTAGCGAGTCTACGATGCCGCTTCCACCCATCGCCTTCCCGACGGTCGATGAGCACCCTGACGAGTGGGACGAAGAGCAGCTGACGCCTCCCCGCACGCCACAACTCCAGCTCACCGTCCAGCCCCCAACACCGACCCCAGATAAGGTGCTGCGGAGCTCACCCGCGACTATACGACAAATCCGGCTGTCGCAAACGGTTCGTTCCCGTACGAATCGATGGGTCGAAGGTCGCATTCAGACAATCCCTGTCACGGTTCCCACTCAGCCACGAGAGGTCGAGTTGCGCAGACGACCCTCCGCAACGTCAACAATCGGCAAGCGGGCTGGAACAAGCGCGAGCTCGAGCACGCCCGTGCCTTCAAGACCGACCACTCCGGGCTGCTTGGGGAGACGTTCGACCATGCCGTGGGCCAGATCAAGCGTGTCGCAAGCCGCAGTCGCTTTTCACCCCTCGGCTTCGCGCTGTCCGACACTACGCTCCAGCTCGAGGACGAGCGGAAGTCATCGGGGCTCCCCCATGCGGATGCGGACGAGTCAACCGAGTCGACGGCGAGCACACGCAGCACGACCGCTCGGTATCGCTCCGACGTGAAGGTTCGCTCGCAGACCCATTCGACGGCAACACGACGGCGTGGTCGGCTTCGTGCTGGAAGCATGGCTCTGGCTCCAGTTTATTATCGTCGTCATGCTCTTCCTCTGGGCCATGGCTAAGCGCGGGCCCAAGGTCGTGCTCGAGACCGAACGACGCAGCGGGCACCGTGCGTAAATCCTCGCACTGGTTCCTTTTTCTCCCCTTTCTTGACTGTATCATCGTGCCGGTGACCCCATTGGGCTGCGGACGCTGCATCGAATTTAGACGAATTGTGCGCCAGGAGCAGAGCGACTACGACCACGACCACGACCACGACTCTTGACGCGTTGACGATCCGTATCTTATACCACCCTCCCACATATCGCTGAATTGCCCCTTGCATCTTTCGTGCACCGTCTCTTTCTGTTTGCTACCCCTTCGTCCCCACCCTTCACCTGATGCCCGTCGTACCTGCGACGGGCTGCCGAGTCCCCCATTGTTCCATACCTGCGATCTGCACAGCGCCCTTTCTTTCCTGCATCTCTCAGACTCTCACGCATTGCTACGCTCCCCGTCCCCGTCTCGTACGATACCGCACGCACGTCACAATTGTCGATATCCGCGCAATCTTTATGCAACAACTTCTCCGTCCCCGTCGTTCGCGCTCAGGCCTCGAGCCTCGCCGCGCACTGCCTGTCAAGACACGAGAAACGCTGACTGTAGGGTGCACCGGCCACAACCAAAGCCCTCGCGCCAAGCTGTTACGCAGAAGCTCTCGCACGTCCCAGTCGCGTTTCAAAACGTGCTGCATGAGAAAGCATCACAAAAAGCGCAGCTTCCGCCGCTGCCGCCGCTGCGCCTGCAGATTCGGTGGGTGTGCCGAGTGCGCACGCGTTCGTGCGCGGGCATTCGCCGAGTCTTAGGTGGATTGGTAGAGTACATTACATACAGCATAACAACAGCCGGGACCCCGCACCACACACGCACGCCGACGCGTCGCCGCGGCGGCCTGCCTGGGCCCGAAGTCCGAACAGCCTACAGCCCCGCAAATGACACCCTCGGCGGCCCGTCGAAACGCGCCCCGCATCGTACACATCGTACACATCATACACAGACTCGAAGGCGTCCGGCGCGCAGGCCCGCGCTACAAGCCGAGGCCCTGCGCCCACTCGAGCAGCGCGCGGTTGAGCTTCTCGGGGGCCTCGAGCTGGACCCAGTGCCCGGTGTCGAAGACGCGCACGGTGGGCGCGTCGCAGAGCGCGCGGACGATCGCCGCGGACGGCTCCGCGAGGCAGACCGGGTCACGCGCGCAGCCGGCGAAGAAGACGGGGCGGGGAGCCGCACGCGGTCCGCGATCTCTGTGGGTGCGGGCGCAGGGGAGTTCAGCACGGCAGACTCAAGGGGAAGAGGGGGGGAGGGGAGGGGGATGGGACGTACGTTGGTCGTCCTTGGCCATCGCGTCGGTGAACATGAGCCGGAAGCTCTTGAGCGCGCCGCCGAGGCCGCCGGCCTTGGTCCACGCGGCGAGGGTGTGGGCGTGGTCCTTTGTGCAGAGGTGAGTTTGGAGTGGAGGTGCAGGCGGTTGGCTGCGGTGGACGTACCTGGGACGAGATGAAGGCTGGGAGGGGCGCCTTCTTACCGCTCGTGAGCCAGTTCTCGAGCGCACCGCGCGTGGTGAGGACCGAGCGGGAGAGGTCGTCGTTGGCAGTGTACCATAGGGTCAAGAGAGACTCGAGCTATGTGGAGAGTTGTGGTGAGTGATGTGCTCAGAAGTTGGCGTCTAATGGAGGGTGGTTGGAATACGCACGTGAGCATTCACTATGGCCTCTGCGCGAGTGTCCCCAAGGAAGCTGATCAGGAAGACCGTTTGTAAGTATTGAAATAGGAAATAAAGGAGCCGCAAAGAGACTTACAGCCAGTACGCAAACATCTCCGTCTTCGCGAGCTCTTGCTGCTTCTGGAGCGTCACCTGAAGGTCGAAGTCAGGCATGGGGGGACAGTACCCGCCGCCCAGGAAGACCGTGGCAACGGTGCGACCGGGGAAATACTGCGCCAGGCGGGCGACGAGGATTGACCCCCTGTGAACCACCGGCGAATAGGGTGGTCAGCACTCGAGGGTAGAGTGGTTGAGGGGGCGGGGAATTCAACGCACCAGTCGTGGCCAACAGCGATCACCTTCTGAGCGTTGAGGTGGTCGAGTATGTCGACAAGGTCGGCGGTGGCCTTGCTGGGCACGTAGCTTGCGAGATCCGAGGGCCTGGACGAACCCCCATGGCCGAGGAGGTCGGGAGCGACAATGCCATATCCTGCAGCGGAAAAGAACGCGATCTGGTTCCGCCAGTCGTAGGCTGTCGACGGAAATCCGTGAACAAACAAGAAAGTCGCTTTGGAGCTGTCCTTCGGTGGGAGGACGAAGGTGTTGTAGAGGTGTCCGGACTTGGTCTTGACCTCTTTGTATGCGTGAGCGTCCATGTTGCTAACAGGTAGGAGGGTAGGAGCAAGACGGATGTGGATTGGATGTGAGGATAGGAAAGAAGAGAACAGTGTGAGTTGAGGTAGCCAGTCGGGCAGTGTTTGGTTTTATGCCTGCGGCAGTCGGAGTGCGGAGACCGTATTTGAGAGAGCGCGAGCCTTTGTTCGCTAAGCGCGGTTGTTCCGATCGCTCGGCAGTCCCAGCTACCACGACTGGTAAAAACACGTGGTATGAGCGCCGGAAAGAGAAAGGATAAAGGACCAGAAAGGCGACATACGGTTTAGGCGTGAAGGTGTGGTCCCTCGACATTTGGAAAGGAGTGCTCGCAGGCACGGGATCATTTCGTGGATGTCTCGCTGGTGGAGGACCCTTATTTTGAGGGTTTGGTGCAGTCGCCAAAGGCGACTCAGATTCCATGTTGCTCCCGGAACCACAGACGCTGAGCAGTGATGGATAGGGACGAACCACGGAACATAGCCACCACGCTCTCGGGGAAGTACGGAATGAGCTGCCTGGACTGCTCGTGATCTAAATACGCCACAATCTGATCCCGACGAATTTTCTTCTGTAGATATATGTGTTCTGAGGCAGGGATAGTGGAGAACGACTCGCCGCTGCCAGAGTGCAATTGAAATTGTATTTGAATTTGAGTGGCTCCTACACCTGCACCTGAGCCAGGACAAGGAGGTGAGGATGCTGGCTTCCTGGAGGAACGCGACATTGATTCCTCTCGGAAATTGCCCGGAGACTCTCTGGTCGGAGATCTGACTGGCAAGCTCGCGGACGCGTTTAACGGGGTCGTTCTCAAGTGCACGCACGCACGAATCCAGTGGCAAGCCAGGGGTAAAAGACGCTATTGCGAGTGTTCCGGGGCCTTCGCAGATGTCGAAGGGGCGGCGACGAGACAGTAATACAGCGGTGAGGGAGGAGAGCGAGTGGGAGAGTGCGCGCGACGGTTCGACGCGCTCGGAAGACGCCGCGCACGTGGATATCGCCAGATCGCCGGCCGACGCCAACTCCACAGTAACCACTCCACTGCTTGCTTCTGCCCGCCTGTCTCCGCTCTTCGGAATGGCGAGCTCGAGCTCGCCCTCAAGTCATCCGAGTTCGACCGCCTTCCTCACGCTCATGGCGTGTGCACGCCGCGACCTCCCCCTTCCACATCCTCTTCATCGACACCCACCACCATGAGGGTATGCTTCCCCATCCGCTCTTCCGCGCACCCCGACTCACCTTGCGCGACCCGCCAGATCGTAACCCAAGAGGAACTCGACGCCCATCAGAGCGCAGTCATGGCCGGCGCCGCGAAGGGATGGCAGGGGGGCTCGCGGCCGCGCTCCCCGCGTCGTACCTGCTCTACCGCCGGTTCCCGTACTACCGCGCGCTGCAGCCCTCGCTCAAGGCGCTCGGCGTCATCCTCGTCGCCGTGCCCGCGTGCGTGATCACCGCAGAGCGCGCGAGCCAGGCGTTCGAGCGCGCGCAGTGGTGAGCAGCGGTCCGGGATCGAGGGGTACGAGACCGCGGTCGTGCGACGCTCACCGTGCGCGCAGGCACGACCGGGGCAAGACGGAGCTGGACACAATCAAGGCGCGCGAGGCGGCGCGGTGGGGGAACATGAGCGCGGCGCAGAAGGCGGGCGACTTCGTGAAGCGGCACGAGTACGGCGTCATCGTCGGCAGCTGGGCCGCGGCGATGGCCGGCACGCTCACGTACATCATGCGCGACAAGTGCGTCCTCCTCTTGTCCTATGCTGTGGCGCGCCCACTCACTTGCGTCCGCTGTGCTCCTAGGATCCAAACCGTGCCGCAGAAGGTGGGTTCAGGGCGGTGCAAGCGACCGGACGCACAGGCTGACAGAGGCGAGGGTCGCATAGGTGGTGCAAGCGAGGATGTGGGCGCAGGGGCTGACGATCGGGATCATCATCGCTGCCGGGGTCTTGACGCATTCGCAGCGCGCGAAGCGGTTCGAGGAGGAGATCCGAGACGGGCACCTCGTCCGCCATCTGGTATGTGGTTTCATCGTATCTGCGCGTGGCGCAGATCTGACCGCACGCGCAGCCCGAGGACCACTCCTGGAAAGACATCCTGGAAGAGGAGGAGAGGGAGAGGGCGGCGTCTGGTCCGGGCGATGGAAGCAGGCCCTCTTGAAGATATGTGGATATGCCTGTCAACGTCGCGAGGAAAGAGGCTTACGAGGACGCGAACCGCCGTCGCTCGTCAGAGAAGTGTGACGGTTCTTGGAGACGTCGACTCGAGAATTGTGCTGCGCGCGGCATGTGCTGCGACGATATCCCGGGTTGGTCAGCTGTGTTACGGGATGGCGACGTCCGTTGTAGTGCGCGCGGACGGTCGCATCGCTGACTGTGTCCGTTTGGCCGTGCCGTACATACGCGCCTACTCCTGGCGACGGGAAAGTATCCACGGTTCTGCGACAAGAGCACCCCATTCCCGGATTCGAATCCCAGGCATATGAAACACTCATACACTCTCTCCTCAGCTGAGCCGCTTCTCGATGGGGTCCGTGCATCCATCCCGAGTTGTCCTCGACGGTGATCCACATAGCTCCCCGTGTTAGTCACGCACAGATATCCAGTCAGGGACTCGAGTCATGCCGGCTGAGCGCTGGTCATCGAGCACAGTCTGTGGAGGATGCGCTGCAGACATGCGTTCATCAAGACCTGACCGCGGACGCAAGTTGGCGGGCGGCGGAAGCTCGAGCGAGCGGTCTGGGTCTGAGATGCAGAGGCGACCGTTCGTCTCGGTCACTGGGACCGGTCAGAAGTACTACGTATACGGGATCCGGGCGGCGAGTCGATGTTTAATTTGAGCGTAGATGGTTATAAAGCAAATACTGGAGTTGCTACCAATTGCTGCCTTCCGCCCCTGCCCGCGCGCGGCCCCCACGTTCGTGCACCTTCCCCTCATTCTCTTCCCTCCGCTTTGTCTCTACCGGGGACGTCTCTGACGAGAGAGAGGACAACGGCCCACGGTCGCGGAGGAAGATTCCGGGAAATGGGGCATTACATCATCAGGTGCGTTTGGTCATTTTGGCGCCTCCCGATCCAGGCCTCCGATCGTCCGAGTCGCACCATCCTCGCAGCGAGCGCCGCCCGTCTTGTATCCCTTCCGTCGCCCTCACCGGCCCCGACCCACTCCCCTTCGCCCCGAGCACCTCTCTCCCCCCTCCCGCGCCCATCCACTGCTCGTCGTCGACGCGAACCGGCGTTTCCCCCTCTCTCTGTTCCCCTCCGTCATCCCTCCCTCCGCTCTCATCCACTCACCCACCCATGTCACTCACTAGGTCTCTCTCTCTCGCCGGCTCCTTCATCGGCGCCCTGTGCAATCTTGCATTCGCACTCCGCCTCCTCACCTTCTCCCGCTCCCTCATCCTCGAGGGCGAGAGCGAATGGGAGGGCTCTGGCGATGTCTGGGCCGTCGACTCCGTCCGCGTCGTATGGGCCCTCCTCTTCGCCTACTTTGCGGCCGCATCTACCGCATGCTTCATTGGATTCGTGGGCATCGCCAAGGTTCGTTTTCCCGTCCTTGATATCCCCGCCCCACGTCCAGTTTCCGCACGACACACTCCTATCTCAAACCCATGCTGACTTCACGTCCTTGTGTTTTCTTTTGCTTTCCCCCTCCTGCCGCCGACTGCGCATCCTCATTTTTGCCCTCTCGTCCCACCTCGGCTCATCAACTGCGACTCTCGCACCGCCCGAACTTCGGCCTCCCACACAGCACATTCAATTGTTCGTGCGCATCTATCGCGACTACTCAATAGCGGACTTCGTGTTCGTCACCCTCACCACGCTCAGCGTCAGCTACACAACATTCAGCACCCCTTATGTCCGCTCCGCCGTTTGCGAGGAGCTGTCGCGCCACCCTGAGCTCATGCGCGACATGGGCGACATGGGCCTCTCGCTCGAGAACTGCGAACATTGGTTCGAGCGTGCCGTCGTCGCCCTCCTGGGCATCATGTTCATCCTCATCGTTATCCGGGTGAGTCGCTGTTCCTCCCCCGCTGTGCAAGGGAGCGTCCGTGCACCTTCGCATGCCCCGTCGCGAGGTCGCCGTCCCTCGAACGCCCTGCGTGTGCGAAGGACGCCGACTCCTGCGGCATGTCCATTTGGCTGTGACGATGGGCCCGGGTCGCTCCACTTGGATCAGAATCGGATGCTGACGGTTTGATTTGTTCCCCATCTGTGCTTCCCGCGCCCTCGGACGACCATCACACGCACACGAACATACCACAGCTGCACATCGTCATCGCGCTCTCCCAGTACTACTCGCACGTCTCGCGCGAGCTCCTCGCGCGCGCCCGTGCGCTCGGTCTCCGCGCCATCAAGACGGAGGTGCCAATGCAACGGATCTACCTCGTCCCCACACCGAGCACGCCCTCCTTCGACGGCCGCTCGCACCACGAGTCAAGCTCGAGTCAAGGACCGGGACAGCAGCCGGACGTGACTGTGTACGCGACGGTACCAATCGGAGGGATGTCCGAAGCCGAGGCGCGCCGCATTGCGACGGAGGCGTGGGTGGGGCCACGGCCACACCACGGGCACAGGCATTCGCACTCGCATTCGACGCACTCGCACACTCACCGGCATCACCCCTCGCGGCGGATGTCGACGGAGAAGTCGGCGGCCCAGCAATGAGGTCTAGCGTGGCGCCCAGGAGAGCAGCTGGGGGAGCTCGTGTGTACATCTTACTACCCTCCATTTTCACCACCGCCGCCGCCGCCATTTCTACTTTGAGTCTGACCTCGCTTGCACCTGCACTCTCCCGGACGACCCATACATCCCTACCTGTCCTGTCTATCCCGCCCGTGTATTCCAGCGTACGTGTCCGAGTATGTATAGGTTATAATGTTGCCGCCGTCGCCTCGCCGAACGCCCCGACCGCCTTGATCGAATAGCACCCACACCCATGCTTTCTTGGGTTCGCTCGGACACGGACCTTGGCCACGGACCCTTTTGCTCGTCGGCGAGCCTCTCGCCCGATCCTGCATGTACCACAGGCCGGTTGACCCCCCTCCCTCGCATCTTCACTCGCTCGTCGCACGGCTCCCGCTCCTCTTCTCCCTCGCTTTCGTCCTCCCCAGTCCTCTTGCCAGCCCGCCGAGCGCACTCGGACGGTCGTACATAGGCGCATCTGTAGCTTCCCCCGCTTGTCCACGTTCGCTCGTATGTGTATACATAGCCCTTCACGGTCGTCGTCTGCACATGAGCGCGAGCGTCGTGACTCGTCGGGTCGGGTCGGAAGAACGTTCGGCCAGGACATGGGCGCCTGAGCAATTGCATCCGCGGCGGTTCGATCCCCTTTACGGCCGATTGATGACGTTGGGCGCTTGGTTGCCTGAGCGCCGGGCCGAGAAGGGGGTGACGTCAGTGCGCGTGCGAGGCGGCCGCGGCTGACTGGCACTAGATCTCGCAGCGATCGCCGCGGTGGGCGCGCGGGCTCGCAAAATGCAGGGCCGAGATCGCGCCATCGGGGCCGGGGTCACTCGAGCTCTCTGCCGCTCCGTCCCACCCCGTGCAGTGTGCACCCGCACGCGCTGTTGGAAATCGAGGCCGCCGGCGACGCTCGCGGCCTTGCAAGCGATGTCGTCGACTTGAGTGGCACCAGGACCCCCGACATCTCACCCAAATGCCTGAGCCGAATCCGGACATTGATGGCGATTTCGCGGGCTTGATGCCTGTAGGCGCTTAGGCCTTGTCGGACATTTTCCAGGGTATCGACCGGCCGATGCCTGAGCCATCATCCGACCATTAGGGCGGGGGCTCCTCAAATGCCTGATCCTCAACGGACGGTCGGTCGGCTTTGGGTGGTCCCCAGAGGTCAGTTGGAATGGGCGACTGACTGCGCGACCAATGGCAGCCACCTTATGCGAGCCACCGGCGTGCGCGTAAGAACGCTGCATCGACTGAACTGTTCATAATGATATTCTACTGCCCGCAAGTAAATACAGAAAGCGAGCTGAACTCAGACTCCGCCAGAGGCAGCATACTTCTTCAAGACCTAATACAGTTTAATCTCCCCACAGTGTACTTCCGGGAATCGACGGGCCGTCCGTTTGACCGCGCGCCAGGTGCAGATGCCACAGATTTCGTTTGGTCCACCCTGGCTCAGATCCGGGGCGAGAACGAGAACGCGAGGGCACGGACGACGGCTCGAAAGTTGGCTGAGGACCCAGAAAGCGCGGGTAGATCGAGAGGACGATTAGGAATCGCCACGAGCGCAGGGGTAGGTTGGCGGGCAAGGGTCTCTCGACGCGTACAGGTGCCATGGGCCATGCTCTCCCAACCCTCTCACCCGCATGTTGGACTATCGAGTAACCGTCAAGACCTGTGCATTCGATGGGATGACGTGCGTGCCCTAAGGGCCGTCAACGAAGACCTCCCAGAACCCGCGTCCCCCCAACGCCCTCACCTACCTCCTTGCCCTCCCCGCTCGAGACCTTCCGCAGCCCCCACAGCATCCCGCGGTCCGTCAGGTCGTCGGTCCGACAGATTTCGAGCACACCCTCCGGGTCCTGGGCCCGCGCACCATCATCACTCGCCGCCGCGCACGCCGCACGTGCTCGCGACACACACCCGCGCAGAGTGGTTCAGTGCGGCGTTGTAGTCGTCCGCGGCGATCGGCGTGTGCAGGTGTGCATGCAGCGCGGTCATGAGCGCGGCGAGGGCGAGGGCGAGGGCGAGGGCGAGGGGTCAACGTAGAGGAACCATGGGAGGTCCTGTAAAAAGGCGAGAGGAGAAGTGTGGGGGGAGGACGAGGGCGCTTAGGCTACAGTAGCCACTGCGAGTCTATGCCCCTATGTGTTCTCGTCAACGATCTCCTGTATTCACAAGTTGCTACGACTCTTAAATATCTCTCCTACGTGCTCTGAGAAGCCCCGAGGTCTCCTGGACAAAAAAATCGCCTTCCGGAGGCCTGTTCGAGCGGAATCCGGACATTTTGAGGCCCTCCGGAGGCCTGTTCCGAAAATCCGACCAAATCAGCCTCCGGACGGCCGAGGCCTGCGGCCGTCCGACCAAAACGGGGTCGCCGGGAGGCCTGATCCTCGAGGACATTTTTGGCGCTTTTTCGAAAATTGGGATCAGGCATCTGAGGGAGATGTCGGGGGTCCTGTGGCACCCCGCCCAACCACCGCACCAACATCACGCCGCACGGGCACGACTCTGCGGGCGCCGTAGCCCTGGCTGGCCGGTACACGCACATCCACCACCGGGGGGATGGGGGGGCGCACTCGCCCTGCATACGGGCCCCAGCGCTCGTCGTCTCCGCACCACGCCCAGTACTTTCGCTCCCACTCCCACCCGTACGGGTTCTCAGATCTATCATCTCGACCCTGGGTTCCTCGCGGACGGCACGCGACCACCGTCGTCGCCGGGGCTCCGGCCCGCGTCGGGGTCCTCGGGGCAGCGAAGCTGGTCACGCGGGCGAAGGGTGTCGTTCAGGCTCGACGACGACGACGAAGGCGGGGGAAGCCGCAGGCGAAGAGTAAAGGCAAAGCCCGGGCCGCGGTCGTCCCCGTGTCGAGCAGGAAGAAGAGAGGACGTCCCGTGGTCGGCGCATGGGAACGAGCGTCGCCGCACGCCCGCCCACGCCTGCGCGGGAGAAGGTGCAGACTCGATGCTGGTGTCCCATTCCGAGAAAAAAAATCTAAACAAGCGGGCTTTGAACAGCAATAGAAGACAGACGATGGCAGCGTTTAGACGTTCTAAGCATGACTGTCCGCCATTAGCGTGCGGTAGCTCGAGGATGTGAGATGTCCGTGTGCGCGCATCAGTAAAAAACGACTTGTCTCCGGAGTGCTCTGGAGGCTCCAGAGCAGTCGGAGCACCGTGAGACAAGTACCCTTTTATGGAGCCGCGAGAGCTTGGCCGGCGTCTCGCAGGCGCTCGAGAGACACAGCCGCTTGCTCTGGAGCACACCAGTGTAGTCTCCCGTAACTCCAGTGTAACTCCGAGTATCGTCTCGAGAGTGCTCTGGAGGTCTCCCGAGCGTACCCGTGCTGAGCCATCCTAGAGCAATTACCCAGTATCCACGCACGCGTAGCACACGGATATCGACGTCAAGATGTATATTGAAGCTATTTACAACTCGTACATACGACGCAATCTACGACGTGGTGCGTGGACGATCAACACTTACCTTGAGACTGCATGACCGCCGCATCAGGTGGGGCGACTGCTCGAGACCGCCCTGTTCTCGTCTGGCTCGAAAACAGGGTGCGGGGGTCTGACTAAATACCTCCCGCGAGCCTCTGTTGCGCCCGTCCCCCCGCTCCGCATCGCCCCGCCCCCGCCCGTGCCGTCATGCTCGACCAGTCGCGCGCGGTGTCCCTCGGGCTCCTTGTTGGCGGCGTCTTTGTCCTCCAGGTCTTTGAATTCCGGCGCGACATCTGCACGACCAATATAAGCACTCAATCACATAGCAGCGATGGACATTGAACCCCACAGCGCGCGAAGTGGAGACGTCAACGTTGCCCGCACAGCGCCCTCACGCACCACCACATTGCGGGCGTGGATAGTATCGCGCAGCAGTCGCAATCGTCGGGGGGCGAGCAGAAATCTAGAGAATGTGAACTTACCGTGATCTGCATATCCAACTTGTTGCGCAACGGTGTGCCATCATGACGCAGACCAGAGACGTCAATGTTCAACCATGGCGTCTTCAACTGACACACAAGTAAAAGGTGAGTAGATGTGCGTGATTCAACAGCACACATTACATACCGAGATAGCGTTGACATGACCGGATAGCCGTGGGCACCGACGTGTCTTTCGGTTCATAGCAGGGAGTGATTGTTCTTCAGTGTCCTGTTCATGACAAAACGTTGCACTTACATAGGAACCTTGGGAGATATCCTGCGGGGAGGTAGCGACAGTTAGGAAGGAAGAATCGAGGACGAAGAAGAGCCGCACTGCTGGCGGCGCTGAACGTCAGTGCCGCTCGGAGGTCTGTGCGTGGGAACAACCTTCCACGACCGGTTCCGGCGGACTTGTGTTCATCGCTCACGTTCCCAGCTTTGTTCACCCGTTATTCAGAGTCACGGCTTCAAGCAAGAGGCCTTCCCCCGCGCGACCACTTCGGGTGCTGCCAAACGTGCACGAGAAGCCCATTCTCAGCCCGCGCCCGTGTCGCAGGAGCAGCGGCGTGCGCGCTTGGGTGGCGGTGAGTGCACGCCCTCCTGCCTGACGCCTTGCCGCTCCGGTCTTCCTCTTCATCCTCTTCTCCGCGCTCCATGTCCATTACCAGTGCTCTATGCGGGCCTATGATACACATCTATATGATCACCGTCTCACCGACCGGATATCTCGGCCTGGATCCATCCTGTACCCTCCCTCAAGTTGTGCATGCCTTGTTGCTCTTGTTAACGTGATAGCTGTACCAGTCGCTGATTGTATTTTTGTTAAAATTATTCATTTCAACTACCAGAGAATCCCTGTTGTATCACTCTGGCAGCTGAGTGCGGGAAAGCATACAATTGCGCGTTATCGCTTGTACAGGAGGACGATATCGAGGACTATCATGCCACCACTGCGGCACAAGAGGGCTCGAGTGAACCTGGCTGTGGCTCTCAAGGCGTCGTTAGTAGCAGTGGCTACTCCGGAGACCTCCAGAGCACACTCGCGCTACTCGAGAGACCTCGGCATCAGTAGTCATCGCGCGAGCGTGCTCAAACGCCCTCCCGGTCATCACTGGCGGCAAGCGAGTGATGCGGAGTCCGGGCCGGGGCTCTCGCGCAAAACGCTTTTTCCTGATGCGTGCAGGACCCTTCGCCTTCGCCGACGCGCATCCGTGGACAATTTCAAGTTCATGTCCCAGAGCCGATGGGATTGAAGAGAAACGAAGGAGATGCAGCACATTCGGTGAATTGGCAGGTACTCACGAGCAACGAACCACACGTCGAATATGTCTACCACACAATTCATATGCCTCCTGCAGCCAAACCACACAACGGACGGCGAACAGAACCTGACGCGCCCTTCGTGCGCTCGGCCGACATCTGCACGCACCGGGACAGCCTCGGCACTTGTCCTCAATGCCATATATCCAATCTTGATACCATTTGAGGACCCACGGCTCTGTATGGTTTACGCGAGAATCATAGTTGAAGTGCTAAAACCAGCGATTAGCTAGTACACATCGTCGGATATAGAGATCACTCACGACGACGAACGTGTAGATGTCGCGACCGAAGCAGTACATGTCCCACGCGTATGGGTCCAGCGGCGGCTCGTCGTCTTCGATGAATCTGGTGTCAGGTATCTGGACGCGGCCCTGTTTTCCAGGTCCAAGCGGAAGAACCATAGATCGCTCGAAGTCGATGATGTACGGTTGGTGGGGCACAGCGCCTTGGACGGGTTCGTCGCCTCTTGCCCAAACAACATTTTCCAACATGTAATCCTGCACGGACGCGTACGTTGAGTCATCCGGTTTGCAAGAATCGATAGCTGCAATTATACGTACGCAGTGTGCGATGTTCCGAGAATGAAGATACTCGAGTATCTTCATTTCAAAGCACTTATGGTCAGCGTAGACTCCGCGCACGTCTGTTGTGAAGCCGTAACGTACCTCTAGCACTTGATCAATGGCCTTGAGGCCTTTGGTCCACGACCAATAAGACGGCTGAAGCTCGAATAGCTGTCTCATCCGGGGTATGAGAATAAACGGGGGCTCGTGGTCTTCGATAATCTCGCATGGAAGGACATATTTGGAGGATGCGGGATCTTGCTGCAGTCGACGGTAGATGGCCACCTCGTTGTAGTGGAAGTTTCGCACGCGCTTCAATGGTCTGCAGCACGGGCTCTTCGCAATCCAGCACGGGGGCGAGTAGATATCTGATATATAAATTTTCTTCTGCAACACTCGGTGAGCAAGGACTCTGAAGAGGCAATGCGCTGCACAGCACTCGCCGGTCGGTGATTGTTGGCAACGAATTTGATGCCTCTGGAGGTGATTGCTGGGTGTGTATATAGCCATTGCGGCAGGATGTCGTCCCAGCTGTCCCAGCTGTCACTGTCGCTCATCCTCGACGCTGGGAGATTGGAGACGATGTGGTCAGAGGCGACTGGCGAGGCCTGGCAAGAGGTGCGCAAGAATGGGAGGCGGTGACGTGTCACAGGATCAATCATACGCGTTATGATTCAAACACTAGCCTTGGTCTACGTTACCTCACAGTACACTGCAGCACGCATAGTAGTTTGAGCTTCTGGGACCCAGTTCTCTTCCTTCGTAAAGATGTGCCCTGCGTCTGAAAATAGGTAAACAGGGATCTCAATGGGTACTTCGAGGCCTGTTTTAACGTTTGCCACGTAGGCTAAACTTTTTCAAGTACTCCCGTGCTGTCCTTGTCTGACGACCCCGTTCAGGGTCTGATAGCGCGATATGTAATGGGCTTATCTGCACATCTAGTGCCCCGGCGCTGTTTGCACGGCACCGTCCCTGGAACTAGAAGTCAACTTATACGGTGCGTACACATCATAAGCAAAGAACATACGAAGATCCGCGATAAATGCGGAGAAGTAGATCTCTTTCGAAGAGGTGACCTCATCCGTTGAACTTCTCGATGACGTCATTAGCCAGCTCTCGGCCTTCGAGTTTGTAACATTTGTAGCATCGGTAGGCCACCCCCTTTGATCCTCCTTGTTGCTAACGTGTTACCAACAGCTAGCACTATAGTTACCCACGTAACAATGAAGTGCATTTGTTAGGAAACCCTAACTTGGCCAACCTCAGGTTCTGGCTCCCCAGACGACGAATTTTGCAACGGTGGTCCACATCTGCCCATTTGCAAAGCGCGCGGTATGTTATCCGCTCTAGAAGCGCATGCACGCGCGTGCATGGGAGCAGAACTTGTGGCCAGCATCTGGGCGCGAGAGGAGAGCACCGCGCGCGCGCAGTCTAGAGTCTGGCCGGCGAGCCTCGACGCTGCCACATCAGAGCCGCCGGGCCTCGAGTCCTCGCGGCCCAGCTACACCTCTCCCCGCTGCCCCTTCTTCCTCTCGCCTGCCCGCACAAGGCCCACCCGTGTGCGCCGTCCTTCCTCCCCCCGACCGCCCGAGACTTCTCGCATCCCGAGAAGACCTGCGTCGCCCCTTGCGCACCGTCTCGTCTCGACTCGCATTTTTTTCGCACTGCGCTCCCAGGCCTTTTCTCCCTCCCTCTCTGGATTCCTTTCGCCAGAAGCCCGCCCTTCCCGATGACGCACCGGGCCCATGAACGCTCTCCCTCGCCCGGGCTCGACGCCCAGCGCGAGGGCGCCGACGGCGAGCCCGCGCTGCTCAAAAGGCTCAAGTCGAGCCACATCTCCGGCGCGCCCGCGGACCCGACCCCGCACTTTGCGCCTGACCTCTTTGTGCCGTCGAACATCCATCGTCTCCACACCGAGTACGACGGCAGCGCGCCGTTTAAACACGCTGTCGTCGAGAAGCTCTTCCAGGATGACCTCCTGCAGAAGGTCAAGGACGAAGCTCTTGCCGAGCTGAGCTTCTCCGAGAAGGAGACGGACATCTACAAGGTGCGTCGCGTTCACCTGTGCGCGAGGAGGAGCAGAGGGGGCTCAACGCGTCCGTCTCGCTCCCAGGTGTATCAGACGGGCGACCTCGCCTCGCTCTCGTACCTCACCGAGCAGCAGATTGCGCTCCTCCCCAACCTCCTCACCCTCCGCGACACCCTCTACTCCCCCGTCTTCCGTTCCTTCCTCCGCGCCGTCACCGGCTGCGGCCCCCTCTCGGGAACCAAGCAGGACATGTCCGTCGTCTCCTACCGCAAAGGCTGCCATCTCCTCAACCACGACGACGTGATCGGCACCCGTCGCGTCTCCTACATCCTCTACATGCCCCTCCCGCACTACCAGGGCTGGCAGGCCGAATGGGGCGGGGCCCTGGAGCTCTACCCTGTCCGCCCAGGGCCGGACGGCGTGCCCGAGCCCGAACCGGTGCCGTCGAAGAGCATCCCGCCGGTGTGGAACCAGTTCGTGTTCTTCGAGGTCCAGCCCGGCCACAGCTTCCACTCGGTCGAGGAGGTTGTCGTCGGCGAGTCCGAGGACGGTCGGCAGCGGCTCAGCATCTCTGGCTGGTTCCACGCCGCCCAGCCAGGCGAGGAGGGGTACGTCTCCGAGGCCACGCCGGAGCTCAAGAGCTCGCGCGAGCAGCTGGTGAGCCCTCCTCGCGATCCTGTCAGATCACCGCGCGGCCCCTGCTCACCCCCGCTGTGAGCAGGCGTCGACGCACACCGAGTTCACGGCGTACCCGGACACGGACGCGGGCCCGCCGCTGCCCGACGACCCGCTCTCGGACGCGCACACGGCCTTCCTCTCCGAGTTCCTGAACCCGGTGTACCTCCAGCCGCGCACGCTCAAGGCCCTCGCCTCGCGCTTCGTCGACGAGTCCTCGCTCGAGCTCCACTCCTTCCTCTGCGCGCCGCTCGCCGACCGCCTCCGCGCGGGGCTCGCCGACCGCGACGACGCGGACGGGCTCGGGCCCGCCCGCGCGACGCGCATCCCCGCGCACGACGCGGGCACCGCAGGCGCGTGGGAGGCGCGCGGGCCGCCGCACAAGTGGCGGTACTGCGCGCTGAAGCGGCCGCGGAGCGACGGCGGCGGCGCGCGGCGCGCGGTGAGCCCGCGGTGGGCGCACGCGGCGATCGACGACGCGGTGCGGAGCCTGCAGGACGAGCTGCTGCCGAGCGCCGCGTTCCGCGCGTGGCTCGCGACGGTCTCGCGGCTGCTGCCGGTCCGGTACGTCGCGGAGGCCCGGCGGTTCAGGCCCGGGCTGGACTACACGCTCGCGACGAGCGAGGCGAGCGAGACGCGGCTGGACGTCGTGCTGGGGCTCACGCCGCAGACGGAGGCGCCGACCGTGCCGGCGGTCGCGGTCGCGGACGCGGAGACGGCGCCGGTCGGGTGGCAGACTGGGGAGTGGGGAGGGTGGGAGGTGAGTCTTTGTTGCTTTTTTTTGTTTGGGCGGAGGAGGCGGGGCTGACGGATGGGCTCAGTGCTACATGGCGCCCCACGACGAAGAGGACGATCCGGCGGTATACCGCTCGGGCTCGTCCAAGAAAACTAACGGCGCGAACGGCAACGGTACTACGAACGGGAACGGGCACGCCGACGAAGAGATGCCCGACGCCGACGCCGACGCGGATGCGGATGCGGATGAGGACCATGACGAGGACGAGGACGGGACGCTGTTGACCGTCCAGCCGGGCTTCAACCGGCTGCTGCTCGTGCTGCGCGACGAAGGCGTGATGCGCTTCGTCAAGTATGTCTCTGCCGCGGCCGAGGGGTCGCGCTGGGATGTGTGCGGCGAGTTCGAGATCGGGATGGTGCAGGAAGACGGGGATGAGGAGTCGTGACATATCTTTTCGTGTTTTCTTTCGGCGATTCGACGCTGTTCGGTGCCCGCGAACGTCTTCACTACTTGTATCTTTATCTGGCACGCCCTTTGTGTTTGTACCGTCCAAGCGATTTTGCAGTAGTTTGTAATGGCAAACCTCCTGTGCGCTCTCACTATAAGACGGCTGGCAACGAAACTCGACGCATACATGCCATGACCACCTCAAATAATCTGGATACAGGCCGGCAGCAGAAACGGTGCTAATCGAACACGATCTTCTTCCCCTGGCTCGGGACAATCGCCACGTCCTCGCGCCTCGCGAGAGCGAGCGCAGCTCCCGGTTTCGTGCGCCGCGGCGGAGGCCTGCCCCTCCCGTCGCGCCTGCCTCCATCTCTGCTCTCTCCTCCTGACGCCCCGCCGTCCCTCCGCGGCCGCTTTGCGGGAGAAGGCCCGTCTTTGCTCTCGCCCTTCTCTGCGCCCTCTTCGGCGTCGTGGCGCGGCCGCTTCGCCCCGCCCTTGCCGTCGGCCGCGCCCTTGTCCTTGTCCCGCGGGGGCCCGAAGCCGCCTCGCCGGACGGCGTCGGGCGAGGCGTACTCGACGACGAGCGCGCGGCCGTTCAGGCGGTGGTTCCGCGGGTTCGTGAGCGCGGCGGTCGCGTGCTCGACGGACGTGAAGTCGACGAACGCCCACCTGCGCGCGTCCGGACGGTCAGAACGCAGAAGGGCGGGGAGAGGGAGCACGGGAGCTCGAGAGGGACGACGCGACGCACCCTTTGCACTTCCCGCTGTCCTCGAACGTGCCCATGCGGACCTTGCGCAGCCACTTGGCCTTGGCTTTGGCCTTGTCGTCGTCTGTCTCCGTCTCCTTGCCCTCGCCGTCTGCGTGCGCCTCCTTGACGCGGTGCGCGGAGAAGAGGTCGCGGATCGCGTCCTCGGTCGTGTCGAAGCCGAGGTTGCCGAGGAAGAGCGTCGGGCCCGGAGGCTGCTTTTGCGCCCCGAGGATCTTCTGCGCGGTCTTGGAGTGCCCGCTCAGGCTCGCCTTGCCATCTGCGCCTTCTGTGGGTGCGGGGCGGCCCTTGAAGTCGTCACCTGCGACGGCGATATGCACACGCGGAACACGCATGAGCACGGCAACGTCAGCGCAGGGTCGGGGGAGAAGAACGCACCGTCCTTGATGAGCAGCCGCCGGCCGTCGAGGTGGTTCTCGGACATGGCAATCGCGACCGTCTTCGCGTCCGCGGTCGCGAAGTCGACGTACGCAAACCTGGTGGGGGGCACGAAACGGCGTTCCAGATGCGTTGCGCGAGCGTGACGGAACGAGGGACTGACCCGCGGTTCTCCTTCCTCGCGCCGCCGCCGGGACCGCCGCTCGCCATCTTGGTGGGCATGTGCACGCGCGTGACCTCGCCCGCGCCGTCGAAGAACGCCTGGAGCTGCGCGGGCGTCGTCTTGAACGCGAGGTTCCCGACCCAGATCGAGTGCTGCCGCCGGGGCACCTTCGAGGGCGCGAGGTCGGCGGTGTTCTTGACCTTCGCCTTGCCTTTTGCTCCCTTCCCGTCGTCCGCTGCCTCTGGGGCCGTGGCGGCGCGCTGTTCTTTCTTCTTTTGCCTGCGCTTCTCGGCGTGCGAGAGAACGGGCTCGTCGTCCTCCGCTTCGTCTTGTTCAGAGCCTTCTCGGTCAGAGTTCACCGAGTCTGCTTCGGCGTCCGAGTCGTCAGAGCTGGAGGAGCTGGAGCTGGAGGCATCCTTGTCTAGTGTAGGCTTGGAGCGTTGCTTTTTTCTGGGATGTGTGGGAGCGACTGAGTGCTCAGAATCAGAGGAGGGCGAGGAGGATGCTGAGGAGGACATGATCGAGCTGAGCTGAGGAACGCTTCGAGTGGCTGAAAATCCTTCGTCCGTCCGCGTCGGGCCCGGCAAGCCGGAGCGCTTCGAATCTGTCGGGCGCCAACCCAGCGGTCTCGACTCGCACAACTTCGACTCGCACCTCTTCCACCGCCGGACGCGGGAGCTTTCTCCCCGCTGTGACTGTCGCCGCGCAGCTGTGTTTCCACGGCTATTGTGCAGCTCACTGGCACACAGCATCCGTACGTCTGACTCCGGCGACTATGGGGCTCAGGCTCAGTCGACACATTGTATATCCCTGTTGACTTTGACCATCATATGGTACGCATTGGACCTGAATCGGTTTTTTTCTTGGGCAGAAGGAAGTAGCGAGATGACCCTTGGGGACGTATAAAAGAAGTCCGTAGCTGCTCATGGAACGGACAGAAACCCCCAACCAAGCATTGAACAGCATCCAACAACCACAAGATGGCCACTTTTGTCGTCCTCGGAGGCACCGGCAACCTCGGTAAGCCCTTCCCTATAAAATTTAAACCAGCCGTGGTTAACCACGCCCATCCGCTCCGGACAGGCTACTTCGTCGTCAAGACTCTCATCGAGGAATACAAGGACGCCTACCCTGTGGTCCGCTTCACGACCCGCGACCCGACCTCCGCCAAGGCGAAGGAGCTCATTGCACTCGGTGCACACGCATTCGCGTTCAGCGACCCCCTCGACACCTTCTTCGCCGGCGCCGCCGTCGTCGCGAACATCGTCCCCTCCGCGACGAGACGACGCTCCTCCCGGAGCTCGTCCCCGCCCTGATTCGCAACGGCGTCCAGGTCTTCTTCCCGTCCGAGTTCGGCCCGTGAGTGCACCTCTCCCCCTCCCGCCCGCCCCCCCCCGCACTGCTCACCCACCGCAGCGACCTCCGCAAGATCGACTTCCCGGGGTACGAGCACCCCGAGTGGGCGACCAAGCGCGCGAACCGCGCGACCCTGCCCGCGCTCACCAAAGGGTCCGACCTCGTCGTCGTCCCCGTCACCACCGGGATCTTCATGCCTTGGGCGGTGCACATGTCCGTCGACTGGACCACCCGCACCACGATCGGCTTCACCCCGGGGAAGCGCATGTCGATGACGGACTTCGCGGACATCGCGCGCGCGCTCGTGCGGCTCGCCGGGCTGGCCCGCGACCCCACGACGCGTGCGAGCGTGCCTGGGGCCGAGGACGGCGGGCGAATCGCGAGCAAGTTCGTCGGGAGCACAGAGATTGTCGACGTGGTCAGGAGGGTCAAGGGGGCGGAGATCACGGCCAAGCCGTTCGACGCGACGCAGGCGAGGGAGACGCTAAAGGCGATCTACCCGCCGAAGGAGCTGTCGGCGTTCTTGCTGTATGCGGGGTGAGTCGGTTCATCTGTGGCGGCGGTCGGAGGGAGAAACTGACACCGGTGGCGGCCCTTACAGGATCCTCGTCGAGGAAGGGCTTTCGGACCACTCGGCCGACCGCCACAACGAGCTGGTCAACCCTGGAGAGAAGTTCTGGAAGTGGAAGACTTTCGAGGAGCTGCTGCGCTCTACGCAAGTGTGCTGGACACATGTGATACCAATGCCCGCATGTGGAAGCATTCAAATATTATGCTGCGATCAGAATAAGAAGTTGTGATACACAGTATGGGCAGTTGGAACGGCGTGTATGTCAGTCTCAGGCCTGTCAGCCCATTTTATGGTCCTTCCCACCCGAGCTCAGTGAAGAACACCGGATCGACACCGGCCTTGATCTTGACCAAGCCCTGTTCAATGGGATCCGCACCTCCCTTGTCCGTCCCTGAAAACTTGACTGTAAGCAGTACGTCCGCAAATTCGTTCGCCCGCTGACGCTCACAGTACTACCGCTTGTGTACGAGCAGCTACTGCCCCTGCCCCTCCGGACCCACTCTGGGGAGCCTGAGATCCGCCTTCCGGAGCTTTTCGTGCAGCGGCCGCTCCGCGTCCCACGCCGCCTGCTGGTTCGCAACCGCGACGCGCTTCAGCAGGTGGAGCGGCAGCGCGCTGCTCAGGAACTCCCCGAGCCCGATCGTCTCGACCCAATTTCTCGTCCGCCACACTGTGTCGAGCACCTTGTCGTGCGAGACGAAGCATGTTGACGACCGGCGCTGCATCATCGCCACCGACCGCACCTGCGCCGGCGCTGGCGTGCTCGAGCGCAGAGTCCTAAACAGAGTCCAGACGTCGATCGAATTCAACTGCGGGCCGCACTGCCACTGACTCACCGACGCGTCCGTCTGCTACGCCCGGCCGCCAGTGCGCGCCCAGCCCGCGGGGTCCACCGTCGGCCTGCGGCACGCTACGTGCCAGGGAAATGTGGGCCGGGCGTGACGCGAGCACGATGTGCGCGGGGCGGACAATGGCGGGCGCGACTTTACACTGCTCCTCGGGGCCTGCTATCTGCGCCGTCCGTTCAATGTCCATTGTCTATTCTCGCCAAGCCCATGACCGGGGCTGTTGCTGTACATTCTTCCAGAGCGTCTATGTCTCCTGTCTACGGTGCCTACTTTGCCTGTGGAGTCGCGATTCCGAGGTGATCGCTGTTCTATAGCTCCCGCGTCTTAAACAAGGCGTCCCGGCTCGCGTTGGCAATTACCGATTACCACTTGCGCAAAGCTTGTTTTAATACAGATAATACTCCACTATAATCGTCATGTTGTCCATATTGCTGCAGCACAGAGAACTAGTGCAGACACCAACTCCAGACGCCTTGTAATCGGCGCTATGGAACTTGCAACAAGGGCCCGCAATCTGACCAAAACCCGCTTACGAGACCTCGGCTTACATGATCCGGATTCGGCTTGTCCTATGCAACACACTGCACAGCTTTCGATTTCGTCCTCTCCCGCTTCCCGTGCGACTTGTCGGAACCAGAGGCCAGTTCAGGCCCCATTCGAGCTTCCGCAGCATCGCGCAGGCCATGCGGTGGGCCTACGTACGTATTTCACCTCCATGCTGACCCACCCCATCCCTGTATGACAGGGCACTTACACATCTGATCTCGATAGGCTTTCGCCTTGAGTAGAGGAACGTGGCGAGGTGTTCCCTCGAGGACGTATAAAAGAAGTCCGTAGCTGCCCATGGAACGGACAGAAACCCCCCCAACCAAACTCCGACCACTGAACAGCATCCAACAACTGCAAGATGGCCACTTTTGTCGTTCTCGGAGGCACTGGCAACCTCGGTAAGCCCATCTCTGTCAAATTCAAACCAACCGTGATTTACCACGCCCATCCACTCCGGACAGGCTACTTCGTCGTCAAGACTCTCCTGGAAGAATACAAGGACGCCTACCCCGTCGTCCGTTTCACGACCCGCGACCCGGCCTCCGCCAAGGCGAAGGAGCTCGTCGCGCTCGGCGCGCACGCCTTCGCGTTCAGCGACACCCTCGACACCCTTTTCGCCGGCGCCGCCGTCGTCGCGAACATCCTCCCCACCTCGCTCGAGACGACGCTCCTCCCGGAGCTCGTCCCCGCCCTGATCCGCAATGGCGTTCAGGTCTTCTTCACGTCCGAGTTCGGAAAGTGAGCGCATTCCTCCCCTTCGCCCGCCCCCGCATTGCTCACCCCTCGCCCGCAGCGACCTCCGCAAGATTGACTTCCCGGGGTACGAGCACCCGGACTGGGCGGGCAAGCTCGCGAACCGCGCGACCGCGATCGCGCTCGCCAAGGGCTCCGACCTCGCCGTCATCCCCGTCGCCTCCGGGGTCTTCATGCCCTGGGCCGCGCACATGTCCATCGACTGGGCCACCAACAGCACCGTCGGCTTCGGCGCGGGGAAGCGCATGGCGATGACGGACTTCCCGGACATCGCGCGCACGCTCGCGCGGCTCGGGGTGCTCGCGCGGGACCCGGCGACGCGCGCGAGCGTGCCGAGCGCGGAGGAGGGCGTGCGGATCGCGAGCCAGTTCATCACGAGCGCGGAGGTCGTCGAGGCGGTCAAGAAGGCGAAGGGGGTGGACATCACGGTCAAGCCGTTCGACGCGACGCAGGCGAGGGAGACGCTGAAGGCGATCTACCCGCCGAAGGAGGTGTCGGCGTTCGTGCTGTATGCGGGGTGAGTCGGTCGGTCAGTTTGCGGCGGTCGGAGGGTGAAGCTGACGCTTGCGGCGGTCCTTGCAGGGTCCTCGTCGAGGAAGGGCTTGCGGACTACTCTGCGGACTGCCACAACGAGCTGGTCAACCCTGGAGAGAAGCTCTGGAAGTGGAAGACTTTCGAGGAGCTGCTGCGCTCCGCGTGAGTGGGCTGGACGAAGATGCTACTGATGCTCGCATGTACAAGTATCCGCATATGAGGAAGTATTTACATATTACGACGTGATCAGAATAGGGAGCTAGCGGCTTCTGATACGTATGAGAAATTGCAGCGACGTAGAAAACCTGTCAGCCTGCTTTATGGTCCTGCCCGGCTGCAACGGGGGCGACTACTGCAACGGGGGCGACTGCTGCAAAGCTTCCGATATCATGATCACACAGCTCTCAAATTTCGCCATCGAGCCCGAGAGGCGTATATCTTTTGAGACATTCCGACAACAGGTGCACTACGGTTCTTCTGCCCTCGGTAGGGAGATTTATGAAACGCTTACTCACTGAGTCTTCTCGAGCATATAAGCATGCCGCTCGTCCCCTCCCATCCTGAGCGATAGCACCGAGTACGTTACACAGAAGGGGCTATAGGCACACAGCGCTCCGTTTCCTGGATACTTTCGTGTGGGATGACTCACCATCGGGGTCACGTCCTCGGGGTCAGTGTATAAACAAGTGGTTATCTGGACATTCTTCGCGTGACTTGTTGATACGAGCCGCTCTGGATTGTGGTCCGTATGACGTTCTGAGCAGCTGTAGTGTGCCGAGCGCCGTGGCACGATGAAGCAAAAGGCGCGAAATACTTTTGAGACTTGACTCGGCGGGCAGCGGCAACAATCGCGACTGTTTGCGGTGGAAGAGATGCATCTATATTATGGAATAGATATCGAGCGTTCCCGTGACAATAACGCGGTCACTGGAATAGTAGTGCCTAAGATACAAGTGATAGTGAGCGTGGGCAGAGCGATAGGTATGCGGCATTGTACAAGGTCGTCGTGAATGTCGTGCGGCGGTGATAGGCAATGTGCGGAAATATCTATACGGAGGGGGCAGGCTGAACGTGGCTCTTCACCGAGGCTATCCGGGACTCCATCTCATGGCGCTCGCGCTCCTGTTCTGCGAGGATGTTCGCCCACGAGTGGTCGACTTGGCGGTGCTGGGCGTGCTCCGCGCGCTGGGACTGGGTCATGATGCCAGCGGCGATAATGACGCCAATGGTGAGGCCCTGCGCCCACATACGGGCCTGGACAATCTTCTGAGGAGTCGATTGGTAGCTGGACGAGCGTCCGTCAGCCTCTGATGACACTACCGCAAACGAGGTCGCGCGAGCGGTGAAAGGAAGACGTACCGGTTGCGCATCACGATGGTGCCCGCGATGGCCATGCTCGCTGCCCAGCTACCGACGATGACTTTGTACTGGTTGCGGCTCGCCCAGTCCTTGACCTTCTGGGCCACGGTCATCTGCTCCCAGCGGTTCTCGGAGAGCATCTCCTCGCGGTGCATGACGGCGTTGGCGGCGCCGGTCCAAAGAGACTTGTCGTACTGGACGCCGCGCTGCTCGGCCTGGATGGCGTAGCAGGGCCCGACGACCATGATGATGCCGAGGGCCTTGAGGTGGAGCGGGAGGGCACGGTAGGCGGCCCACCTGCGGTGGGCGTAGATGGAGGCGGGGACGGAGATGGCGAGCCCGGCGACGATGCCCTCGATGGCACCGCGCATGGTGGCAGCCTCATGGGCAGCGAGCTCTTCTTCGGTCACGTTCTGCGAAAGAGAGACGGCGGAAGGTGAGGATCTGGAGTCCGAGGAGGTCCGAGGAGGAAACTGGCACGCACCACCTTCATGGCTGGTCTGGGGCGGGATTGATTATGGATGTAGAGTGGTTGAGTCGATTTGTGGGCGGGATGAGAGACCGGGTGGTGGCACACGGAGACGAGCCGAGGTGGGTGCAGAGAGAGGCGGGGACCATAAGAGTTTTATAAGAGTGGAATTGACGGTCTGCCCCGGCGAATCGGAATGGACGGGAGAAACCGGAGCTCGGCCAAGGGGCGGATTGCTACGAGACGCCGGGCGAATGGACAACTGGCCCGGGGACTGAGGCGGCCACGGCGATGCTGACAGCGCTGACAACTTGTGCTCGGGATCCGGTCATGCATCCGCCTTTCGTGCGGCCGGTGCGCTCCGCCCAGCCTGTGCCAGCCATCGAATCCGTCTGGTCCGTGGCAGCCTCGGAGCACGCAGATGGTCGAGACCGGGCCGCGGCGTGCCGGGCGTCCTTCGATGGGTGCATGAATTCGGAGACCCATCGTCGTGCTAGACGACGCCTAGTTCTCTCTGCTTACCATGCTCTCTAGTCTCGTGCACCCCTCCTCTCTCGACCTCTCGGGCCCTCCAAGGCCTCCCCGCAAGCAGAGCACCCGCCATACCAGCGTCAGCAACCCGGACCTCACTGCGTCCGCTCTCACCAGGACCGCCGTCTCGCTCGAATATGCGTCCCTCCGTCATACCGGCCACTGCCCATTAGGCATGTATGTCACGCCCTCTCCTGAGAATTTGATGGTCTGGGATGCCGTCTTCTTTGTGCACCAAGGTATGTAACACTCGTTTGAGGCAAGTGTATCTATCCACAAGGCCATCTTCCACAGGTTACTATACCGACTCCATTCTTAAGTTCCGCCTCAAGTTCCCTCGAGACTACCCGGAACGCCCGCCTGTGGTCCAATTCTTGACCGATGTCTTCCATCCTCTTATTTCACAGCAGGACGGAACGTTCAATCTTGCACCCCGTTTCCGTCTGTGGAGGTCCGTCCATGCCCTCTGCCTCTCAACCGACTCTCACAGAAATCCAGGCCGAACGAGCATCACGTCTTCGATGTCCTGCACTGGGTGAAGGCTGCCTTCAAAAAGCACGCGCTTGATGACATCAAGGAGGGAGACTGCTTCAACAAGGAGGCCTACAGGTGCGCCATTAAATCTCTGCCGAGAATCCTACCACTATAACACCGCCCCCCTCAGGCTATACCACGACACGACCTCGTCGTTCGCCGCTCTTGCAACCCAATCTTCCATGCTCTCTCAGTCAGCCTCGGCGCTTTTCGACAAGGACCATCCATCAATGGCCGGCAAGGGCTCGCATAGCATGCATTTCAAGGAGCTCAAGTCTGATCAGTTGGACGCGCTTCGTGCCAGGCTGGGTCTGCAAGACTGGGAGGAGGCGAATGAGTAATTTAGTGTCACTGTGCGTACTTGCGGTTCATCATTCGTGGCAATTGAGCTAAGCTGATCAAGGCCCTACTCGGAGCAGTTCGCCGCAGTCTTGAAAGGGCAGGATGTGAGTGCTTTCTACAGGACTGTGGTTGTGATGTGAATTTTCTAATTGTCGTTAGCTAGGGGCTGCTGCAACGCCTCATTGGCAGCGTGCGACACGAATGCATATATAGGGGGATCTTTTGTGCGATGACGTGCTATAACACAACTACCACTACGCCCGTCCGATGCGAATGTATATCTTGTAGGTACATTTATAATTTGGGATATAGGACACGTACAGACTTATCAATCTACTGTTTGCCTCTGCAGTTTACGTTCTTGTAACATCGGCTTGGAAGGAAATTCTGGCCACTGCACTCGCCATAGCGGCAGGACATCAGATGGCGTCGCTGCGACCGAGCTCGTAAAGAGCATGTAGATTCGAAAAGCTCACTTTCCCTACGACCCCATAAATTCAGCCTACCCTGATCGCAGATATGTAAACGAAGACATCTTCGTCACCATCGTCCTCGTCTGCTGACCAAGATGATGCTTACACATCTTGTAGAGCCGACAGACAGTCAGCGATACGCAGCACAAAGCTGCCAAGTATTTAAACTATTACGGTCGCCCTGCCACATTATCGCCAGCGCCCCATCTCTATTGCATTGACCTCAAGCTCCCCTCAGCTCAACCCCTAAGGCACAACCGCTTCTCCACCATGGCCCCCACCACACAGAAGGCACTCGTAATTCCCGCCGAAAAAGCCGCCTTCAAGCTCCTCACCGATTACCCCGTCGCGACCCCTGAGGCGGATGAAGTGCTCGTCAAAGTTGCCGTCACCGCGATCTGCCCCGCGGAGTGGAAGATCCAGACGTACGGCGCGCCGTTCTTATCTGAATACCCGTTCATAGGCGGGCTCGACGTCGCGGGCATCGTCGAGGAGGTGGGGGCCAGCGTCCAGAACGTCAAGAAGGGTGGTAAGATGTACGTGGACGCCGAGGTCCGGCGGTATTGACCTGAGCTGGTTCCATCCGCAGCGTCTGCCCGGGTGGCTTCCAAACCCGCCACGCGGGCTTCAAAGAGTACACCATCGCTCTCGCTGAGCATGTCGCAAAGGCCAGCACACCTTCCTTCTGCTTTAATTTTAGCTCTCGCATTTAACCACCAGCCCATCACAGATCCCGGAGAACGTCACCTTCGCCGAAGCCGTCTCCGTCCCGCTCGGGCTCGCGACCGCCATCACGCCCCTCTACGCCCCCGAAGGCCCCGACTCTCTCGGCCTCCCCGCGCCCTGGGAGCCCGAGGGCACGACCAAGTTCGCAGGAAAGCCCGCGCTCATCGTCGGCGGCTCCACCTCCGTCGGGCAGTACGGTCCGTCCTCTTCCCCCCTCTCCCCCCCTCTCCCCCACCTCACTCTAACTCCCCTCGCCACCCTCGCCACAGCCATCCAGGTCGCGCGCATGGCCGGCTTCGCACCCATCCTCACCACCGCGGCCCCCAAGCACGCCGACGCCCTCCGCGCGCTCGGCGCGACGCACGTCCTCGATCGCGCGTAGCCCCGCGCCGCGCTCCTCGCCGAGGTCGCGAGGCTCGCCCCCAGCAGCGCGGGCGGCGTCGCGCTCGCGTACGAGGCCGTGGGCGACGAGGAGTCGCAGCGGCTCGCGTACGCCGCGCTCGCCGCGCACGCGGCCGCCGGCTTCGTGTCCGTGACACCTGGGGCGCCCCCAGAGGTGCTCGCGGCGGTCGCGGAGGACGGGGACGGGAAGCGCGTCGCGCGCGCGTTCTCGAGCCTCGAGGTGCCGCAGAACCGGGCGGTGGGCAGGGAGGTGTTCGCGCGCCTCGAGGGGTGGCTGCGGGACGGGACGGTGAAGCCGAACCGGGTCGAGGTGCTGGTCGGGCTGGAGGCGATTCCGGAGGGGGTGCGGAGGGTGAAGGAGGGGAAGGTTAGCGGGGTGAAGCTCGTTGTGAAGGTCGCGGAGGACCTTTAAAGGCGGGGCCAGTGGGGGTTCCCTATGGTGTCTCCGTCTATGAGTAAGTGGGTGAAACAATGGTCATCTGCTATTGGTCGATACACTTGGCTGGATTGGATACTGCACACATATTCTAGGGTATATGTCTACAGGTGCAATGTGCTAACGAGACTAGATGGCTACAGTTATGCGATTGAGAGATTAGATGAGAGCAGTGAATGTAGGATGGGAGAGATCGAAACAAGAAACCACTCTAAGAAGGCACCACGATGTCCTTCCCCTTGCTGCCAGACCGTCCCCGCGCGAACGGGGACCGCGACCGCGACGTCGACGATTGAGACTTCCCGCTCGCACTCGGGGACCTCGCCCGCCGCGCGAGCTTGGCTGGGAGCGACATGCACCACGGCCCGCCGCCGCACTGCGCGTCGAGCGAATGGCTCGCCAAGATCGGCGCCGGGGCGTACGCCGGCGGCTCGTACGCATGCGCGCCCCACCGTCCGCCCGTCTCCACTGGAAAGACCATGCCCACCCCGACCTCGCCGGCCGCGATCGCCGCAGCGGTCGTGATCGCCGCACGGTCCTCGTCGCTCACGTACGGGTTGTACGGTGCTGGGTCTACCGGGGCGAGCACGACGGGCGACTCGGGAATCGCGGGCAGTTCGCGCTCCATCTTCGAAACCGCTGCCGCACCCGCACCGACACCCTTACCCATGCTTGACCCCATCCCTAGCGCCGCCGCCGCCGCCGCGCCCACGGGTCGTCCGCCCGCCGCAGCGCGCGCGAGCCCCGGGGCCGAGAGTCAGGGATCGTCCGCGGGTGTGCTCGACTTTGCGACGCTCGCGCCGACGGGGTCGATGGTCTCGAAGGGCGTGTCCGGGCCGGTGTCGTCGTCGTCCGGGTGCCGTCCGAAGTGCTTCGAGAGCCGGTCGACGACGAGCGGGTACGGGATGTGCTGGGTGAGCTTCCGGCGGGGCTGGACGTTGAGCGAGTGGCGGGCGTCGAGCGCGGAGTCGAGGACGTTGGACGAGTGAGCGCCCTCGGAGAGCGAGAGCTTGATCGAGTACTCCTTGTCGGACTTGCCGCGGCCGTGGTTGCGCTCGTAGAGCTCGAAACTGGGGGTGGGGAGGTGAGCAGGCGCATCGTGATGATTGCTCGACGCGAGTAAGACTTACGTGATGTGGGACTGAGTGGGGGCACGGCCGGGAAGAAGATGAGTCAGATGTCGCAAGTGTGAAGAACCAGTACGTACGCAATAGTCAAGCTCGGGGATACGGCGATTTGCAATGGGAAGGCCAGAGAGCAGGACAAGGTTGACGAGCGTGTGGATGTGGCTTTCTTTCGTGAAATATAGCGTCAAACCGCATTCCTCGTTGTTTCGCGCGCGTTCAAGGTCGCTGACGACGTTCCGGAGTAGGGGCAATGAAGTCAAGACGCCAATCTCCTCCCTGTATACTGGTCAGCAGCATCCATATGATATTCGAAGAGGCGACGTACTTCTCCTCTGGCTCGATGCCATACTCTTGCGGAGCTACCAAGTCAAAAAGTGCCTTGGCCCGCCCGTAGAGCTCGTGCAACCTCCGGTCGTGGGATGCCTGGTCCGGGATGCGCCCGTTCTCGCTGAAGATGGAAAACAAGAACGTGCGGTGGTGGAGCGCGCAGTACTTGATCGTGTCGTACAACTCCGACACGCGGCTCGGGTCGAACTTCTCCTGCTTGACGTCGCAGAAGTCCTCGAACAGCTTCTCCCACCGCTCGCGGAAAAGCCACGGCTCGTCGCCGCAGCACCAGCGTTCCTGGATACGGTCGACGTCGACGGTGTCCCAGTTGCGGCGCATAGTCTCCCGGAAGGCTGACAGGAGCTCGATCACCTCCTTCACGACCTCGACCGGCTCTTTCTTCATGCTCTTCGGCCACGTTAGCTCTGGCCGCTTCTCGGGCTCGCCCGGACGGAGGAGGATCTTGAGCCGCTTCTTGACGTCGTCCATGAGATCTTTGGCTGCATTCGAGTCGTCTAGTAGGTCCTTGCGGACGATGAGCTTGGGCGGCTTCTGGGCGGGGATGGAGTTCTCGCGCCGGGGAAGGAAATGGCTGCCAGACGTGAACTGACTACTTGAAGCGTAGCCACCATCGGTGGACGATCTAGTAGACTGAGGATTACTTCCGGCCGTGAGGGTGCTAGAGGTTCCGGCGGGTGAGTTGTCAAACAGCGCCGCAGCGAATATCTCCGCAGAAGCAACGACACGACGCTCGGAGGACGTGTAAATCTGAGGTCATGTGAGATTATGGTCGCAACAACCGTTGGTCGAGCGTGCGCTCACCCTGACATTCCTGAGGATGTCCTTGTCTGTCAAGGATCGTGTTAGAATGTGAGATTGCGCCATTCGGGGAGGAACCTACTCATGATGGAGATATCCTTTTTCATGTTCTCACCGAGGTCGCGCGATTGGTAGCGAGCGGAATGGGTAAATTCTCCGCCCCATTTGAACACCAGTGTAAGCTTGGTGAGCTTGCGTAGTTGGCCCGGTTGCTTCTTTGAGTAGACTGGCTTGAGCTGCGCTTTAGTTCCTGGGAGGTCGATTTTGCTGAACAAGGCATTATTGAGCTGCGTAAGCTTGACGAGATCGTCTCCGTCAGCGCCTAGTCCTTTGGCCTCCTCGACTGCCGTCGCGATGAGGTTGAGCTGCTGGCGTTCACGAAGTATGATCTCTTCCCGCTCTCCGTTGAGCAAGGTGACGAACGGCTGTGTCCAACGCTCGCCAATGGGGAAGTTGAACTTGAGCTTCTGTTTCGGCGTCCGGTCCGCGTGCCGTAATACGGTGACGTTCGCTTTGAGGAGCCAGGTGGGCTCCTCCACGGTCGCCTCCGCAGCAGGCAGGGGCCGCTCAGGTGAGGATGCGACTTGGAGGCAGAGCGATGCGAGAATCTCGGCCGTCTTGTCTAGGGGGTCGCAAGGGTGGCGGTATGAGGACATGTGAGACTGCGCGCCAGGTGTGGATTCGTACCGTAATAAGTGTCGTTGCCCTTCACAAAGCTCCAACCGTTGACGTCGATTACTTGACTCCGCTTCCCGCCATCGCACCGTAACATGTCAAATCCGCAGACCTTCTGGCCGAAGCTATCGCTGATGCGCGAGGCCCAGGCTTTCTCTTCGTCGCTTAGATGTGTGATGAAGCTATTCAAGATGAGCGCGGGCAACGCGAGGGACGCACGCAAAGAACACACCGGATCTCCTTCCCCTCAGTGTTCCGACGAACCACTCCGTCAACGAACGGGGACTTGCGCGTCTCTGCGTGGGTGTAGTTTTGACCAACGGTATACACCTTGATATCTTCCGAGTTGTCGACGTCGACAAACTTCTCATAGATGTACGAACCATCCGTGCGAGGAAGAACCAATTGTGGATCAAGTTCACTCGATTTGTTACCGACCTGAAAGACAGTAATCATCAGCACCGCGCAAAGCATAAACACGTATGAAAAGCGTGGCTTACCTTGCGGAATAATCTACGGCCACCTCCTTCACGAAAGTAGATATATACGTTGTGGTCCTCGCCGCTGACCGGCTTCTCGACGAATGGCTTCTCCATGATATGACCGTCTATGATGATGGCATTGTTATCTGGACTCATCGAAACTTCGGGCGTGACTTGGAAGCCGCCGAGGGAAATGCCAATCTTCTGCTTCATCAAGTCTCGCAGCTCATCATCCACCTTCGGGCCACCATCTCGGGAAACCTCAAGACGGTTCGGAGTGGGGACCTTGAGATGATCTAGAACTGCGCCAACAAGACGTCTGTCCCATAAAAGAGCTTGTGGCGGGAGATCGTTGATACAGTATGGATTGCGGAGCTTGACGTAAGATATGGCTTTGTCGAGGGGAAAGTCAGTGGAGAAGAAAGAGATGAGAACGTCGCAGCGAGGCCAATTTGCGACATCTGAGACGTATATCAACATATATGCATGAAACGAGAACATTTCACAGACCTTCGTCAAGGATGACTTTGTCTCCGAACACCTTGACTTCTATGGCACCGTTGGACCGCTCCACGAGTCGGGTCAAAATCTCGCGCATGGCTTTCGAACGTGCCTTGACATCCATGGCGCATATACCGAGAATAATGGGAGGCTTGTCCTGGTCGGTGACAGCCGAAAGGTTGGAATGGGAGCCATTGGGAGAGGGAGTGGACGACCGGGGAGCAGAAGTGGAAAGCGGAGAGCGCTCCGGAGAGTGGACGAGAGAACGGAAACCTGACATGGTGATAGGGATGCGGGGGGTAGAAGAAAAAAGTAGCGCTTTGAACGCTTTTAAGGGCCGAACGAAGCCCTTCAGGAGCCTCGAGGGACGGCAGGTGGAAAAGTGGTGGTGGTCGTGTGCAGGGCACGCACCTCGCTGAGAGCCGTGCACAGGCGCCTGCGGCCAGCCACCGATTAGCCTTTAGGGAGAATGACTAAGCTCGGGGCCATCGGGAGAGATCTCGGGCGCACGAGGCGGATCAATCGGAGATCCGGGCACCAGTGTGTCGCTTTCGGCGAGCGATTTTTGCGACCTCTCTCGAGCCAATGGGAGCTCAGATCACGTCATGGGCGCCAAGAGTGAGGCATTTTCTGGACATGAGACGGGGGCAGGATGACCAAGGCCGTGTCCTTCCGCGTCCACTATATATTCCCCCAATCCAGATTGCCCGAAGTATCTCAGCCTTTTCACCTTGCTTCAACCCTAACATGACCAGCACACCTATAAACGCCTCTCGCCCCCGTCGCCGTCCCAGCAGACTCCCTCCCATGGCTGAGTCTGAGACCAGCGAGATTACCACCACTGTCCTCGTCTCTAATCTCCACTGTGGCAGGTATGTTCGCGCACATACCCATCCGTTCTTTTTCTCACTTTCTGGTAGTTGTGTCAAGACGATCCAGGAGACCCTGTTGTCCCTCTCCCCCGCTCCTTCGTCTGTCGATGTCTCCATTGTCACCCAATCTGTGACCGTCAAACATCTCCGTGCGCTCCCTATCCTCCTCATCAAGTCGCTATAGATGGAGCAGGATATGACATTGTTGGGACTCCTACCACCGACGGTCACGACATTCATCTGTGGTCGGATAATTTGGTGGGGCTATCTTGCATCACTGCGCCACCCCTCCACAAGGAGAAGCACGTCGAAAACTGCGCTCAGTGCCGCGCCGAGCACCATGCCGATCTCGGAAACACCGAGAAGGTTCGCTTTTTCTTAGCTTTCCTATCTCCACTCCTTCTGAATACCATGCCTCTTGTTAGGTTGCTCATCGTGAATTCTCCGAAGCAGCACCGGCTTCCGTCACCTTTCCAAGTGCCGCAGTCTCGGCTGCGACGGCTCTGGAGCCTCACCGGGTGACTCTCTCACTCGGAGGCATGACTTGCTCATCGTGTTCCAACTCAATTTCGGCGGGTCTATCGGAAATTCCAGGAGTCTCCGACATTGCTATCAATCTCCTCAGTAATTCCGCCACCCTGGTGGGGTCTAGCCCCGACATCATCCCCACGATTCTTTCCACTATTGACAACCTAGGTTACACGGCTGAAGTCGTGAGCACAGAGCCTCTGTCTGGGTCAACGGCCAAGGCCACCAAGATCTATTCTGAGAAGGCCTTCGTTGAGCTGTCCGTGGGCGGCATGACTTGTGCGTCCTGCGTGAACACCGTTACAGGCATTTTGTCGGAGATATCTGGAGTCTCCGAAGTTTCAGTCAGTCTCATCGGAAGATCGGCGACAGCGCTGATCGAACGACGTGACCTCGCCTCGAAACTTGCAGAAGCCATCAACGACGCCGGATATGAGGCCGAGGTCATTGAGGTTCGCCCCGTTGATGCCGACGAGGTCACGGGACCGCGTTCCGTGTCTCTGCGCGTCGGCGGCATGTTCTGCTCGTGAGTTACTTGATTCAGCCGCCGTACTCAACGCTGACTCCAAGCATGCAGGCACTGCCCCGGCAGGGTAATGAAGGCCCTCAGTGCCCTGGAACCGTCGGTCACGATAAACAAGGCTTTGGCGACATACACAGACCCCATTCTTTCCGTCGAATACACCCCGTCGCCTCCGAGCCTCACAATCCGCACTATCGTCGCCGCAATCGCCAACGCTGGGGAGAAGCCGGGATCTTTCACAGCCACCATCTACCAGCCTCCATCGCTGGAGGATCGGGCTCGCTTTATGCAACGGCGCGAACAACGTCACCTACTCAGCCGGCTGCTTTTCTCCGTCGTCGCGGCCGTTCCCACCTTCATCCTCGGTATCGTCTACATGACGCTCGTTTCCCCCGACAACTCCGTCCGTCAGTGGCTGGAAGAGCCTCTCTGGACCGGGAATGTGTCTCGCGCCGAGTGGGCGCTGTTTTTCATGGCGACCCCGGTCATGTTCTATAGCGCGGGTACGTTCCACAGACGCAGCCTCAAGGAGATCTACGCCTTGTGGCGTCAGGGAAGCCGCGTTCCGGTTTGGAGGCGTTTTGTGAGATTTGGAAGTATGAACCTCCTGGTGAGTCCTCTGCCCCACACGTACTCGATGGTGACTTACTCCAGTTAGGTTTCCACTGGAGTTAGTGTGGCGTACTTTGCGTCCATAGCGCTCCTCGCGCTCGCGGCGGTGCAAGAGCCCTCATCTTCTGGGATGGGGGATACGACTACATACTTTGACTCGGTCGTGCTCTTGACGATGTTCCTTCTGGCCGGTAAGTGGTCTTGAAACTTTATGCTCGCCATTTGCTGACGATTTACTCGACTTGCCCAGGACGATACCTTGAAAGCTACAGCAAAGGTCGCACTGCGGATGCCATCACTGCCCTCGGCAGGCTGCGCCCAACGACCGCCCTCCTTGTCGTGGACAAATCTGTCGCATCATCATCAGAGCTGTCGCGCGCCTCAACGATCGAGGGCGCCGACCCAGAAAAGGGCGACACTCAGGCGGAAGAACTTAACGTTACTGCTAAGCCAGGAACCAAGGTTGAGCGCATCGGCGCAGAGCTCCTTGAAGTCGGCGACATCGTGCGCGTACTAAACGGAGCGAGCCCACCGGCCGACGGAACAGTCATCTCCGGAGAAGGCGGTGCGTTCGACGAAAGCTCCCTCACCGGCGAGTCGCGCCTCGTCAAGAAGCAGCTCGGCGACCAGGTGTTCTTGGGCACCATCAACAAGGCTGGCGTCGTAGACGTGCGCGTCGACGAGATCGGGGGACAAACGATGTGAGTGTTCCTCACAGCTTTCCATGCCCACCGACCGACTCACAATCATACAGGCTGGACCACGTCGTGAAGGTTGTCCGCGAAGGTCAATCGCGCCGCGCCCCCATCGAGCGCGTCGTCGACCTCGTCACCGGCTACTTCGTCCCCGTCGTCACCCTCCTCGCGATCGCCACCTGGGTCATCTGGCTCAGCCTCGGTCTCAGCGGCGCGCTCCCGCCCGACTACCTCGACATCGAAGTCGGCGGCTGGCCCGTATGGTCGCTCGAGTTCGCGATCGCCGTCTTCGTCGTCGCCTGCCCGTGCGGCATCGGCCTCGCCGCGCCCACCGCGCTCCTCGTCGGCTCCGGGCTCGCCGCGCGCTTCGGCATCCTCGCCCGCGGTGGCGGCGAGGCCTTCCAGGAGGCCGCGCAGCTCGACGTCGTCGTTTTCGACAAGACCGGCACGCTCACCGAGGGCGGCGCGCCGCAGGTCACGGACGCGGACGTCACGCCCGCGTTCGGCCTGAAGAAGGAAGAGGTGCTGGGCATCGCGATGGAGATCGAGGGCGCGAGCTCGCACCCGCTCGCGACGGCCTTGCGCGCGTACTGCGCGGCGCACGGCGCCCGCGCGGTTGTCACGGCCGGCGTGGAGGAAACTGCAGGGCGGGGGCTGAAGGGGACGTGCGCGGAGCTGGGCGCGACGGCGGTCGTCGGCAACGAGGCGTGGATGGAGGAGCACGGGGCGCGGGTGGACGGGCGGGTTGCGGACCTGCTGTTCGCGTGGAAGTCGGAGGGCAAGAGCGTTGTGCTCCTTGCCGTGAAACGTGCGGAGGAAGGCGATGAGGCGTTCGTGGTCGTCGCGGTCTTCGCTGTTGCGGACAAGGTTCGCCCCGAAGCCAAGGAAGTGATCGCGCGCCTGCAGGCGCAAGGCCTTGGGACGTGGATGATCTCGGGCGACAACACTATCACCGCCAAAGCTGTTGCGCGCGGGGTCGGTATTCCGGAGACAAACGTCATCGCTGAAGTCCTCCCTCACCAGAAGGTGTGATGATTCTCCTGACTTTACCCAGAGCCCACCATTGACATTGTTGCGTTCAGGCCGAGCAGATCCAAAACCTCCAGCGTGTGGGGCAGAAACGCCCCCTTAGCAAGGTGGCCCGTCTCCTGGGCCGGCGTCGCCTCAACGAACGGTGCATCGTCGCAATGGTGGGCGACGGGATCAACGACGCACCCGCTCTCGCTGCCGCGGACGTCGGAATTGCGATCGGTTCGGGGAGCGACGTCGCGATCTCGAGCGCGGCGTTCATCCTGGTGTCCTCGAACTTGCGGGGCCTGTTGACACTCACGGATCTGTCGCGCGTCGTGTTTAACCGCGTGAAGTTTAACTTCGTGAGTTTTTGTCTGGTGTGGGTATGAGTCGAGGCTGACGCGATGCGTTCAAGATGTGGGCTTCAGTTTACAACTTGGTCGCTCTGCCCATCGCAGCCGGTGTTGTATACCCGGCTGGACATGCAAGGCTCTCTCCTGTGTGGGCGTCCTTGGCTATGGCGCTTTCGTAAGTCGATGTGCTTTTTCTTCTGCGTTCCAAGGCTGACCCTCGTGTGCTTTCAGGTCCGTTTCCGTTGTTTGCAGCTCCCTCTTGCTTCGCCTCTATCGGGAGCCCAAGATCGCTACCCCTCATCACGATTAGATACGTTGCATATAGATGACTCACGGCTTTTCACGCTTTCAAGTTGCCTCCTATAATCACCCGCAGTACCCTGTATGTTGTACACAGCTAATTGAGCACACTTCGCAATGATACATCCAAAATCAAGCCCGCTGCGGCTGGTCCTTCTTCGTCTTGTAGAAGTCTGAGAAAGAAAGCCGTATCCCCAAGAAGCGACAGTCGAGATCGGGATGTGTGGCCAGACCCTGTACGATCGTCTGAACACGCTCTGAGAATGCTGAGCCGTAGTCCTTGACGCGAGAAAGGATATCCGGGAGTGATTCTTGGGTATAGCGGCCAGCGTTGGGATCGACGCGCGTGTAAACGCCCTGATATGTAGATATCAGCAAGGGCAAGATCACCGGATGTGGGGGCATGACGAACTCTCGCAGTATCTTTCTCCGCATCCCTCCGTGCCGACTCAGAAAGACAGTAGTTGTACAGGTCATCCTGACGCAGGTATTCGTTTAGCTGAGGACATTAAACAGAGATGACACATACCGCAGCCTCACGGAACTGTAAGATCAGTGTGAAGACTTCCCGGACATGATTGAGCATGTTCTCTTCTCGACCGGCCTTTGGACTGAGTAAGAGTACCTTCTTGACCATGCGGTCGAGATATGCGCGATGGTTCTCGATCAGGGCATCGAGGTCACCCTCTTTCTTTTGAATGAACTGGAAGAGGTCTTGCCAAGAGCATTCGATGACCTCGAGATGGCAGTAAGTCTCAAGCTGGCGTATGAAGTGCACCATCTCAGCCATCACAAGGCGTATCTGGTGCCAGTCGTACTCTAGCTCTGGATCCCCATTGTGAGCATGTTGCGTCGGAGAGAAAGAATTGAATGGCATACCGGGTACACGGAGGAAGGTCTTCGCCCCACCCGCAACTCGCATCCATGTGCTGTTGAGCGTGCTCGAAATGCGCTTGACTTTCCATAGATGGTGGAACAGTTTGAGATACTTGACAATCGCGGCGGGATCGAGTACCGTGTCAATCGGTGCGTCAACCTTGTATTCTAGCGTGAAAACGTCCCATCCGATCTCCCCGTGCGAGTACTCGAGCATACGTGCGTCGAGCCTGCGAAGCACGTCCGGCGGATCGTTCTGTGCGTTTGTTGAGCGAAGGGCGGACTCAAGCGTGGCGGTGAGGTTATGGCGATAGAGAGCATTTGCTGGCCGTGACAAGCTTGGTCTGGGAGTGACCTATGAGATACCGGGCCATCGACATTTCACCGAGTACTCGGAGTACTTACCCCAGGGTATCCATAAGCTGTTCAGCGAAGTCTCCGTATCCGAGCAAGAGGTAGTTCTTATACGCCATAAGGTGGTCGAGTAGTCGATATTTGTCGAAAAACACGTCAAAGAGGCGTTGGCTGGCAATCTGGTACGCGTTGTCGATGGAACGCTCTAGTCCTACAATGTCACTATATTGTAGGGCTTTGTTTCATGAGTATCGACGAGCTCTTCATGACCGTGGTGAATACTCACTGCCGCCAGTGTTGCTCAACCTTTCTCTTGTAGCTACCCAGTCGCTATCGTGGCAACTATATCGGATGAAGTTCAAACTCTTGCCAGTAGAAAAAATCTGCGACACAACGACTTCGGTAAAGGCTATTTTTCAGGGTCTCGGGGACCTACCTTGCGACCAAATGTTTCCCCGACGAACGCAGGGAGCATATCCTTCTGAAAACGGTATTTCTGTTCCCAGAGCTGAAGACCGCCCGCGTGCTCTTCTGAGGTGTCTTCCATATCACCTCCACCGAACCCACCATCGTTGGCTAATTGACCAATGCCTTGCAAAGATGGCTGCATATACTGTAGATGCGCGAGATCAGGGTCGACGGCAACGAAGAATTCGGAGAACGGATCTGCGAGTTCTCCGGAAAACAGCCATCTATGCAACGTCGCGAAAAAAGGTTTTGAGACCTGCACCGAGCCTTTAACTCTTGGGTTATCTGAGAAATGATAGATGCCCACCTCTTCTAGTAACTGGTTGGTAAATTTGCGAATAAATGGATCGCCGTTCTCTGCATAGCCGTGAATCAAGTTCACTAGGGCGCCTCCATGGGCATCTATTGACGGGCATCTACAGCACACGTATAGGTGATAGGACGGAGGCTTACCTTTCGCGCCTTCAACGCAAACACTCATCATACGCATCCGTAGCCTCCAGTCCTCGATCCAGACGTCGAGTCGTTTGAGCGTAAGCCCGGTCTCCTCTTCCCCAGTCCGCTCTTCGTCGACACCATTTGGACGTCCGTCATCCACCGGATGGGAAGTTGACATTTGTGACTCCAGGATGGCAATGAGTTTATAGTATTCGGTGAGTTGTGATTGAAGGTGATGACAGAGGCTCTGCTCAATCATCCCGACCCCAACTTTTCCCTCACGCTCGCGCACGAACGAGTCGACTCGCTGGTACAAGTGGCCAACCTCGGCAAGTCGGAGGATTAAGGCTCTAGTAGGTGGCGGTATGTGATACTGCTATGAGATGTCAGAGAATGCGCTTTACATGAAGTGATTCTGTGATACACCTACCGGATCCTCTGCGAATACGAGCTCCTTGTTCTGTTCCGCATCTTTGCTGACGGAAAATTCGACATACTTGCCAGAAATCCCTTGCAGTAGATACAACGTGTCACGTAGAATGAGGTGTTCAGGAATGTGAGACTGGCCTTCACGGGTTCAACAAGAGGCGAAGGCGATGAGAAAAGAGTACGTACCTATCTGTCGCCTGTATTGCAGAAGGAGATCAGCCTTGCTCCTGCCTCGGGGTCCGGGATGTGGTGACCGCGCATCAATGGGTGTAGTCGCCTTCGAAGAAGGTATTGATGGCGGTGGGGGCGCGAGAGAGGGAAGGAAGGTGGAAGATAGTGGAGTTGGAGTGGGAGTAGAGCGAGCGAGTATAGGAATTGCAGGGAGGCATGCTTTCTGTTCAAGACAGGCTGAAAGGCGACGTTTTATATCAGAGGATCGCCTCTGTCACGACCGGACACACCTGTTCAAGTAGCCTCGATAAGAGGTTCGTGAATCGGAGAGGACTCGAGCCTCCAGAGGTGTTGGTCTGTAAAACTAGCAAAGGTTCGAATGTCTCATAAACCAGCTAAAGAGTTGTGCTCACGGTGACGCTTTATCAAATCCGACAGATGCCCTATGTCCTTCTCCACAGAATGCCCGATATGACTGCGAACAAGTATGAGCTTAAAGCGCGTCTTTGCTGGGCGTCCAAAGGTGTGGTCGCGTCTTCCCACCGTCTAGACATTCCAATCTCACCTACTCAAGATCTCTTCACAGTGGGCCACAAGCTGGCGCTTCAAGACATCATCTTGACGAGCGCGAGGAACCAGGGACAAGACAAGGGATTCGAGGTGTGCGGACATAGCTGGTCATGGTCAGGATGGGCGCGGGGGCACTGCACTCGGACGCGTCGACGCGACGCGCGACTTCGCGACACCGTTCAGCCACTCGCGCGCGCGTACTCAGACAATTCGAGCGACGGCCTGCCTCTCGTGCACGGTCAATTATTTTGACCCCACAAGAGAAGACTGTCTGTCCCTTGCGTTGCATACAAGACCGATTCATAGATCGCTCGCATTATGAGTGGGCTGCAAGCGCCCTGATCCCTACAATACCGCCCCATCAGTCTCCTTGTTCTTAGTCTAAGAGCCAAGTCGAGCAACTGTGGTCGATAGCACATGTGATTCCGAGGCCGATGCCGGGACCTCTGCAGATGTTGTGGACAAGGGCGATTGGGACGTGTTTTAACCGCGATGAAGCTTGTGCGATCGGTGGCTGAAGGAGCAGGAGAGAGCAGGCTTCCCAAAACGGACCATGCGGTAGTCATCGCCAAGTGCCCGACGTCTGCCGCTCTCTCATCTGCCCTGCCTGTCGTCTGCCTCGCGTCCAGCCAATCCTGGCTTGTGTCCCCAACCTAACGCGCTCATTATCTTACGCATACCCCATATCACCCTGGGCCCCGCCCGGGTCCCACTATTAACGACCCTCACGACCCTCCGACGACCATGGAGCGATCTGATTCCACATCCTCGAACGGCTCCGCCAGGCTTAGGCACAACTCAGCACTCGAATCTGGCCAGTTCGCGTATCAGAAGGCTCTGCTGGAACGGACATCGTCTCGAGGCGGCACTCTTTCTCGCGCAGGCTCTCAGTCGCGCAATACGCTCTTGACCACTCCCACTGGCAACGCTACCGGCAACGCTACCAGGCGATGGACCCCCTCACATCGCGTCGGCGGAAGTCTTGATGTCAGTGCAGTGCGAGGAAAGTGGGAAGAGCGTTCTCGGGCCGCAGAAGGTGCGCATATACACGCTATCCAGGAAGCTGATCGTTCCGCTGACCCATTGAGATCAGACCCCCCTCCCTCAATGTCTCGCGCAACAACGGACACCACACCTTCCCGAGCACGGACAACAGACTTTGCATTTCCGCCGCCGTCCCCGGCGCGAAGCGAAACTTTGCCCACCCAGTATTCACCCTCGCCCCAATCAAAGCGGCACACAATGCCTGCCCCCATTATCGCCTCGCCGCTTTCGCCGAACAACACCGGAGTGACTGTAGAGACCCCGGACTCGCCCACTTTTCAAGGATTTTCTACTCCTGCCCCCAGAAGATCCATCTCCCCGTCTCTACTCCACTGCAATCCTCCTCCATTGCGGCATTGCGAAACCTCGGATCCTACGCCCAAACTGCAGATGTCGCCGACTACACACCCACTCGCTTGCATCGTTCGAACACTTTGGACAGCTTGCATGCGGCTTCTACAGGGTCTTCCGTGTCATCGGACCAGTCTCTTCGGTCTGGAACGACATCCCAGACCACAGTTCCCAGTTCTCCAGATGCCTCGTCGGTTCCACCAAGAAGACGTCCTACTTCCATGTACGGCGATCGGGAAGCTGCATTAGCTGCTCTTGCCCCAGACAGGCACTCTCGCCGACCTATGTCAAGCGCGAGTTCGCGTGCATCTTCGCCTTCACCTGATATGAGGCCAAGTTCGACAAGCGTCCCGCCCTCACCCACGCCAGGACCCTCTTCGAGCCCGATGTTCCCCACCCAGTACCGCAGCTCATTTATGGCGAAGCGACGCGGGATGGATCATTTGGGGACCGGCCAGTCAGTCCGACGACTTGAGCGTATCGCAAGTGGGGACGCAGGGGACGATTGGCCTGGGAATGATCCCTTGGACGACCCCGTACCTTCTTCACAGAACAGAGCCATAGCAAGCCGTCGCGAAGAGAGGATGAATCGCGCTCAAAGCTGGAGACAGGTTTCTCCCGAACGGCCCCTACAGGTGAAACAGCTACCGCAATCACCACTCACGCAATCGGTCCCGACAAGGGTGGAGCCCGTGAAGCAAGAACTTGTGTTCCTGGTGTTACAAACGCGGACGACGTCGCCGGCGTTCCTCGACGGAAACGACTTCTCCGCGATAAAATTCCTGGCAATGCTCCTCTCCCCTCCTCTAGGCTTACGAGAGGTCTGTGGGCAGACGTGCAACGGCATCTCATTCAAGCCTACGAATATCTCTGTCACGTCGGAGAGGCTAAGGAGTGGGTCGAGAATTGTATGGGAGAGGAACTGCCATTCGGCGTGGTGGAGATGGAGGAGCAGATGAGGAACGGGGTGGTTTTGGCCAAACTTGTGCGCGTCTTCAGAGGAGAAGGTGCTGTTCGCAGGATCTACGAGGTGCGTTCGATTTGCTCTCCTTATCGCGCAATTTACTGACCAGTCTTTACGTAGGCACCCAAGCTGGACTTCAGGCACTCCGACAACATTAACCATTTCGTCGCTTTCGTTCGTTCTGTCGGTCTTCCGGAGGTGCGTAATCGTGCTGCAGACCAAGAACCCATTCTCACTTATTGTATCCAATCAGGGGTTCATTTTTGAGCTCACCGATTTGTACGAGAAGAAGAATATTCCAAAGGTTATATACTGTATTCATGCTCTCAGGTATGGTTCATTTCCCTTTTTGAAGACCCTCCTGACTAAAACCGCACCAAAGTCATTTGCTCGCACGGCGTGGTCTAGCTCGCCGCATCGGGAACCTCGTCGGTCAGCTGCAGTTCTCAGATGACCAGCTGCAGAAGACACAGCGCGGTCTCAAAGAAGCCGGTGTCGCTATGCCGAACTTCGGTAACATTGGCCGTGAGATTGCGAAAGAACTGAACGAGGAGCCCGAAGAGGAGCCGGAGACCGAGGACGAAAGTGAGAATCTGTTCACTGTTGGATGAATCTAGCTGACGGGTATCCAGGACGAGACCGTCTCCTGTTGGAATGCGAAGACTCTATCGTTGCTCTTCAAGCCGCTGCGCGGGCGTACCTGGTGCGGAAGGACCAGGCGACTCAGCAAGCGCGTCTGCGACTTGCAGAGCGTTACGTACCCAAGATACAAGCTATTGCCCGTGCTACCCTTGTTCGTCGGCAACTCGTTCAGAGCCGTCAAGAGCGTCGTAGCTTGGGGCCGTTCATCACTGCAATGCAAGCATGCGCTCGTGGAGCTCTCGTTAGGCAACAATGGAGGCGTCACGTACGCCGGGTGAAGGCTGTTGCGCCGTACGTCGTCAAAGTCCAAGCGCAAAGCCGCGGTGTATTGGTTAGGCGGAGGTTCCAGAAGTTGAAGGCTGCGATTCAAAGCTGCAAGATGTCCGTGGTCAGACTCCAGTCCATCGCTCGTGCCCGTATTGCGCAACGTAGCCACACGCAGATCGCGAAGTCGTTCACCAAGCCCGTCGTCCTCAACAACATTGTCGCCCTCCAGGCACAGGCTCGTGGCGCTCTCCTTCGTGCGAAGTTGAGTCGCCAGGACGCACGTCTCGCTCGCGCGGAGTCGGGTATCGCGGCCCTTCAGGCGCGGGTACGGGGCGTTCTCGTTCGGAGACGCGTTCGCACTCAGCTCGCTAAGCTCGAAGACGTCACTGACATTGTTGTCCGCATTCAAGCCGCTGTACGGACCTTCCTCGCCCGGAAACGCCTCCTCAACCTCATTCGGAGCCTACGCAAGGCTACGCCCGCCTCGTCAGCCTTCAAGCCATCGCTCGCGCTCGTCTCGCTCGTCAGCGACATGCCACCATGCAGAAGGCTTTGTCTGAAGTCAAGGTCATCACAGCCGTCGGAAGCTTCCAAGCGTGTGCCCGTGCTGCCCTGCTCGTTCGCGGCATCAAGAGCAGGCGAAACGCCTCGAATTTGTCGAGCCGGATGTCGTTGGTTTCCAGGCCGTTGCGCGTGGTCACCTCGTGCGTCGCGATTGGATCCCATGGCGAGACTATATCCGGACAAGCACCCACAAGCTACTATCTTGCAAGCCTTGCTCCGCGGTGTCATCCAGCGGCGCGCGTTCCATCAGAAGATGGCCTACTACCGTTCTAACCTGGACAAGATCGTGCAAATCCAGTCTCTCTTCCGTGCTAAGGAGACCCGCGAGCAGTACCGCCAACTCACGCTCGGCACGAACGTCACTGTCGGCACGATCAAGAACTTCGTGCATCTATTGGATGATTCAGAGGCCGACTTCCAGGAGGAGATCAAGGTTGAGCGGCTTCGCCAAGAGGTCGTCAAGCGCATCCGGGAGAACCAAGCGCTTGAAAACGACGTCAGCGAGCTCGACGTTAAGATTGCTCTCGTCGTCCAGAACGTCAAGAACTTTGAGGAGCTCGTCAAGGCTCGACGCCGTCTCGGCACAGAGAGCGCCGCGATCCACGCTGCACGAGCTTCCGTCCTTGCCGCGCACGGCGATCCGTTTGCAAGTCCCAGCACTCTGGACCGCACCGCCAAGCGCAAGCTCGAGCTATACCAACAACTGTTCCACCTTCTTCAGACGGAGGGCAGGTATCTCACTTGCCTCTTCGGACGTATGGCCGCCCAGGATACCTGGGAGCAGAACCGCCGGCTTGTCGAGCGCGTAGTCCTGACGTTGTTCGGATACGGCCAGGCTCCTAGGGAGGAATATCTCTTGCTCAAGTTCTTCCAGGTTTGTAATTGCACGGACCTCTGTCGCGTATCAATCACTGACGTGTCTGTAGACCGCGATCCACGACGAGGTTGCAGCAGCCCCAACTGCCCAAGCGATCGCTCTCTCGCAGCCTAACTTCATCAATGTCGCTGTACATTATTTGCGGCCGAAGCAGATCGCATACATTCGTGACACTCTCCAGCATGTCATTCGGGAGGTGGTGAAAGCGGACGACCTTGATCTCGAGACAGACCCCAGCATCGTGAGTTCGAGGGTCTCGCTCACACGGCCAATCAAATTGATGGCTTGTCAGATCTACCGTACGCGCCGCGACATCGAAGAGATGAGGGCTGGAACCGTAGGCACCCAGGCCAAGGATGTTCCCTTCCACCAAGCGCTCCAGGATCCGGACACTCGGGCTGAATACATCCGCCGTATGTCCCTTCTTACTTTCTGCATGGTATACTGCTCTAACATAAGACCTCCAAGACCTCCAAGTTCTCCAGTGGTGGACGGAAGAGTTCGTTCGTGCTATCACTTCCTCATTGGCGAAGATGCCTTACGGCATGCGCTATATGGCTAGGGAGACGTTGGCCGCCGTGAGGGTATGCTGCGATCGTTTGCTCTACAATTGCATGCGAAGCTCACCATGTTCTAGGCTCGATTCCCGGACGCCACTGTGGAAGCCTGCGCCGCTTGCGTTGCAAGACTTGTCTACTACCGGTATATCAATCCGGCGATCATGTCAGTTGATTCTTTGTTGTCGTGACGTCGATAGCTAACAACTACGACAGCACCCCGGAGACTTTCGATATCGTATCGACAACGGTTGACATTGCGTCTCGCAAGAACCTGGCCCAGATCTCGAAGATGCTTACCCAAATCGCACGTGGTGTCGAGTTTAGCGATGAGACCCCTGCCTATCTCCCTGTCAACGACTACGTTCGGAAGACTATTGGGTCTGTCTCGGCCTGGCTCATTGAGGGTTTGTGGCCGTCCACCTCGGGAAATATATCTGATCTAATAGTACATCGCAGTGGCGAACGTCCCAGACGCGGAAACAGATTCCACGCCCACGAATTCCTTGACGCTACTGTTCAAGCGCGCCCCATTTGGATTTCCCCTAATGAAGTCTACTCCACCCACCGGCTCCTTGCCGACAACGCAGACGACTTGGTATGCCGCTACCAACGTATTCATTATACCTGCTGATCCGTTGGTAGGCCCCGACACGAGATGATGCCCTTCGTGTGATTCTCTCCGAGCTCAACGGCGTCCCCAACGTTGGTAACGATGAGCTGACCGAAGCCCGTGATATTGCCATTGAGCTCCAGCTATCAAATCGCTTTGCGCGTGTCAAAGGTATGCACAACTCCTCGCCAGGTGTACGTTGTTTAGCTCACGATGTGTTCAGACCCGAAGGCAGATGTGAAGGCATTGTGGGTTCAAGCCAAACGAGCTGTCCTCGCCATTCTCCGTGTCCAGCCTGCAGCGGACTTGGTCGAGTCTCTCATGCAGCCTGTCACTGATGAACACGAAGAAGCCTGGGAGATCATTCTTGAAGAGATGGAGCGCGACATGATGCGTCATCAACGCCGGATGCCTTCCACGACTGGCGCGGACGCCGCCTACCGTCTCGAGGACATTCGCTCTATGACGTTCCGTGAAGTCAAGGCGCACGCCATCTTCCATCTGCTCGAGCTCGAGAAGCGAGGCAAGATCACTCGTCAGGACGGCTACCAAGGTATTCTCAACGCGATCGCTGGAGATGTTCGTAGCAAGAATCGCCGCCGCGTGCAGCGTGTTCACGACAAGGAAGGCCTCGAGGATTCGCTCAAGCACCTCGCTGACCGCAAGACGTTCTATGAGGAGCAGATAAAGCAGTATCACGACTACGTCGAGACCGCCATGAACACCATGCAACGTGGCAAAGGGTGAGTTGATCACCAGACATGGATGTAGTTGCCCTGCTGACTTCTCACTCTCTAGCAAACGTCGTCTGCTCCCGTTCACGCAGCAGTACTTCCACATGCGCGAGCTGCAGAAGGCTGGCAAGATGCCCCAGTTTGGGTCCTTCAAGTACTCTGCGCAGCGCTTCTACGACCGCGGCATCCTGCTCTCGATCGAGAACCACTCCCCGCGCCAGTTCGACAAGCTGGACATCGTCCTCTCGTCCAACACTGTTGGCGTCTTCACCATCGAGCTCTTCAATCACACCCTCGGTATCACCAACCGCATGGCGAGCCAGGATGTCAAGATGGAAGACCTTTTGCAGGCCCAGTTCGAGGACCGCGCGTCCATTTCGCTTTTTGACGGCCTCGCGAAGTTCAACCTCGGCCTCCTGCTGTGGCAGATTAACAAGAAGTGCGCGTGCCTCGTATGTTTGCGCTCATGATCACGCTAACGTCCTTCTCAACTTCCAGGTTCTACCGCTAGTTTTCATCTCCCATGCTGTGCCATACTTTCACCTGTTCACGACCCCCACGATGTCCTGCCCCTGCTGTCTACTCTAGCCGCTTAATTATCCCGCATCTCATACACAATGTACCGATACGCACGAGCTACCCGTCTTCGATGTATCATGACTTTTCCACATCTGTTCTGGACAATCCATCCGCTGTCGTCGCCATATATTCCCCTTGAGGCTCGCTTGCTCATCTCAGATCAGAGAGACATAACCTTTAATGCATGTAGTCTTCCCAACCAGATGGCTGATTTTGTGTGCTGCAAACGGTACAACGGCGATAACGATTGTATATGCCCCGGGATGGATTGGATTACATTTATAAGCTGCAACATGACCCGCACCTCTGGCCTGCATATGTACGGCCGATATCGTCGACCTGAAATTCTGTGCAGTGTGATACGCGGTCGGCCGGCCCGGGGAGACTTGAAATCAAGGCTGAGAAAGTGGCATGCGCTACCTTCCGTCCATAATGTTCATCGACCTCAATGTCCCCATTCCGCCTCTCTCGAAACAACAGCTGTCACAAGCATTATCCTCGAAGAAAGGCAAAAACAAACTAGAACAGGATGCCCCTCCGCTCGCCTTTACACCCGCACAGGTTGTTACCATCGAGAGCCGCATAGATCTGCTCGTCCACTGTCAGTACACTTTTCACCACCCTTGCTACATACCCAGACTTGACTGTTTTTGCCAGTAGGATACACTGTTCTCGCATTCAACCAAACACTAGAACGCAAGATCGACCCAAAGACGTTCGTGAACACCCTCGACCCGCTCCTCGCCCAGCTGCGCAAGAAGCCAAACATCGTCTACCTCAAACGGCTGACCATCGTCCTTGACGAGGAGAGCGAGAAAGGATTTGGACTGGTATGTGTACTCCCACTATGCCTCCGCGTCGTTTTCACTCGCCCCCAAGACGAATGGCCACGCCGCGCTCGTCGCCCCATACGACCTCCTCGCGCTCGCACCGACCACCGCCGCGTCCTTCTCGCTCGCCTGCCTCACCCACACGCAGCCCTCGCCGCTCACGACGCACATCATCGCCCTGCCGCTCACGCTTCCCCGTCTCCCGTTCAACCTCCGGCATACCCTCGTCCGCACCGCACTGGCCAACGGTGCCGTGTTCGAGATCAACTATGCCGGGGCCCTCGGGGCCGACGGGGAGTCTGCCGGAGGCGGAGAGAGCAACGCGGGAGCGAAGCGCAACTGGTGGGCGGCCGCGCGCGAGGTCGCGCGCGTGACGAAGGGCAAGGGCGTGCTGGTGAGCGGGGGCGTGTCCAGCGAGGCGGATCTGCGCGCGCCGCGCGACGTCGCAACCTGTGCGTGTCTCCTCTGTCGCGCTGCCGTGTGCGCGGGGACCCTGGCTGAACGCGCCTCAGGGTGTCCATGCTGGGCGTGGCGCAGGACGTTGCGCACGCCGCGTCGACGAAGGTGCCCCAGTCGCTCATTCTGCGCGCACGTGAGTTGTCTTGTGCCCTCCGCCTTCTCAATGAATTCTCATCGTTCTTCGATCGCGGGATAGAGACGCGCAAGACATACCGTGCAGTATTCTCCGAGCCCAAAGTGGTCATCCCGCAGGCTGCAAACCCTCCAGCGGTCGAGGGCGCCGACGTGGAGATGGAGATCGGTGCACCGATACTGGAGGCAGAGCCCTCAGCGCCCAAGGCCTCCTCCCCACCCGGAGAGAACGCCAACGGGAAGAAGCGTGCTCTAATCCAGAGCGAACAAAAAGTATCTGCCGCCACCACCGCCGCGACTCAAATTGCAGAGGGCGGTGCACGGAAGAAAAAGAGAAAAAACAAGCTATCATCGGAGTTGTCCTAATCACTGGTGTATCAGATATATATTTGAGCAGCTTCAGCTTACGACAATCTTCATCACTTTGGGTCGTCTTGACTTTCGAGACTACATCGTACAGTGAGAGTGAGAACTCGTCGCACCCGGAACTCATCGCATCCGGTCAACTCCAGAGTTCCGCATCTGCCGAGCGACATCACTTGCCCCATAGTATCTTTCCTATCCAGGGCCACTCAGTCAGACTCCTTAAGCATGTCCCACATCCTCTGCCACTCCTCTGCCTTTTTCCGCTTGTGCTCCAAGTACCGCTCTTCAGATCTTCAGATACCTCGTACAAGATCCACTGTGGTGCCGGGCTCAGCGTGTCTCCCTCGTCTCCCTCGCGGGGACCGTCCGTGCTGGAGACCGCAGACGCGATGTGGCCGGCGAGCATCTTGCACGGGGGGTGATCCTCGATGTTGACATCGACCGTTGAGAAGCCGGCGGGGATGTCTCCGAAATCCATGTTGGGGTACGCCACTCCGTCAAGGACGTAGACACCGCCCGCGTGCATGACACTCCCCGTCGTGCTCGGCGGCGCCGCGGTGGTCGCCCACGGCAGCCACTTGCCCTCCGCGTTCCAGACGCAGAACGCGGTGATCCACCCGCTGATCATGTCGACGCCGCACAGGCTGTCGTCGTGCAGGATGATGTGGCTCCAGAACGCGACGTCGACCTCGCCGTCGAACGCCTTGACGAACTTGCGGAGGACGGGCCGGAGGAGCTCGGCCCACCGCGCGGGCTTGTCGCCGAGCTCGGGGAGGCGGTCGAGACGAGCGAGCAGCGACGCCCAGTCTTGGCGCTCGCCCAGCAGAGTGACCGAGGGCAGTCCGCAGATTATGCCTCCGCTGAAATCGAAGTATCTGTGGAAGGGTGGCGCCGCTTCAGCGCTTCGGACGTCGTGTTACGTGCAGAATTGCGCACGTACTTCGCCAGGGTAGACATGAGCAAGACGGAACATATGATCCTGTCTTGCGCCGTGGAAGTGGTGAAGTCGGGGAGGGTCCATTCTACGAGCGTCTTGTCCACGACCTGATCAAACGACCGAACCATGAGTTAAAGAAGCCAGGAAGGAAGCCCCGGGAAACGTGCGTTTTTATCGAGTAGCTCCGAGAACTTCACGGCCATGGCCCCGAAATCCATTCCGACCTGCTCGAGATCGACGAATAGTTCCTTCTTGCCTTGGTGAGCCACGAAGTACTGGCGCAGCTCTTCGGCGTGTGCGTTGACACTTGGAAGGAAAAGGTCAGACTTTCCACGCCTGTAAAGTGATACCGCCGGGAAGCGCACTAAAAGCTGAGCTGCACAAGAATTGCAATCCACACGTCGTCCGGGCTAGATATGGGCAATCGTGAGAAAGAGGGTTTGATGACATGCTAGCAATGAGGGGCGTACCGGAGAACGAGATGATGGTGCTGGCCGTATGCCTCAACCACCGTTGAGACGAAGCCGCTCCCGCGAGGAATGAGGTTACGAAGGCTTTCGCTCGACAGACTGGACTGCAAGATATTCCCGCATTTCAGCCACTCTGTTGGGCACGCCTTCGATATGAAGGAATCAGCCCCAGTTAAATCGGCGCAAGGCCGCACGGGGTTGGCGTTATGACTAGCGACCTTGAATGTGACGGGCATGCTGCGCCAAGTAGAGTGAATGGAGGTGACAGAAAGACGGCGAGGGGGAGAAAGGAGACTGGGATCAAGCGACCCTCGAAGCGCACCTTATAGTCGTCTATCATCGAACTTCCTCAGATGATAGAACCTAATCCCATGCCAGGGCGAATTGCATCCGTGTCTCAACGAACTGTATACCTTGACATTGTGCCTCCCTCGGCAAAGGTGCCCGCCGTACCCAGCCCAGTCCCACACCGATACTATCTCAGCCCACTAGACTCAACAATGTATGACCGTCTTCGCGTTCTACCTGACCACAGGAGACAAACACGACAAATCTGGCTGCGGAGGAGTCGTTGCAACCACGGGTCGGATGGACGTCAATGGTACCACCGCGACCGCAGTGGTCTCGCATAACGATGGTCGTGACGTGAAACCGTGGGAAGTGCACCGCGAGTGGGCGAGGCAAGGTTCCCACGCCACGTAGCCAGTTCGCACTTCGCTGGATCGATATCTTTATCTACTTATTGACATCTCCTTGAATGAACCTCGCCAATTCCACCCGCGAGCCTCAAAGTGGTCACGGCACTTTTATCGGAGCAGACACTGTTTCTCTTCATACTTCACCTCCATCGACCCCCGACCATGCATCTCAGCCTCCCGAGAGCAAGTCCCACTCTGGCGAGGACGCACCACATTGTGCGTCGTGCGCCCCCTACCACAGAGTGTGTTTTCCCCCTCAAATACCACCTCTGTCCCGACGTCCTGAGCGGTCATGCTTGATAGCTCAAAGAACATCTCCTTGAGAAGTTTGCCCCACGAGAACAACTTCGACGCTCTGAGCTCTACGATGGCAACCACGAACCTCCTCTCTGGCGATTTGGCTTTGTCTTCCACAGCGAAGTTCCCCTCCAGTATGCAATAGATAACCAGCTCACGGTTTCGCGGCGCGGCGAGGGACCCACATTTAAGGAGGCTGTTGCATGCTCAAACGTCGACGAATTGGGGGCGTTGACGGCACTGGCTGTCTTCTCCATGACATGCGACCTCAGCAAGAGATGCAGTCTCCTGTTAAGAACTGCTCAGGTATTCTCGCGTGAGCACAGGAGCATCATTTACCTGTGGACGAACTACAACTACGACAAGAAGACGCGCCGGCTGGGACGCCACCACGACTCGGTGCTCGACATCCTCGTAGATGCGTTGAAGCCGTATCCTGGAGCGATCAGTGAACCGATGTGGTACCTCGACTTGGACGACCCCCATCTTGTGTGTTCTTTTTTGTCTTTCAGATCAGCGAGTGCTCACTCTAAGAACAGTAGCGTACCTGCATACTCTGGCAGCGGAGCTTAGGTGTGGCTCGGTGAGTACTGTCGAGCCACTGATGTACATGTCTCCTGTATGTCTTTGACAAGGTCCGCGATGGACCAGTGCTGTCATGAATCTTTGTTGACGATGCGGTCTGCGACGGACCGTATGGTGCGATGGCTCCTGAGAACGCCGACACCGGACGGAATCTCTCCCAGTCGACCTTGGCACCGGATGTGGGCCCACTCGCGGAGACGGCGACAAACTCCCGCCGTTGATCGACGGCACCTTGTGCTTCGTCTTCTCGAGGACCGCAACGAGAGGCTTGTCCCACGTCCGGGCTGTTGCTGCTGCAGACGAGCGACTGCTGGCGCCGCTGTGCAGCTCGTCCGATCGGCGCAACGACCTCCTCGCTGCTGACTGTCGTCCTATGCGGCCCTAGTTTTCATTCGGATGCCAGCCGGAAGTCCGTACCTGAGCGCAGGATCCAGGTGCGTCGCTGGTGTCGCTGTCGTTATCGGAATCGTTGGGTGGTGGTCGGCGCCAAAACGGTCGTGAAAGCGAAGCTCTCCATGTAGGGCAAGGCAGTTCGCTGACCGCGAGCAATGATGGTGGTGTACGAGAAGGGCAACGGAAATAGCCACGACTGCGAAGACATCAACCGTCTGGTGGCGGACAGCACCGTCTGTGCTCCTCTCACAGGGACGACCGTCGGACCTGGGCCAGATTTTCAATTTCGGGGGTCCTCCCGGGCCGGGCCGACAGACCGCATCTATGTTTCGACGTTCAAACCCTGTTCCTCCGTTGCGCCAGACATGCTGCCGTGTGGCTGGAATTCCCCTTCTTGCACAACTCACTCCGGCCCACCTGACGACCGCGCAGTGCGGAAGGGAAGTGGGGCCAAGACCCACTCGAACTCCTGTCGCGTGGGTTCACGCACGGTATTTCACCTCCGCATCGATCTACCTCCTCCGGTACGCATTAGACTTGAATCGGATTTCGCCTCAGGCAGAAGAACGTGGTGAGGTGGTCCCCTGGGGACGTATAAAAGAAGTCCGCAGCTCCCATAGAACGGACACGCAGTGAACAGCATCCAACAACCGCAAGATGGCCACTTTTGTCGTTCTCGGAGGCACTGACAACCTCGGTAGCCCATCCCTGTCAAATTCAAACCAACCGTGATTAAAACGTCCATCCGCTCCGAACAGGCTACTTCGTCATCAAGACTCTCGTGGAGGAGTACAAGGACGCCTACCCCGCTGTCCGCTTCACAACCCGCGACCCGACCTCCGCCAAGGCGAAGGAGCTCGTCGCACTCGGCGCACACGCCTTCGCGTTCACCGACCCCCTGGACACGGTTCTCTCCGGCGCCGCCGTCGTGGCGAACATCGTCCCCTCCTCGACGGAGACGACGCTCCTCCCGGAGCTTGTCCCCGCCCTGATTCGCAACGGGGTCCAGGTCTCCTTCCCGTCCGAGTTCGCATCGTGAGCGCGTGCCTCACCTTCGCCCGCCCCCTGCACTCACCCTTCCACAGCGACCTCCGCAACGTCGACTTCCCGGGGTACGAACACCCAGAGTGGACGACCAACCGCGCGAACCGCGCGACCGCCATTGAGCTCGCTAAAGGGTCCGACCTCGTCGTCATCCCTGTCACCACCGGGATCTTCATGCCCTGGGCCGCGCACATGTTCGTCGACTGGACCAGCAGCAGCACGACCGGTTACACCTCGGGCAAGCGCATGTCGATGACGGACTTCCCAGACATCGCGCGGCGCTCGCGCGGCTCGCGGAGCTGGCCCGCGACCCCGCGACGCGTGCGAGCGTGCCCGGTGCCGAGGACGGCGTGCGGATCGCGGGCCAGTTCATAGGGAGCGCGGAGGTCGCCGAGGCGGTCAAGAAGGCCAAGGGCCTGGACCTCAAGGTCACCCCGTTCGACGCGAAGCAGGCGAGGGAGACGCTGAAGGCGATCTACCCGCCGAAGGCGCTGTCGGCTTTCTTGCTGTATGCAGGGTGAGTAATCAGTTCTTCTGCAACTGTCGGAGCTAAAACTGTGGCGGTCCTACAGGATACTCGTCGAGGAAGGGCTTTCGGACTACTCTGCCGACTGCCACAACGAGCTGGTCAACCCTGGAGAGAAGTTCTGGAAGTGGAAGACTTTCGAAGACCTGTTGCGCTCCACGTGATGCCAATGCTTGCATATGGATGTCAGTCCCAGACTAGTCAGCCTATTAGGACGGTCCCGCCCGGACATAATGAGGGTGACAACGGGTACAACGATAGGAACCAGACATGAGATAAAACTTTGGGTAGTAGTACAAATACGGCCGACTCAACGCAGCTTACTTCCTCTGACCATCATGCTCAAGAAGCCCCAGCTGGATGGCCTTCAGTTGCATGGCCTAGCGACATAAACGGTCAGCATTGATATGACCCGTTGCAACAACACCCACCAAAGGCTTCGAACGCGTCCGGGAGACCTCGAAGTCACCCGTGGCAAACCAGAGCTGGTGGGCAGCATATCAGCCGATATTTCTGCAGCTCGAGAGCGCGAACTCACGCCAGGATGTCCACTCGGGCGGTAGGCCGCGGCGGATTCTCCTTCAGCATCCAGCCCAAAAGCCACCTCCGTCTTCCCGATAACGCCTTCCCCAAACAACGCCGCATTGGTGTCGCGCATGTTGCGATAGCCCGTGCTGACACGGAGACCGATGAGTGGGCGATGACAGTTTTACAGATGAAGGTGCACGTACGCGAAGACGACCAGGTCAGCCTCCATCTCCGACCCGTCGCTCATGAGGAGCCCGTGCTCAGTGAAGGACACCGGCTCGACACCAGTCTTGACCTTGATTAGGCCCTGCTCGATGAGATCCGCACCGCCCTTGTCCAACCCTGAAAACGTGACTGTAAGCAGTACGTCCACAGATTAATTCACGTGCTGACACTCACAGTACCCTAGAACGCACAGGCGTGGTCAGTCGGCATCGCCCACCACGAGGAGACCAGATCACTCACCCCCAACCGCTCGTGCACGAGCAGAAACTGCCCCTGCCCCTCCGGTCCCAACCAGAGCTTGAGGCCCGCCTTACGCAGCTTGTCGTGCAGCGGCCGCTCCGCGTCCCACGCCGCCTGCTGGTTCGCGACCGCGACGCGCTTCAGCAAGTGTAGCGGCAGCGCGCTGCTCAAAAAGTCCCCGAGCTCGATCCGCGCGCCCTCGACCCAATTCGCCTTCTGCATCTCGAGCACGCCGTCGCGCGAGACGACGCACGTCGGCGACCGCTGCACCATCGTCACCGACCGCACGTGCGCCTGCGCCCCGTCGTCGGACGCGGCGGCGGCGTGCTCGAGCGCGAGGTCCTGGCAGATGTCGATCGAGCTGTTGCCCGCGCCGATGACGACGACGCGGCCGTCCGCGCCCGGGTGCGCGCGCGTGCCCGCCCAGCTCGCGGAGTGCACCGTCGCTCCGCGGAACGCTTCGTGTCCGGGGAGTGCGGGCGTGATGGGTGCGCCGAGCGCGCCGGTGGCGAGCACGATGTGCGCGGGGCGGAGAACGGCGGGCGCGCTCGCGCGAAGGACGGGACGGTCCACTCACGCGCGCCCGCGTCGTAGGTGATCCCGGGCTGGAGCGCGGTGTCGGTCCAGACGACGATGTCCTGGTTTTGGGCGTAGGTCTCGAGCCAGTCCGCGACCTTGTCGCGCGGGGTGAGGAGAGGCCAGTTACTGGGGTAGGGTTGGTAGAGTACTGTTAATAGATTAGCTTTGCTAGGCGCGGAACGAAAGAAAGCAAATACGCACGGGAGTGGTGTCTATTGATGGTGTGCAGCGTCAGCGACGGGTAGCGCTTCCTCCAGTTGTCGCCGACACGGGGGTTCTTGTCGATGACTAACGTTGGGAGGTTCATTTGCTTCAATCGCGACGCTATATTCAGTCCCGTCTGACCAGAGCCCACTGTAAATAGACGATCAGCGTAACTCGTGGACTCTGCAGCGGCAAGGCAACGTACCGACAAGCACATACGGCTTCGCCTCAATCGCCTTTACATACTCCTGAATTCGCGCTCCATGTCCCTCCCTGGGACCCCAGTGAGATCGTCCCGGAGCGGCAGCGTCCTCCCCTCCTCGTGACCCCTTAGGTCCTGCAGCTCGGTGAACACCGTCAACGCTCGGTGCACCCCGTCGACATCGTGCACCAAGCGCACGTGGCCCCGCACCGGGCCCTTCGCGCACTCCGCCAGGATGCCGAACTCAATGAAGTCGAGCCCGAAGGCTGCCCCATAACGCGGGCGCAGCCACTCTGCCCCCCAAGCCCCGTCCGGGACGAGGCGTACGTCGGAAATGGCCGCCGCCGGGAGCTTTTCTTTCAGGAAGGCGCCGATCTTATCTACGCCGTCGAGCGTGTGGAGGTCCCAGGTGAAGACGAGCCACTCGCGCAGCCAGCCGCTGGCAAGGAAGAGGGAAGCGAGCCCGGAAACCGAACCGGAGGCGACGCCTGCAGAGAAGGTGGAGAGCCAGGTGCTGGCGATGGAGTGGGCATCGTTGGACATGGTTCAAAGGCCTGGGACACGGTCAGAGTCGGGGCGAGTGGGTACGCGGGGCACGGGGTACTCACAGATGGGTTAGAAATGGAGGCTGGAGTGGTTCTGTTCCAGTATGGCCCGCGCCGTTCTGAGGCTGTCACGAGTTGCGGGGGCTGAGAGATCGCATCCGCCCACCCTTTTATCTCGACGTGTAGATATTCGGATTTGTTATCCAACTCTAGGTTTCCAAATCCGCAGCTCATGATCACGAGAACGTGATAGCATTCCTGAGAACGAAGCCCACTCTCCAACTTTAACATTACCGATCCAAGTCCACTGCTGAGCGCACAAACAAATCATGGATCCTCATCCGTCCTAGTTCGTGGGAAGGACTCCCAGCTGCCCCGCCTTCAGCCGCAGACCCTAACCGAGCAAGGTCAGTATTGACTTGTACGCTTGCCGTCATGAGCGGAGATAGCATACAAGGACTTTCGACATGAAGCGGCTGACGAAAAAATCACCAGTGGCGAACCAGAGCTTTAGAAGTCGTTGTCAGAAATTCCACGAACTCCAAGTGATGCGCCGACTCACTCCAGGACGACCCGACGGACGATAGCTTCCCTTAAGCTCCCCTTCACTATCCAGCCCGTATACAGGTACGGTCTTGTCAATGATTTCATCTCCCAGAAGCGCTCGATTGGTATCGCGAATGTGTAAGTAACCCGTTCTGCTCGTACGAGGGACGTCAGCAAACAAAGTCACACCTCTGGTGTGGAGCCGGATAACTTACGCCAAGATGGCGGCGTCAGCAGGTAGCTCGTTCCCGTTGCTGAGAACAAGCCCCGTCTTCGTGAAGCGGTCAAGTGATACTCCACTCTTGACTTTGACTCGACCATTTGTTATGAGCTCTGCATCACCATTGTCCTGCCCTGGTTCGGCATGTTTGTCGGCGCTACACACGTACCCCAAATGCTACTCACAGAAGTCTGCGTCGTGCGAACGAAATTAGTTGCACGGAAATGCATGAGAGACTTTCTCCAACCGCACCTCCAAACCTCCCTAGTGTCATAATGTATAACCCTTCCCCTTCCTTTCCCATCGTCAACCGAACGCCGCCGGCGCGCAGTTTGTCATGAAGTTCTCGTTGAGAATCCACCACGAAGTCTTGAGATGCTATTGCCAATTCCTTTTGCAATCCGAAGGGGAACGAGCCCCATAGCAGGTTGGATGTCTCCACCGGGATGTCATCCGGCCAAGATTGCCGAATTGCATGACTGACGAAATCTCGCGCGAGGACGCAGGTAGGAGACCGCTGAATCATCGTCACCAAGGCCGAGCCACGCAAAGCGCAGTCTTGACACACATCAATGGCGGTGTTTCCGGCCCGACGACCACGACATGCTTCCCGACGAACTCAGACGGGCCATTGTATTGGTAGGAGTGGATGAGCGCGCCGCTGTAGGACTCCTGGTCGGGCACGACTGGGATGTGGGCGCGCCGAGGGCGCCGGTCGCGAGAACGATATGGGCGGGACGAAGGTTGAAGTCTTTGCCATCGCGTCTGATGTCGACGTCCCACTCGTGCGTCTCTTCGTTGTATTTAGGGCGAGGCTGGAGCTCTGCGTTGGTCCAGACGACTAGGTCCTGCCCCGTCGCGTATTGTTCCAACCAGTCGCGATTTTCGCGGGGAGTGTACTCAGACCAGTTGGTGGGGTATGACTGGTAGAGCGCCGTGTGAGCATTAGGTCAGCGTCCCTTCTCACCCAGTGACGACAAGACTCACAGCTATGATGTCGCCAAGGCGTATGGAGCGTCAAGGAAGGGTAGCGCTTGCGCCAAACGTCGCCAACTCTGGAATGGCGTTCTACAACTAGAGCGGGGATGTTCATCTGCTTGGACGAGCGGCTACATGAGGCCTGTCTGCCCTGCACCGACTGAAATTGCATGACGGTGACGTCTCAGGGCTGCATTTGCGACTAGAACGTAATTTGGTGCTTACCTATCAGAACGTAGGGCTTCGTTTCCACCTCCTGAACATAGGCCGCAAAATCGGGTTGCATATCCCGGCCGGGCTTCCCAGTCAGGGTGTCCCTGGGTACCTTCGAAGATGGGGGTAGCATCGTTCGTGTCCATGCATACACTCGAAAGTGAAAACAAATTCGACATCGTTGGTCCGGAGCTGGATGATGAAGGAAGTGTGGGGCTACAGATGCGGGGACTTTTCTAGCTTCAAGTCCGTTACTTCGGAGTGCAGGGTGGGTTCCAGGAAGCCACGATGGAATCGCGGCCTTCCAACGATCAGACGTCCCATGTAAACACCAGTAGATCCTGAGCCATCCGTTGGGAAGGAAAGTGAGGCTAGAGTGTCGATGTCTGCGGAGAGGACGGCAGAGCTGAATCCGGCAAGCCAAGAGTCGGCGGCAGCATTGGCGTCAACAGCCATGGTGGGTGGAGGTAGTCATTGGGAGGTATCTCGCTTTTATAGACAGGCGAAGGTCTCCGTGAGAGTTGCTGTGTCCACGAGAAGTTAGAACCGCGTGTCGCAATCCAAGTGAGGTACGTGCCATACACATGTGGTCCCATGGGTGCGGAGCGGACGCAAAGTTAGAGCTGAGAGTGAGATGATGGAGGTGGAAGAGAAGAGGACGCCGGATGAGCGGACCGCGCATGCCTGCCGACGGACTACCGTTTCCTCCGGAGCGCTCGCCCTCTGCCACAGCTTGCTCCCTTGCACCGTCTTCCGCTCATACACCCTACACTACCACGTCAGACCACTACATCATGGAACTGGGCAGGAAGTGTCAGCCGTCTCTCAGTCGTCTTGTAAGCACAGTCATTCTCTTGGCTTCGCTGTCGGCTACATGTGTACGGAAGCCCAGCTTCGAGCTCGTGAATTCGTCGAGCTGCATGAACAGGTCCAGGTGCGAAATATGCACATGAGTTTGTATTCCTATCTGACGGTCGTATTGTAGACAAGCGTGAATCTGCTCGATTCGCTGGAAGGGTTTTTGTCGACCTTCCAGAAAGATCTATCTGCGGTCTCTGGTCAGATCTCCAACTTGCAGGACAGGAGTAAAGACATCGACAACAGGCTAAAGAGTCGCAGAGTGAGTGTTATATTCGACCGGTCAGCACCATCTCTCATCCTTAACGCAGAAAATAGAGAAGCCGCTGTCAAATCTCATAGCGGACCTGTCTATACCCCCCGCTCTCGCAACACTCATCCTCGACACCCGCGTCGATGACACCTGGATACCCGCAATTATGGAATTTAAACGGAGACTTGATATGCTCAAGTTCAGAGTCCGGGTCAAGGCCGCGAGAGACATGTCAGAAGTAGCAGAGGGCTTGCGGATAGTGGTGAGTGCCTTCACGGTTTGTATGCGGTCGTGTGATGCCGATCACTCGGACAGGCGGCCACCAAGTTGCGAACATTCTTCCTGTCCATGCTGGAGCCCATTCGTTCTAGCATGACCACGAACCTCCAAGTCCTGCAAACGTCAGTGTGGATGAAGTACCGGCCGCTGTTCGTGTTCCTACAAGAACACGCGGCGAACGTCGCGAATGAGGTGCAGCGGACGTACATCAGCACGGTGCGAACGTTCTATGAGACTGGCTTCCGGAGATATCTGCGAGGACTTGGATGGGTCAAGGTGAGCAGTGATCCATGTCAAGCGCTAGCCACTTTCCTGAAAGCCTGGTCTGCAGGCAAGGGTGGTGGAGAAGGCAGAGCCTATCACCAGTGGCATTGATGTACCGCAAACTCCGGGTCACGACCCCGGTCGACTTGCGTACGCAAAAGTGGACGGACCGAGTGTGACCATGGCATACGTGGCCGAGGACAAGAACTGCGTATGTTTGCTGTGTTTACGACACGGATGCACGCTGAATGAGCGACGTTGCATGCACAGAAAGAACCACTAGAGTCGGTACTACGCTCTGCGTTACTTGTCCTCATGGACAACGCCACTGCAGAATACACATTCATCACCACGTTCTTCGCAAGTGAGCCCCACGAGCCCCTTCCGACCAAGAGCGGTCCTGGGACACCAGCAATGTCTCCTCCAGTGTTGTCTCCCACCCGGGGAGAATTCGATGAGCTCAGATCTGGACCAGGCTCGGAGATTGGCAGCGAGTACATGTCTCCACGTCAGCGTGTGCTCAGCATTTCCGGGTGCTGGGTGCCGGCTCCAAGACGGCGTCGCAGGTCTACGAAGGAGGAGCAGACCGCGTTGAACGCGCTGTGGAAACAAGCACTCGACCCCGTTCTCGACTACGTTCAGACGTTTATCCATAGCTCGCTTGATCCTCCCCCACCCGCTATCCCTCTCTCACCTCATTCGTCTGACCGAAGACATGGCCACGGAAGTGCAGCGCGTGGATGTGGCCGCTGGAGACCTTCATTTTCGCGCTCCGAATCAAGATGTGGCCGTGTTCCAGAAGCTCATGGCCGAGCACATCGACGCGCTCCGGAAGCTCGGAGAGAGCGCCGCCACGGAGGGTACTTCCGCCGAGGCACGACGACAACGAACGAGGCTGTGGCGGTGGTGTGCCGACGCTACGTCGTGCTCTTCAACGCGTTTATTGCACTCACAGACCAGTCCGAGGAAACGATGATATTCGCAAAGTGCGTACCGCGCCCCACGCGCTCCATCGTTGTTTATGTGCGCTGACTCCCAACTTCTCCTGGGGGTGTTCCATCTCCCTCGGTAGCCTGCTCCGTCTGCGTCAGGAGCTCGTGAAACTCATCAGCGTCCACACGGACAAGCTGCCGGACCGGTCGGAAAGGCGTCGGCGCAGTCAAAATTCTTCGAGCTGCTTCTCCAGGGTTTGAGTGTGAGCGTCCCGCGTCCCTTCTCCATCTTACCACTCCCGCTCCGCGTTTTTTCTCCGTCGTTCCATTCTGATGATCGCCCTTGACAGAACGGGCCCCGACCGACAAGTCACCCGAAGGCGCAGAGCGAACTCGCGTACTGGCGCGAGCGCGACGAAGAGTGCCGCCGGCGGTGGTCTCCACTCACGGTCGCCGCTAGCTTCTGCGCTGGTAGCTCCCCGCGTAACTGCGCGCAGCACGCCAGCCCGCCGCCTTGCGACTCAGACGGCGGACACGAAGCGGAGAACAAGGACGACTCGGGCGCGGGGTGGATGGAGCGATGGAGCGCCAGCGACGGCACAGAGGCGGAGTAGGATGTCCGTGAGCATGGTGCTTGGGGATGTAATCAGAGCCTGTGGTTGTGGGTGCCCCTCCGAGGCTCGCCATCTCGTCCTCCAATTTCCATGCGCCGCACGGTGCGCGCATCAGCACCCCTCGGTGTATCAACGCAATCACCACGCCCCATCGCACTGCGTCGTGTACGCCCTTGTAGTTTCTGTATGCCCCCCCCGCGTGCTGTGCGCAGTGACGGCCTTAACGGCTCCGAATCCACGGGATCGCATCCGCTACTTCCCCAACAAAATCTCAATATTCCGCTCGCCGAGTCTGATGCAGATACCCGGACGCGACCGTTATGCGCACTGTTCTGCCGTCGTCTGTCGCGGGCAGTCAACGCGACATGTCGTGCGCCGGTACTCGGCGACACTCGAACCGCTCCTCCGCGATCCTGGTCGTGCGCGTGCCCTCCGGAGTCCGCCGTCCACAACGTACAAGGAGCACATGGGCAGGTACCCACCCTGGCGGCTGGGTTCGCGAGGATCGGGTAGGCAGGCCTTGGTCGGAAAGCATACCGTCAGGGTCACTGCAGGCGCACCATCCGAGAACTCCGACGGTACTATGCCCGAACATACACGTCGTTGGTACGTCAGATACGGATGCTGATGATGCTGATGATGATGAATTCATGCCAGAACTGTAAGTATCTTCGTAGCGCTAAGTGCGAGCTTTCTCAGAGACGGCGGGTATCCCGCATTCGGTGGACTACGTGTAATGTAACGGGAGTCCGCTGTCGCGCCGTACGGTGACGCTGATCCACGCCGCCTCTTACGCAGTGACGGCAGTCACCGCACGAGCCTTCGAATCGCACTCCGTGCGTGTGGCCCCCGCACTAAGTCGCCTCGCGTTCCGATTCCCGCATCCCGGAGAGCCGACCTTCGCCGACGAACCATTTACCGCGATACTCTGAAGCAAGCATCCTGCTACTTATCGTACAAAAGTCGTGCAAGTACACTGCGCCCCGGCCTACCCGTCCACGCGGCACGACTGAGAAGCCTACTCGGATGCCGTTCCCTTGGGGCTCAATCTCAGAGCGTGAAGCGGAACTGGGGGTGCCGGTCGCCGATCGGCGCCCGGGTCTTGCCCGCCTCCCAGAGCTCCTGGTACTTGCGCAGGTTGTCTTCCCGCCGGCCGTCCGCGCGCGCCTTGTTCTCCCACACGCAGTAGAGCCTGCAAATTAGGATCAGTTGCATGTCATGAGTGGACGGGCCGCGGACCGCAGACCGCGCGAAGGGAAGAGCGCTTCCGCGACGATCGCGGTCGGTCCGCGGCCACGGGAGCGGGGCCGGGCAGAGCGGGGAAAGAGGGACACGCACACGTTGGCCGCCATCGCGAACCAGGCCATGATCACGAAGCCGAGCGTGATGCTGTGGCCGCGGATGTAGGTCGGCGCCTGCGAGCTGTCGTAGATGAACGTCGCGACGAAGCCTCTGCGAACCGTGCGCGGATGTCGTCAGCTGTGCGGGATGAGAGGCAGAGATGGATGCCGCGACGCGTACCCGCAGTTGGCGAGGGCGAGCTGGAAGGCGACGGTGGTCGCCTTCTTGTAGTGCCCCGCGCTGTTGTTCGGCAGGATGGAGAGGATGCACGGGCCGCAAGGATAGCTGTGAACAGGCGACGCTATGTTCAGATGCGTGCGAGGGCAGTCGGGGAGACGGTTGCGCTTACATGCCGGCAGCGATCAGGAACACTGGCGGACCGACGTGTCAGGACGTTGTGGGAGCACACGTAGCGCAACGAGACGTACCAGCGGCGTATCTTTGGGTGTTGTTCTGCGGAAGAGGTGTGAGAGCGGCTTAATCACGCCAGGCGAGAACGCGACGGACCGTGGCAGCGATTGCGAGAATGTATCCTGGAGCTCGGGTCAGCGACATACGCGCCAGATGACATCGGAGAGCCAACTTACCCGCCATGCAGATGGGTAGGAACATGAGAATGAAGGGCCCGCGCCACTTCAGCTTGTCGCTCGCGACGGCCACCACGACCGTCAGGACCACGGCGGGTACATACGGTGGAACTATGAATAGGAACAGGGTCATCCGAAGTCAGTCGGCACAACCGGCAGCCATATTGAAGCGAACGAGCTCACCCGTGCGCAGCTGCGCCTCGGGTCCGGAGTAACCCAGGCCTGAGACAATTGTGGGCCTGCACGATGGGGAACGCGTGAGCCGGATATAGCGCGAGTCGCGTGGGATGCACACGTACAAGAACAGCGAGAACGAGTACAGGCTGACGATGATGCCCAGGTACGAGACGGCCGTCATCCAAACTTGGGGCTCGAGGAGGCCTACGGTGGAGCGCGGCAGAATGAGCTCCCTCGGCCCGTACGACCGTCCCCCATATGGAGCCTGCCGGGCCTGCTTACCTCGGACGACCTCGCCCCACTCGAACTTCTCGTCTTCGCTCTCGACGACGACGGCCGGCTCCGCGCTGGGCGACTCGACCCGGGTCTCCGTCGCCTTCTCCAGGTCCTTCTCGCTCGTGGGCGCCCCCGTGATCCTCTGCGCCGGCTCAGAGAGCGGCGCGGATGTCGTAACGCCGTGGGAGATCCGGAGCCGCCGCACTGTTCCCGGGGCGCCGCCGCAGTGAGAACCGTGGCGTTCGCGGGCTACGCCCCGACGGAGAAAATAGACTCACCCGCGAAGGTCCGCTCCTCCTCGGTCAGGAACTTGGCGCTCTGGATGTCTGCGGGGAGGAAGGTGGTCGAGACGCACGCGATGATGATCGTCGCGATACCCTCGAGGATGAAGATCCACCGCCAGCCGGCGAGGCCGCCGACGCCGTCCATCTTGATAATCGCCGTCGCGAGAAGGCCTGCGGGGTGCGAGAGTGGGTTGGAAGAAGGTCAGAAGCACGCCCCGGGGGGCCCTGCGGCCGGGATGCCGTGCTCACCTCCGAAGGCGCCGGACAAGGATGCGGACGCGTAGAAGATGCCGACTCTGTAGGGAAGCCAGATAAGTGGAACGCGCCGCCCGGACCGACGCTCCCTTACCGCTGCTGTAGCTCGTGGGGCTTGTAGAGCGTGCTGAGATAGAGCATCTGCGCGGTGTGCCCGGCGGTCAGAAGTGAGGCGGAACCGTGCCAAGCGTGTCCACCTACGATGCCGGGCAGCAGGCCGCCCTCGCAGAACCCCAGGAAAAACCTGATCGCGAGAGCCCGCTGTAGTTGTGTACGAGGCCGCTCAGGGTGGTCACCGATCCCCACACGAGCACGAGGAAGGGGAGCCAGCGGCTGGGCTTGAACCGCTTGAGCACCCAGTTGGAAGCTGGGAGCAGTCAGCGTAGGGGCGACATACGGAACGACGGGAGAACTGACGCAGTTCGACAAGGATGTATGAGACGTAGAAGACTGGAGACGGGCATTAGGAGTGCCCGAGATGGTCCCGAGAGATTGACGTACTGGCGAGAGCGGTATTGAACTGTTTACCATGGAGGTGGAGATCGCGCTCCAAACCCGCGATTCTGGAGTGGAGTGAGCGCGGATTGAAAGGGTGATAAGTATGGCAGCAGACCTCGCGTTGCCGATGTTTGCCCTGTCGATGAAGTTTGCGAGCCAGAGCTTGAGGAAAATGCTCGTTGAGAGGGGCAGCGCAGAAGGGGTAGAGAGGATGAACAGACTCACGAAAGCGAGAGACGGCAAGACATGGATGTCCAACTTCCACAAGACCCGACGCGTGAGCTTGCGCTCGAGCTGCTTTTCTTCCACCGAGACAGACATGTTCGTCGAAGGGGAGAGAGACGACGCGCGACCTGAGCAGCAGAGGACTGGGGGCGTCGCGCTGCGCAAATATCGGAGGGGGCTGGAGAGAAGGCCGTCGCTCGGACACGACCAACTCTGAACAGCGCTTTAAGAGCGCGAGCCGTCGGACTGGCGGCTGTCGAAACCCATGGGTGCCAAAAGCAAGGCACGTCCTTCTCGTCATCCGTCCAAAAGAGCCCCCCGCAGAGCGCGCGGCCGGGTCACAGGACACGAGCAGGGCGTCCCAAACTTGATTTCTGATCCTGGCGCGACCTAAACATGCGGGGCAATCTGGGGTAAACGGAGATCGTGGCCCTCCAAAACACTCACCCCGCAGTGAGCACTCACCTGACATTCGGCCGCGAGCTAGCGCACATCAGTACTCCCGGGCCCCGGACGGATCCAGTGGGCGAAACAGTGGCTGATTTGAGATTCGCCCGGGGACGCCGTGTCGACTTTCGTCGACACCTGGGGCATTGGTACCGAGCGAGAGTCTCTTCTTGGTCGCCCACAGGCCTGTTGTGAGTTGTTCAAGTTGAAGCGTATGTCAAAGGAGACGCCCGCAGACTGATGTTGGCGCGACACGAATCGGGGAAGAGGTTCGCACGGGGTCGCCCCCGACATCTGGACTCCTGCGAGAACGCTATATCCCCGCCTCCAGGTTGCCATAGTAGGGGCGCGCAAGACCGAAATAATGACAGCGATCCACGGACACGAGACTGCAGCATCTTCTAGGACGGCGACGCGTGGCGGGCGCACAAACGTTGAAGAGTGAGGGGCAGTCTGTGGTGGAGGTGGTGGTTTCGGAATGAAAAGGGGCCAGTGCTGTGTCGCGCACGACGATCCCATCCTCCGCTTGGGTGGTCAGATAAAAGCCGCCGGGAAAGTCGCAGAGCGCTGCGGCCCACCAACGAGTCCAAGTCCAATAGGGATCCGTGTTAACGTAGTATGTAGGTGGCATGCATGAGTCGTGAAGGTCGTAACGGCGAACAGAGAGCGGAAGGTTTAAGTACATGGGGCGGGGTATCGGTAAGCTCCAAAATGAAATGTCCTATCCACATGACCGGGAAAGGCACAGCGTCCCAGCCATCCATCCGGTAAAGTAGTGAAGGTCCGAACCAGGCTAGAGAGCCTGAAAGTCCACAAGCCGTGTGCGTCCAGCGGGGGCCACGCAGGAATAGACGAGGAGGAAGGCGAGTGTGCGGAGCGCGACGCTCGCACGCCCGCCTCGGCGGTCAGGCACCGGTGGGAGCCCGTCGCCCAGAAAAACGTGGGCGCGCGCGCGCTCCTCAGCGAGAGCGAGAGGGCGCGGGCTGCCTACACGGGGGCGTCGTGCGAGGCGAGCTTCGCCTCCAGGGCCCCGATTTGCTTCGCGTGCGAGATGGTGTCGTGCACGCCGACGGTGCGGAAGGGCCCGTGCCAGTCCTCGGGCAGGCGGTCCTGGCCCATGAAGACGGCGAGCCATTCCTTGGGCACGACGAGCTCCTCGTTCGCGCTCTTGGACGTCGACGCAATGGGCGTCAGGGAGCTCCCCTCGGCCTTCGCGTCGGGCTCTGGGGCGACGCCGAAGACGTCGTGGATGAGGCTGAGCTCGCCCTTGGAGACGAAGCTCTGGACGGAGTTGAGCGGGGGCGACTCTGCGTGCCGCGCCACCTGCGCGCGACACAAGTCCTCGAGCGAGAGCGCATCCCCGGAGGTGGTCGCGAGGAGGCGCGCGAGCAGCGCGGGGTCGACCGCGGTGGGCGCGAAAGTCTCGCCGGGTTGTGTGTCGGCATGGACGAGAGACGCGTCGTGCTCGATCACGTTGTGCTTCGCGAGGTCGTGCAGGTCGAGGACGAGGCCGAATCCAGAACGGTGTCCGCACTTGACGAGGCCACCGAGAGAGAGGATGGAGGCGAAAGGGAGGGAGATGCCGTACACGTGCTGCACTGCAGAAACGAGCTGGCTGAGCGAGATGTTGCGTCCGTCATGGGGGCTGCGGATTGCGGGGTGGCGCGTAGAAAGCGGGCGGCGTCAGCAGCGGGAGAGGGATGACGACGGAACACTCACAGGTAGCCGTGGTTCGCGAGGGAGTTGAGCGCGGGACAGGGAGACCTGCTGTCCTGGGCCGAGGGCGCGACGTAGGGCTGACGGGACTCGGGAAGGCTGGGCATGAGGAGAGAGGAGGGGAAGAGAAGAGAAAGGGAGATGGCTTTCTATCCCCGCCCGCAGGGATTTATACTCGCGCGCGTTGTTCGGGCGAATGACGTCCGTGCGTCTTCTAGCCGGAGCGACTGAGCCTGACCACACTCTGACGTCGGGTCCAAGCACCTACCCAGCCCTCGACAGTTCGCGGGCAACCCGCGCATGGGAAGGCGGTGATCTCCCTGTGCCCACCACACCGGCGGCGACACCACAAAGCCCCCGCAGCCCGCATCAGGAAGCACTTCCACGCCGTCTGTTCCCGGGCGCCCACACCCACCGTCAGACATCGTGCTACGGCAGAACAGCCGGGGGATACGTGTCGAGCATCCGACCGAGACATGCCCGATGAAACATAGAATGGATGAACTCATGCTATCCTCGCAGCCTCCGCACCCACCTCCGCAGCCCGGCACTGCTACTTTTCCGGCGCGTGGACAGACAGCTTGGGCGCCGACAGTTGGGAGAGGTAATCCTGCGATTCGCGATCAGCAACAGTCTCCGCTTCGCAGTTGTGATGCAACCCACCCTCAGCCAGCGCTCGCGCTGCTCCGGCGCATGGTCGAATACGAGATACCTCCTGTCGTTCTGCAGCGGGGTGATTGACGTGAGCCATGACGACGGGATGCTATGCATTTGTCCAGCATACGTGCCTTGAGCACCTTCACGATCTCCTTCAGGTCGACGCTCTTCGCCAGTGTCTTCATGTCCACCTGGTCTTCCTCGTTGTCTTCCCCGATATCATCGTACTTTATACTCGCATCGACGCCCTTGCCCCCGATCTTCCCCAGACGACCCCAGAACTCCACAAACGAGTTCTCGCCCAGCATCTGGTCAAACGCCAAACGCGCTTCGTGCGTGCGCTCCCTCTGCCATTTGTCGAACTCCCTCTCGACCTCATCAATCTCGTACCCCAGCTTTGTGACCGGCGGTGAAGACATCAGCGACGCGACAGGCAGGGCGGTGAACGGCGTGTCTAGGGCTGGACTGTGCGACGCGAACAACGCGTGCAGTCCAGACAACTGTTTTGCGCGCAGCACATCAACGTGCGAATGGAAGAGGTGCACTTGTTGGTTTCGCGATAGTGGCGAGTTGGTGAACCGCGGGTCCTTGCTCAGCTGTGGCTGTACCGAGTCCCAGGTAACCTGTTTGCGGGAAGATGGGAAGCCACCGTCAGCTATCTGACCGTGGACGGGCGGTAGGCATACCGTTGGGTCCCGTATCGCGTCCACCAGCATAGTCCTATGAGCAGCAGGGACAGACGGGTGAGCGGCGCCAAGCAGTATATCGATCAGTGGAAGTAGTCGGCGCACCGGAAATGCAACTCTCCTTCCTCCCTTGTTAGGCCCATCTTGGAGCGGTCGATATCGGCTTCGACCTTGCCCCTCTCAGCCCGCACTTTGTCCTCTCGTTCTTTGACCGCACGTTCCTTCTTCTCCGTGTGACGTCGTTCACGTTCTCCTTCAGTTTCCCCATCTTGGCCGCCCTTCTGTTGTGGAGCAGGAGTTGATGAGTTTCCGTCAGCAGTGGCGTCGTTGACGCCCGCTTTCAGGAACGTATTGAAAAGCTCTTCTCGTAATGAGGAAGAGCCCACTGCGTCATACCGAGGGTCCGACACAAGAGGCTTCTTGACCTGGCGACAGACGTAATGTGGACATCTCCTCCCTGTGCCTGCAAGATGGACGTACCTCTTTCCACACCGCACCGGGCTTAGCCAACCCGCTTTCTCGTAGCAGCGCAAAGAAGTCCGCCTCCGCCTTCTGTGCCGCGGCCCGTTTCCCTATGACGAGCATGTATGTCAGACACAGGCTGTGCATAGATCAACCAGTACATACGCTCTCCCAGCTCCTTGAGGAAGTCCCTGAATCGCCTCTCGCGCTCTCTGTCGTCACGGCCCCATCCATAGAACCGGCGGTCTTTCTTCCATTGCCTCCTCCACTCGGTCCAGCTTGTGCGTGTGCTCGTCACCTCCTCTTTCAGGAGCTTGTCAAATTCTTGCTTCGGATCTAGTGTCTCTTTGTCTACCTTGACCTTCGACTGTCGGAGCTCCCGCGCCCGGTCACGGCAGTATTCATCAAACGCCTCGCGTCTTGCGGAGACAGAGGGCAGGAGGACGTAACGGGGGTCCGAGACGAAGAGAGGGAGCGACGTGTCCCATGGGTGAAGAGGGTTAACGTTCTTCTCGCGCAGCAGAGTCTGCGGCGTCCCGGTTAGCGGACTGACGGCGCAAGAGACCACACCTCCAAATGCGGCGAGCTCACCTTGAACAGCGCCTTCGCCTCGTCAAGAGACAGATCCACACGGTTTGGCATGTTGAGCTGCGCGTTCCCTTTTTGCTTTTCTGCCTCCTTGAGCTTGCGGGCTTCCTCCTCTTCACGCGCCTTCTCCTCCGCCCGCCTCTTCTCCTCTTCCTCCGCCTCGGCGGCCAGTTGCGCGGCCGCCTCCTTCTGCCACTCCTCCTCCTCCTCACTCTCTTCGTCGTCTTCGTCTTCATCCTCGTCCCCATATTCCTCCTCTTCCTCCTCCTCCCCGCCCACCTTCGCCTTCTTCGTCACCACGACCTCGTCCACCAGCACGACCTCCTCCGCCTTCCGCTTCCCCTCCCTCGCCGCCTTCAGCGCCCGCTCCGCCGCCTCCTCCTGCGCGTTCCGCGCCGCCTCCGCCCGCCGCTCCGCCTCCTCGCGCTCGAGCCGCGCGACCGCGTCCGCGATCTCGTCCGGCACGCCCCACACGCTCCGCTTCTCGCCCGTGTGCGTGTAGAACGTGTTCCCCTCCGTCGTCAGCACGCGCAGCCACGGCGTGCCCGGCACGGGGGTCTTCACGAGCGGCTTCTCCTTCTTCGCCTTCTTCGCGACCGGTGGGGGGAGGGTCTGCCCAGGGACGATGGGGAACGCGGGGAGCGGGCGGGTGTAGGTCGACTCGGAGGTCTGCGCGTTGAAGTAGTACGGCTGGCCGGTCGGGCCTGTGGGTCGACGTCAGCGCGTGTGGAGAGTCGGGGGGAGGGCGAGGACGCACTGATGTGCTCTGTCCATCCGGGGGGCAGAGGTGGTACCGCGAAGGGCATTGGGGGGACGGCGGCCATGGTGGATGTGTGGCTGAGGCAAGAGCTTGTTCGCGCCAAGCGGTGCCTTCGGGCCCTAAAGGCCTAAAGACGCCCAACGGTACTTCGTTCTCAGGCTGGCCGCGCCTGCTACCGGAGTCTGGCACTTACTCGCGGTTGAGATATTCCTCACAAAGTCGCGTGTCAGGACGAAAAACAGCGTGACGACTGCCTAAAATAATATACTATGTACTTCCGTGGGTTTTTGATACATGCGCCTGAGCTGCACACCACATCTCAGCTCACAGCTCGTCGTGAGGCTTCGTCTCAACGGGAACCTCTTTGACCACGTTGCCAAACTCGTCAACCTCCTCGACCTCCCATGAGATCTTGCCGCGGCCGGTGCGCAGGAACTCGTCCTCCTCGGGCACATCCGCGTCGGGCGGCAGCTCAGGGTCGACCGGCGGCGCGGGCTTGACGTTCGTGTCCGTAGGCGCGTCCTCGGACACGCCGAGCGAGCGGCGGAGGATGCGGTCGACGCGCATGAAGAAGCTGGGCGTCTCGGTCAGTCGGAGCACCCCCCGCGCGGGATCGAGGCGGACACTCACTCGTTCGAATCCGTGACGGCGAAGCCGGAGCGGACGAGCGCGCCGTCGACGAGGACCGACGCGACCTCGCGGAGCTCCTCTTCGGCCTCGAGGTCGCGCTCCTCCTCCTCGGTGGGGAGCTGCTCGATGCGGCGGAGGAGGCCCTCGATCGTCGGCGAGCGCGGGTTGATCTCGAGCACCTTCTGCTTCTTCGCGAACTCCCACATGTGCTTGTGGTTCGCCTGTGCGTGCGACGAGCCTGGAATCGCGGGGGTGAGTTCACAGGGTACTAGGGTCGAAGAAACGGAGAGGAGAGACGCACTGATGAGCTTCTCGAGGTTGGCAGTGTAGCCAGACTCGTCTGCGACGATGGCGCAGGAGCTGATGACGAGGCGGTTCGAGATGACGATGTCGCGCGCAGAGCTCTTTCCGCGGACCTCCTTCCGGAGCCACTCGATGAGCGGCTTGTACTTCTCGGTGAACATCTCCCTCTCTGCCTTCTCCTCCTCGTCAATGTCTGTGGTCCTCGATCAGCCTCCCCATCATCACGAGTGAGACGTTTCACTCACTTTCGTCACCAAACTTGAGCCCGGCCTTGGCGACATCCTGGAAGCCGATCTTCTTCCAGCGGCGCACGTTCGTGATGAACACCTCATCGAGCGGGTCGCCCAGGAGGAGCACCTCGTAGCCGCGGGCGTGGAGCTTCTCGATGAAGACGCTCTTCGCGAGGTCGTGCGTGAGCTTGCCCATGTCCGCGAGGTAGAAGATCTGGTTCTGGCCCTGCTTCTTGTTCTCCAGGTACTCGTCGAGCGAGGTGCTGTTGCGCTGGTTCGTAGGGAAACGGACGAGCGCCCCAAGCTTGTCCCGGTTCTTCATGTCCTCGACCGCACCGAGCTTGAACACATTTCCGTAGACCTCCTGCAGCTTGTCCCACTTCTCCCCGCCTTCGGTCTGAATACGGCCGAGCAGCTGGAGAAGGCGCTTGATAATGATGCCGCGGAGCTGCTTCAGGAAGGCATTCGACTGGAGGGTCTCACGCGAGACGTTCAGGGGGAGGTCTTCGGCATCAACGACGACCTTAACCCAGTTAGCCCACTTGGGGAGCGTGTCCTCGCCGAGGTCGGACGTGATGAATACACGCTTGACCATCAAACGAATGTCCTTGCTCGTGCTCTCAAGAGGGTTTTGCCAGTAGGCATCATCGCTGCGAACGAAGTCAGCTATGAACCAACACTTAGGTTGCCTGTACGCACAGACGAGAGGGAACGAAGACGATGGCACGGAAGGAGACGCCTGAACCAGAGTCACCAGCGAAGTGGTACCACGCAAGTGGCTTCTCGAAGTCCTTGTAGGTCGCCATGTAGAAGTTCTCATACTCTTCATCAGTGATTTCCTTGGGGTCGCTGGACGTTATTGCTAAGCAAGACACCATTGAAGTAATAGAGAGAAAACATACCGCGTCCAAATGGGAGGCTGAGAGTTCAGACGGACCCAGTCGTCGACGAGGATAGCCTTCGTCTTAACCTCCTCGGGAGCCTCCTCCGTAACTTCCTCGACGACAGCCTCATCTTCGTCAAGGTCCGCATCCTCGGTCTTGGCCTTTTCCTTCTCAGCGGCAGCTTCCGCTTCCGCCTCCTCATCGGGGACGTACTCGGTCTTCTGTGTGTACAAATAGATGGGGAACGAGGTCGAGAAAGAAGAGTGCTTGTTACTGGCACCACCCGTCAGTAAGTCGTCGCAACGCTGGACCTTTCGATAAGACACTCACACAAGGTCGGTGATCATCTTCGTGTCGAGGTACTCCACGGCGTCGCCCTTGAGGTGCAGAGTAATCTCCGTGCCGCGGCCGAGGGTATTTCCGCGAGGGTCGGGGTAGATATCAAACGAATTTTCGTCAACACCAGAAGCGAAGACGTATTGAGCCGGCTCCAGGTTCTTGGAGGTCTTCGCCGCAGTAGAGGCGACCTCCACGCGATCCGCAACCAAGAAACTAGTGACCTTGGTCGGCAAAGGTGGACACGCGAAAGCAAATGGTCTCGTACCTGCTGTAGAAACCGAGACCGAAGGCACCAATCAAGTTGCCTGTGCCCGACGTAGTGTCACCCTCCGCCCTGGACAGGAAATCCGAGGTACCAGACTTCGCAAGCGTGCCGAGATTCTTAGTGAGCTCATCTGGTGTCATACCAATTCCCGTGTCTGGACGCATAAGTCAGACAAATGGTCGTATACTGTGCACATGCGCTGGGACGTACCTGTGATGACCAGACGTCCTGCACCGTCCGAGTCCTTGTAAGCCTTGATAGTGACGTTCATCTGCTCCGCGCCAGAAAGAGATTCCGGTTCCGTGAGGGAAGTGAGACGGAGCTTTTCCAGAGCATCGTTGGCGTTCGAAATGAGTTCACGGAGGAAGACATCTCGGTGGGAGTACAGGCTGTAGGAAAGCGAGTTAAAGCTCGACGTCTTCGAGAATGCATGACTGCTCACCTGTTGATGACAATCTTGCGGAGACGAGCGACATCACTCTGTAGGCCGGTGAGCAGGAGCTCATCCGACGGACTGTATGGCCATATTATATACCTGATACGCATGCTTCTCTTTGCCGTCCTGAGCGAGGACGGAGAGAGCGAACGCTCCAAGAGCGAGAACGGTGCGGAACAGCCTCATGGCTGGTGTGCGTAGCCGAGCTCACAGCCGGAGGAGGGGAAAGTGAAAGGAACAAGCGAGAGGTATCCTGGAGGGTTGTGCTACGTGCGTATAAGTATCCGAGCCAAGCGGGCTGTACTTCTCTCGCACTGACGTGTCCGCGCGAAAACGCGATCACGGGATCCCAGCCACGCGCCCGTGATCCATTCATTTGGCCGACGATACGTCGGCGAAACAGAAAATACCCGCTGTTTGCCGCGAACTTCTTCCTTGCTGCACCGTTCCCACTGAGCAGGACCTCACACCAGATGAACCAGCTTCATTTGCCCCAAAGTGACCACGGATCCGGCAGCGGCAGCGGCACAAGTTCCATCGGAGCAGACACTCCACCTCCGTCGACCTCCGACCATGGCTCTCCTCCCAAGAGCGACTGTGAGTCCGAATCCTGTGAGGACATGGACTTTGACATGCGGCCTGGGGAATCTTGCGACGAGAGACCCTCCTTCCAGGCAGTCCACCAGGCCGTGCGTTCATTTTCTCATATCTATTATCTGTCTCGGTGTCCTGACTCCTGAGCTGCCTGCTCGCACAGCGCAAAGAACGTCTCCTCAAGATGTTCGCGCCCCAAGAACAGCTTCGTCGCTCCGATATATTGTATGATGGCAACTATAACCCCCCTCTCTGGCGATTTGGTTTCGCCTTCAAACATGAGGTTGCCCTCCAGTACGTCAAGGATCATCGGCTCGAGATCTCACTGGGTACGGGGGGGCTCACATTCGCGGAGGCCCTCGCTGGCGCAGGAGAGAGACGAATGGCGTCGTTAACGGCGCTTGCCTTCCTGGAAATGAAAGACCACCTCAGCGAGAAATGCGGCTTCTACTTGGAGTTTGCGCAGGTATTCTCGCATGAGCACAGCAATATCATCTACCTGTGGACCAACTACGACTTCGAGGAACAGTCGCGGTTCTGCCTCGACTACGACTTCGTGCTCGACACTCTCGAAGAAGCGTTTAGACCGTATTCTGGAGCGGTCGCTGAACCGAAGTGGTACCTCGACATACATGATGGCTGTCTGGTGCGCTCGTCGTTGTCTCTTTGATCAGCGGGTGCTTACTCTGGGAACAGGCAATCATGTAGCGTTTGGATTCCAGCGGTGGCCTATACGTGTCGTTTGGTCCTGGGTGTCGATGCGGCTTCAAACGCCTCCGAAACGCGTCCGTCATTACTACCAATTCCTACATGCACTTGTACTACCCATGTCGTTGCCTGCCTTGCCCTGCGCGGCGTTCCCAGTCCAGTCCCCCCTGAAGGCTGGCCGTACATAATCGCGGGAGCGCGACCGAGGAGACTAGATACATACGTCGAGACTCTGAACGCTCCCGCCAGGCCCCCACACAGCTCATCCGTTCAACTTGTCCTATTCCTCTCCTTCCTCCTACCCCTGGATCTGTTCTTGCGCGACCGCCAGCTTGTGTCTAGTCTTCATAGGTGACGGCATGTTCTTCAGCTGTGCCTTTGGGGGCCTGCTATACTTGATCGGGCTGGCATTCTGTTTCGACTCCGGTTCAGCAGAGGCCGTGCGGAAGCGCAACTGCTTATCGAGCTCTTTGTTCCCTATCTCGTGGGGATCGAATCCAATGGTTGCCATTTGCTGAGCCAGGTCGAGTACTGGCTCATCCCGAAGGGCGGTCTTGATTAATCCGTTCACCTGGTGAGTTTGAACATGAGTTACAGTGTGAGCACGACTCGATGCGAAACCACACGCCTTCCCTGAATCATCCGGGAACGCTGCAATCTCCTGAGGTAAATCAGTGGGCCCCGGGGCGAACAAGTCGCATGTGCGTTCAAGCCAGGGGAATTGTGCCGCAATTGGGCGATCCAAAGCATCGAGGAACGCGGGGGAGAGACTGACTGTCTTGTATTCTTTATACAGGTTATTCGTTCTCGAGTGCCACTTCGCGGACAAGGCTTCAAAGACGGGCTTGTTGGCACATATGGATGACCGTAGGCAACACGCGGCGGTGATAGATCGACAATCGCTCCTGGAATTGCAGAAGAAGCTTATCGCGAGCTTCCTCCTCCATCCCAGAGGCGTCGGCAGGTAGTACAACATCCTTCAGTCCCTTACTAGAGTAGAGAGGTTTGGAAAATTGCAATTGTGCGCGATTGCAATGAGTGATGGCGCGTAAGTTCGCCGTTGGAGTCCCGTCTCCAATGTGACCACCACCGTGACCGGGCCAGGCGAGCGCCGGGGCGAGAGATGCGACAACATGGTCCCTTACATCCAAACTGAGCATCCAGCGACTAGTTCAACTTGCGGCCAGGACAGCATGTAAATATGAAGGCAGCCACAGGAAGCAGACGAGTGACGACGAGATGAGAGCACAAGCGCAAACCTCACCAAGACTCTCGTGAGCCTGTCACGCTGCACATGGGTGACGGGCGTTTTCGAGCGGGCCGCGATGCCGTAGAGCGGTGCCAGGCCCGTCCCAACGGATTACAATCGCGTGCAATTGCCGTTTTCCAAACCTCTCTAGTGTCTTCGTCGATCTTGTCCGGACGGCTCCAAAGGACTTGGGTGAAGCGGTCATCAACGATCAGTGACTTGGAGTCTTGCGGCGCGGGTTGTGGAGAAATTCAAGCATCGCCTGATCGAAAACCTGCCTAAACGAAAACCCCAGAGTCGGCAGCTATTTGCTGCTCCCCGCTGTACCGTTCGCATCCGCCGTGTTGCTTGCTACTTCGACCCTCCTGATGAACGTCGCTAACTCCACCCACGGGCTTCATATACCCCAAAGCGACCCCATATCCGACGGTGGCAAGGGGACTTTGATTGGAACCGAGACCCCTCCTGCTTTATCATTCCCTTCGTCAACCTCCGACCATGCATCTCCTCCCGAGAGCGACTACGAGTCCGATTCCTCTGAGGGCGGTGAGTTGGAGATCCAGCCTGGGGTATCGTGTGACGATAGACCCTCTTTCGAGGCACCCCGCCAGGCAGTGCGTTCATTTATTTCCTCATCTAATATTTGTCGCGTTGTCCTGAGCTGCCATGCTTGTACAGCGCAGAAAGAATCTCCTTGAGAAGTTCGCCCCGCGAGAACAACTTCGACGCTCCGACCTCTACGATGGCACTCACGAACCTCCTCTATGGCGATTTGGTTTCGCCTTCAAACATGAGGCTGCCCTTCAGTACGCTACAGATCACCAGCTCAAGGTCTCGCTGGGACAGGAAGGACCCACATTTGAGGAGGCCCTTGCTGGCTCAGGAGGCAAACCATCGGCGTCGTTGACAGTGCTTGCCTTCCATGCCATGAAAAACCACCTCAGTAAGAAGTGCGGCTTCTTCTTGCAGTTTGCCCAGATATTCTCGCGTGAGCACGGTTATATCATCTCTCTGTGGACCAACTACGACTACGACGAACGGTCGCGGTTCTGCCTCGACTACGACTTCGTGCTCGACACTCTCGAAGAAGCGTTTAGACCGTATTCTGGAGCGGTCGCTGAAGCGAAGTGGTACCTCGACATGGAGGACGACTGTCTGGTGCGTTTGTTGTCTGTCTTCTTTATCCGCGGGTGCTCACTCTGGGAACAGGCAACCATGTAGCGTATCCATTCCAGCGGTGGCCTCGACGTGTCGTTCGGTCGCGGGTGTTGTTGAGTCACTACTCTGCATATTTCTTGTATCTCTGAATGGTCTGCTATGGACCAGGTTGGTGCCATAGTGGTGGGCGATGTATGTGGTAGACAAACTGTCAATTATGCGAGTTATGCGTAGATGCAACGGTAGTGCCAATGCGAACGAAGAATGAGGAGAGCTGACGAAAGCAAGGTCCATCCACGATTGTGAAAAGTCCGAATGGGTAATCAGTCCAGAGTGAGAATCAAAGCAAAACCACTACGGCCGCTCGCCCTCCACCGCGACGTCCTGCCGCCACTTGTCCACCCGCACCAGTTTGGTCGTATCCTGGACCGGCGGCGGCGTCGGCGGCAGCTGCGGGAAGCCCATCATCATCGGCCCGCCCGCCATCCCGCTCATGCCCGTCATCTGCGGCGCGAAGAAGCCCGGGCCCATCATCGACGGCGCCCCGAAGTACATCGACTGGTGCGCCACCGCCATCTGCGCCATCTGCGCCTGCGCGAACATCTGCTGTTGTTGCTGCTGCTGGGCGGCCGCCATCATGTACTGCGACTTGCGGAGCTGGTCGGGGTGCATCCCGAGCGGCATGTCGTCCTCGTCGCCGTCCCCGCCCGCCATCGAAGAGCCGAGGAACGCTGTCGAAGCCCGTAGACCGAGTGGCTTGTCGTCTTCGTCTTCGTCCTGGCCCCCGTTGCCGACCCGCGGAGACAGCGACAAACTTCCGCCGCTGATCGACGGCAGCTTGCCCTTCGTCTTGTCGAGAACCGCAACGAGGGGCGTGTCCTCGTCGGAGCTGTCGTCGCCGCCGAAGCGCGACTGTTGCTGCCGCTGTACGGCGCGTCCGATCGTCGCAACAAGAGGCACGTCCTCCTCACTGCTGTCGCCGCCGCCACCGCCGACCTTCGGAAGCCGTGGCGGCCCGCTGGACATCGCCGCGGGATAGCGCGGACCGCTGCCTGTCGTCCTACGTGGGCCTTCGTCTTCATCCGAGTGCCAGCCGGAAGTCTGTGCCTGAGTGCGGGGTCGAGGAGCGTCGCTGTTGTCGCTGTCATTATCGGACTCGTCGTCGTCGTCATTGTCCGTGGGGGGTGGTGGTCGGCGCCGAGCGGTCTTCGGAATGGCGGGCAGAAGGGGAGGGGCAGACAGACCAGACGAGGACGGGTGAAGTTCTGGTGGTGCCGGAGACGGGGTTTCCGAGTCAGGAGGTGCAGGCGAAACAGGGAGGGACGAATCATTGGCTCTGGCTTTGTTCTTCTTCTTCTTGTTCCTCCTCGCTTCCTCCCCGAACTCTCGCTTCCGGCGCTCCTCTTCGGCGATGCGCTCTTGCTCTTCGATGACCTTGAGCTTCGCCAATTCGCGCTCCCAAAGTGTGTCCACACCAAATACAGACTTGGTAGCAGCTGCAGGACCAACGTTCTGGCGTGGAGCCCCTGGAATACCTTCCTCGAAGTCGAGAAGGGGCTTGGCGTTGACCGAGCCCCGACGCTGGAGCTCGGGCTGGGAGTGGAAAGAGTTCATATGCTGCGAGGCTGGCCGCTTGAGTTCCTCCGGAGTAATGAGCGTGCTGGAGCGTTTCACTTGCGTGCGCTGCATCATGGACGGTCGGTCATCACCTCGGAACACCCTGTGCACCCAAAGTCAGCCTCAATGAACGAGAGACCACGAAATACGGACGTACCTCTGCTTGCCCCGCATTTCCGCCTTCCTCGCCTCGAGGTCGTCGATGAGACTGCGGCCGAACAGCTTCCCAGCGGGACGCTTCGGCCCCTTGGGCTCGTCGTCCATGATCGGCACCTCGTCCTGCTCAAACTCCTCCTCGATCTGCTCCCCGTCCTCCGTCGCACGCCGGAGGTGCGCGTCGATGTCCGCGTACGCGACGTCCCTCTGCCCGTCGACCATGAGCGTGTTCCGGAACGTGAGCTGGGAAAGCGTGAGGCTCGCGCGCGGGTTCGGCGTGAACGAGTTCGACGCGACCGGCGGGGCGAGCCCCCCAGGCGCGAGCCCTGGCTCCATCACCGAGAGCGTCACCGACGACCGCCGCGCCGCCCGCGCGCCCGGGGGCAGCGGCCGGCCCTCCACGGAGAGCTCGAAGCCGTCCGTCGCGCGCGGCTGCGGCGGCTGCGGGCCCTCCGGTGCGTTCTGCAGCGGGCTGGGCATGATGAGCACCTTGGGGCGCATGAGCTCCATGCGCGAGTACCGCCGCTCGCGCGTCGGCGGGCGCTGTTGGTGCTCCGGCTGCGCGGGCGGCTGGTCCTCCTGCGGCTCGTCGTAGTCGAGCATCATCTGCGTCGCGAGCGTGCCCTGGGAGATCGTGCGCGCGCGCTGCGCCTTCGGGTCGAAGCGCGACATGCGGCTGGGCGACGGGGGGCGGAGCGCGAACGGGTTATCGGTGTCCTCGGCGGGCGCGGCGGTCTCGAGGATCTTGCTCATCGAACCGACACTCATCGCGCGCCGGCGGCCGTCGAGCACCGGGGACGGCGAGCGGATCGACTCGCTCGTCGGGAACGGCACGGAGTGCAGCGGGGAGCCCGCGGGGATGCGGTCGATGAGGACGTGGGCGGATGGGCTCCGCGACCGCGGCGGGAAGATGACATCGTCGGAGTGGGCTTCGGGGAGGTTGAGCGGGTCGCCTATCGAGTGCCGACGGGGGCTGAGCGGGTTGGGCGTGCCCGGGGCCGGGGCCGGGGAGGGGGAGGTGGACTGTGAGTCGAGGAACGCACCGCCCACGCCGAGGCCGTTGAGCAGGGTGGCGCTGTTGGCGCGAGAGTGGATCGGGCGTGCGTTGCGTCCGGGGCCTTCGTGTGGGTTGGGCAGCATGTCCGACTTGGCCCTCTTCCGCTGCCTCGCCTTCTCTTTCTCCTTGTCCTTGTCCACGAGGGCGTCCAGCCCCCACGACGCCAAATCAACTTCCAAGTCCTCCTCCTCCTCTTCCTCATCCAGTGCCCCTTCATAAGTGGAGTCGCGGCCAAACGGATTCCGGAGGGCGTCGACAGAGCCTCTTGACCGTCGGTCCCAAGCTATAGAGTCGCGCCCCACAACGCTCGCTGTCTCGCTGGGGAGAGTGACCCCGAGAAGATCCGAGGTCTTGCGCTCTGTTATTGGAGGCGGACCTCGAAGATTATTGTTGCGGAAATGGAGGAAGAGAGCGCTCTCCTGTGCGTTCCGTCGCGGCTTGGATGGGTCGTCGTCGTCATTATCGTACTCTGACACCCGCCTGCTCTTAGCGACGCTATCTCTCAATCAAGGTGCATACACACCTATCAGAGCCGCTGCAAGTTGCAAGCGAGAGAATGGCGCGGACATGGTGGAGATGTCTCGTCAAAGAGGGAGGGGATGAAGGGTCCGATTTGACGGATCCAGACAGCCAAGGTACGGCCCCGGCTGCCACCCCTGCACGCTCGTCCACGTGACGTCTGTCTGTCTTAAGCCGTACAGTAGCTACTAGCAACGGCGTTACAACAGTTCGAATCCCACGCGGCCTTCGTAAAATGAGGCTGGCCTCCCAATTGCGGCCAGTAATTCGAGTGTGGACCAGTTGGACAAACGGCTGACAGTGTGACAATGCGAGGTTTCATATCCTGCCTGCAGACACAATAATACAGTAGCATGTAGAATGTCCGCGAGGATAAAGTATGATGAAACTACAGAGTGGGAGGAGCAAATGCGCTCCAGTGACTCGAAAGCGATATCGTGAGATGACAGAAAAGCAATGCGATGCGACAGGGGATGGCATGGCGGCGAGGCGAGGCGGGCATGGGGAGACAACGCCGTGACAGGGAGGGGTTGCACGGGCGCGGGGAGTGGGCGTACGTAACTACAAGACAGTCAATGCGATAAGGACTATAAAGCATATATAAATATGCGGCCGACCACGGTCGACGAGAACGTCCGTGCTCGTATGCAAGATCAGCTCCCTTCCTCCTCTGGAGGGTTGGGGTTCAGAAGATACAACCGCCGCTTGGGGACGGTGACCACAGCCACATCGCGGCGACTGAGTTCATCCTCTATACGGCGCTGGCGGGAGTCTTCGTCTTCGTCGTCGTCATCCTCAACGTCCAAATCGTGGCCGTGCGACGTCAACGTGGGATAATCACGGTCTCCGGGGTGTACTGTGCGATACGGCGGTTGATGATGTTGGTACGGACCACGGCCGTCGGAGGGGAAGGGGAAGGTTACAGAGTCGTTCATAGACAGAGGCTGAGAGCCCGCTGGCGAGACGGGTCGCGGCACAGGTGAAAATCGAGCCGGTTCGTGTCGAAGGCGGCTGAATATAACGGAGAGGATGGACTTGTTCGGACGACCGTTCCACGAGAGGCCGACGAGGATGCCGTAGAAGATGACGGACCACGCCAGGAAAGCGGCGAACGCGCCGATGGGTCCACGCTGGAAGAGTGCGACCAATGAAAGAACGGTCAAGGCGAAGACCAGAACGTGGAACAGAACGTGGGTGAAACCCTCGAAGGCGGACGGGAGAACAGGATGTTCCGGTGCTTGTTCAAGCATGAGACCGTTGGTGCTCATGATTTCCATCGGCGTCGTGCCTGGGGTCCAAGGAGGGTCCCGGCGATCAGTAGGACTGAGACCTTCTCCACCCTGCATGACGTCAAAATCAGGCTCTGAGGAAGAGGTGAGGAACGACGACATACCATGCCGCCAGGACTCCGTCGAGCGTCTAGCCAGCTCATGTCGCTGAGATTGCGGGGAGTGTGGGTTGGCCGAGGGTCCGAGAACGCAGCCAGACTATTGCCGCTGCTGCGGCGTTGACGATGCCCCCGATTGACGACCTCAAAGGATCGCTGCGATGGAGGGTGGCCTTCCACGTTGGTCTCATTTGAACGGCGGCTGGGGACCCCTGCCCAGGTGCCAATGCCAGCCCACGAACGAGCTTTTCGCCTGCCTTCGCCTTCTTGGGAGGCACGGCCCCAGAGCGTGCTGATGGGCTGGCTGCACGACCCAGGCCATTTACGCTCATCTTCTCCATGGCAGAGTCGGAACGCATCCTGCTGTCTGAAGGGTCCAACGGTTTGGTCGACGTGCGACGCAGGCATAAAACAACGAGCTGGAGAACTGGGACTAGGAAGTAGAGCGCAGCAAATAGGCCAACACCGGCTTTCGCGTGTGATGTTTGGAGGTGAAGTGGAGGTGTAGATCGCTTGGTGGGAGAAGAGGTGGGTGCAACGCTGATTGACGTGAAAGCGGTGACGAAGCCAGCGATGCCGAGAGCATAGGCAACAGCACCCACGATGACACCGAGATACATCAGTCCCATGTGGCGTCCCATGGGTCTTGTTGGCCCAGACCGTTCCGATAGTCGATAAAAGGCCACCGCGGGGAGGAACAAGGCCACCGACACGGCAGGAAGATATTTGTGAAGTGCGGATGTGTCGTACACAATACCGCTGGGCGACGCACTGGAGGTTGGGTTGCTCGATCCGGAACCTGTGCCGGTGGGTGTCGGGGAGCTTGACTGTGAAGTTGTGGTAGTTGACGTGCCTCCGAGTTGGACCGCGCATTCCGTCATGTAACTGATGGTAACGCCTTGACCATCGGCACTGATACCCGTGGTCAGCGAGCCACTGCCATAACCAGTCCATTTCTGGCCATTGGCTGTGACAGTCCCGTTGTACGCGCGGAGGATCCATATGTCCGACAAGTAGTTGCCTGAAGCATCGCGGCCTCCGAAGATAATGGTGTCAGTCACCTTCATGGAAGATCCGCCGACGAGAGGACCATTCCACGACAGTGCGGACGCGCCTTGCCGGGGAGGGGGAATTTGGCCTTGCCGTTCGACGTGTTGGGATCGCCCGCGGGAAGAACCCGAGCCCAAGTTTCTGTAGAGGATGTTTAACAAAGGGTCAAGAGGATGATGGACAACACGAACCAGTTCCAATATCAAGGACAACCTGTGGATGCCGGCTAAGTGAGAAACTCGTCACAAGATAACATCACTGTACTTACCACTTCGCCTTTAGTCAGGCCACCTCCATCGTCCCATCGGCCGCTGTTAAATGTGCCCAATAGAACAAAGGCTTGCTGGCTGAAGCTGCTGGAAGCGGTGTTCATGTTTGGCACGACGACAGGGTCGACACGAGCCGAGATACATGGATGGGGATTCTTGACTTGGCCAGTTGTAGCATCGATAATTTGCGAGTCTTGAACGGCGCAAGAGGCAGAAGTAATCGCGTCAACTGATGAAGCAGACGTACAACCTCCGACTGCAACGATTTGCTGCCCAATCACAGTCCCGCCCATGCTGACCCGTCCGGGAACAGTCGTGCCAACGGAAACTTTCTTCCAAGACGCCTCAACTCCCTTTGGAATATTTGACGATAGCGTTCCGGAGACATCGAGCTGCCAAACTTCCGATATGTCGAAGATTGTACTTCCGCTAGCACCGCCGGCCATGTAGAGGGTGTTGTTGAGGGCATCGTCGACGACTCGGGGGTCGATACCACCAACGCCACCCCATCGGGATGAGGGGCCATTTCCAGCTACATTCACGGCAGCCCAAAACTTGTTGGTGTAGTCGAATTCCTGCGCGCAAGGTGTTGGAACGTGAACAGTGTGATTAACTCAACTTGAAAGCGCGTACCCAGATATCTGCAGCAGCAGAGTCACTTGCACCCTCGCCGTCAATCACGATATGGCCATTCCGACTGCGTATGGTGAGCTTGTGATCCCGAACTTGAAAGCAGCTAAACGCACTAGCTCGCCGCAGAATCGTCTCCAGCCACCATTGCAAACCTTGCGGCCGGAGTGGACGTGAGTCCAGACGGAGCGCTCGGCTGTGACCACTGGAGATTACTGAGATCCAGCCTGTCGCAGAGCCAATTCAACATAAGTTTCTCTGGCATCAAACGCTTAACATACGCGTAAGTGTTCGCCGTCGGAACGCCTGTCTGGGATTCGCCTCCGAAGATAAGTAATGTGTTCGCCCCGTCGTGGCCCATGCTTGCGTCTTTGAGAGGGGGAGGGGATGTGCCGCCGAGAAGATCCGTCAGCTCGATCCATTGGAGGGGCGGGACGGGCATGTTAGTGGAGAGCGTTTGGGCGTGAACGAGAGCAAGAGAGGACATGAAGAAGACAAGAGGAAGAAAGACATGGCGGGGATGGAGCGGGGTGAAGCGGGGCATCTTGAAGTCGACGCGGGGCCTGCGTAGCCCGTGCTCTGAAGAGCAGAGGGGAGGGGAGAGGCGGCCAGCGGAGCGATGTGGTCGTTCGCAAGGAGGGAGAGGGAGCCCGACGCGCCCCAGACGCGCAGGCGCCCACGCTGCTTTGGAGCGGCTTCTCGCACCACTCTCTTCCCACCTTGTTCCCACCGTCCACCCGGCCGCGTCTCTCTCCGCCGCCCGCGCCCGCGAAGCCCCTGGCTCTCGCTGGCCCCTCAGCCGTTCGCTCTTTGGACTTGCCCGATAATTTGGGAGGTGGTCTGCAAATGCCGGATTGCTTGGCAAGCGGCCCCGCGCCGCCGACGTGCACTGCGCTAGTTCTCATTTTTAGGCGCGGGCCAATGTATCTCCGCAGCCACTGGTCCTTATCTGCTGCCAGCACGTAGTACGCGCCGTATAGTTGGCTGCCAACTTCCATACAACGATATTTTACCTGGGAAGAGCGCCTTTAAAAGCTCCGTCGAGCCTATTGCTCTGTCGGTGGTATGTACGTTGGTCCGAGTTGTTCTCACACGGCCGTGGCTGATTTCGCTCCACTGCTGTTCCCAACACCGTGCCAGTCTTGCAGACCGCAGTCTTCTGATCTGCCGCGCAGGAATAATGCCGATCTCGAAAAGAACAGTCTCGCACGCACCTGCGCACCAGTCTCACCTAATACCTTCCAAGGTACTCATTCGTGACCCTCCGTGCTGAGGTCGGACCAGTGTCCTAGTGTTCACAATGGTCGTGGCAAATGGGATAATACAGAGTCAGATAATAACAGGCCCTCGGGTAACGATCCATTGAAGACACAAATATAGACTCAGACTGTGTCTTGTGGTCTCAGAACCACATAAGTTGTCGGAATTGACTCAGGTTCACGAAATGATTGGCCAAGCTCAGCAGAATAGGAGTGTAGGTGAGCGATTGTGGTAGTCGTTAGTGCGACACATTCGCCGGGGGCATCGAGGCTATGCATCGTCTTGTTTCCTTGGAACCGTCGACGACAGTGGCCAACAGTCGATGTCGAGAGAGTGATGATCATCTCCGGCGGCGAGTGCATCCGCTCTCGCTCGGTGCACAGCAGCACGGAGGTTTCCAACGCCGTCCTAGCGCGCATTGCGTGTCTCGGTCGAAGGAATGGAGCACTGGGTGGCCCCCAGAGGCCATTGTGACCGCTGGCTGAAGAGTCTGGTTAGCCACCCCCAGCTGTCTGCGGCGCGGGGCCCCGATCTGGCGCACGATCGGCGGTGGCCGATCTGAGCCTGCACAGAGCCTCTCCCGCGGCGATCGAGCCATGGCTTCATTGGACGGCCCCCCACGTGCTCTTAATGTCCGCTCGGAGCGCCTGCGTTGCCACCACTCCGGCGCTCCGCCCGCCACTCCCGCAGCGCCTCGCATCAGCAAAATGGGCGCGGAAACGGTAGCGTCTGATAGTGCATGGGGGCATTCGTAGCGTACGATAGTTAGTGATAGCGAAGACAATAGACAGTAGCTGAGCATCCAAGTACTGCAGTAACTCGTAGTGTATTATCGTCTGCTTCTTCCGCTATCAAATGATGATCGTATCTCGCGGGCAGGGCTATCATTTCTGAGTGCGCACGCGACCATATATCGGTCATCTGCGGCGCATGAAATGATAGCGCCACATGATAAAGTGTCAAATCTAGGGGAGGAGATGACAGATAACCTATAGCATCATGCGGAAGATTATCGTCGTGAGGCTCGCGCATAATCACACAGGTAGAATAATACAATCGCGCAGTAATCCATTCAGGGTAAATACGAGGGTAAATACGAAACAGCGGCCGTTCTACAAGGCGGACTACAATGTGCATTCAGAAAACAAGCCTGTGGTGCAAGCAATAAGCGAGACAACACGAGGATGTACGAGGGCTGACGTGACGTGCGCCGTCGCCGTCGCCGTCATTGCCACCTTCCGGGACCTCCTCATTTGAGCCGGTGTTGAGGATGTCGTCGAAAGGCGTGCACTCCTTGTCGACAGTGAGGGCGACGTTGCCAAACAGGCGCCTGTGATGGACGGTGTCAGCCAACTCGTCTCAATATCGCGCATGAAACAGAGGCTTACTGGATCCACCAAGTGGTCGTCTTCGCCTTCTGCTGCTTCCGGCGAGTCTGTGCCGTGCGTGTGAACTTGAGCACGAAGTCGTGCACATCCCAGAAGCCGTCCTTGTCGCTCCATTCAGGCTCACTGGTGAAGGAGAAGCGCACCTAACAGGTTACAGGGGAAGAATGTGAGCGTGATGAGCAGCAGGGAATAGATGCGGGACTTACCAGACTAGTGATGTACACGACTCTATACAAGGTGAAATCGTCGGCAATTACTTGTCAGCATGCAAACAGAACAAATTTGAGAGCTACTCACAAGTTGAGCATGGTACTGAGGCTCTTTGCTGCGTGCTCCGACTCTGCGGCGTGTCAAACAGTGGCTGCAGGTGCGGCCTGACCTAGTGCCAAGGTGGAGGGCGCCGGGGGCTGTGTGAGCGGCGTCAGTGCGGTATGGCGGAGACGCAGTCTGAACGACGAGAGCTGGAAGCATCGTAGGGCTGAAACCGAGTCATAGTAATAAGCAGCAGTGGTACCGGAGAGCGCATAGTCAGACGTACTGTTGGACACTGAGCGAGGGGTGAAAGATTGGGAGACGGAACCGGAGGCGATGTGGCGAGAGATGTGGGGGCGGGACGCGCGCTGGGAGCCAGTGGTGCGGCGGGACTTGCGCTTCTTGCCGTCGTCACCGGCTCTATTACGACCGAACGGGGTCTGAATACCACTTCAATACGACATTGAACCGTAAAGTAACTGAGCATACCTGGGGTGTAGGCTTGCCGCTGGGAACAGAGAAAACGGCGTGTACCACCTGCGAGAGGTTGTGAAAAGCCGTGTTGATGGCGACGTCGATAGAAACGTGGGTGCAGTGGCGAGCGAGACACTGAGGGCGGGGAGTGAGGAGGAACCCACCGTCTCGTTATGCATCGCACGCGAGGGTGAGTGGCACATCGCACTTGGGGGATGGTGGCGGTTGCGGGTAAAGTCCAGTAGGCGCGCACACCCGCACGCGCCCGTGTCTGGGAACAACAGGAGGCCAAAGCGGGACGCCACCGCCGCATCGAACCCTATCAAACCGCGACAATTAGCAGGAAATCATCGTAGGCAATGGACTTTAGAATGTCGCTGCTAACACTGACCTCCATGTGTCTCAGGGCCATTCTCCACGCCGACGAGAACCGGACCTACGCCTTCGGAGGCACACTGGGGACAACCTGCTGCGCGAGCGTCTTCTTCATATGTTGCCTCACGTGCAATCAACTTCTAGTGCCATCCGCAAACAATGTGTCAGCTCCAACGCTTCCTAACCAGCTCGTGAGCGATATCGCTTACGCGTAGAACGCTGGGAGCTTTGTCGGCACGTCCAGCCCCTCGACGCCTGAGAGCATGCCGTGCGACACGGAAACGATGGTCCAGATCATGGACGAGATGTCCGCGATCGTGTGCATGTCGCCGAGCAGCCACTCCTACTTCGACAGCACGCTTTTGAGCATGCCGAACACCCGGATGACCTCGTTCTCATACCGGATGATCGCGGAGGGGAGCTTCTCCGGGTGCAGGCACTGGAATCAGCCAAAGTAGGGGCTATGCGCGGAGCATTGTCAGACATTGACAAACGAGGCTTCGCGCACATGCAGGCTGATCGACGCACCCTCGGCCGGACGCCTAGAAGAAGAACCACTGGACGAGCACGTAGCCTCGGCCGCGGCCGCACTCGTCGTCCTGCACCGGTGACAGCTTGCCCTCCTTCAGGCCGTACTTGTCCATGAGGTAGAGGATGATCGCTCCCAACTCCCAGATCGTAAAGTCGCCATTGTGGTGGTCGATGTTGAGCGCTGAGCATTGGAATGCGGCCATTGGGGTTGTACTAGGTGTACGAGGGCGCCTTGTGCTCGCCCTTGTTGAAGGAAGGCCAAGTTCCTAAAGGACCATATGGATCGAAGATACGCTCGAGTCTGTGCCAGTGAGGGCGCGACGAAAGAGCCACCGGGCTCCTGCAGGCAGGGAATAGGTCGACAAATTGCGCCGATGGGAACGCAGGAGTAGAGCAGAGCGTACCTCGTCAAGCTTCCACCGCCTAGTATCAACAGACTTATATCAGAACCTCTTCCCCGTCGCATTGGTGGAGCTTCAAGCTACAGAGGTCATAGCTTGTCGAATCATGGGATATCGAGGAGGACAGGGGCGGAGCATCACGGGGAGTTCAGCTGGGCCGAACTAGGCTGGGCGTCCGATGTGGATATTGACGGAGCATGACACGATGGGAATTAGTGCAGGTATTGCCACCATAAGGGAACGGATTGCGGAGGAAAAGCAGGAGCATATCGGTAGGATAGTGGTGGGACGAGACAAGTAGCGCATCTGTAGGCGTCTATCGAACTCCGTGCGATACGGGCCTCAAGGTCGCCCAGAGTGCACACCATGACCTTGCAATTAATTTCGGCAGCACCCCTCGTAACTGGTTCGTAGGAGTGTATTTGCGCATACCACACTGCGGGAAGGCCCCAGAGTCGGTGGAAAATCCAGGCTTTTTCGCGGGAAACGGGCGCCTGCCCGCGCTGACGTCCGTCCGCATATCGTCGCGCGCATCGCGTTCTCTGCCGCGCGCAGTGTTCGCGTCCTCGCGAGCCAACCGTATAGCTAAATACGAACCTCTTGTGCACCCCGCGCGCCCCGTGATTCACCCTTGAAGGAGCGCATGATCGTCTACTATCATCGACTACAGCTTTCTGTTCAAGCTACTTGTGCCTGTAGTAGATCCATCATATCCTGTCTGCGGCCACAAGATTTGATCGAACCCCATAGTAAAGACGAATGAATATCAGCTGCTACCGTTCTGCTACCATCACTTGTCGCGCAGACAATAGACGACCTGTCCCGATATGGCAGTGTCGCGTGCTATCGGGCGCTACCGTTAAAAACACCTTTTGCTGATGACTCGCGGCAGCGTTCCCTCCCTCCCTTTCCGGAAACGACTCCGTCTCAACGAATCAGTCTCAGCACACGATGTTCATCGAGGCCCTCGACGCCACTCAATGGCATCTCGCTGCACACTCCAAAGGAATGTCTAAGCTTGTGTCCTTGCTTGGTCCTTGCGGTGAGTCTGATTTCTGCGGCCTTTGGAATGATGTTCACCAATGCCTCGAGGAGTGACACAGCTCCGAACCCATTTACAGGCGCATCCCAGAGAATTCCCCTTTGTGCCTCTTCTCTGAATAGTGGGTGTCTTTTCCGATAGGTGGCTTTGATTCGGATTACTCACTGTACTCGCAGTTTCGACCGCTTTGGACCGCTCTGGGGGTCCTGGTTACAGGTTTCTCACTCTCAATCGTCCTCCATCAAAGTTGTCGGTTCTGCCGGCTGAACATTCACGAAGAAGTAAAGCACGCTGTAGGACACTCGGTGTCGTCGTCCACTTACTGAGTGGGTCCAACACCTTGGTTGTACACGACTTCTGGGGTTCGGACACGCAAGTATGACCGCAGCAGCTGGTACGAGTTTATCTCATGGCAATCTCGTTTTTTTGTCTCGGGTCAAACAACGCTTCTGCGCTCTCTGTTATAGATGCCGTAACTCGTTCGTCTTAAGGACTACTCATCTAATTGCTCCAGGAAAAATTTACAGTCGTTTGTCAGCGCAAGACCCCTTTCCAGCGCCTCAAATCAAAACCCTGAGCGCCGCCGCCTCCAAAATCTCCCTTGTGCCGCCACGGCGCCCATTTTTTTTCCCACAGAACGACCGCAGAGACGGCGTCTGTCATGCCTTGAAGCCCCGTTCGCCTCGAGGATTGTTCGGCCAGCCAACTACCGCAAAATCCGCCGCCGCCAATTTCCATACCCAGGACAACCTTTGGGAAGAGGCCCGCTTCTTTTCCCTTGAGGACGATCGCTCAACTGCGTGGTATACGTGATGGGGTCGTACACCGTCACGGATAACAGGCAGACGAAGACGCAGATTCGCTGAAGCGCGTCCGTTTACGCCCATCGAGGCGGCGTTCGCGCAGCGTCGCGCTCCCCGCTCCACGGGTGAGTTTGTACTTCCATTGTCGTGCTGGGAGCAGGCATCATACCTCGACACACATGTGCAGACAGGTGCCTCCATCTGTTTATGCCACCTAGTACGCTGTGCAGGCGCGCGGGAGGGCGCAGAGCGGTGTGCTCCCGCGACATAGGGTCTCTTGCCGTACCTCGTCCAACTCAGAAGACCAGACGGAGACCACACATCTAATGGAGTACTGTATAAATCGCGGTTTCCTCTATTGAGGTGAGTAGTTCGTAAGCTCTGTCTCCAAAACTATCCCTCACATGTGCTCTCGCCTAGCCCCTCTCCTGCGTCCAAACGAGTGAGCCTTTCTGTAGCCCCCTCGGCCGCCGCCCGTGCGGTACTCATTCCCCTTGTTCTTTCTTGCATTCAGGCCCCCGCATGGGTACAGTGGCGAAACGATGGGTACAAGTGTACCATCAGTCACGCATGTGCACATAGGTCGTTCAAGCGGAGCAATGAGATAGAGCTCCATGCATACAGGGAACACGGCGTACAGTGAGCGACGGGTCATGCATGCGGGGCGGCCTCCACGAACTCACGCTTGGTTCCAAGGGCGCTGAGACCGGTCACCTGCGTTGTGTGCGGGTGGACTTTGAGGGACTTTGCGGCGTACGTGAGGCATGTCCCAATGCAGTGAGTGCACACGAATCGCTCCGGAGGTCCGGTGACTTATGCGCGCCCCATCGCAGCTCCTCTGTACAGAGGTGCACGCAGTGCGGCCTGGACTTTCCATGTCACGCAGTCAGGTTTCAGCATTTCCAAGCGCAGCACCAGCTCAATGCCCAAAACACATGATGCGCGGACACTTGAGCGACCCCCGCGGTGTACACGGGCAGCATGAGTGGCTTCCATAGCGCGGTGATTTGCTCCCGCGCAGGTGCCTTTATTTCCCAAGACTTTGGATCCGTATAACATAGTACATCAATCTAGTGCACGCTGCCGGTATAGTATCCTACATCACCTCTATAATCTACGCACAATATGACCCGTTTTGTCGCCTCCTCCATCCCCGATGATCCGCCTGGGCCCAAGACCGTCATGCGGACCGGACCGGTTCCGCCCATCCCAGCTGGACACGTTCTAGTGCCCGCAGCACTTTGTACCCGAGACCGGCGACTCATGCACATGCTCCATCCGTCTCGAGACAAGACGTGCAATCGCCCGATCGGATTAGACACGGGCTCGTCACATCGCGCCCCGGCGTCCTACCCATTGTCTTGGAACGACGAGGGCCCTGGAGAGGCGGCGACGAACGCTGGCCCGCGCGCACCCCTCGAACCGCACGCGCGGCGGTGTTGGCAAGGCCAGGTTGCCGGGACGCTGCGACCCACACAGTGCGGCGCGGCGGCGCGGGCTCGACTGGCACTGGCGTCGGCCCCGCTGGTGGCGCTCCGACCGGCCTGCTAGGCTGCCTTCTAGCGTGCTGGGTCTGCCAAGAAAAGCGCGCGCGCAGAATTGACCGGCGGGGGGAGCTGGCGCGAGGGCCCCATCGACGTCGACGTCGCCATCGCTGCGCACCGCTCCGCCGGCGACCCGGCGTCCTAACAGAAAACCCTACCGGACGTCCGAGCCCCCCTACCCGCGTTTCGACCCCATCGCCGTCAGCTGACGGCGGACAGCTGCGAGAACACCGGTGGAGGTCGGACTGGGGCCTGCCAGGACGGGTACTATGGTCAAGGCGCGCGCGTGTCTGCGCGTGCGGGTGCCAGTGTGCGCAAGGATCGCGGGGTGTGGGAGTCCCGGGACCACGGCGGGACGTGCGGGCGTGGGCGTCACTGTGTGCGGAAGGGGCCCGCCTGGGGCAGCCACTTGCGCGCGGGGGCCGAGAGGAGGGGAGGGGGAGGGGACTTGGGAGGACTTGGGAGGGCGTCCCCCGCGCGCGCATCTCGAAGCCCGTCGCGCCACGCGGCGTTCGCGCTAACTCCGGCTGGAGGCCCACCCACAGTTCTGCGCACCCGCAGTGGCGGGGTACGTATGGCTGGCGGTTGGAGCGAGCGCGGGGATGCGCACGTACGGGCGCCGGGGCGTGCAGCGCTGGACGCGGTGCAAGACGGTTTTGATTTTGAGGGTGCAGTTCGGGGTGGGCGCGCGTCGAGCAGGGTCGCGGTGAGTACGAGACGCAATGATGCAGATGGCCATTCGAAGCCTCGCCGCGCCGTCAGATGGGGAAGTTGGGACGGAGCATCGCCTGGTGGGAGGGGCAAAGCAGGCCGGGCGGGGTGCGCGCAGAGAAGGACACAGCAAATCGATGCGGGCAGCCCATGCGGCATCTGGGGACGTCGAGGGGTGGGTTCGGACTCTGCGCGGGGCTCTGGACCGTGCTTCTCTCCGGCGCGGAGGGAAGCGCGAAGTCGGGCAAACGTCGGGTGGCGGCGTCGCTGTCGACCGACGCGAGCGTTCTCTCGCGCGAGCTAGTCGGTAGCGAAGGAGAACAACCGTGAACGAGCGACATACGAGTGCACAGGGTGCGCAGATCAGCCGTGCGGATCGAGGGGCACGGCAGCAGCTGTGTCGCAGGGGCAGAGGGGAGAGAGAGAGGCCTTTGTTCTCCACGCGGCAGCGCGGGCTCCGGCCGAGCGGGCTCCCCGTCCGCTGATGAGATGATCCAGAGCCGATAGCGCACTCGGCGCCAACCCCGCAGGCGCTCCTGCCCGCCCTTTAGGCGCTGCTTGTCGCGGGAATGAATTGTCCACGTGGATTTGTGTCGCTTTGGGTCTGTGGGTCCTCCCCATCAATCGGCTTCCCGGCACTCCCTCGCAGTTCCAATCGGAGTCTGAACCTCCACGCCTCCCCCAGCGCCCAGATTCGCGCTCGACGATGTCCACTTCTCACACCCCCTCAAATCTCCAGATTCGCGGTCCCCGGTCAAAAATCCGCGAAATAATGGGACACCTCCCAATTCGGCAGCCGTGACCCACCGTGGGTGCGCGCTGCTATAAAGACGCATACCCTCCTCCTCCCCCTCCTCCTCATACCCTTAGCGTCTTGCTCCTTCCCTCCCGCGCGGCCCCTTCGCTCCGCGCCGCTTTCCAAGACCCTCTTTCTCCTCCCCTCTCGCGCTCTACGCCCTCCCACGATGTATCCTTCCGCTTTCTGCGAAGAGGTCCCAATGCACGACCGCAGCCGGTGAGTGTGGCGGCACTTTGAACACTACCCTCCTCCCTTCCCCCTCGCACTCTTCCTATTCGCCGCGCCCTTCGTGTGGGACCCGAACCTCATCGTTCTTTTCGCGTTTGGTTGCGCAGGGAACGTGCTATGGAGGGTCGCCACCGTGCCCGCCACCTTAGCCGCCGGGCCTCCTCCCCCTACCAACTCGGTTTCGCCACCTTCCCCGAATCCCGTCGGATCAGCTCTCTGAGCCAGTTCTCGTACGTGCCTCGCGGTTACAGCCGCTCGCCACCGTCGAGCGCCACGACTTCGCCCCAGACGGACTCGCTTTCCCTCTCTCCGCCACCGTCAGTTTCCTCGCGTATCCTCCCAATACAGTTGGACTGACATGCCTCCAGGACCGTTACTAGTTTCGACAGCGAGCGCACTCGCAGCAGCTCGCCACCACACAGTGAGGTACAGCTATCAATCTACTCCAAGCATACCGCCACCTACGCATGGCCCAAGTTCGAGTACCCTCCCAAGGAGGGCCAGCCCCCCGCGCGTATTTACGTGCAGTACCGTAAGTCGCCCAGCGACGTCGACTCGAACTCGAGCAGCTCTAGCTCTCCCGCTGCTGGCCTGCATCTGTAAGTGGACGGTCTCCGCAGTGTGGCGGGAGCTCACCGCGCGCCTTCCAGCTCGCTCCCCTTGCCGCGCGCGGTCTCGACCCCGGCTCGCTCCCGCGTGAGCTCCTCGCCCGAGTCTGAGTAAGTCGCGTGGGTCACACGCGCCGCGCCATGCTAACGAACGTCTGATCAACAGCATATGCTCGTACCCGAGCAGCCCCTCGGACAGGTTCCTGAAGCACCGCAGGTGAGAACAAGGCGCCTCGCGTAGCCGACGATCAAAAAACTCTCGCTCACCTTGTCTCCGCGCACGTGCAGGGTCACCACATCGGACATGGAGGCGGCGACGCGCGAGCGGTCGTCGCGCGATCAGACGGCGCTCGACGCCCTCCATGCCCTGCGCATTGACGTCCCCGGGTCCCGCGCCCCCGCCGGGCTCCCGACAAGCGCGGAGCAGCCGGTCCGCCTTGAGGCCGCGCATCAATCAATTTCCGCCCCCTCTCCCGCGCGCGTCCGCCCGGCCTCGCAGGCGCCTCTGGCGGCACTCCCCGTCGCGATCACCGCGGTCGGACAGACGGCGGAGAAAGCGGCCGAGTGGACGAAGCACGCGGAGGACCGCGGCGAGGAGGGCTTCGTGTGCACCTGGACGGACGACTTCACGCCGAACCCGTGCGGGTACAAGTCCAAGAAGCACCTGGTGAAGCGGCACATCAACTCCAAGCACCTGCAAAGAAAGTGAGCCTCCGTTTCCCCCGCCGCCCATGGCACGGCAGACGTTGTCTGCCCGCCCGCGGCTATCTTGAGATCAGCGCGCTGATTCGGCTGTGTTCCGCGCAGACCCTGTATCTGCCCCTTCTGTGAGAAGGGCTTCGCGCAGAAGAGCAACCTTATGACGCACATGAACACCCAGTGAGTCCCTCTCCGGCAACCACCGCAGGAGTCGGACTGACGCGCAATACAGCACGGGCAACGCGCCGCATAAGTGCCAATACTGCAACACGTTCTTCAAGGACCCCGCGCGGCGGCATCGGCACATGCTGCAGGACCACCAGCACGTCAGCTCCCGGACAAAGAAGGGCCGGATGCTCGCGCGCACCCAGGATTTCTGAGCGTCCCGCTTCTTGTCTGACCTCGAGGCCCAAAATCGGGCGTCCTCTCGCCAGGGCCCGATCCCGACCGTCACCGTCCCGCTGGCGGCAGGCCACACCAGCGGGCGGCGTTGATGAACTCTCATGACCTTCTGAGCTTCGTGAACCTGTTCCATCGGATCGCAACGGTCGCAGATTCCCATACCCTATTGTTTTGTCGTTTCCATTGTCGAGGTGGACGTTGCTGTATATTCCCTGTGTCCCGTCCCGTCTTTGCCGTGTATCTTTAACCCTTATACCGTGCTGCCTCCAAAATATGTGTTACCGTCCGTGATCTCTCCTCTCCATGTTCCGGTGCCGTCGATACGCTCTCCTCCGCTTCGCTGTCCATTATTATCGCTATGCCTCTCCCATCCCTGTATCATAGTTAGCGCTCTCTGAACCCCAAGCCGATAATGGAACATACTACCGCCCGTCACACCGCACGATCAAATCGCCGGGGGACAGGCGAGGGAAGGTGGTGGCAATGAAGAAGGATCGCACGCGAGTCCCGGTCGCCCATCGATCCCTCATGGGGCGGCCCGGGGCCCGCGCCCAGGCGGGTGACGTACGCTGTGGGCGTCGAGCGCCAGCGCGCACCACACGCCTCGCCCCAGAAGCCGCCCCCGGCGCATCGACGCGCGCCCGAATTCCGACCCTCTCTTCGAGCCCCCACCGACAATGCCGTCCCACCCGCCCCAGCTGGGCAGCCTCGCGATACAGGCCCCCTCCCAGGCCCCCCGCACCGTGCACGTCTCCCCGGCGACGTGCCACGACATCTCCGCCTTCAAGGGTGCGTCCCCGTCGTCCCTCCCGGCGCGCCACGCAGGCAGCAGGGAGCTAGCGCTGACCCCCGCCGCCCCCGCAGAGCTCATGGTCCAGTACCGGCGGCTGGACGACACGATCACCATGCGCCTGAACCGCACCACGGCGCAGTACCGCGACCGGGAGCGCGCCGGGCAGCCGGGCAGGGGCGGCGACGCGGAGGCACAGGCGTGCGCCCACGTGTGGAGGGAGCTCGTCGGTGCGTCGCCGCGCACGCCTTTTTCCCCCGCGCGCGGCTGACCCGCCGGTTCCTGGCGCGCGCAGCCAATTGGGCCCGCCGGCAGGAGATCGTCCGCTATTGCACTGCGGTCGTCGAGGAGGACGCCGTGGCGGCCGCGTCGCTCGCAGCCGCCGGAGACGACGCCGCGGCGCAGCGGAGGGCGAGAGGCGCGCGGTACGCGGAGGAGGTCAAGGTTCGTGCGCTCGCGTTCTGTCGCCGTGTGATCGTGTCGTGTGCGCTGACCGGTGATGCGTGGCGGCGGCGGCGGCGGGCGGCACAGCGCAACCAGATCCGGAACGAGCTCGCGGTGGAGGACATCGTGCGCAGACGAGCGGCAGACGGTACGTAAACCCATCTCGTCCGGAAGCTGACGAGTGGTGAAGGAGAACTCGGTTGCGCACAGCGTTCCGGGCGCGCTGCAGATACTTCGAACCGCCGACCACGGATGCTGAAGGCCGCAAGTGGTGGGAAGCGCGGTGAAGAGTTGCAGCTGATGATGATGATGATCCTACCGGCGGGCCTGCCCCCTACACCCACAAATCCTGGACTGCTGCCTTCGTGATGTCGTTTTCCGTTTCTTGCCACGTTCTGTCCATCAACACAGCTCTACTCACCAGCAATAAGATTTGCTCGACAACAACCTGATGGCCTGACCACAATCACGAATCGACGAGCATTCGAAGCCGTCGACTGCGGTGCTCGAGCTCGGCTTCTCGTTTTGTGTCCGGCAGCAACACTCCGATGGCAAAGTCCGGAGTGTGTTCGGATGTACGCCCAGGTATTCTTTCTTCGCCGACCTCCCCGCGAGGCGGTGCGCGCCCACCTGCGACAATCTCAGCCATGCCCGTTTCGGAGGTGGCTTTCAAGGCCGTGCGGTCTGAATTTGATTGCTCGCAATGTTTACGACCGGCGGCGAGACGCATCTCGATCGGCGCTCGCCCAGAGAGTCAAACTGCGCGCTCGAACGAAGATGAAAGCGCTGCAGGCCGCCGCAGCCGCCGCCGGGTGAGGTGGGGACTCGGGCGATCTGTATCGGGGGGGGACCCTGCATCGCTGTTCTCTCGGCGGCAGACATCAGTCCTGCAGAGAGCGCCGCGAGAACATGCGAAGGCGCTGTACAGCCGCAGCTACTGGCCCGCGCTGGCCGAACGCTGAGCCGCATGCACTATGCTTAGATATCGATGTTTATCATGCGGAGGAACGAAGTGAAGGCTCCCGCAGCCACGGGTCGTAGCAGAGGTATCTATCGAGTTCACACCGCTGCGACCGGCAAGTAATGGCACCTAACAAAAGCTTAAGTTGAACGCGTACGGGCGATCTTGACGCCGTCCGTAGAAAGCAGCCAAGTCGACGAAATCGATTGTTCTCCTGAAGTTCAGCATCCGGCCCAAACGCCACGTCCGCCTTCCCGACGACGTCTTCCCCGATGGAGTTTGCAGTGTAGTAGCCCTTCATAGACAGGGTGTTTTTACGCGATGGTGACCAGATCGACATCCGTCTCCGATTCGTTGGCGATGAAGAGCCCGGGCTTGATGTACTCCTTGGGTTTGATCAGACCCGGTCTGCACGGCTCTTCTCCGCTGCAGACGTAACTGAGCAGTCGTTCATGCACAAGCTTCACTCTCACACCGACACTCAGAATAGCTTAGACTCAAGGCGTGAGTGCGGCCCATCAGCGGCGCCCACCGCAACACAGCTGTACAACCCACTGGCACCACTGTCCCTCTGTAAGTACTTGGCCAGAGCCGGGAGCCGTCCCTGCGGCACAGATTACCACAAGTTGGACCCAATCTGAGCGAGGTACTAGTAGTTTTCCTCTTGCACCGGAGATGCACTCTGTCTCGGCTTGTGACAATTAGTTGGGGACATCAGCAGTCGCAAATATAAGATCTTGAAAGGTCCTAGTATACATTTGAGGCGGCCATGGCCAGTCGTGGTCCGACGCAAAGTCGAATTCACAATTTAGCGCGCACTAGGAGCTGTCACTGGATCACACGCCGCCGATCCACACGGTCTGTGACGCGTTATGAGCCTTCCATTGCGTTGAGTGCACGAGATCTAGGTGGAGCTCGCTGCGCTCGTCTGCAGAGCTCCAACGAAGCTCCCCACGAGAAGCTGTCTATGTCAGCAGCTGGGGGACCTTGCGTCTGCCGCACTCACACCGAGCCTCCCACCACGACCACAATGTTCACAACGACCGCCCTGCTCTCCTGTCTACATGCCCTCGTCCTGCACGGCGCCCTCGCACGCACGACATCTCCAATGCTAGTCCAACCCCAGGCTCCATGGACGGCCGGGGATCCGGTCAAGGTCCCAGTGATCCTCGGAGTGATGAGCGCGTGCCCGGACGCCATCCTCTGCGAGACCGTCTTCGATCGCGTCCTCGCGCGCGCGGCGGGGAAGATGGACCTCCAGCTCACGTTCGTCGGCACGTACGTACCCCCTCCGCACCCCCTCGCGCCCCCCAACCACACGCCCGCCGACTGCGCGCACGCCCACTGACCGACCGGCCGGGAATCGCAGGCCAGACGCCTCCGTGCCCGACTGGGGCGTCGACTGCAAGCACGGCGCGCTCGAGTGCGCGGGGAACGTGCAGGAGCTCTGCGCGATCGCGCACGCCCCGTTCGAGCAGTGGTGGAACTTCGTGCACTGCCAGAACTTCGAGGGCCGGTACCAGGTCGGCAGGCCCGAGACGGCGCTCAAGTGCGCCAAGGCGGCGGGGCTCGACTGGGAGAACGGCGGCGTGGGCGCGTGCGCGGGGGCGAGCGGGGACGGCAAGGGCGAGGAGGGCGTCCGTCTGCTGCGGGAGAGCGTCCGGCAGACGGCGGCGATGGGGATCGAGTACGTTGTTCTGCATTTCGTTGGCTCCGCTCCGCTCCGTGCCGTGCGCCCGCGCCGAAGCTCGCGCTCGCGGGAGATTGACGTCGACAAGGGCAGCGCTGACGGCCGCCGCAGGAAGAGTTGCACGGTGATGATCAACGGGAAGCAAGTTTGTGTGCGCGACGGGGAGTGGCGGGAATGCGAGGTGAGGCTCACCCGGAATAACGATGACCATATGTTGACACCCGACTGGCGCGGACAGCAGGGGCACACGTCCGAAGATTTCGTGAGACAAATTGAGGCAGAGTACAACAAACTCAACGCAATGTGAGCTCGAGATGGGATGATGTACAGGAAGTCCGACGTCCGGGAGGAAAGGTCCGATGTTTTGTATGATTATGGGATGAATATCTCGTATGCCATAACGACGAGGTTGAACACGATTAAAGGCACTGTATGCGAAGATTTCAGGTTTTTTTGGGAATAATACACAGGCCTGCGGGTACTCACTCCGCATGAGCGTCCGAACGGCACCAATGAGATTGATTAGTCTCGCCTTGACCCCAGCATCTTGGCCGGCGTAAGGATTTTGCTGATAGGACTGGGCGTATGCTCCTCCGTTGAAGCCCGTGTTCGCAGTTTGCGCTTGCGCAGAGCCCCATCCGACTGTTCAGGTAGAAGCGAGTCAAGCTAAGGGTAGTGGGCGAACCACTTCAGCACGCACTTCTGGCCAGGAATCGGTCTTCGCTTAGAACCGCCATAGCGTTAATGAGAAGCAGGATGACATAGAGTATCGTCCCGATGGTGAGCATTGTGGCGGGAGAGGAGGGGGGAGAGCGGCAAGTGCGATGGTCGTGGTCGTGGCTGAGGTCGTGTCTCGAGAGACGCCCAGACGCGGTCGGAGGTCGCGTGGCCGGCGCTCGCGCGCATCCGCCGTGTCCGCCTGTCCTCGCACCTTCATCCGTTCCCCCACAACCTTTCCCGCCATGCAGCACGTGGGAGCTGGGATCCGCACAGGTGTGTACATGTCCTTGTGCTGGCTTGGCTCGTCTCACTCGTTACCTCTACAGCGAGCAGAAACTCTCTGTTGGCCGCTGCAGCCCATCCTGTTGCGTCGGGCTCACGAGTCTTTCAGTTTCAGGGTGTCCAGCAGCGCAAGTATGTCTCCTTTCGCTCTCAAACGTGCCTGTAGAAGCTGACTCGCTGGTGCAAGTGCTTCGCTGAAGTTGCCTCAGGTGAAGAGCCCTCTCAAATGGATTCGGGAGGCATTGTCACCGGGTGTCCGCATCAGGAACACGGAGGAGGAAATCGCGGCTGCTCGCGAGAAGGCCGCTGAGTCGGGTCAGTTGAGCATCTTCGAGACTGTCCCCACCGTTCCCGAAGCCGAGAAAGTGGTGGCTCCCGCGCAGAAGAAGGTGTTCACCGAGGTGCGTCTTGCCACGAGCGTGCTGGATAGCTGGGGCTGAGGTTCGATGCAGCACGAGTACTCGACTGGAACGTTCAAAATCTCTCACCGCAAGCTCAACATGCTCGGCCGCCAGATCTCCGGGAAGCCTCTTGACCACGCCATCGTGCAGATGAGGTTCAGCGAAAAGCGGGCGTCCAACCGCATCAAGAGCATGCTCGCGGTTGCGAAAGACCACGCGATTCGTTACAAGGGCATGGACGAGTCCAAACTCGTTGTGTGTAAGTCTAGTGTCCCACTTGCGTTCTGTCCCCCATTCCTTCAAGGGCTCACACCGTGTGCACAGCGCAAGCGTGGGTGAACAAGGGCCCTAAGCTCAAGCGTTTGGACATTAGGGGTCGCGGCCGGGTTGGCATTAAGCACCATCCTAGTGCGCGTATGAAGGTCATTGTGAAGGAGGGGCCGACGAAAGAAGAGCAGCGTGCAGCGGAGCGGGCGAGGAAGCTGAGCCGGATCGTGTCCGCCGGTCTTGTGCGGGAGGATGTGCCCCTGCGCAACCCCCGCGCTACGTGGGCGTGGTAGACAGAACCTGTCTGCACGTATACTCTACACTGCTCTAATTGGCACTCCACACTCGTGCGCAATCGAGCGACACAGCGAGCCCGACGGTGCGCGCGCAGCCTCGTCCGCGACTCCGCAGCATGTCCAAGGGAGAGGTGCGGTGCTATTTCGGGAAATACGCCACGACACGCTCGCGCTAAAGCACCTTGGTCGCCGACACCGACCAGCTCACCCCTCCCTCCCCCACCATGCCGCGGCCCTGGCGTGCACCCTTCTCGCTCCTTGTCTCCGTCTTCCTGTTCCCGCTTGCTTCCTTCGCCGCGAATTCGTTCGAAAACACCGCGGTTGTCCGTACCGTCGACCTCGGCGGCACGCTCACCTATGTCACCACCACGTATGCTATTCGGGCGCTCGAGGACGGCTCGAGCGTGTACACCATCGCTCTCGGGGAGCAGGAGCACGCGCGCACGAGCTGGCTCGAGGCGAAGCTGAAGGGCCAAACGAAGCGGCTACCGCTCGAGGACTTTGGGTTCCACAGCGAGAGGTACGTGTCTCCGCACCTGCTGAGCGCGAAGGGTCGGAGGTGACGGTCTCGCGCGACTGTTGCAGCGGAGTGTATCTGTACACTATCGAGCTTCCGAAAGCTCTGGACACGAACGGGACCGCGAACTTGGTCATTGACACCGTCCAGTCGCATGCGACATATGCATGGCCTCAGGAGGCGCGCCAACAGGAAGAGCAGGCTATGAAGTATCACTCCGAAGTCCTCGTGATCAGCCCGTACAAGACAGTCGTCCAGCGAACGAAGCTCAGGTATGATATCCTCGATATATGCCTACTGTCTCCACGTTCTCAGACGCGCCTTTCAGGCTACCCACTCCCCAAGTTCACTCTTATTCAACACCGGAGGGCATTGCGTTCGCAAAGGAATCTGTCGTGACGAAATCCGGGGCGACGATTACTTACGGCCCTTTCCACGACATTCCTCCTTCCGCTACCTCTGGGTTCCAGGAAAAGTCTCAGAAGCCATACACCGTTCACTACGCGTTCGAGTATCCTGTTCTGGATATCACGAAGCTCGAGCGGTCAGCAGAGATAAGCCATTGGGGTTCGAACCTTAACATCCAGGACAACATCGTCTTCTACAATGCAGGCCCACGGTACGTGTTTTGGTGCACGTGTGCTGCTGTTGGAACTAACGCGTGGGCTCGGTCTTCAGCCTCAAGGGCCACTTCTCGCGCCTCGAGTTCCAGACCCAGGCCTACTTTGGACGGCCTAAGGCCCATACCATCCCCTCGGTTACCCTCCATCTACCTCCTGGTATCCGGGATGCATACTTCTATGATCTTGTGGGCAATGTGTCCACCTCGCGCCTCCGGACAGCACCTTCCGTACCCAAGGGTTCGGAAGGCGGTCGCAACAGCGTTCTTGAGCTCAAACCTCGCTACCCGATCATGGGCGGCTGGAACTACAGCTTCACTCTCGGTTGGGACTCGCCCCTTGAGGACTATGCGGGCTACGACAGTGCGACCGGGAAGTACGTTGTCAGCGTGCCCATCATGACTGTCATCGTCGGCTCTGTTGTGGACGAGGCGGAGGTGAAGATTGTCCTCCCCGAAGGCGCAACGTAGGTGCACCGCCGCTTCGGAAGCCCCGCAACCTTACTGACGAGTGCTCCCACAGTGATATCGAATACCACCTTCCTTACCCGGCGCTTAGCGAGAACATGTCGACGCACATCAGCTACCTTGATACCATTGGCCGCCCGATGATCACCCTGAAGTACGCCCAACTGACCGACAAGCACGGAGGTAACATTTACGTAAGCTCATCGACCATTTCCTCCTGCGCAGAACACAGATCTCATTGTTATCCACTATGCGCCTACCATAGATTGCGTACAAGGTGCCGTTCACGGCCCACCTCCGGAAGCCTGTCGCGGTCGCGACCGCATTCCTCGGCGTCTTCGCCCTGGGCCTCATTTCGAAACGCGTGGACACCCGGATCAGGCAGAAGTGATTGTGTTCGAGTAGGACGAGGTGTTGTCGGCCCCAAAATAAATTAGTACGCTCTTACTCGAACATCTAGATGTGGTTCGGTCTCGTCAAGGTGGTTTGATATCGTTACAGACTGATGTACAGGTGTGTGTATGCTCCATCCGCTCAATCCATCCGGTTGCTCGTGAAGCTGTGGACCGTGAAGGGCGTGCACCCCGGAGGCGGAGCTGAGCTGCCCGGTTCCGGTCAGCTTCTAGTACGTCCGGGGATGGCACGAGGGGCGAGGAGAGCTCACCTCTGGAGGAAGAGGAAGAGGCCGTTGAGCCCGTTCACGTCCGCGCACGAGTAGAAGAGCCCCTGGTTCGTCCGCTGCTCGTTCTCGTAGAAGAGCATCGTGCCCTGCCAGCGCCAGCGGCCGCCCGCGATCCCGGCGGCTTCGGGTCGACGACGAGCTGGAGCGGGAGCTGCGCGCTCTGCGTGCTGTTGTGCACGTTCACGGGCAGGATCGCGCTCTCGTTGTGGTAGTGCCAGAGCTGGTTCTGGTGCACGTAGAAGAGCGGCGGGGAGCGGTTCCGGTAGAGGGTCACGTTCCCCGGGTTGCCTGCGCCGACGGGTCGTGTCGTATGAGGGACGCTGTGGGGGCGGAGCCAGCGAGGGCACTTACCACGCGTCGCGGCGATGGACATGTAGAACGGGACGAGGCCCTTTTCGCCGTGCGTCGCGGAGGGGCCGAGGCCCTGGAGGTAGGACATGCCGGGGACGAGGTTGCCGATGGAGTCCCAGCTGGTGAGGCCCTCGAACGACGGGATCGCGGCGGCGAGCCAGACGGAGCTGAGGAGGTACAGACTACGGCGAAGAGCAGCATCGTGGTCGTGGTGGGGTCGGCGACGTCGTCGGTCAGCGAGAGGGGCAGCCACGCCATGGTCGGGCTCGTCGGGATATATACGGAGAGAGCTCTCGTCGCAGTGATGCATGCATGGTCGACCTCTCGGAGAATCTGCGCGGTACACGTATGGCCACGCCGTCGCCGCATACGGCGACCGGAGGAATCGACGTGTGGGCCTCCCATGACGGGTTCGCAGTGACGTCTACGAGGCATTAGACGTATGGCCAGATGCACGCTCACCTGACCGCCGCGAAGGGCTCGAGGATAATCCAAGGTGATGCCTCGGATCGGAGGCGCGGCGGAGGCCTGTGCACGTGACCGCGGCTTGTCTGCGCGCGCCAAAACAACACGTCTGGCGCCCGTTTTGGTTTTGTTTCGAACCACAACGGCGTCCTTACCACGGCTCACAATTGTGAGGTTCGTAGTAGCAAGTGTTTGACCATCGCATTCTCTTCTGCCCCCCTGCTCTCCATTATCCGCCTCAAGAGCAGTCAAGACACCACTAGTGCATCAGCGACTACAAGACGGCGTGATGGACAAATTCGTAACAGCCAAGAAACCAGCAACCGCACCCGCCGCCACCGGGAAGGAAGAGAGCCTGCCTCAACGCCAGAAGTTCAAATACAGTCCGTACGGTGTGCGCAAGGCCGACGAGCGCAGATTCGAAACCTGGAAAGATAGGAAACGCACAGAGAAGTAAGAACTCAAGGCAATCCGGGAGACGCTGGCTAATTTCTCTGCGAGACCTCAGGATTCTTGCGCCCATACGAAAGAAAAGGAAAAAGAAAAGGAGACCCGGGTTGCGTCGTCTCGGCGCTCACGAAACATATCCTACATACCCTCGGGGACAGTCAAACCCCATCACGCATTCCGACATCTACAATCGCACAGGTGCGTAGGGAACGCCCGTTGTTTGCCTGCGCTTTGTGAAGGAGAGCATATGCTAATTCTGCCATAGATCATATCGTGTCCGCCGCTACTGGGCATCAGCAAGGGGATGGCAGAGGACCTGGAGCACGCTACATGAAGGCGCGGGACAGAAAACTCGCCGAACAGCTGCCCGAGACATCTTCACAGGTGCTGAGAGGCGTCCGAGTCTACATCAACGGGTACCTGGAAAATACAACGGACATTGAGATGAAGCGCATCGTCGCGCTTGCCGGTGGCGAAGTACAGTGAGTCTCCCTCGGTGTTGTGGTGCGAGCGGGTTACTGACACGATGACACAGGCGGACAGCATCCGGGGCGACACACGTCCTGACGTCCCAACAGCTGAGTGGGACGAAAACTCACAAGCACTTGACGAGCAAGTCGAAAGCCGTTGTGCACGTTGTGCGGCCGGAATGGGTTTCGGACAGCATCGCTGCGGGACGCCGGGTACCGGAAAGGGAGTATGCAGTCGTGAAGAGCGCGGCGGTGGCGGGAATCGCGGATATGTTTCGTTCTGCAGCTCCAAACAAGGACGGAGGCTCAGACTGAATGCTGAGCGCTGAGCGGGCGCCAGTCAGGAATGTAATGATAGACGAGGTGTAGAGTAGTGTTGTGCATCATGGTCTTCCCCACTGCACGCGGCGGATGGGAATGGGTTCGCGGGGAATGGATGTCGGGAGCCGACGGCGATCAGGGCCGCTGGCCGGCGAGTGCGAGGGGCGCGGACCCGCTCAGATATCGGGCGCCTCGCGCGACAGGAGCAAGCACAGCGCAGCTAGCGCAGGCAGCACACAGGCTCAGCCTCGCTCGCTGCCTCCGTCACTCCACTCCTTCCCCCAACGGTCTTCTCTCCTTTCCCCTGCGTCCCCACCCTCTCGCGCATGCATCTCTTGACCCCCAACCACATCCAGCTCGTTTCTGCTTGCTATCCTTCTGCTGCCGCCCTCCTCACCGCTGGCCCCGAATACTCCCCTAACTCCCAAGAGCTTTCTCGCCTCACCTACTATGCCGCTAACCGCCCCGGGAAGATCAACAAGCTCGGCGGGGAGCTGGAGAAACGCGCGAGGGTAGAGTGCAAGAAGGCGGCCCAAGGAAATGGACGTTCACGCTCGTAAGCACTCCTCCCGTATGTCTGGCGCATACATGCAGACGCCTTCTTCTCCAGCGCCCTCCTGATTACCCTGGCCATCATCAAGGCGCTTGCTTCAGAATGCCGCAGAGACATGGCTCAGATATCTCCGGCCTTGCTGATGTCTGTCAATGCGACTCTGACTGCGCTCCCAAATGACCTCGAGGTCGCTGCGCGAGCGGCTTCTGTGGTGCGTTCACCCACTCACACGACATGATGTCATTCTCATTTCCCTCCCTGAAGTTCACTGCTTGGACAACATATACCGATGGTCTAATCATCGGTATCGACTTGAAGGCAACAGACGACTATATGTCTTGTCTGAAGCACTTCTCGCGACTGGGCAGCATCGAGCACAATGACCACGAGACCCGCAATCGGTGCGTACCTCCCGTCTTCGTCTTAGCTCTCATTCTCAAACTTCTCTGTGGACTTCAGCATGCGGCTCGTCGGTTTGGTAGCACTGGCCAGCGTCGTGAACTCCCAAGCCCTTTACCATTCCTCCACGCACTTCCAGCCACAGGTAGAAGTCATCATGTCTGCTCTCTTGATCCCCTTCTTCCAAGTCGACATTTCAGTGCTCGACCATGAGTATGTGAGCCTTCGTCGCAGTCATTTCGCTCGTCTAACAGGCTCTCCAGAGTGTTGGATATCAAAGAACAGCCAAACTCCCCTATCCTGGATGAGTTCCGTTCAATGCCCGCGCTAAAACGGAGAGCAGCATCCATTCACATTCATGTCGACGGTGAAGGCGGTCCGTCCTCTGGCGACGTCGCGAATACCTCGCTGCGCGCGGCGTCGGCGCTGCTGGGTCACGCAAACGGCGGTCAAGCGTCTATGGTCATCAAGGCTGGACTTGACACCCTTGACACAAAAGGTGGATGGGACCAAATTGCCCACTGCAAATGGCTCGCCATGAAGTCTGCTGAATGGACGCAGTACCAATACCGCTACGGTATCCCCACTCGGCTGGTAGAATGCTTGACGGAAGGTCAGGACGCACGCACCCCCACCCCGCGCCAGCAGACATTGGCCTCCATGATTACCACCGTCTTCACTTCGCCGACGCCCTTGGTGAACCTCTCGACATCTGATATCATCGCGAGCCTTATTTCTATCACTCTTCGCCGTATCACCATTTCGCCGGAGGACGCTCTACTGCCTGCGCTGGTGGAATGCATCTCATCGCTGGGTACACATGTTTACTACGCCGACCAAATCCAAGACCTCGCAGGAGAACTCATCAGTCGTCTAGTCATAGTGGAAGCGACTGGCGTCCCGGGCGCGCCGAAGGACGGCCGAGAGCAAGCGCGTATACAGGCCGTACGATGCCTCCTCACTGGGCTGCTTGGTCTCATTCATGCTGCCGACTTGCACGGCGCCTCGAAAGAGGCGAAGATGATCCCAAGAAGACCGGCACGCCGATTCTCCCAAGCCTGGAGACTCGATTATCCAACGAGGGTCACCTTCGTCCGTCACGCCGAACAAAGGTCACTCCGGAAGTGTGGCAAGACACCCTTTCTCTGCTCTGCGATCGCGAGTATGTGGTACGGGCGGACTACGCCAAGGCGCTTGTGGAGTACATCGACAACGAGATCCCGAAGTTTCAGACAAGGCTGATGCTGACGGAGTCCGTCGGCCAAACCGCTTGCCGAATGCCCGACGCAGCAGGCCAAGACGCTCAAGACAATAATTTACGGCGACTCGACAACACGTTTCCTTCATGCGCTCAATGGATACGCGTATGCCCTGTTGGTGTCGTCTCAACTTGGTGTCCGTGACGCCCCTTCAGCACCCTCCCCCGAACGAGCATCCCCTGCTAACGGGGACGACCCATGTCATCTGGAGAGCGAGCCGCGTATTCCCAAGCGACCGACGATCAACCAACTTCCCTTCGCGTTCTCGACGCACATCCCTCGTTCTCCGCATGCTCAAGGACGCACCAACCCGGATACCCCCTTCTGGAATTCTGGCGGCAAGCTTCTCGGATTATGGACACGCCCTAGCCATTCTCACGGCAATCCATGAGCAACTACCGGTTCGGAGCTTGCTCTCTAGCGTTCCCATGTTAGTCGCGCTTGAAAACGCCACCAGGGCGGGCGAATCGTTGGAGGGCGGAGCAGCTGTCGCGGTGCGATGCATCAAAGAAGTTGTCGCCCGGACCTGGCTCGTTATCGGCAAGGTGTGGGCCTGTTCTGCGGTGACTCAGATGGCAGAGAAGGCGAGTTAATGGCCTCGTTCATGAAACGTGCATCTGGTGCTCAACCATATCTAGACACTGGCAACTTTATCTCCCGCTCCGCCGCTGCCTAGTCTCCCAGACTGGCAGTTTGGCACCCTGCCTCCACCCCAGAGACCGGTCTCCTTTCCGGCTGATCTCAAAATCGCCGGGGCCTCTCCGGACATCAACTCGACATCTTTGTTGGAAGCACTCGCGGCCTGTGCAAGCGTCCGTGAGGCCACAGGCCTTGGACAGGAAGACCTGCTCCGCCGACTGGACGGATCCGACTGGACGGCGCACGGCGCGTTCAATGAATGTGAGCCCCTTACCCTACCGTTGCTATTCCGAGTTCCACTGACGCCTGCACCCTGTCCCTTCTCGTCTTCTCCGAAACTCGAACCCTGCACAGCGACGGAGACGAAACAGCGGTTCGACTCGCTCGCAGGCGACGGCCTATCGCCCCTGATCAAGGTGCGCCCGCGCTCATGTATGCCGAGAACCTTTCGATGCAATCCCTCGCACGCACCGGCCGCCCCGGTGTCGGCGTCACGGACCTTCGTGAGGCGCTGGAGGGCCGCCCGTCGCTGTCCATGTCGAACCCAAATCTGGCGGCGGCGGCGGCGGCGAGCGCGCGCGTGCCGTCGATCTCGACGCTCGACCACACTTCCAGCGTCTTTCCCGACAACGCGACCGGCTTCTCGCGGCTCACGCAGACGCGTTCTCGCGGGCAGGCGCAAACCCGGGCGCGCCCGCGCCCAGGCGAGGTCAAAGACGTGCTCAACAAACTCGGGATCGGCAAGCAGAACGGGAGCGCGGTCCTCAAGTCTTCCTTCCCGGGCATACAGCGCACGACGTCCAGGTGCGTCCTCGGTCCTGGTCTCCTCCTGCCGCTTCGGGGCGCCCCTGCCCTCGTCATTGTCTCGTGTGATGGGTTAGTCTGACATGCGGTTTTTGGCCTCAGGAATCCTCCCACGTTCACGCCACCTTATACCGCAACATAACGCAAGCCGTCGCCGTACGTGCGGTCCTCGCTGCGCCAATGTGCCGCTCCACGACCGGCCCATTGTCCGCTCTTGTCTAGCTCGGCACCTCGTCGTCTCCCGCACGCACACTCTAATACCCCCTTTTTACGGACGTCTTACCCTTACCGTACACTGCAGTATATCTATCCGCTTCTTGGGCTGGAGCGTCTGTCACTCTGTCGACAGCTAATTATGTTATAGCCGTTACTCGTGTTTTCCGACCCTGGCATGGCCCTGCCCTATCGCTACGTAGCTCGCACCTGCTCGCACTCAAACAGAGACATTCGAGTAATCACTGATCACATCCTTTCCCGCGATCCGTCGGGAGTCCGAGGTCCGAGGCGTGTCCCCTGTGGTCGATTCCTCGCAATTATGTAAACGAGCACGTCGTGCCTGCGCGCCGCGTGCACGTTGCGTGGACGGCGAAAGGCATGCGCACGACCAGGATCGCGGAGAGGCGGTTCGAGTGTCGCCAAACACCAGCGCACGACATGTCGCGATGACTGCCCGCGACAGACGACGGCAGAACAGTTGCGCATAACGGCTGCGCTCGAGGTTCTACATCAGACCGGCGGACGGAATATTGGATTTTGTGGGAAGTAGCGGATGCGATCCGTGGATTCGGAGTCGTTAGGGCCGTGGCCGTGCCACAGCACGGCGCGGGTATACAGAACGTACAAAGACGTACACGACCGCGAGAGCGACGGGGCGCGGTGATGGCGTTGACGGGACCACGTACACGAGGGGTGGCTGATACGCGGCACCGTGCGCGGCGCATGGAATTTGAAGGGGCGAGGGGCGGCCTCGGAGCCTCGGAGTGGCACCCACAACCTCGCAAAGGCTCCGATTACGTCCCCAAGCTCACGGACATCCTAAACCGCCTCCGTGACCGTCGCCGGCGCTCAATGGCGGCTCCATCCCGCCCCTGCCGCCCGAGTCCTCCTTGTTCTCCGCTTCGTGTCCGCCATCTGGGTCGCACGGTCGGCGGGCCTAGCGTGCTGCGCGCAGTTACGCGGAGGGCTACCAGCGCAGAGACTAGCGGCGACCGTGGGTGGAGACCACCCGCCGGCGGCACTCTTCGTCGCGCTCGCGCCAGTACGCGAGTTCGCTCTGCGCCTTCGGGTGACTTGTCGGTCGGGGGCCGTTCTGTCAAGGGCGATGATCAGAATGGAACGACGGAGGAAAACACGCGGAGCGGCGAGAGGTAATATGACAGAAGGCGGCCGGAGAAGGGGCGCGGGACGCTCACACTCAAGCCCTGGAGAAGCAGCTCGAAGAATTTGACTGCGCCGACGCCTTTCCGACCAGGTCCGGCAGCTTGTCCGTGTGGACGCTGATGAGTTTCCGAGCTCCTGGCGCAGACGGAGCAGGCTACCGAGGGAGATGAACACCCCCAGGAGAAGTTGGGAGTCAGCGCACATAAACAACGATGGAACGCGTGGGGCGCGGTACACACTTTGCGAATATCATCGTTTCTTCGGACTGGTCTGTGAGTGCAATAAACGCGTTGAAGAGCACAACGTAGCGTCGGCACACCACCGCCACCGCTTCGTTCGTTGTCGTTGTGCCTCGGCGGAAGTACCCTCCTGTGGCTGCACTCTCTCCGAGCTTCCGGAGCGCGTCGATGTGCTCGGCCATGAGTTTCTGGAACGCGGGCCACATCTTGATTCGGAGCGCGAAAATGAAGGTCTCCAGCGGGCCACATCCACGCCGCTGCACTTCCGTGGCCATGTCTTCGGTCAGACGAATGGTGGTGAGGAGTGGGATAGCGGGTGGGGGAGGATCAAGCGAGCTTTGGATAAACGTCTGGACGTAGTCGAGCACGGGTCGAGTGCTTGTTTCCACAGCGCGTTCAACGCGGTCTGCTCCTCCTTCGTAGGACCTGCGACGCCGTCTTGGAACGCAGCGCCCAGCACTCCGGATATGCTGAGCACCGCTGGCGTGGAGACATGTACTCGCTGCCAATCTCCGAGCCTGGTCCGATCTGAGCTCTTCGAATTCTCCACGGGTGGGAGACAACACCGGAGGAGACATGGCCGGTGTGCCAGGACCGCTCTTGGTTGGAAGGGGCTCGTGGGGCTCACTTGCGAAGAACGTGGTGATGAATGTGTATTCTGCAGTGGCGTTGTCCATGAGGACAAGTAACGCAGAGCGTAGTACGACTCTAGCGGTTCTTTCTGTGCATGCAACGTCGCTCATTCAGCGTGCATCCGTGTCGTAAACACAGCAAACATACGCAGTTCTTGTCCTCGGCCACGTATGCCATGGTCACACTCGGTCCGTCCACTTTCGCGTACGCAAGTCGACCGGGGTCGTGACCTGGCGTTTGCGGTACATCAATGCCGCTGGTGATGGGTTCCGCCTTCTCCACCACTCTTGCCTGCAGGCCTTTCAGGAAAGTGGCTAGCGCTTGCATGGTTCAGTGCTCACCTTGACCCAACCAAGTCCTCGCAGATATCTCCGGAAGCCAGTCTCATAGAACGTTCGCACTGTGCTGATGTACGTCCGCTGCACCTCATTCGCGACGTTGGCCGCGTGTCTTGGAGGAACACGAACAGCGGCCGGTACTTCATCCACACCGACATCTGCAGGACTTGGAGGTTCGTGGTCATGCTAGAACGAATGGGCTCCAGCATGGACAGGAAGAATGTTCGCAGCTTGGTGGCCGCCTGTGCGAGTGATCGGCACCACACGACCGCGTACAAACCGTGAAGGCACTCACCACTATCCGTAAGCCCTCTGCTACTTCCGACATGTCTCTCGCGGCCTTGACCCGGACTCTGAACTTGAGCATATCCAGTCTCCTTTGAAACTCCACGATTGCGGGTATCCAGGTGTCATCGACGCGGGTGTCGAGAATGAGTGTTGCGAGAGCGGGGGGTATAGACAGGTCCGCTATAAGATTCGACAGCGGCTTCTCTATTTTCTGCGCCAAGGGTCAGAGGGGTGCTGGCCTGTGATAATTAACACTCACTCTGCGACTCTTTAGCCGGTTGTCGATGTCTTTACTCCTGTCCTGCAAGTTGGAGATCTGACCAGAGACGGCGGACAGGTCTTTCTGGAAGGTCGACAGAAACCCCTCCAGTGAATCGAGCAAGTTCACGCTCGTCTGCATCACGACCTTCAGATAGGAATACAAAGTTCATGTGCATATTTCGCACCTGGACCTGTTCATGCAGCTCGACGAATTCACGAGCTCGAAGCTGGGCTTCCGCACACATGTAGCCGACAGCGAAGCCAAGAGAATGAACTGTGCTTACAAGACGACTGAGAGACGGCTGACACTTCCTGCCAGTTTCCATGATGTAGTGGTGTATGGTGGGTGAGCGGAAGACGGTGCAAGGCCGAGCTGTGGCAGAGGGCGAGCGCTCCGGAGGAAACGGTCGAGCATGCGCGGTCCGCTCATCCGGCGTCCGCTCCTCTTCCACCTCCATCATCTCACTCTCAGCTCTACTCTTCGTCTGCTCTGCGCCCATGGGACTATGTCCGCCGTGTATATATGTGGTGCGTGCCCCACTTGTATTGAGGCAAGCGGCTCTAACTTTTCATGGACACAGCAACTTTCACGGAGGGCCTTCGCTTGCCCATAACAGCGAAATACGTCCCAATGAACACCCCCACCCACCATGGCTGTCGACGCCAACGCTGCTGCCGACCCTTAGCTCGCTAGAATCGGTTCTGTTGTCCTCTCCGCAGATATCGACACTCTCTCGTCACTTTTCCTTCCCAACGGATGGCTTAGGGTCTACTGGTGTTTGGCACATGGGACGTCCGCTCATCGGAAGGCCGTGACGCCATTCATAGCTTTTCAGGAACCCGCCCTACACTCCGTCCAAGTAACGGACTTGAAGCTTGAAAGGTCGCCCCATCTATCGCCTCACACTTCCTTCATAACCCGGCTCCAGACCAACGATGTCGAATTCGGTTTCATTTTCGACTGTATGCGTGGACACGGACGAGGCTACCCTTGTCTCCCGAAGGACAACCTGACTAGTAAGCCCGGCCAGGATACTATATGCAACCCGATCTTGCAGCATATGTTCAGGAGGCGGAAACAAAGCCCTATGTTCTGATAGGTAAACACCAAATACTGTCATGCACTTTCACGGCTCGCCTCAAGCAGATGAACATCCCCGCTCTTGCTATAGAACGTTATTCCAGGGTCGGAGACATTTGGCGCAAACGATCCCTTCCTTGACGCTCCATACACCTTGGCGACATCATAGCCGTGAGTGTTGTCGCCGAGCGACAAAGGGCGATGACCTGATGCTCACGGAGCAATTAGCAATTCTGCAGGCTGAGAGTCGAACTTGCAAGTGCCACGCACCACGCTGAAGAACGTGAGCACCGACTCGTCCCGGCTCAGTGACAGCTCCCGGGCCGTGGCCCTGTGGCCTGCGTATGAACGGGCTATGGTCAACCTACAGTCGGCATATGGTCGGGCTTGCCAGGCGCACTAATCACCGGGGATCGGCTTACCAGGCGCACGGGTCATCGGAGACCATCGCCTGTTCAATCCTCCTCTGTTTTAGTGATGTGATTCTTATTTAAGTTCGCCTGTAAGCATACCACCCCCCGGCCCCACTGAGTGTCCTACAAAAGACAGCGAATTCGCCGTCACACACCGGTACCCATCCACCCGACTCTCCATGGACCAAACACGTACCATGACCTCTACTATCCCCACCACTATGAAGGCTGCAGTCATTGAGGAGGTATGCCCGTCTGACACTAAGCCATTTTCCACTGCATCTTCACACTTGTCCTTCCGCTCGTAGGGGCATAAATTTTCCATCAAGTCGCACCCCATTCCCCCAGTGGGCGACAACGATATCCTCGTCAAGACGGTGGCAGTCGCACTCAACCCCACCGACTGGAAACGTACGCTGTTCCGAATCACCTCATCTTCATCTTGGTGTAACCTTTCCCTACCAACAGACATTGACTCTGCGGCTATCCCCGGCTCTTCCTCGGGTGTGACTTCTCCGGCACCGTCGTCAAGGTCGGCAGTGCCGTCAAGACCCTCTCGGTCGGACAACAGGTTGCGGGCTTCGTCCACGGCTCAACCTTTGCCAACGAGGGCGCGTTCGCGGAGTACGTCAAGACTCCCGCGGACCTCGTCTGGCCTATTCCTGAAGGCGTGTCCTCCCACGAGGAGGCGGCGACGATTGGCCTCGCGTGAGTATCTTCGCGCGTCGCGACTCAACCTTAACATCGGCTCTGACAAATCTCACTTCGTCAGGTTCTGGACCGCGGCGCAGGCACTCTTCCACCCCATCCGTCTCGGGCTCGTCGAGCCTCCCTCCAATACCGACAAAAAGGAGTGGGTCTTCGTGTACGGTGGTAGCAGTGCGTTGTGCAGCCACGGGTGAGAAGCCGCAGTTTGCACTCACTCCTGCCTTCCACCCCAGCCGCCATCGGACAGTGTACCGTACGCCTCGCGGACCTCACGGGCTACAAGGTCGTCGCGACCGCCTCCCCTCGGAACTTCGGGCTCGTCAAGTCCTGGGCGCGTCTGCGGTGTTCGACTACCGCGCCCTGGACATGGTCGAGCAGGTCAAGGCCGCGACCGGCGGCACCCTCGCGAAGGCGGTCGACACCATCTCCGAGAGAGACCCGCAGCGGATCTGCGCCGAGTCGATGGGCCCCGCGGGCGGCGAGGTCGTCCTCGTCTCCTCCCCGGTCCCTGAGGCGACGCGGCGCGCCGACGTCGCCTTCAAGCGTGCGTGCCCAAAATCGCTATCGGTTACCGAGGAGGTTGGCGGCTGACGGTGCTCTAGCCACGCTCATCTACACGTCCCTCGGCCGCGAGTCCACATTCGCAGGCACGATGCACTTCCCCGTCTCCGAGGAGGACCGCGCGCACATGATTTCGTTCCCCAAAAAGGTTCCGGGGCTTGTGAAGAGCGGGGCCGTCAAGTCACTCCCAATCAAGGCATGGGACGGTGGGCTTGATGGGCTCGCTGACGGCCTGCAATATATGCGGGAGGGAAAGGTGAGCGCAGAGAAGATCGTGTACCGCTTGTGAACTTTTCACTGGAGTGACAGGCGTGCTGCGTATAAGTTGTCTTAGCCTACTAGGAGACGATACAACGACATCTCTATGCCTATGAGGGCGGTTGGAACGAGGCTCTGGCGTGCTGTGTTCAAATTGACTTCCCAGATCTCACGGACGCATACCTGCTCGAGTTTGCCTCAAGTCACACACACTGGGCGTTCGAGCATAGGCTCGACGGTCGACCATCATTAGGAGCTTACACGAAGCCGCCGGGTTCCGATTTGTTGGGACTAGTCACTAGGTGCATATTTGTGGCCTCCTCGCTGACTTCGATTTTGCAGATGATGCACTGGGCCGTTAGTTGGATCCTGTATGTAGCAGGCAGAGTGATGCTCCCAAGCCTCATCCACAGAATGTACGACAAAGCAGTCTCACGGAGTCCTCTCATGTCTAAAGTCCTTGTATACTATCTCTGCTCATGACGGCGAGCGCACAGATCAATACTGACGTTGCTCGCCAAGGGTCTGCGGCTGAAAGCGGAGCAGCTGGGAATCCTTCTCACGAACTAGGCCGGATGTCGATGAGGGTCCATGATTCGTCCGTGCGCCCAGCAGTGGGCTTGGGACGGTGATGTTAAAGGGCTTTTTACTCAAGAGGGCTATCACGTTCTTGTGACCACGAGCTGCAAATTTGGAAACTCGAGTTGTACAACAAATTCCAGTACGCCCCCTCCTGAAGGGTCCACATCCAGTGCCAGGTGACCGGTCCGTCGCGGACCTCATCATGAACGGGATGTATAGTATCATCCTGGTCCATAGCGGACCCCGTTAGATATATGCAGATGAGTGACTCAACAACACCCATGACCAAACGACACGTAGAGGTCACTGCTGGAATGGATACGCTACATGGTTGCCTGTTCCTAGTGTGAGCTCCCGCTGATCAAAAAGACAGACGACGAGCGCACCAGACAGTCATCCTGTATGTCGAGGTACCACAATGCTTCAGCAACCGCTCCAGGATACGGCCTAAATGCTTCTTGGAGGGTGTCGAGCACGAAGTCGTACTCGCGGCAGAACCGTGACCGTTCGTCGAAGTCGTAGTTGGTCCACAGGTAGATGATATTACTGTGCTCACGCGAGAATACCTGCGCAAAATCCAAGACGAAACCGCATTTCCGGCTGAGGTGGTATTTCATGGAGATGAAAGCAAGCGCCGTTAACGACGCCAATCGTGTCTCTCCTGCGCCAACGAGGGCCTCCGCGAATGTGGGCCCCTCCTTTCTCATTGAGACCTTGAGCTGATGATCCGTAGCGTACTGGAGCGCGACCTCATGTTTGAAGGCGAAACCAAATCGCCAGAGAGGGGGGTCGTAGTTGCCATCATATAATACATTGGAGCGACGAAGCCGTTTTTGGGGCGGGAACATCTCGAGCAAACGTTCTTTGCGCTATACAAAGATGGTAGCTCAGGACACCGAAAGAGATAAATATTGGATATGAGGGTATGAACGCACTGCCTGGTGGAGTGCCTGGAAGGCGGGTCTCTCGTTGCAAGATACTCCAAGCGGCATGTCAAAGTCCACGTCCTCAGAGGAATCGGACTCGTCGTCACTCTCGGGAGGAGAGGCACAGTCGGAGGTCAACTTCGGAGGCGTCGATAGAGCACGAGGAGTGTCTGCCCCCATAGAAGCGCCGATGCCGCTGCCGGTTTCGTGGCCGCTGTTGGGGAAATGAAGCTCGTGGGTGGAATTGGCGACGTTCATCTCGGGTTGGGTAGATAGAAAGCACTGGCAGCACTGAGTACTGAGTGGCCTCGGCTTGAGGGCTCCGGCTCGATCCGGCGCAGCCGGGCAGCTCACCGGCCCGGACGCGGTCTCACCCGGCGGTTCTTCGTTCGACTCCGCGACTGCTCTTGATATTCCTCGTCGTTCTAAGCTCGTCTCCGTCGGTCTACCCCCTCGTCGTTTCGTGGGCGTGTGCCCACCGTTCCAGTGCGACGCAGCTGGACGGCGAACACTCAGCTCGGAAGCCGAGTCCCCAAACTCGACATCATTTTGTACGCTATCGCACATCAGGCAAGGCACAATATCGAGCTATACAGTTCGTAGAGACATGAACGTAGTTCGCCTTGTTAGGTTCTGTCATCCGTGGAAGTTCGACGATAGACGACTATAAGGTGCGCTTCGAGGGACGCTTGACCGTGTCCTCTCCCCCCCGTCGTCTTTCTGACACCTACATTCACTTTCCATGCCCGTCACATTTAAAGTCGCTCGTCATCACGCCAACCCCGTGCGGCCGTGCACCGGTTTGACTGGGGCTGATTCCTTCATATTGAAGGCGTGTCCAACCGAGTGGCCGGAATGCGGGAAAACCTTGCAGTCTAGTTTGTCGAGCGAAAGCCTGCGTGACCTCATTCCTCGCAGGAACGGCTTCGTCTCAACTGTGGTTGAGGCATACGGCCAGCACCATCATCTCGTTCTCCGGTACGCCCCTCACTGCTAGCATGTCATCGAACCCTCTTTCCCACAATTGCTCGCACATAGCCCGGATGACGTGTGGATTGCCGTTCTTGTGCAGCTTGGCTTCTAGTGCGTGTACCGGCGGCATCGCTTTACAGGCGTGAAAAGTCTGACTTTTTCCTTCCAAAGTGTCAACGCACACGCCGAAGAGCTGCGCCAGTACTTCGTGGCTCACCAAGGCAAGAAGGAACTATTCGTCGATCTAGAGCAGGTCGGAATGGATTTTGGGGCCATGGCCGTGAAGTTCTCGGAGCTACTCGATGAGAATGTACGTTTCCCGGGGCTTCCTCCCACGGCTTCTTCTCTAACTAATGATTCTGTCGTTTGATCAGGTCGTGGACAAGACGTTCGTGGAATGGACACGCCCCGACTTCACCACTTCCACGGCGCAAGACAGGATCATATGCTCCGTCTTGCTCGTGTCTACCCTGGCGAAGTACGTACACAATCCAGCACGTAACACGGCGTCCGGAGCGCTGAAGCGCAAACCCCTCCACAGATACTTCGAATTCGGCGCAGGGGAAACCTGCGGACTGCCCTCGGTCACTCTGCTGGGCGAGCGCCGAGACTGGGCGTCGCTGCTCGCCCGTCTCGACCGTCTCCCTGAGCTCGGTGACGAGCCCGCGCGGTGGGCCGAGCTCCTCCGGCCCGTCCTCCGCAAGTTCGTCAAAGCGTTCGACGGCGAGGTCGACCGCGCGTTCTGGAGCCACATCATCCTGCACGACGACCGCACGTGCGGCATCGACAAGATCAGCGGGTGGATCACCGCGTTCTGCGTCTGGAACGCGGAGGGCAAGTGGCTGTCGAGGACAGCCGCTGCGGCGCCGCCGAGCACGGCGGGGAGCGTGATCGTGCGCGCGCGGGGCAAGTGGCTGCCGTGGGCGACCGCCTTGGCGCGGTGGGGCACGACGGGGAGCGTCATGCACGCGCGCCGGGGCGTCTACGTCCTCGACGGAGTGGAGTACCCCAACATGTTGTTCAACTATATCCCCGTCGGCTACTCGACCGTCGATGTCAATATCGGGGGACACCCCCCGTGCAAGATGCTCGCCGGCCACCTCGCGTCTGCGGTCTACAGCACGGACGGTCCCCGCGAGGGAGACGAGGGAGACACGCTGAGCCCGGCACCGCAGTGGATCTTGTACGAGGTACCCGAGGAGCGGTACCTGAAGCAGAGGCGGAAAGAGGCAGCGGAGCGGCTGGTGATTTGGGACATGTGGAAGAGTTACGACTGAGCGGCACTGGATACTTGCGGGAAAGATATCTGGAGCTCTTGGACTCGGTAATGACACGATCTGCCACCCAATCCATGTTTACAATGTGCTCGCTCAGGCCGTGCGCCCCCGTTTGCCAGGCATGTATCATATACCTGAATTTGACTGGGTGCGATGAGTTTTGAATGCGACGAGTTCCCACCTGTACCGTGCAGTCTCGAAAGTCAAGGCGACCCGAAGTGATGAAGATCCGAAGCTGCTCCTGATACACAAGTGATGAGGACATCTCCGATGATAGCTCGTTCTTTCTTTCTCTTTTTCTTCCTCGCACCACCATCTGCAATTTGAGTTGCGGCAGCAGCAGCATATCCTTTTTGTTCGCTCTGAATTGGAGCGCGCTTTTTCCCGTTGGCGTTCTCTCCGGGTGGGGTGGTAGTATACTTACACCACCGAAAAATGCTTGAATAGCGCACTGAGATGGCCAAGTCGAAGTGTGGATTTGGTAGCAGGTGTTTCTGCGCGACGACGTGCTTGTAACTTCATAACAAAATGTCGTGTGCAGAACATCGGCGGAAGGGTCGTGGTAGTAGAGCAGAGCAGCGCCCGTTTGACGCCAAGGGCGGTAGAGGCGCTACGATGCCCACAACCAGTACTTCATCATGGATGCCATGCCTGAGGATCCTGCAAATATTCCCCTTCCACCGTCTCCTATCCTCTCACGGACGCCGAGGCACCGTTCAACAAGGCTTCTGCAGACACCATACTCCGCACTGTCGATCGCGTTGACTTCCGTGTCCGCCGAAGTATCCTCGCCGAGGCATCTCCTTTCTTCGAGGACATGTTCTCCCTCCCCCAGCCGATCGCCCCCATCGATGCAAACGGCAATGGAGCGAATGCGATTCCCATTGTCCACGTGTCAGAAGACAGCAAAACCCTCCGAATGCTGTTGCTGCTGTGCTACCCGGTGAACAAGCCGGACCTGGTGTCGTTGGAGGAGATCGTCCCGGTGCTCGAGGGCGCACAGAAGTACGTCATGGAATGGCCCGTCACCCTCCTCTCTCGGATGCTTCTAGCCCTCGTCCCCGCCCATCCTCTCCGCGTATGGGCCGTCGCCTGTCGAACGGGGCTGCAGGACGTTGCCCGATGCGCGGCCAAGGAGATCAAGAAACTCTCCCCTGACCATGCCTCGACTTCCCCTTTCTTTGAGCCTGCCCTCAGAAAGATGGTGGAGAGTTTGGGGGGTAATGTGTTCGATAGAGTCACCGCCGGCCAGTTCTTCCGTCTTCGGGATTATCTGCGGTCGCCAAGTAAATATACGGAGTTTTGTCTCAGCCATCGTCCCAAGCCTGCGAAAAAGAAAAGGCCAAAAACCGCGAAGGAAGCCACCTCTCAGGCCATTCAACAGAAGGCGGTCGTGGTGCCGCAGAAACTCTCTCAGCCATCACTGGTAGCAGTGGGACCAGCGTTTCCTCCTCACGACATCATAGTAGAATCTGCAGAAGGCGTACAGTTCAAGGCGCACCAGCTCGCGCTGGCCCAAAACTCCCCCATTCTCTCAGCTCGCGTAGCGTCGGTGCTGTCGAAACACCACACACAACAGGGATCCGACATTGACCCGTCCTCCTCACTTCCCTGCTTGGCTTTGGACATCCCGTCACAGACACTGTCCCCCTTACTTCTCCTCTGCTACGGGGAAAACGTCGACATGGGCCTCGAAGAGTCAGTCACTGTCATCGTCGAAGCGGACAAGCTCAAAATGACCCGCATATCGGTGCTCGCCAAGAAACGTTACAGCGACGGCTGGGCTGTCCGTCGACCGGTTAGTGCCTACTTCGAGGCGATATCGCAAGGCGCGGACCCTGGCATTGTGCAGGATACACTCCGAAAGAGCGTCGAGGGGTCATGGCTCGAGACATCATACTCATACTCCGCGAACATGGAACGCACCCCCGCACTAGCGTACTGCCGCTTGCTCGAGTACCATGAAGCGTGTGCTAATGCCGCATGCGCAAGTATCCTGGCCGCTCGATCCCAGTTCTTGCCCGATACCACTACCCTTGGCTCCCCAGACGTGGCGCCAGCTCTCCACCCAGCGACCTCGGCGCCGTGGTTGAGCGCGCTCGACCGCACTACCCTTGGCTCCCCAGATGTCGACGGCTCACCGTCAGCTCTCCGGCCAGCGACCTCGGCGTGGATGCGGGAGAGGCTCACCCTGGCTCACACGGAGATCAGCCGCAACACACGCGCTCCAGGGGGCAGCTTCGACGACCTCAGCGTAGGAGCACTGTTGAGAGCGCTCGACCGCAGTGCGCACCCCGGGTGCTATGGCATCGACTACAGCGAACTTGCGTCTGCTGAAAGTCTACGCGACCCTTCCTCAAGAAATCAGCGACGCTGTTTCCAAAGTAAGTCTATGCTTTCACAACGTTCGATGGCCTTGTCATTTACTATATTCTCTTGCCAGGTACCTCTGCCCGTGACTTAGAACGAGATGACGGCTAGGTCTACTATTCCCCCCTGCTCAGAGCAATAGACAGATTTATCTGGTCCGAGCGACTCGATGGTATACTTCGAAAAAGACTGTACCCATAGGCAATCGTGTCTGTATTGATTCATGCCTCGTTCCACCCCGTTGATTAGTACGTCCTGGTCCTAGCAGTTGTTGTAGGCAGATCGTGACTCGTGTGGAACTAGGTACCTGAAACACACCCACGAACTACTATACAACACGCACTCGTACGCAACGGTAGGACGCGCCTCCTTCGACCAAAAAGACCCGGAACCCCTTCTCGGTAGCAGTGAAACGGAGAACCGCCCCATCTCCAAGTACACTGCTTCTCACTAGTACTGAACGTTGAACAGCTGTGTACACGACAGACACGACCAACGCCGCATGGCAGCAACCTGCAGCCTCATGCCCCTCCCCATCGCGTTTCGCCCGCCGGGCGGCCGCAGCTCCAGCTCGAGACCCGCCCCGCCCACCGTTGAAACTTCGGCTTCCGAGGCGTGATGTTGACCGATGCGTACATAGGCGGCGCGAGCACACCGCATCTTTCGCGGGAGCGCCCACGGGTTCCGGGTCCGACAAAATCGCGCGAGAGATCGCAGGCGTGCTCCACGGACCGCAGCGTGCAAGCTCAAGGGTGGTGGGGTGACGCCGAATGCGGGGGGAGGTATTGGATACTTGAGCATGTCACTAGGGAGCGTTATTATAATGTATACTGTACGGTGCGGCGATAAATACGTACAGCATACGGAGCTGGACAGCATGGCGCGACATTAGAGGCGTGGACAGCAGCGTGGCGGGCGATACTCCGTGTGCAGAGGAATAGCCGGATAACTAGGTAGGACCAATGATACACGGGAATAGACGAGCAGGATTAGCGATACAGAGCGCACGTAGATGGCGAATGCGGAAGGGGTGACGCGAAGGTGAGCTGTTTGTATGTGAATGTGTATCTTCCTGCGCGAGCGCGGCACCGGAGCCAGCATAAATGAAGACCCAAGATGGCTTGTACAACGCGATGGCCACGGAGCGACAATATAACATGCCTGGCATCCAACGTCTGGTTGGATGCCATGTCGGCAGTGATGAGACCAGTCGCAACAGTCCGCAGTGGGCGCACTATGGATCAGATAGTGTGGTCGACGCCACGCGTGCGTCAGTCAAGAGCGGAGATAGAAGTCGCCGTCGCCAGTAGACCAGGGTCGCAGCCGGTGGATGTATGCTGTGGGAAGGCAAGAGCGCTAGTGTCCGTGCTCGTCCGCGACGAACGGCGTCACGAGCTCATACATCTCCGCGTTCCGGTCCCGCTGCGGCTTGCCGCCCATGCCGACCAGGTTCTTCAGCCGCTGGCGCATCCCACGCGACTCTGGCCCGTCATCGAGGACGACGCGGTCGTTCGGGTAGAACTGGTCGACCGCCTTGGCAAGTCGTCGAACGCCACTCGAGGAGTCGCCCATCGCGTCCCGCGCGACCTCGAGCGCGCTCGCCAGGTATGTCGCGAGGTTCGGGAACGATACCGGCAGCGAGGGATATGGTAGGTCTGGGGTATTTGGGACGGTGTAGAACTTGGATAGCGGAGAGTCGGCGCCGTCTCGGAGGAACGCGGGAAGCTGAGAGAGCGTGTAAGACCAGGGTAGGGTGCTGGTGTCGCTGTTCTTGTACTTGTGGGCCATCGGCGCATTGCAGGGACTGGATGGTCTATGGTAATGTACAAGACAGTGTGCCAGATGGGCGACGAGTGATGCACCTGTCAACCCAGTCGACAGTCCGTGAAGAACGCGTGAATCAATGAGACAACGCAAGACGGAAGTCAGTCAGACAGGCCCGATGTCGCCATCACGGAGATGAAGCACATACCTTGACGAACGAGATGACAACCCGTAGCTTCATCTCTGTCTTGACAATTGCCAGCGACTCCATCGTAGGCTCCATCCGTGAGCCGCTGAGACGGGCCATGAGCCTCAACATGTGTCGCCAGCTGGGCGCACTGATGTGAAATGGGGGAGCACGCCGTACGGCAGCGCAACCAAGTTAGGGACCGTCCCTGTGAACGGTTTGAGGGAGGACGTAATGGGAGGCGAACCAAACCCAAACGCTGGAGTCAAAGGAGATAAGCGAACTATTCAAACCACCACGCTCCGACATGTCCGGAAGCGAACACTTACACAATCCAGCTAGCAGCTCGGGGTCGAGGTACTGGTGCTTGACACGATGTCAACACAGCTGCTACCCGAAGGGCTACCACGACCGTTGGCCGCCGGCGTGTTCCCGTTCGTCTCTTCTATCGACCCCAGCATCGATGAGGCCGTGGAAAGCCGTCGCCCTCCAGACGCCGAGGCCCCGAGCAACGAAGATGACGACGAAGACGCTTGGGGGCAGGGTCCGTCTCACGGAGTGATTGCGACCGCAGGAGCGACTGTCGATCAATGCTGGACGTGGGGCTCTTCGGCGGAAGCGGCTTGTCAGACACGCTCCGGCCCAGAGGGGACAAGCGCGACGGCCATCCGACCGGCTGATCCCAGTCCGTGTTCTCTGAGAAGAGCTGCTGCAACCGGAGGCGCGAGCTGCGGTTGAGGGAAACGCCCCGAGATCGCAGTGTTGTAGAATGACGATGTCGGCGGGGGCGATGAGAACATCGCATCGTATTGTGGTGGGGAGGGGCCACCAGTTCTGGCGCATCTGCGGCGTCCGGAGCCGCTGCCGGCTCTGCTGGTACGGGTGTGGGAAAGACGGCGGTGGGGGTGCAGGTGGAGGCGACGAGCGTGAGGATAATGAAGCCGAGCGCGAGTGTTGCGCGTGCGAGTGGACGGAGGGCGGCGGGGACGACTGCGCCTCCTTTTCCTCCTGGCGCTGATCTTCGTCAAATAGCCGCTCTTCTTCTTCTGCAAGCTGCCGTGCGAGGCCTCATCGTCCGAGATCTGCTGAGACATCCGCGGTGGCTGATACTTCTCGTACCCGCTTGACCCGGAATACACTGATGAGGACGACGGTCGAAAAGAAGGCGGGGGCGCATCGACATCGGGCAGAGCTAGCGCCGCCTTCTGCTCCGGGGAGGATGCCCACGCCGTGTCCTGCAGTGCCCGCTGTTCGCTCAACTTCAGCGACTCCTCCACCGCCCGCGCGATTAGATCCTCCTCCGTCGGCTCCGTGTTGCGCGACTCTTGCGCGGACAGCTCGAGCACGCGCATTAGCACATCCTCATTCTCATACGCGTCCTCCTCCTCCTCCTCCGCATGCGGGTGCGGAGGGGCCAGCGTAGACGGGACAGGCTCCGGCGATGCAAACGGCGGGGGGTAAGGCTGAGGCGCGCCGCTGCTCGCGCGGTGGAACGGTGGGGCAGGTGGGGCGAGGTTGACCCTGACGGCGGCGGCGAGGACATAAGTGGCTTCGGTGGCAATGGGGGCATGTCGAAGTGCGGCTTGCGCGGCAGAGGGGTACGGGCGCGGTCTGAGCGTGCCGCGGTGGGGGAAACGTGGGTGAGGCCTGCGCGAAGAAGTAATCGCCGGAGCTCGCGCGGTTGGGGATGTTCGTCGCCGACGCGCGGCCAGGGACGAGGCTCAGGGGCAGCCCGGGGCGTGGCTGGGGGAAGGCGGGAGCCTCAGGTGTTATTGGCGGGAGGGCGGGGTGGTGCTGGGGGAGGGCGGGGCTGTAGAAGCCAGGGACGGCGGCGTGCCCGAACCCGTGCGCGGCGGAGGGGTAAAAGGGAGGGCTTTGTGGGGCGGCTACGGCAGCATACGGATGGGCTACGGCAGCATATGGATGTACGCGCGGCTGGGTGGCGGGGTAGGGGTGGGTCGAATTCACGGGTGGAGACGTCGGGGTTTGCGGATACAACGCTGGGTGCTGGTAGTAGGACGTCGGGTCGCGCCAAGACCCGGGAGAGGCCATCTGCAGGAATCGAGCGTGGAGAAGCGGGGAGAGAGATGGATAGTGGGGAGAGAGAGATGGACAGAACAAGGAGGTGGTGGTCGTAGCGGACAGAGAGGTGGGCAGTGCCTGTCGGTGGAGGACATCCAAGCTCGGTCGGGCGAGACGCTCAAGGAGCGCGCCGTCATATGCGGGCCAGCCGAGTCCGATTCGGAGGTCGCGTACGTCGCGCGTGCGGCCCCTGCACGCGCAAATGCTTCCAACAGACAGTCACGCACAGCCATTCCCTCTCCAGAGAACCTGGCATAATACTGCTCAGGCACCACGTACGCTTCTAGCGTCTTCAAATATTTCATTGTACATCCAGGTAACAGCATGCACTGCATGTAGCCTTCTCAGGATCCCACTGTTCGACGAGCTTCCTCACTCGATACATTTGTATCCTTTCTCACTTCGTCCGGATCTGTCGCATCCTTGACCACTCTTTGCGGCGCCCAAGTCGGCGGCACTCGGGAGTCCACGGGATGTGTGAAGCGCGCGAGGAGAGGCAGCACGAATTCAAGTTCAGCTTGGTACCAGCTGGTAGAGTATCTACTGCCCAGAAGTGGGACTAGGCCGTAATGATCATGACGTGGCGACCTAGTGATAGATTGCACGGTCCGGGAGTGAGGTCGATGAGGTCGGTCAACGGATACGGTCGGTGAAGGCGGCACCGGGGAGCCCGAGATACATATGAGGAAACATATGTAACAAGCAGTGGCGCACGGCAGCAATAATCGCCAAGTCACTGCCTGACATGCCAACGTGTCAAATACCGTATTCCAGAATGAAATCGATAAAAAAGCGCACCCCTTTCGACGGTAGTAGCGAGATAGTTGCACTCTGCTTTGATACGGCACGGTAAACCTCACTACCCAAGCAGAACAGTGTTCACCGCACGCGCGACGACATTGAGCAACGATGTCTGCATGTCTCAGTACAGCAAGGGTGTATCTGGACTTGGTAGTGGGTGAGGAGGTCACTCGCGGTGCAGCGGCTTAGCGCGGCGGGGATCTGCGTGAAGTGAACGTTCTCATGACAGTAGGCGACGGTGTTTGGCTGATTGATTTTTGACTGTTGCGACAAGGCAGGGGAGGCATGGTACCCTCCTACCATCTCTATGAGGCCTTCCTGGCCATCGGGTGTATGCTGTGGTTCGTTGATAGAACGACCTGTATTGGGTACAAACTGGTGCAAAGGACGACGGGCTGTATAGATTAGGAGGCCGTTCGGCTGAGTCGCCAGCACGTTTAGTACGCAGTATACGGAGTCAGCTGTACCCCGCGTTTCATACGATTCCCATGGAAGGTGGAGCAAGCGAGGCGACCCCGGCGGTGATATTTAATAACACAATGGGTCTAGCTTACAATGCGCAGGACGGTGCATGCAGAGAGACGAAGGTCGGTGGGTTGAAGACGGGATGTGTGGGGGGCTACGTGGCAGGCGGGGATGAGAGAGGGTGAAGGGGGTGTGTGAGAGGGGGGCGATGCAAAGGGGGGAGGTTCGAAGAGTGCGAGGCAGATGAGATGTTGCGAGTGTGGACAATGGAGAAAGATGCATGATGTGACTGTTGGTGGTAATGGTAATGAACGAGGCATGACGGGGCGTGACGTGAGCAGTTGTGAACGAAAACGGAGCAGGACTCGACACAGACTCAAAACGAGGATGCGGCGCAAAGCTTGAGATTCGAGAAGAGGATGGGGATCGTAATGGGGCGATAAGGAGAGAGCGAGAGGAGATGGAACCATGATTAGATATACACCAATGTCACCGAGCGGAGGTCAACCTGGTCGCCGCCAGTCCGCGCCCTTGAGCAGTAGACGTCTTGAAGCCGAGCTGGCGCATCGCTGCCACCAGGTCCGCCTTCTGCACGGGCTTCGCGAGGTACGCAGCGAACACGTCCCGGTCCTCTGTCGCCTCCACGCCGCTATAGGCGCTGACAGCAATGATCGGTGTGGACGTGTTCCTATTGTTGGTACTTTTGATATACCGCGCCGCCCCCTCACCGTCCACTGTCGTTCAGGAACATGTCAGTCCGATCCGCATGCAGTGCAATCGACACTCAAACAGACTCACAGATGGGCATGTGCAAATCCATCAGGATGCAGTCAAATTCTGTTCGCGGAATCAACAGCGTCAGCAGTAGCACGTAGCACAGCATAAATGACACGTACTGATATCGCCCATGGCCACGCTGATGGCCTCCGACCCATCCGCGACGACGACGCACCGACAGCCCAGGCGAATCAGCAGCGTCTCGATGATCTTCGCCGTGATCGGGTTGTCCTCTGCGAGCAGGCACGTCACCGCCCTGTCGCTAGGGTCGGGCGCCCGTTTGAGGTCGATGGAGGCGACACTCGACGGAGGGGTGTTCAGGCCCTCGGAGGTAGAGGCAAACGTCGAGTGCGTGTGTGGGACGACGGACCCGTTCCACGAGTCGCTCACGGAGTCGTCGGTCGTGCTGATCGACGCGGTGCGCAGCCTACTCGGCATCGAATTCCGCCGCGAGATGTCTCCGCCCTCGCCATGGTTGAGCTTGAAGCGCTCGACCGCACCGAACTCGGACGGCTTTCGCGCATGGCTACTGGCGGAACCAGGAGTGGGAGGCCCGCGAGACACCGAAGAAGAAATCGAGGACGTCGACGTCGCGGGAGAAGGCGGGTTTGTCGGGATTGGCAGTGGCGGTTTGGTGGTGTCGACCGGAGTGACAATGCTCGAGGGCTTCTTGCCACCCACTCGGTTCGATATGCTCTTCCGCCGAGAATGGCCCGAGGACTCCGAGAGTGCATGTGTGATGGGCGCTAGCTGATCCGTCTTCATCTTCCGGATCATGTCTTCGTTCGCCTGCTTGAGCACGGGCAGGTTCTTGAAGCTGAAAGACCCGAAGTCGTCGTCGGCTGGAGATGCTGCCTGGTCGCGGTTGCTATACGCGGGCACACTCGGTGGGGGCATGTCATGACTTGAGCCAGCAACGGTTGAGGGAACGGAGTCGGAGGTGAACTGCTGAGCCGGAGCTGGTTGCTCGCTATCGTGGAAGAGCTGTAGCACCGCGCCGCGAGGGTCGAAGTAGTCTGTGGACTCGGGATCGGTGACCTGCGGGATGAACGCCGCCTCGGTCGTCGTGATTTGGTCCCAATCGATCCCCGCGAAGAAGGGGTGAGCCTTGACCTCTTCGGCACCGTTGACACCAAGACGCTTGGTTGGGTCCAGGGTCATTAGCCGCTGCATGAAATCCTTGGCCTCCGGTGAGACCTCGACGAATTCCTCGTGCCACTCAACGTGCCCCGAGAGAATGTTCTCGAACACCTTTTCAGGCGTCTCATCATGGAATGGAGGGATCCCGTACAGGAACTCGTAGGTAATGACGCCAAGCGCCCACTGGATCCCATGATCAACAAGAGAGCCACAATAGAGATCACCAAAAGGACGTACCCAATCGACAGCCGCGTCGTCTCCACGCAATCCCAGGATTGTCTCAGGGGCCAGGTAATCTGGGGTACCCACGACTTTCTGATCACCAGGTGGAGTGCCTCCAGGCGTGGGATGCGAACGCAGGTCGTTCGCCAGTTCCGTCGCGAACGATTGAAGAGGACTATCGGAGAGCTGCTTGGTGTTGCCGTTCCTGCGGAACGACAAGAAACCCGAAGCCAGAGACTCCGAACCGCTCGACTCGCTCGGGTCATCTGTAAGGGGCAGATAAGGTGATGACCCGGGGCGAGGCAGTGATGGTGTCCTGTGGTTGAAGTACGAACCTCCACCCGAGAGAAGATCTGCTGGGAACATAGGAGAGGGTGTCATGTACGTAGAATCGATCGAAGGCGGTCTCGAGCTCGGTGAGCCTCTGGTATGACCACGAGCAGCGCGGTCAGAGAGAAGCTGAGGAGCACGGGTTTGACGACCAAGCAGACCAATCCTGCTCAATCCGAAGTCGGTCAACTTGAGGTGACCATGCTGGTCGATGAGCAGATTGTCCGGCTTCAAATCACTATATGAACATACGAATTAGCCCCCCAAATGCGGACACCCCGCCAAAAGATAACTTACCGATGCACGATGCCTCGTTGATGGAGGTAGTCCAGGCCCAGCACGACCTCGGCAACGTAGTTCCGCGCCCACTCCTCGGGAAGAGATCCCAGAGATTTGATGAGCGCCGCGCAGTCGCCACCATTCAGATACTCCATAACCAAGTACAGGTTCTCCTTGCTCTGGAACGTGAAGTAGAGCTTCGCGACGAACGGCGACTCCGCTTGCTTCATGAGGATCATACGCTCAGCCTTGACGTTCGTGATCTGGTTCTTAGCAATCATGTCCGCCTTCTTCAGCACCTTGATCGCGAAATAGTCCCCAGTCGCCTTCTTCTTGGCCAAGAAGACGGATCCAAACGCGCCCTTCGAGATAGGCTTGATGATCTCGAAGTCCTTGATTGACGTCGGCGTCGTCCTCGAGAGAGGTGCGACCGAAGGCAGACGAGGTGACAAGGGCGTGCCAGAGAACGATGCGGTGGGGCTGATGACGGGCTGGGCGGCGGAATGCCTGCGGTGAGATCTCCGCGTGCCATGAGACGAATCCTGGGGAGAGACCATAGGGGAAAGAGGCGGCGTGATGAGCAGTTTGGGCTCGAGGTTCTGAGGCGAGCGCCGGGCACGAATAGTCATGCTGGAGATGGGCAGACTCGGTGAAGGCTCATTGAGGTCCATATGCGGGGGCTGGTCATCAGGATGAGAGGCTACTATTGGAGCTGCCAACGCGAGAGGAGACGAGATCGACGAGGGAGTCGAGCTGCGCGTCGGCTGTGTGTGCGTTTGTTGCCAGTACATAGGGACCGGAACAGCAGAGACGGAGGGGAGGCTCGAAGAGATCATCACAGCAGAAGCAGGCGGTGGCTCGCGTCCTGGGCTGAACGGGATGGGTGATGCCGATGCGACGGGCGTGGGGTCGGACGAGCCCTGCTGACCTGTGAACGCATACTCCGAGGTGGTGCTCGAATGGTCATCGTCTTCATCAGACGCCTGGCCCTGTTCTTGCTGCTGCTCCTCTCGACCAGATTCAACCTCGTGCTCTTCCTGTCCCTCCTCTTCACTCTCGCTCGAGCTCTCATCGTTGTACGACGAGAGGGTCTGCTCAACCTTCTCCTCCCACTCCTGGCGGATCTTCTCCGAGTACTTGATCGTGTTCTGCATGCGCACAACGTTGTCGATCTTCTGTCGCATGAGCCGCTCGACGTCCTCGATGAGCTGCGTGAGGGCCGCGTCCTCGATGGACGGCCGGTTCCAGTGGCGGATGGAAGACATCTTGCGCTCGCTGGCAGGGGAGAGCAAGCGCTGGCGCTCGATCGGCTCCGTCGCCTCGTCCTCCTTGAGCGCGGGGATGGCAACCTCCGCAGCAGTCTGCAGGATGTCGTCGAGCTGCTCGAGCAACTGACGCTGCATCTTCTTGACGCTGAGGCGCTTCATCTTCAGCGGCGCGCGGAGAAGCTGGAGCGGAGAAGACGAGCCGGGTGATGAGGAGGGCAGGAAGATGGGCATTCCACGATACTCGGGGATGGTTCCGGGCGAGCCTTCGATGGCGATCTGCAGTTCTCGGATCGTGTTGCGGAGCTCGGAGATGGACTCGTTGCATTCTGCTATCTCGGCCTCGAGGCGGTGGACTTCGCTGCAGGTCTCGTTGTGCTTCTCGAAGTACCACTGTGGGACGCTGCACTCGCAGATGCGGCAGAGGATCGGGGAGGTGTTGATCGGTCGTGCGAATGGGAAAGGCGTCACTGGCTCCATCGCGCCACGGTTGCCAAATCCGACTTGTGCTGCCTCGGCCGATCCTGGTTCGTCGCCTACGTTCCCGGTCTCGAGAAGGATGGAAGGAGGTGCTTGGAGAACTTCAGGAGCGCCGACAGGCCGTACGACCCACATGGAATGTGTCGGTCGACCATCCTCTCGGTCGATCATGAGCATGCCACTGCCCTCCATCTGCTGGTAGAGATTCGAAGAGCCCGAAGAGTCATCGTTGGGAGATATTCGAAGCTTGAACTTGACCTCGATGGTGTGTGAGTCGTTTTCCTGCAGTCGTCGCGTTGCATCCCGAAACACGTGCCAGTCAGAAGGGGCCAGCAACTTGGAAACGCGAGTGCCGAAGTAATCCTCCGGGTCGGTACTGGTCGACGGCAGTCAGCGTGAGCGGTATCCATGTCATGTCATGACAAAACACGCACCCAATAGCGCTGTGCCATGCGTAGTTGATCCAGATGAAATGGTCGCCATCTAGACTAAGCTCCATCACGATATTCTGACTTTGAGCGGTCTCTGCTTGTAGCCGCAGGCGCTCCGTTGCCAAGACGCGCGCAGACTCGTTTGTGCTCGGATGCTTGGGGTGGTCAGATTCTTTGTGTGGCACCGTCGTGGTGGGCTCATGCAGTGGAGCAGATGCAGCGATCTCCTTCGGGGCTTCGTCCCTTGACCGCCTGTTCTGACTGGTCGTGCGAGACATCCGTAGTCGACATTCTTCTTCGGGTGTCAGCCTAAGAGCGTTCTCCGGGTCAGGGCGGGCAGGGGCGGTCGCGGGGATCTCCTCTTCGGCGGGCTTCATGACGAAGGTGAGAGGCTCCTCCTGCTCATCGTCATTGTCATCGAAGTTCCAGAACTGCTTCTCGGCCTCCCACCACTCGACGACACGGCTCAAACTCGCGATGGCGAGGAGCACTTGCACATACCAGTTCCGCCCATGCCAGTCGGGGTGCTCGTCCCACGCCTTGCCGATGTTCTGTACCCTTTGGACAAGGGTCTCGCAGACCTTGGGGTTTGCGGTGAGCTGGTTAATGGACATGTCGATGACGTCCGTTGCGACTGCGATGATCTCGTAGAGGGTGGTCATAATGGGGTCCACTGGGTCGTCGACGAGTATACGGGACGATCGACGGTTCATGCTCGATTCGCCATAACTCGACCGTTGAGGGAGCGGGGAGCGGGAGCGCGATGTCGACCGGGAGCTATGACCGGAACGGGGCGGGCGAACGGGGATGTGGATAGTGCGGGAAAGACGACGCGAAGCCAAACTCTGACCGGCCCATTGACCGGAGCGGGAGGATTCGCCCTGCTTGCGTGGGCTTACTGCCTCGGGAGGGGGCGTCGCTAAGGATGCGGGAGTGGAAGTTCCGGTGTTCACGTTGATGGAGCGCTCTCGTGGAAGGGTCGGATGTCGTCGCAAGGACGATGGGCTCGTGGATGAGACAGACGCTGTGAGCAGGCCGGAGGATGAGATCCGATGGGTCAGCGTGGGCTGCTTAGGATGATCTTCGTCAAGAGACGCACGTTGTCGACTGTGCCCATGGCCTTCAGGTTCTGCCTCGTAGCCGCCATCTGAACTGACGTCGTCGAACTGGAGCGCAGACCGAAGTTCCTGTGGCTGGAGGACGAAGGCCTCACGGAGAGGCTCAATATCACCCGCCTGGGACTCGCGATCGCGCTCCACGTCTCGTTGGTCGCGCTCCTGCTCTGCGTCGCCCTCGCGCAGACGCTCCTCAAAGAAGGCCGTTATGGAGTTCGTGACACGCTGAAGCTCCTTGTCGCATTCGGACTTGGCGGCCTTGAGACGACGTGTGACATGTCGCCTGACGAAGGGCATAGAGACGGTGGAGGATGCGGTGCCATTGCTGAAGTTGCCTGCGGTGCTGCTGCTACTGGCAGTGGGTTGGATGGGGTTGAGGACGGTTTCGGGAGAGAAGACAAGAGGGCTAGGAGGTTGTCGTCGAGGCAGGCTCGTGTCGGACATGAAGGTGCCGTAGGTGGGCGGCGGGAGAGGGTGGTGGTCGGAGCCCGAAGGCTGGGAGGGAGCGGGGGCGGGGCAGAGGCGGAGGGACGGAGGGACGTGGTGGTAAAGGCCAAGGGTGGAGAGTGATTCAGGCGAGTGTTGGCATGAGGAGTGATAACGGGGTGGGCGGCGGTGACCTGGAGACGAGGAGGGATTCAGAGTTGGTCTCAATACGCGCACACTCGCTCGCCCGCGCTCCTCAGCACCAAGCGCCCGTCCATGCTTCAATTCTCACACCAATTTTGCCCGGAAGCCTGTTCCTCGATCCGTGCGCCCGTCCCCTCCAGGCTTCAAAACGGCTCGTATGTCATCATTTTCTCGGTGTATGCGCACAGAGGCGGTCACCAGCCGGGGCACAGGCTCGCACACAAAGGAAAGCAGGGCGAGCATCGTGCGGTGGTCGGGGGCCCGGGCCCTCGGGCTGGGCCTGGCCGCAGAAGCGCCGGAGAGAACCGCTCGGACCTCGACGCGCCCGTCCGCGTCCGCCAGCTGCTCCCGCTCTCTCGTCACCAGGACCTGCAGGCGACACGCCACGCCCGCCTCCCGCCCCCGCGCCTTGCTGCTCGATCGACCTCTCACGGACGGGTCACCGGATCCCTCGCTGTCTTCCCCTCTCTTCAAGGTCAGCACCCCATCTTGTCAACTGCACCTTGCCACTCTCGCTCGTTTACCCGCTCGCATTTCCCCCGTTGGCTAACATTCTCCTATTGCCACCTCTCCCAGCGGGCCCACCATGCTTGCCCTCCTTGGTGCCTTCCGCACCACTTCGCGCACCCGTGCGCTCGCCCTCCCCGCTGTCGTGCGTCAGTACGCGACCCGTGCACTCGTGCTGGAAGACGAGGACCCGATATTTGAGCTCGCGGACAAGCTGGTTGAGACTGCGGACTCGCTTCCAGAAGAAACGTCATGGGAGCGCAAGCCAGGTACGCACGTCCTCTTCATCTCATCTCCCCTTGCTGAAGTAGCACTTGCAGTGGTGACCACCACTCCCATGATTCCTCGGGCTGCCCCCGGACAGGTACGTGAACCTTTGCTGCACCATCTACCATCCGAAACCCACACACGCGACCGCAGTTTGTTACGCCGATACAGTACTCGCTCAAGTACCAGAGCCGCCGCAAACCCAATTCGAAGCCGTACCGCATTGGGCCCGGTCGCGATGAGTCGCGTCAACGTGACATCTTCCACCAGTCCGGCTTGAACCCACTGCGAGAGATGGGGAACACCTCCCTGCTCTCCAGTTTCGTCAATTCCATGGGCATGATCCAGCCGCGCACTCAGACGCATCTCACGTGGAAGAACCAGCGCAGGATAGGCAAGGCCATTCGTCGCGCCAAAATGATGGGTCTCATCCCAATGCATAGCAGACGCTCTCTCTACCCCGAGCGGCACGCTGCTCACCAGTAGCCCGGTACTTTGTATCTCACGCCTTCGTATGTTCCCAATTTAATATCTCCCCTCGGGCGAGTATGCGGGACATTTCCACGCCTTCGGTCCTCTTGCGTTCTGATCGACCGACGGAGCAAAAGGAAGAACATTAATTGGTCGCAACAGTATTCGCCCGTTACTAACATCTCGGCGTACGCCTTCCAAAATGGTCGCCGCTGTGTTCCGGTGAATATCTTCATTTAAACGGAACCCCGGATGGTTCAGCTTCCTCCGCCATCACGAACCATGTGCAGTTTGGTATAGACAAGAACTTTCCATCTTATGTCATGGCTCAGTCGCATGATCTGCCCAGCATGCTTCTGGACGACGAGACTGGAGCACTGCCTGATCCCAAGCTCAGCGCGACTGGAGATGGGCGGGGCCCGGTGACCCTCGCAGACATTGTTCTTATCGCGTTCCCGCGCCCTGCCGCCCCTGCTCCGCCTTCGGAGACGGAACGAGGCTAGGGCCGGAGACGGGGTGCCCACGGAGCGGAAGCAGAGAAGAGGGAACGTCAATACAGACCGGACGGCGGACGAGCAGAAGCTTAAAGGCGAAGTCCGGGATAGTGATACAGTTACAGTTCCGCGAGCAACATTGTGCCCAGGTTTTGGACCACCTGATCTCCTATTGCTCGCTCCACCTCCTCCTCCAGATGCCGCTTCGGATCCTGCTTGCCCACGTGTCGCGTCTTCAACTGGTCCGCCGAGAGCGTCGATTCCTCCTGGACAGATTTGTTGTACGCTTCCGACAATGCCAACATGGACTGCAGGGTCCCGAGACCACGGCGGGCACGCAAAGCGAAACGGTCGTGAGCCAAGCCCTCGCACGCCAGAAAAGCCGTGCGAGCACGTACCTTGATGGACTTCTCGTTTGACTCCTTGTGGCCATTGAAGTCACGCAGTGTGAGACCTTCTGTCCAATTCCGCTTGTGAAGGTTCATGAGCATTGCCTGCTCCAGCTCCGTTTTCCGGTAGTTCACAACGATCGAGTAGTAGTGACGGTTGAGCCCGTGAATGAGCGCCTGGATTGAGGGCTTGTTAATGTGGCCGATGTTGGAGGTCGTCTGCCTGGGCTCCAGTCCTTGAAGGACCATTGCGGGGTTGATAAGCCTGAACGCGTCAATCACCACCTTGCCCTTCACGGACTGAATGGGGTCGACGACCACGGCTACTGAGCGGCGATCCAGTTGCTCAAACGACTGCGCAGGTGTACGTCAGCTCTGGCGCCACCGGGCCAAAACGCGGGCGAGAACAAGGGCTATACCTGTTGCGTGTTGATATCGACGCTTGAGAGCCAACAGCCGAAGCCCGGATGCGAATGGTACCATCCCACGACCATCTCTGACCTTCGAGAACGTCAGTTCTAGGCCGCCTGGGTCGTGTGCAGCGGACGAGACTCACCTCCCCGTCTGCTTGAGCATGTCCACCATCTTCTGTTGGAATACGTGATCGACAGACTCGACAGAGACGGTCGTCCCTGACTGAGGCATGGCGAAAACGTCGATGACCTGCACTGTGTACTCGTCCACGAACTCCCCGAGCATGAGGCCCATGACTTCCATCGGCACACCCGCACGGCCGTGCTTCAACATCTACATCGCTTTCGTTCAGCTACGTTGAGGGACTCGAGTGAGATAAACTTTCCTTGAGCAGAGCAAGCGAAGATATGTGGATGACCTCGCCACTGAAGTTGCAACTCTTGAGCAGAATGCAGAGAATGCGTGAAAAGAGAACGCACTTGTCCGGTACCTGCAATTCACCGCCTCCTCCTCCGCGCTGAGCCGCGGCCTGAGCCAGCAAAGCATCCATATCAGATTCCATAGTGTTCTTAGTGTAGCGATTTGAGGGGTACAGGTAGGTGTCGGGGAGAGTGAGAGTCGGAGGAAAGGTGCAACCCCGCTTGTCTGGGACTTACGCACGCGCGTCGCTGACGCGTCGGTACGCGGAGCACGTGCATGTCGGACAGACGCCGATAATGACCGCGGTCCGACTCCGGGCGCCTGCCATTCCCACCTCCTTCTCGTCCTCCGCGATGCCATGTCCTCCAGCGAGCTCTCAAATGCTCTCAATCCTCATGTCGTCGTGCAACGAACGAAACGCAGGCAAATTAGCGCACCTTCCCAAACCTCCCCGCCCATATCTCCGGCACTCTCGACTTTGCCTCGTCCAAGTGCTCCTCACAGAAGCGAGCTAGAGCTCGCTTTCGCACAAGTACCGGTGGATACATCCGTGCAGTACGTTGCTTATCGTAAAATGCATATGCTTCCCTAAAATCTTCGAAGAGTTCCATCCCCGTCGTACAATCTCCTGTCGTACAACAGGCGTCGCCTCCCCGCCACGCCGTGCCAGTCACACAGGACATGTTCCGGGCTGTCAATGCTGCCAGAAACGCGTTCGTAGCAGAGAGGTCGCGACGGGTGGGATGGGAGAACGACCAGGAGTCCAAGCGCATGCAGCTCAAGGTGGAACTCGACAAACAAATCGCGGACATGCGCCAGGAGCTTACCATGATGAAGACCTACCTCAGCCTTCACCCCAACTTCACTATGCCTGCCGAGCTTCGCAATATGCTCCCAGCCGAGACCGTTCCCTCCACGGCGCATATCGAAGCGTACGCTTCCCCCTCCCCTTCGTTCGCACCGACTCCCGTGTCCCCTGTGTCCCCCCTTCCCTACCATCCGCTGGCGCCACAACCCATGTTCATGCAGGGTTCATCGTCACGCCCTCTGGCTGTGCCAGGAGCACACGTGCAGCAGCTGCCGCCGAACACACCTCCGAACGCCGTCCCGGAAAGGTTCTCGGAGATTAACTCCCTTCCTACGCCACCGTCGAGCATACTGTCCCCGGCAACCATCGCACCCCTTACCCCGGACCTGAACCCGAAACACGAAAAAGGCCTCGGCATGTCATAGAAGATAACAGTGACTACGACAGCGATTCCGAGGACTCTGATGCATCCACAGTTGACCAACGGCGAAAGCGGAAGAACGGGCACGATATCGTTGCCTCACGATACATGTATGTTACGTGTCAACTCGACGTCCGAGCCCGAGCTGAAATGAGTCCTGCCAGCATGCTGTCCGGATACACATACGCAAGTTGATGAAACTCCAGCATGGGGAAGCACTCCCTCCTAGTGCGTTTGAGGGTCTCTCCGTCGACCCGGACGCGCCTGTCCGCTTTGTCTGGGATAAGACGTCAAAGCAGTCGGCCATCAACGGCGCCATGAAGCAACGAATTGTCGCCGATCTGAAGGCGCACCGTCACAAGTACCGGCATGTACCGGACAAAGAGTTCGTGAAGAAGAATGTCGAGGCCGCGTTCGAACAGGTCTTCACCACCCTTCGGCAGAAGTACAGGGCGCAGGTGGACGAGACCGCGGCCGCGAAGCTGAAGAAGCGTGAAGATACCAAGGCCCTCAAGGTCCGCCGCGCCCTCCGAAAGAAGACGGTGAGCATCCCTTCGTCATCATCGCGGGCTTGGAGTCCAGTCTGTGCCCTCTTCTCCCTATCTCAATCGTCCCCGGCGCATTTGACTGACGACGATCCGCCCTATCTCGCAGAAGCTCGGCAACCGCACCGACGCGCGCACACGGCTCCCCGCGTTCGCGCAGCCCGTCTTCGACAGCGCGCTCCAGGCCGAGTGCATGTCCTCTGAAGAGTCCGACGGGGCTGCCCCGCACCCGACCGACCCGTCTGCGGAGCCGGTGCCTGCGTTCCGCACGCGCGGTCCGCCCTGGCGCAGCTCACGCCTCCGCCGCTTCTACGGTATCCTCGACGACCAGGACCGCGTCGAGAAGGCCGCAAAGCCGAAGCGCGGCGCCGGGCGGCGCGTCCGCCGGGACGGCCCGCCCAAGGACGGGCTCGTCCTGCCCCCCAAAAGCGTCGTGCGGTGGATGGTCAGCAAGCGCTGGATTAGAGAGGTCGAGGCGAGCCGTCCAGAGATGCTGGCCATCATCGAGGGGCACATCGTTGAGCGCACCGAGCCCGAGTCTGAGCTGGTCTACTTCATGTTGGGGCCCGATGACAGCGACACCGAGATGGATCAAGCTACTGCCGCACCCGCCATCTACGGACACGTTTCTGAAACCAGCTATTCGCTTTATAATGCCCTCCAGCCCATTTAGATGCTCGTGTTGGCATCGGTTCGGCGACTCATCCCATGCATACCCCTCTGAATCATCTTACTTACATCTTGTAGTAATCTGCGACGTCTCGAGCTGCGAGGTATCCAGAAGGCCGGTAGCTTCCCAGAATACTTGGTCCCATCTCGTCTCGTTTCATCATCACAGCCCTGGGCACATTGCAACTGGTATACACCTATCGTCCATAGCCCTCCTTCCCTTTCCGCATCTTCTTGCTCTGTAGCATGCCGTGGTCTATCTTGTCCGTCTTCGGCCAAAGTGCTGGATAACGCCATCCAGCCTGTTTCAATGCTTGTGCCATCGTTTGAATCGCAATCTGTACAACTTCCCTCATATGCCACTCGGAACGCTGCAATAATCTGCCCCAGTCAGCGTAGATGTAGACCTTGGCATTCGCCTGTTACAGAGCAATAATTCACCCTCAGATGTTGTCCACAGAACCCGCCCGAGTACCATCGTGCTTAAGCAACCCGAGTTGTATGGCTCTCAGCTGGAGGGCCTGTATCACATAAAACTGAGTGCTTGAACACCGATCAAGCACAGAGCCCGAGAGCCTACCAGAGGTTTTGATTGAGAGCGACAGGTCGAGAATGTACCGGTTGCGAACCACAGCTGCACGGTTCATTCGTCAGCGTTGAACGCAAAGACGAAAGGGACATCACAGACCCCAGGGTATCCGGAAGGCCGGTAACTTCCCTGGATTTCTCCCTCATCATCCAGACCGTACACCTCGTCTGTCTGCTCGATCACATCAGCGCCGAACAGTGCCGTGTTCACGTCTCGTATGTTCATATATCCGGTTCTGTGTCAACAACATCAACCATGCGGATGGGGCAGAGCTTCTGTGAAACACGCACGCAAACACGACCACGTCGGCCGGCAGTTCCGTGCCGTCGCTGAGCACGATGCCCTTCCCGGTGAACCGCTCGGGCGACACGCCGCCTTGACCTTGACTTGCCGTCCGCGATCAAGTCTGCGCCGCCCTTGTCGAGCCCTGCACGCCCCCACCGTCAGCACCCGCAGTCGCCGCATCACGCCATCGCGCCCGGCAAACTCACAGTACCCCCCCAGTTTCTCGACCACCAGCAAGTACAACCCCTGGCCCTCCGGCCCCATGTACAGCTGCACGCCGCCCTTGCGGAGCTTCTCGTGCAGCTCCCGCTGCGCCGCCTCCGCCGCCGGCCGGCCTGCGATCGCCATCCGCTTCAGCAGCCCGAACGGCCACGCCGCCACGCGGAAGTCCATCACGTCCGCGGGCACGTCCGGGGGTACGCCGCGCGCTGGCCCACCGCGAACGCGTCCCGGCCGGCGACGCACGTCGGCGAGCGCTGGACCATCGTCACGTCCGCCGCGCCGGCGAGCACGAGGTCCTGGCAGACGTCGATCGAGGAGTTGCCGGCGCCGACGACGACCGCGCGCGCGCCCGCGAAGGGCGCGCCGCCGCGGTAGTCGGCCGAGTGCAGGACGCGGCCGGGAAGCGCTCGATGTCGCGCACGGCGGGGAGGCGCGGGGCCCCGAGGGTGCCGGTGGCGAGGACGATGTGCGCGGGGTGGAGGGAGACTTTGGTGCCTGGCGGAGGAGGGTGACGTCCCAGGTGGCGGACGCTCTGTCGTAGACCGGGCGGCCTTCGAACTCGGTGTTCGTCCAAACGACGAGGTCTTGCGTGGAGACGTAATTCTCCATCCAGTCCGCGAGCATGTCGCGCGGGGTGAACTCGGGCCAGTTCGTGGGGTAAGTTGGTAGAGTACTAGAGGTGGGTGTATGTGCGTAGTTCAGCGCATGCACGCATCAAAAATTGCTACTACTTACGAGTGTGCTGCCTACTGATTGTATGGAGCGTCAGAGAAGGGTACCGATTCCTCCACGAGTCGCCCACGCGCGGAAGACGTTCAATCACGAGAGTGGGGATGTTCATCTGCTTGAATCGCGCGGCCATAATCAACCCCGCCTGTCCCGCACCCACTACCAACCAGTATCAGAGGGTGCCCACACAACGCAGCGGCGAAAGCACACGTACCCACAAGCACGTACGGCTTCGTCTCCATCTCCTCGACGTATTCCGCAATCTCCTTCTGCATATCACGCCCAGGTAGACCCGTCATATCATCCCGCAGAGGCATTGTGCGGAGTTCCTCATGCCCGACGAGGTCCGCGAGCTCCATGAACACGGCGAGCGCCCGATAAGTGCCGCCCGCGTCGCGCAGGAGCCGCGCGAGCGCACGACCGTGCCCGTGCGCGCACTCGAACGTGAACGCGAGCTCGACAGCGTGTACGTCCGGGCCCATTTGCGCGACAGGGACGACGCGCGGGGGGATGTGCGCGTGCTCGAGACCCGGAGTCACGTCCGAGATCGCAGAGGCTTCGAGGGCGCCCCCGAGGTACCCCGCGATCTTCGTGCGCCCGGTGAGGGAGCGGATGTCCCAGGTGAAGACTAGGAAGTCGCGCAGCCAGCCGTCGGAGAGGAAGGCGTTGGCGAAGGCGATTGAGTCCTTCGCGTCGAGGGCGGACTGGAGACTCGAGAGCCAGTCTGATGCGATGATTTGGGGGTCCACTTGTTCCATTTGAAACGGGTGTGATGGGTATGTGGGAGGGTTCCTCGGCTGGCCAGTCTCGGATTGCGAGAGGGGCGAGTAGACGATGGGGGATGTCTTCTGTGCCAGGGATTTGAGTGACGGAGTTGGTGCGGGCGTTTCGACTTCATGGGAAAAGACGGCAGATCTACCCACTGCATGTCCATTCAAATGGCCTACCTCCGGGAAGAACTGACACGGTTCACAAGTGCACCTTAGCCCCCAGTGCACCATGACGGAGTGAGAAGTTCCATGCAGATCCCCTGTACGGTGTGTTGTCGCTGAACTGCACGACTAGTTTGTGATATGCATTCACCGGGTTGTGGCCCTTGCTGTTCTCACCTCTCCCGTGGGCTGTTCTCGAGAGGATGCTTGCGTGGCACGGCGAGGGAAAAGCTGTATAGTATGAGACTAGAATATCAATCTTCTGCATTTCTCGCCATCGACAAGGAGGTCGGGAGGCAAATGTACCGTTTGTGAGGCTGATATCATAGCATCCTGAACAGTCGTTCAGTTGCGCGAATCTGAGTTTGTGATCAGTCAGCACTGCCAGTACTCACGTTCACGAGAATCGTGGCAATAAACGCTCTCACCTATCCCATGGGCTATATACGTCCCACTTATTTTCGGTACCAACGGCATCCGCAGGTGCGAGGCAACAAGTTGTGGTGGCGGAGCCGAGCAAGCCGGACATGGTGGTGCAGAGACAAGCGATGCGGGATGCTGTGCTAAGCCGTCAGATAGTCGTGCTAAGCCCCTAATCAGGCACTTGCAACGGCCGGATTCACTGGCATCCGAAAGTAGCGTACACATCGCCCGGCAGATCGGCATAGCAGAAAAACTCTATCCCATTGCCATAATAAGCCTGTCTATCTCTAACACAGCGACCCATACATTAAGTGAAGCAAGATGAGAGGGCTCTATATCCACCGCAAACGTTGGAACTTCTGCAACCCGTGATAGCGACTAATTTAAGAAGGGGGGCTACAACATTCCGGTGAGCAAATCGAAGAGCGAGCAGAGATAAGCGACACTTACACAGGGGCGACCGAGGTGATGCTTCCGGGGTCAACGGCGAGAGTGGGGAAGGCAGCGGTCGCGCACGCCTGCTCGATGTCACCGTTGCTGAGACCGGCGGGGATGTGCGGCACGGTGTTCGCGGCCTGGACGGCGTGTGAGCACGAAGCACGCCATGGGAACACGGGAAGGTGCGACTCACAGGGGGAATGGGGAGGACCTCCGAGCAGTCGACCATGTTGCTGGTGTCCTGGCCGACGACGGCGAGCTTGGCCATCGCGGAGGCGAACGCGGACTGGAGCTTCGCGTGGTCGTTCGCAAACGACTGCCACTCGCACGCCGTGCGGGAGTCGCGGGCGAGCTGTGGGCAGGCGTGGGAGGTCAACGCTTGAGGGATGGGAGCCGGAGCAAGGCCCGTACCTCGGAGTCGGACTGGAGACGGATCTCACCCGCGAGCGGGGACTCGACCTCGCCCTGGTTGCCTCCCGTGCCGGGAAAAGCGGTGCCGCGCAGCTGGACCTCGATGAACACCTGCGAGTCGAAGGACGAGGGAGTGGAGTCGAACGGCGAGCCCGGGATCGAGGGATCGACGTGGTCGGCAGCGGCGACCGAGTGCGAGGCGAGGAGCGCGACGACCTCGTCTGAGGAGAAGCCCGCGTCGCCGAAGCGGGCGAGGATGGAGTCGACGGTGTCGAACGGTTCAGGGACGAGCAGGTCGGGGGACGCCTGGGTGGGCGCAGGGCGGCCGAGGAGGAATTGGAGGCGGGGGGCACCGGCGCAGTTCGAGAAGCCGACGGCACCGGCAAGCTGGATGCTATGGGGGGAGTCACACCGCGTAAGCGTCGCAGTCGTGGGGTCGTGTCAGAGCAAATACGTACAAGTCGCCGGGAGTCAGCGTGATGTTGTGCGCGGCGATGAAGCTCTTCTGGGCGTCGACGATGTCGTCGATACCGCCGTTGGCGTGGAAGGCGGTTTCGATGTCGGCGAAGGCCATGATGGATCCATCGGCACCTCCACCACCAAATTGCCCTGCGAGGTAAGCAGCGGCGAAAAGCCAATGGCGTCGTGGAAGGTGAGACGGAGAGACTCGTGGGTCTCCTCGCCACACTCGCCACCGTCGAAGAACTCGCTCTGCAGAGTGTCGACGATGTCGAAGAGCGGGCAGCAGCCTCGTTGGTGGCAGTGTGGACACCGTCGGGGCAAGCAACACGGCGCGTGAGGGCAGCTGAGAGAACAAGGGCCAATATTAGCACGGGATCGACAAGATAGAGAATATAGCACGGTGCACCGTTGGTGGCCTGGAGAGTGGCGTACACCGCGAGGAGCGAGGCGAGGATCTTGAAGGCCATTGTCGAGGATGTGAGAGAGGATGTAGGAGACCGGGGTGTCTTGTCCTCTTCGCCTCGATGCGAGATAGGTTATATACCTTTCGTACCAGCCACAGCGCGCCGTGTCGGTGTACATGTCTGCTTGCCGAAAAGAGCAGTGTCTGAGCTAGAAGGAACAATCAGCCAATGACACCCAACACGTTTGCAAGTTCCCACTGCCGAACAGCGCTGCAGCAAATCAGGAATGGCCGTGCCTAGGACTCTCAGGCTTCACAATCCTGGGGCACGGGCGGCTTGACATTCCAGGCGCGGTGGAGATAGACGCGGCCGGCAAAGAGAGTTGAGCGCAGTTTAGACGCGGTTCCAGGACGGCCACCGGGCTCAGGAACCGATTCCACGGGTACGGGTTTCGGGATCCACGGATCCGGTCCCGGAGATGACGGTAGTGGGTATTCAAGGCGGCAAGAACAACGGTTTCATGAGAGATAGCTACATGATGAGGAAGATGTTGGTGACAGATAGGTGAGGGAGGACCCCGTGTTGGAAATAGACGTGCCTTGCTCCTAGAAAAAATCCCATGAACGCAGCGAAAGGTAGTTGTTCCTCTGTTGAAGGATGGGATTTGCGCGATGAGTTGCTCGGGCGCTTGCTGGGACGTCTCCCGAAACTGACAAAGAGGCTTGCCATTTGACCACAGAGCATATGGACCCAGGGGCATGCTGATCAAGACGTTCCTCTGCCGTGCCCACGCATTAGAGTGATCGAGGGGAGTGCCCGCGTTGACGACGAGGAGGCAACTGAGCACGTCAAACGGCCCTGGGAAGATGCAAAGGTAAGAGGTGCAGGACGGGGCTGTACAAGGCGGTAGAGCCATATCGGGAGGGGTCTACGCAAGTTGCAACCGCGCAGTCGGGGTGGCTGGGGCCGGTAGTTGACAGGCATGGGAGAGCGGCAGGTGGGAAAGAGATGGGATGGGGTGGGTATGTGCCACGATGGCGCGCAGAAAGTCCCATGGAGGCGGGCAAGAGCCGCGTTTCCTCTGCAGAGAATCATGATTGCCAACGCCAAGAGACTTAAAATCACACAGGCGTGAGCACAGAGAGGAACTGTGTAGGATTTTCGCCAAGGGACCATGTGTTCAGACCGGTAAGTCGAACGCCTGAGAACACCGAGGAGGCGGTCCGGGAGAGGGCGAGGCGCAGGCGAGGGACTGTCAGAGCTTCCCGCGGCAGGGAGTACGTCAGGAGCCGGCGTCGTTGAGAGTGGGGATGGTTAAGGGCGCCAGGAAGGAACGGCTTATGTCCGACGGTGGTGTCCATCGGCGACGCACGACGGCCTCGGGCAGGCCACGCGAGTGCCACGCGCGCACTGTCTGAGATGACCCGGGGTGATGATGCCTCATCTTATCTGATAGGTCAGCAGACGCCCCTTGCCCGCCGTCCGTCTTCGTCACCCTCCTCGCCCGACGACCGCACCGACACCGAGCTCGCGTGTCTTATGGCCCGCAGCGATCATGCAAATATCCTCGTTTGATGCGCTCTGCTCCCCGTGTCCGACGGCGAGGCTGTCTCAACTCTAGTATCCTCGCTGCATTGACTTCACTCTAAGCTCTTAAGCTCTTGCTCCTTGACTCATGAGCTCTTCCGCAAAATGGTCGCCTACGCCCTCGGCCACCACCCCGAGGCCGAGCATGCTGCAGAGAAGCTTCGGGAGGCCTCTGTGCCCATCTCTGACTCCTTATGCCGAGCTTGTTCGGATCCCTGTGATCTTGGTGAGCCCTATCACTAGCTCGTGTACTCCCGGGGCCCATTAGAGCTATGCAGGTCACGACGAATACCCAAAGTTCGACGTGGACGCGGAGATGGAGATGCTGGGATCTGTAAAGCCTTACGGGCGTCAGGTGCGTTGATGACACTCACTCTGTTTTCATCCGCCATCCGAGCGCGACCACCAGGTTGTCATTTCCTCGGGCAAGACAGACTGGGCCCGAGACGTCACGGCGGTTGGCGACACGCTCGCCGCACATCTCACCATGAGACCTCGTGGGGACTCCACCTTCCGAAAGTCCTGAAAGGCGACGCCAATGGGAACGCACCCATATCTCTGTCGGGGGTCTTTGACGCAGCCCCGCCAAAGCACCAGAAGATCACGATTCTCAACGGCAGCCATCGCCCCGTATCCCACGAGGACCGCAAGGAGACCGTGCTCGTCTTTCCCGACTACATCGTCCTGGCCGAGGTCACGAACTCGCGCGAGGGCGCTGCCGTGCTCTGGGAGCACACAGTCAGCCCTGCCGTCCCCCTCCATGTGCCTCCGGAGCCAAGCCCGAACGCGAAGTCTTGGATCCTGCCGTACGCGTGTGTCATTCTGCTCTGTAAGTCTCGTCTTCCCGTGTCCCACCCCCTCGCCGCTCGCCGTGCTGCCTCCGATAACGGACGCCCGTCTCACTGACTCACACGTCCCGCACCTGCACCCGACGATGCCGCCCCAAAGGCTCCCACAAGAGGCGCGACAACCGTTGCGCGATCGCCGCCCCAAAGCTCGAGCACGGTCAGTCATTCATTCGCGCGACGCGCAGCGCGCGCCCATCTCCCTCCGTCCTGCGTAGTCGCTGATCCTGCCCTCGGCACACCCGCGCCGGCTCGCACGCTGTCCAACTCTGCAATACCGCTGCAGCGCTCACCGCGGCGCTCGCGCGCGAGGGGTGGGAGGTGCACACCGAGGTCGAAGATCCGTCCCTGCACGGCCCTGCGCTCGAAGACGACCCCGCGCTCCAGCAAGCAGGCACACAGGGCGGCGCGGCAGCAGACACGTCCGACGTCGGGGCCGACGCGCGCCAGGCAGCCATGCGCGCGCGGCTGGCGGCGGCAGCGGAAGAGAAGCGCGCACTCATCGTGTTCTGCTCACACATCGGCGGACACAAGTACGCCGGGAATGTCATCGTGAGTTACTCCCGTTCTGTCTGGATCTATCCAAGTCCGTTCGTGTCTCGCCGTGCAGGGAAGGTGTATTTGCACACATTGGCGTGGCCCGCGGCCCGCGTCCACTCTTCCACGATCCACCGCCTTGTTGGTCAGACAGAACGGCGCGGAGCGCGGCCGGTCACGGCTGCTGAGCGACGCGCAACGCGGAAATACGTTGCGCCGCGCATTGCATCTCGGGCTCGCGTCCCATCGCACTTCCCATGTCAGAATCGTGTATGGTTTCGCACCTCACCGCACCCGGTGCGGTCTCGAACCCCGTGGCGGCGCAGTCGTCCGCAGAGGCCGCCAAGGAGTTTGCGGACGTGCGTGGGGCGACGTCCGGCGGTTACGTTTCGGGGCCACCGACGCGCACAGCGCTGACCGTCGTCTGCGCAGATCAACACCCCTCGCGGAGTATCGGTGTGGTACGGTCGGGTCACGCCGCACGAGGTCGACGCGATCGTGAGGGAGACGATCATCGGCGGGAGGATCCTCCCGGCGCTGCTCCGGGGCGGGATGAACTTGTGCGCGCCGGGCCACCAGAGCCTGCACGAGTGGTAGCGGGCAACGGTACTCCGGCTCTGCGGTGGGGTATCGTACGTTGGCATCCAGGTCCTTGGGCCGCCCATACAATATCACTTCTTCGACTTCACCGCAACGCTTTCGAAAAAGGTACGGCGGCTTGCCACCGTGCGCGCTAGCGGCGCCTTCGGATTGAAAGTTAGAAGCGTGGTGATTCGACATGTACATCCGATGGGAATCATGCGGGGATTGGTGAGATGCACTGGACGGCTGCATCCATCCGCCCAGCTCGACGTTTTACATGGCGGCGAGGCGTCATCTGGCCCATCCACGCTGGTCAGCAAGCCTTTCCTGCCGTGGAAATGCAAAAAGTGTTGGAAGTCGCTGTGCGTGCCTCTTCGACGCATAGGATCGACATTTTCCAGTCGTCTAAGCCGTACGACAGCTATTCATCCGCTTTTCGACGCGAACCGTTGCCCAACCGTTGCCGAATGTCCTCTGATCCAGAACTGAACCAAGTCGACCTCACCAGCTCTGTATCAAATCACCTTCTCTCGTCCACGGCTACGACAGCTGCGACAAACCCACTACAGGTTACAGTCAACAGGAGATGTGTTGCCGACTGTTCGGCTGTCCAGTGTTGACTCGTCGTCCGCGTCGGCCTGTCAGACCGAATTCGGAATCAACATTGCAGCGAACGGGGCTAGCTCATCAAATGTACACTCGAGCCTCCTTCACCTGCACTGGAGACGAGAGAAGTTGTGCGTATTATTACATAATGATGAACATCGACCAGAGAGCATTAACTACACGCGCCCGATCTGCACAGGCATGCCACCGTCCAACATGTATGCTGAGCGTACACCATGGGTGTATGATACAACCATAAGCGGACACAGAGGCCTGCATATCATCGTCGAATGGGGGGTGGTTGAAGGGGCCATATATACACCGTAAGCTGTAAGAGGAATCCATAGGGTGAGGAGTGTTGGACGAGAGGTCTAAAGCGCGACAGCAGGGGGGAGAACGCAGTCGAAACGCCCTGGCTATGCGCGCAAGTCGTCGTCGAAGTCGGCGAACGCATCGTCCCCTATCCGTCTCGACTTCGCATACCGGCCTGCGGGCGCCTCAGAGTCGTCTTCGTCGGGGGGGTGTGCGTCCTGCTCGGGCGCGTCCTTCTCCAACGCGAGGAGGCCTGCGGGCGGCATGATAATGGATTCGCCGTGGTAGGTAAATCCGCGGAAGTTCTCCTGGACACTGTTGGTGAGCGGTGGGGCGTCCGCCTTCGCCTTCTTCGGTTTCACGATGTCGATTCCTTGAGTTTGAGTTGGTGATGGTAACGCGGGTGTGGGGAGGGGGCTGGTGGTCGATTTTGGCTGGTCACTACCTAGCGGACCGTTGGGCATGTGTGAGGGGGTGGTGACACTAGCGGAGATGGCGACCCAGTCGGCAGAGGGGTCTTCCTCGTCAAGGTCAACGTCTTGGATACCAACTTCGCGCATATCGGCAGAAGTGAACTCGGGGTCGAAGTTGGCGACTGACTCGTCCGATTCAACCACGGGTTTGAACGGCGGTGTGACCTGCTTCTTCGAGAGCGCCTCCCAATCAATCACCTTGAAGAACGCGTGTTCTTTCAGTTCCGCAGCGTCCCGGTGTGAGCCTAGGCGATGTTTCGGATTGCGGTTGAGGAGCTATTGTTGGGGCGCGATGAGAACGAACATCCATCCTAAAGCAGAGCACAGTAACGCACTCCTTTCACGAACTGCTTCCCGTCCTCATTAATAACGCCTTTAGGGAACTTGATCTTGCCGAAGCAGATGTTCTTGTACATTTGCTGGGTGTCTTCGGCGTAAAACGGACTCCACCCACAGCACATCTCGAACAGGAGGACACCAAGACTCCAAAAGTCGACAAGCTTCGAGTATCCATGTTCGTCGAGGAGGACTTCAGGGGCGAGGTACTCCGTAGTACCACAAAAGGTGTTCGTGAGCTCATCTGATCGGAGGTCGGGCTTAGAGAGACCGAAATCGCATAGTGCGACGTGACCGGTCGCGTCCAGAAGAATGTTCTCGGGTTTGAGATCACTGAGCGCATAGATAAGCTATCCGTTGAAGAAGCTGTGCGAAGGGCAGACTGACCGATAAACGATGTCATACTTGTGTAAGTGTTCAAGCGCCAGAATAAGTTCTGCGACGTAAAATCGCGCGCGCTCTTCGGAGAATCGCGTTTCCTTCTGGAGATGCCAGAAAAGCTCTCCGCCGCTCTTGAAGTCAGTGACGAGATAGAGATCCGTCTCCGTCTGGAACGAGAACTTGAGACCGACGAGGAAGGGGCATTCGAGGGAGCGCTGCAGGATCTTGCGCTCGCCTATGGTGTGTGCGACCTCTTTCTTCTCAATAATCTCGCGCTTGGAAAGCACCTTCATGGCGTATATGCGCTTGGTGTCGCGCTTGCGGACCTGGAAGACGCGACCGAAGGTGCCGCGGCCGATGAGCTTGAGGAACTCGAAATCACGGGGTGTGAGCGCGCGACGGGACTGGTGACGTAGTGGCGGGCGGTGGAGGCGACACGGGGCGGGAAACGTGGGAAGTGTGGGGAACGGATGATCGGGCGAGGGGAGAGGTTGCCGGTGGCAGAGGAAAGGCAATCGACGCGTGGTGAGTGAGCGCGACGCGGAAACGTGCAGGTCAGGTGCCCACCTGGTTCGCTTCAAACGTAATTTGCACCCTCATCTCCCCACTAACCGTCTCATTTTCGTACGGCTCCAACCTGCACGCAGCGTCGCGTGTCCGAGGGAGGGTCGTGACCAAAGCCGCAGTTCGAGTCGTCGGGCGGGGCAAGGTTTTGGCGGGTGGCGATCAGACGTGGATTCCGCAACATGGAGCGTGCCGGAGCACTCACTTATACCACTGGTCGACGGTATGTTCATGGACGAGTGCGGGCTTGATCTGAACAGTCCCCAAGAAGGCGTGCTCGAACAGGGAGCGGTCATAGACGCATAGAGTGACCACGGACTGCTCCGAGGTGACGTCGCTAAACAATGCGTACACTGAGGACCCACGAGACGCGCGCGGCGATGTGAAAGGGATTACTCACAAGGACACCTCATGTTTCCACACCGGATTGTGCGCGGAAATGCGCGCCCCAAACACCCCTGCCGGCTGCGATTTGCCTGAGCCCACCGACGAGGAAGGCGTAGGTTCTGCGCTACTCCGAGTGCTCGCTCCGCCGCTGTTTCTTCCGTTCGCCCTGTTGTTGATCGCTCCTAGTGTTTGGACGGCCTGGGATGACGAGGTGCGGGACAGTGTGCTGATGGCAATGCCCTTGACTTCCTTGTCGGTCTCTTCCGTCGGGTCGCGACTGACGAACTCGTTCTGTTCGAACTGGACGACGACGTACGGACGAGCTATCGACGAGCGGACGTTGATACCGCGAGCCTGGATGAGTTTGACGTGAATCTGGCCTCTAGATGGGACGGATGAGTGTATCGATGCAGAGGAGCTGTTGGCGAGGCTAGTGGCTGGGGTAGTGCCGTTTGTCTTGGATGCTGATGAGCCGGAGGAAGAGGAGGAGCCCGCGGAGCCAGGGCCCTTCCCATTCTGACGCTTAGGAGTGGGTGGTTGTTGCATGTTGAAGACGGGGGCATGAAGAGAGAGGCCGGTTGTTGGCAGAGCGGAAGGAAGAGGTGTCGCAGAGGGCGTCAAGGGACCTAATTGGGACGGAGGCTCGGGGCCATTGACGGCGGGCTGGGCTGGGCCTCCAAAGATAGAGGGCGAGAGGAGATGCTGGGGAGTGCTGAGCAGCTGGTGGTGATAAGGCGGCAGCGGTTGGGACGTAGGCTGTTGTTGGTGCTGCCCAGCAGCATTGGCCATGAGATCAGGTACATCGAAAGGATTCTTGCGCTCCTGGCCATTGGGCCCCGCCCTAGGGGTAAGGTCGGCAGGATTGGATGGCCAGAACTTTAGCATGATCGGCGAGAGGTCGCAAGTGAGAGAGGGGGGAGGACGATCTTAAGAGCGGATGAGCGCAGGCTAGATATGGAGGCGTTTGGGACGGGTCGTCATATGCTCCCTATATTCATCACCTATCTGCTCGATATATCCACCCCGCTCCACCCCCAGACCGGGCGTGTGTCCGCCTGGGTGCGAGCCCCTCACACGTCCGAGACGGACATGGCCGACGACCAGCGCCCTAGCTCCCCTTCGCCGCCAGGCTCTCCGCCGGCCCCGCCCCCGCTTCCACACCCGCGCCGGGTTCTACCTCCTCCCTGTGTCTCTCCAGTTGCTCTTCCAGGCGGCCCTTGCTCCACCGCAGCCCGCTCAGCATTCCCCCGATCACCACCCCAAGAAGTACGGTCCGCCGGAAGGTGGCCGCAGGAAGCCGGTCTGGGTTCGCGAAGGCCGTCAGCACCGAGGACAGCAAACGGACTGCAGACGACCACGACCACGCTACTCACACATGACACCGAACAGGGTCGCGGTCCCCAGGCCTGCGACGGCCTCCTGCGCGTCGTCCACCCCCAGCCGGGCGCAGCCTTCCTCAATGCCGACCCATGTCGCAGCCGTCAGCCCCAGCCGGGCAGCCTCCGCACCAGCCCCTTTGAGTCCGCCGAGGGCGACGCGGTAGTTCTTGGACTTGTTGTAGAGGTACCAGCCGCGCACGGTCCGCGGCGCGCGGTGCGCGTTTTCGGCGAGGAATCTGAGGGAGGCCGTCCGGGAGCCGCGAAAGAGGCCGATGGTGATGCCGGTGAGGACCGCAGCCCCAGGGAGGACGAGGAAGCGTTGGGGGATGTTTATGCGGATGGTCGGTTGCTCATCGTCGTACTCAGCAGAGGACATGGCTTACTGCCACCGCACGCGCCGCGCCCCTTCCCTCTCTGATGACCTCACCGCCCGCCTATGGCAGTTTCCCCTTCCGGCAGTGCCTGTACCTCTGCGCCTGAACTTTCGTGTACACATCCAGCATTCACATAGCCATCCACAGAACTGCATTCATCTAGCTTCTCCACCGTTTCCTGGACCGCCGAAGTATTGGCCCCGTCGGGGAGAGCACGGAGCCGTCGATCTCCAAGCACGTCCCCTCAGCACTGCGCGACATGTGGATATGGAACATCGACATTCGGTGGGATGCAAACATAAAGTTCGGTTGAAAGTTCCTTGCCCAGTGCTACAGCGGTATGTTCGCGCCGTATACTGTATCGCAACCGAAAGCCACTGTGTAGGCACTCGACGAACGCAGATCACTTACTCTAACAGCTAGCCAGCTACCCGTCCTCCCCTCTAGACAAAGAACCCGGAAGCTCGGAGACCACAAAGAGCACAAGTGGCATTAATTGAGCTGACCTAAGAAGTGAGACAAACGGTGATGGGGCTAGTCCTGGGTAGCCGGAACCCGAGGCCCGAGATGGCGTGGTTGTGGATAGTTTGGCCGTGTGTTCGTCTGCTTGCGAGGAGCAAATTTGTTTTCTCTCGTTTTCGAGCATTTGGACGTTGCTTGAGGTTGTTTGAACCGTGGCTGAGGTGCACAAACAATGCCTCCAGCTTCCTCCCGCCATCGTCTCCCGCCGCCATGCTCGCACCCCCCGCCGTCCCCGCCGACAATGTCGAAGCGATGGTTCGCAGGGCGCCCTCCGTCCGACTTGGCTCGTGCGCCACTGGGAAGCCGCTGACATAAGCGTGTTGTACTCGCCTCGCTCTCGTCCTTCTGTCACCACCATTGCGACCATTACCCTTGCTCCCCTACTGCTTGCTACATCCTACGGCCTCGACACGTATAGCTACCAGGCGACATGGCTCAACCACCTATGGGTGTGATACCCCAGGACATGCTCCATAACCCGGCCCAGTCGACACCACAACCGGTCAACTACTACTCCGACGTGAGCACAACCAACGACTTGACGGGCGGCCTACCCATCAACTTGGACTCATTGCGAGATGGGCCCCCTGGGAGCAAACCGTTTTACCCCTACTCGACTCTGATCAGGTATGCCTTGGCTCAATTCTGCAAGCGATGAGACCCATGGCTCAATGGCGCGTTCGATGGCTCAGGTATGCCATCAAGGGCTCACCGAATCAGAAGCTACTGCTAGAAGACATCTACTACGCGATTGAGAGTCGGGTGCGTAATGTTGACGTGTCCACGCGTGGGATGTGGCTCAAGTCGCGCTCCAGTTTCCCTACTTCAGGACCGCCCCTCCTGGATGGAAAGTGAGTACTTGCACCGCTCTTTACTGACTCTACGAGCAGATGTTTACGCGTGTGGTGCGTAGAATTCCGTCCGGCACAACCTATCCCTCAACCCCTGCTTCGAGAAGTCCCCCGTCCTCTCACGGACCGCGGCAAAGGTTCATATTGGACCGTCAACGACCAGGTGGATCCTCGGACTGGAGTGCACAGGATACGCAAAAAGAAGGGCAAGAACGGAAGCAAAAGTTCGCCTCCCCTCGAAGCACAAGACATCGACTACCATCCCGACGCGGACCAGTCACCAGCATTCGACCCGAACGGGTCCTTCGTGCCCCCGCCACAGATGGCCGCAGACGCGTCCGGAGCAAATCGGCAAGCACAACCGCCCTTCGCGCCCCCGTATCCATCGTACGTCCTTCACACTTTCGGCACAATTCTGCAGAGGCTTCATGTCCGCTCGCACAGCTTCGACCCCACATTCCCGCCAATGATGCCCCCATTATTTCGACCGGACGAGCAGTTCGAGCTCGACGAGCACGGCCAGGTCAACTGGCAGCTGCAGTGGCGGAAGGAGCTCACACAGCTTCACCAGGCGACGGAGGAGCAGGAAAAGGCAGGCGCCGAGCAGGAGTGGTTCCGTATCATGCTCATTCGTCTGCGGAGTGCGATGCTCACGCCTGGCGACCCCATCCCGCCACCGATGCCCGGCCAACCGCCAAACCCGGGCGAGGTGCAAGTGCCGATGCAGGAGCAGGCGTGAGTGGGCTAGGCGAGGGTGTAGATTTGTCTGGGATGCATTGGAGGTCCGTGTGCTGGCTTAGCGCGGGCTGCTTGGGGTCTCTCGCCGGTCGTGGTCTGCTGCGAGGTTGAGGATCGTCACATTGGACCTTCGTCTACTGTAGTGATATGCATCTCCTGTGGTAATGTGTGGATTAGATTCCTTGTAATCGAATGCACCAGTCATTCTTTTGCTGTATCTTGGCGACGCTGAGCTCAACGTGGAACGGCATGTGGCCACAATCGAGTCGTAAAGGACGAGTGTCGACATGTTTTCGCCATGAACTTGGTGTCAAACGGGCGCTCACAGTGCGGGCCGTGCCGCCACCCGAGGCCGACGGTTGTCTGCTCTCTTCCACGACCCTTCCGCCGATGACATCTCAGGACCTCGCGCGCAACCCTCCGCCATGACATCCCAGGCATACGAAGTCGCGCTCTTTGCGGACTTCTTCGCGCAGGACCTCCCAGGTCCGCCCCTCGACCGTCCTCTCTCTCAAGACACTCTTGCCCTGACTCCTCTTGTCAGCCATCCTGAACCGATTCACCCTGCACAGCGAGTCCGCGCACCGGATGCACGCACGCGAGGTCGTGTTCGAACCCTTCGACGCGCAAAACCAGCGCGACGCGGGCACGGAGCCCGTGCTGCTCCGCGCGCGGCGCGAACTTCTGGACCCCGATTCCCAGTGGTGAGTGCCCCCTCCGTCCGCTGCGCGCGCCGCCGCTTTGCGAAGCACCTCTGAGCGGGAAGCGCCTCTCAGGGTGCTGTACTCGTACTTGAAGCCCGAGTCGGTGCGCGTGCACCCAGAAGCGACCGTGCGGCCGTGGGCGACATGCCAGATCGCGGGGGACGCCCTCACGTTTGCGTCGGCGTTGGGATACATGCAAGTCCGCTCCATATCTGCGCAGTACGTTTCCTCACGCGGAGGGCCTGCAGCCGGCGGTCCCAGATCTACAAAAGAGGATATGTGTTCCGCCGCGGTAGTTTGGTGATCCAGATGTTCCAACAAGAGCATGTGAGCCGTCGACGCGGCGTCTCGGGCGGTGTCTTTCTGACGAGGGATCTCGTGCAGGCGGATCCGAAGACGGGGAAGCCGATGCCCGCGCATGTGGATACGCTTTGGGAGGTTGAAGTGAAGACGGCGGCACCGGTGCGCAACACGCAGCAAACACCGCTGAGCCGGTCTTTGGACGCGGTCCTCGAAGTTCAGCTGCTGATGAAAGGTCTTCTTGATTTGAGGCGACAAGATGTATAGAATGGTGTTCATAGCATCTTCCCAGCGGCGCAAGCTGCCGTCTGTAACATCCTTAAGCCTCTGCTCCAATCACCATTCCCGATGACAAATGTGGACTGGGCACAGGCTGTGATGTCGGTGAGTGTTCGTCGAATTAAACATTGCGGGGGCAGACGCGGCGTGTGGTGCAACATGTGCCCTGCCCATCGCGTCTGTCTGGAATCCTCGAAGCCAGTCTCCGACGGCGAGGACATGACGCGGGTCTTGAAAGTTCCCAGCGGATATGCACCCATGTTTCTCGGCTGTGATGCTGCCGAACCTGCTAGAGCCAGCACCGTGTTTGATGACCGGCCTCGTTGTGGACATGATCACAAGGGCTATCGCGATCCATGGCCAAAAGTCGCACCAAACGAGCCTGGGGCTGCACGCGAACTGGCCCCTTGGTGTTTTCTCCGTCGTCGAGTGTCTGATGACGGAGACGTGGTCGCTCTACCTCGTTTCCGTCGCTGACCAGTCCCATGGGAGGATGGAGAAAGGGCAGTGACCGCTGCCATACCCAGTTGTGTCCTCCGTCCTGGTCTCTGGACCTGATGGACCCGGGCCCATCTGCCCAACAGTCCTCTAACCCGCCTTCGTCTGGGCCTTCATCCGCTCGTGGCCCGCCTCCAACCTCCTGAACCAAGGCCCACAGCCGCTCTACTTCCAGCTCATCCCCTGTCTACCAACCACGCCTCAACTGCACCTGGACCCCTCCAGGGACCGTACTGAAAACGTCCTAAGGTGAAAGATGATGACGGCGTTGAGCATATCGTTGTGGATCACGTCTCCCTTCCTTCCTCTCGTCCTCCACCTGGATTCCCGTCTTTCTTGATCTCTTCCGCATGGTTCGAGTCATTGCCTCTTCCGTATACGTCAAGTCTCCTGCCTTGACCCTTAAAATCCCGAACTTGATGTACCAATAGCTCACCACATTGAATGCATGAGAATACAATACAGTTGTCGCTCATACCCCGTTGATGCCCTCGTCGTCTGACTCTCCCCAGTCGACCTGCTCCTCATCGGCGCCATCGAATCCCAACACGCCGTCTCTCCCAGGATCCCGGAGTGCACCGGCCTCGCGGAGCTTCTTCAGCATCTCAGCGAGCTCCTCAGCGCCGCCTGCTCCCTCGTCGTCCGTCTCCCCGTCCGCATCTTCATCGCCCCATTCGTCCGTACCAGCAACAGCCGTCGCCTCGTCCTCGTCCTCATCGCTCTCCGCACCATATCCTCCCAACAGCCCCAGCGCCCCCTGTTCATCCTTTTCTCCTCCACCTCCACCTCCACTCCCGCCTTCCTCATCCCGGCCTTCGTCGCTGCCGTACCCGCCCAAGAGCCCCCCAATCGCCTTCCGCGCCGCGCCGGGGTCGAGCTTGCGCCGCTTCGCGCGGCGCTCCGGCGACCCCCCGACAGCCGCGACCGCCCCGCGCTCGTCGACGAGCGCGCCCGCGAACGCGTCCGGGTCCCACACCTCGACGGTCGGGAACTCCACAAAGTGCTTGCCCCTGAGTGCGGCGCCGAGCGGCGCGGCGGGGTCGAGTCGGTGGTGCGCGCGGCGGAGGAGCCCCATGGATCCGAACGCGGGCGCAGGCGCGGACGCGTGCAGCGCGGCGAGCGGGTCGAGCGCGGTCGCGATCGCGCAGAGCGGCGGGACGAAGGCGTCGGGGGCGTCCGGGTCGGGGAAGACGAGGGCGTGCGCCCAGGCGGGGACGCCGCCGGCCTTGTCTTTGTGCTTGGACTTGGACTGGGCGCGCTCGGCGAGGGGCGCGCGGACGGCGTCGAGCAGGGGCGTGTCGAGCGCGGTGCGGTGCGCGAGGAGCGTGTACGGCGGTGGGGGCGGCGCGAGGCCGTCGCGGGGCGGGTGGAACTGGAGCTCGAGCGTGAGGAGCGCGGTGTTGGTCCTGGAGCGCGCGGGCAGGCGCGCGAGATGAGCACGGGGGCGGACGGAAGAGGACGGGGGGCGCGCACGCACTTGTGGTCCCAGGTGGACTGGTTGAGCATGCGGCGCTCCATGCCGTTCGCGAGGAACTCGACGTCGATGTCCCGCGCGTCGAGCTGCATCTTGAGGATGTCCCGCTTCGACGTGCCCTTCTGGGCGCCGCCGCCGAATCCGAACCCGCCCCCACCTCGGCCCCTGCCTCTGCCCCGTCCCCGTCCGCGCGCCCCGCCTCTCGCATTCGACGATGCGGCCGAGGCGTACCCGCCCTGGGCGATCTCCCGCCCCCAATCCCCGACCTTGCGGCCCATCTCCTCGAGAAAGGTGTAGTCGTTCATGAGGGTCATGTACCCGTACTCGTTCATCGGCACGTACGCCGCCTTGTCGCGCTCGCCGGAGCATCCCACCCCGCGCGTCTTGTGTGCCGTCGAGCATTGCAGGGAGCAGGTTCGCAACTTGCAGCGCGGACAGGTGTATTTGGCGATGCTGGCGACGCAGACGGCGCATTGAGCGGCGGCCGCCTCGCGCTGCAGTGCGGCAGTTGAGCTTTCTGCATGTGGGACGTCTAGAACTGTTCCACTTGCGTCCATGAGGAGAAACAAGCAGATACGGGGGCTCTTAAAGGGCAGATGTGGATGTGGAAACTGAGGCAAGCGATGGAGGTGGAGGCAGAGGACGAGCTGAAGGCAGGGCACCTGTCCACGGTGGAAATTCGTGAAGCGCGGCTCGGCCGGCCGGCCCGGGAAGCTCCTGGCCAGATTTCGAGACTGCCCAATTGATATGTTGCACACAAAGCCACAACACGTCTGTTATATACAACCACACATTCTGGATGTGCATGGACTACATGGATACAGCGGAAGCTACACATCTATTAAATGCATCATGGCCATCACGGGTGGGTATCGAATTCAAATGTCATCCATCCCGAAGTCAATCTCCACCTTCTCACCAGGCTTGAACGCCGGTAGCCCTAAACGATCACAAAAATACGTGAGCGACCATAGAACACAACGAAAAAGGAGGAGAACGGAGCGGACCTCTGTAAGGGCAGCTCGAGCACCGGAACGCGTCCCCGAGGTAGCAATTCCCGCAGCTGCTCGTCGCCTTCGGGGCGGCCTCGGCCGCAGCGACCATCCGGGCCTTCTCGCTCTGCGAGACCTCGATCGCCTTCCCGTCAACTTCGCCGTCGAGCATGACGACGTTGCTACGCGCGAGCTCCTCCGCCTCGAGCTCGGCGAGGCCGCACGAGCAGTTCTTGCACGCCTTCTTCCGCCGCGGGGCGCCGCGCACCGCAGGCTCGCACGCCGCCGGCCGCGCGCGGTCCGCGGCGGTGAGCAGGCTCTCGGCGTCGATCGATGGCGTTGAAGGCGCGGTCACCGTCCAGAGGGCCTTCTTGGACGCCTGCCGGTCCGGGTCCGCCTTCCGGCGCAGGGCGAGGGGCGCTTTGAGGGAGAGGGAGGTGCCGGCGGAGTGCGCGGGCTTTTGGGCGGAGAGGGAGCCGTCTTCGTTGACCTTGAGCACGGTGAAGCCCGCGAGTGTGAGGTCGGACGGCAGGGTAGGGAGGGAGGAGGAGAGGTTGAGCAGGTGGAGGGTGCCCAGGGGCTGCAGGCCAGAAAGCAGTTGCTTGAGAAGCTCGGGGATGCGGGGTGCAAGGGCTTCGTACTCGGCAGGAGAGAGGGTGATGTGAACGGAGGCGAAGGAAGACTCGGGGAGGGTGGTGGCTAGCATGCGTTAAGTCCGGGGCTTCCGCCTCGGGAAAATCTGATACATACCTCCGTCAAGAAGCCTGTCTACCATATGGCGCTCGACCTCGCGGGATTGTTCCAAAGACGTAACCAAAGACTGATAACTACCGTCCTGAGCAGCGGCCGGGGAGCCTATGGCGAGGACGGGACCGCTGGTGGGGGCTGCAGGGGATTGCTTCTCGGGCATGGAGACGGAGGGGGCGGTGGGAGAGTAGACGGCGGAGGGAGCCATGGTAGCGGGCGGGAAAGGACGGGAGGTCGTCTGAGCACGACGATGAGCAGATGGGGGTTCAAGTAGAGCGAGCAGGCAGGGCTTAGATGAGGCCGATGGGAGGTGGTTTCTGACTAACTCGCCAGGCGCCCCTGCCCCCAGTCATTTGCCCATCTTGTCACAATCGCTCGTCATGCTTTCAACTTTCATCCCGCCTTCCGTCCGGTCCGCATTCACCCGGCGTCTCCGCCCAACCTCCTCGTCCTCATTCGCGCTCTCTCGTACCCGACTGATAGTCTTTTAGACTGCGCAACAACCAGATTCTGCATCGCTGCGACGAGCGAGCTGTGCGCGGGATCTACGGGCGCTACGTCTACAGCTTCCAGACCGAGTCTTTGCCGTACCCCAACTCCCCAAGCACCCCACCGACCTCCCCCTGTGAGAAATTCCGTCCATACGGTCCTGCTATAGCCGCCACCATCCTGTGAGCCGACAGACAGTCGTACCATCAGCCACCGTCGACCGTGGCTGGACTCGGAAAGCACATACCGGTCGGGCCCACACACCAGGAACATCACCTTCTTCCCCGTCCCGACCGGGCCTTTGCCAGGGCCGCCGAAGAAGCTCGACCACCAGCTGTTGGACGCTGAACCCATCGCTTTCCCCACGTCTCCTCTTCCGATCCGTCCTACATGCAGCTCGGACGAGGAGACAGTGGAGTGGGAAGGACCCTCACGGGCGTCGACGTGGAATGAGAGCTTCAGACGTTCTGGGTGGGCCTGGGAGTACGCCATTAACGGCCGAGTTATTTCGGGAGGCGGCAATTCGTTCGGCGTGCGAGAGGAGTGCAGTAATGTGAACCGTGTTTTCGGCCGTGGGCTCTTCGACGGCCGGCTCAGTAACTCCTTGTGAAGAAGCTGGAAGAATGGTGTAATCCCAGTCCCTCCCGAAATCTAGAGACCGATGAACAAACACACGCAAGCAGGAAGGACGAAGAGACTCACCATGACCACCTCGTCCCACTCGCCCTCCTCCCATGGCCAGGTCTTAAGCGGTCCGCGGATCTCTATTTGATTGCCTGGTCTCTTGGAGTGCAACCAACGGCCGACCTCTCCCTTGTCGTACTTCTTGACCCAAAGCTTGATGCGGCCTTCCGCGTCTATGCCCTCCAGCGGTGTAAAAGCACGTTCTACTTGAATATCGTCATCCTTGACATATATTGACCAGATCGGGCCGAATGCAGAGCCGTCCGTGGATGGGATGGAATTTGGAGGGATGGCAAGAGTGATCAGACGCGTGTTTGGGTCTTGGCAGAGCTCTGTGGCAGCGACGGTGACCGGCGTGAAGTGGCTTGGTGACAAGAGCGCACGCGTCTTGGTGGGTGCTGCGCGGGACTCGTCTGGCCAGAGGAGGTAGGATCCGGCGAATGCACCGAAGCCGAGAGCGACAAGGAGAGCAGTAGAGCCGAATCTGGATGCAGCCTCGGTCGGAGACTCTGCAGGGGTGGACAGTCTCCTGAGTGGGCCGAGGCGGGGCGGGCGGCGGGAGAGGGCCGGACGGGGGAGGAGGCGGGATGACGGGCGCAAGAGAGCAGCCATGGCAGTGACGTCGGCGCACCCGATGCGGCAGGAGCAGAGCCGTCAAACAATCACAAGCATCCGCGCTCACGTGCGCGACGAGGGCGGAGGCGAGGCTGGGATCATGCGCCCCTTGTCCTTCGCCTCCGTCTTCCCCGCCCTCTGCTGCGCAGATCTTTATCCACACACTACTCACGCACACCGAGGACTATCATGGAACACCCTCGCGACGCTCGTTTTGTCCCAGGCTCTAGCCACACTGCTCACTCTCACAACAACCTACTCGACTTCCGCTCCTTGCCGCCTTTCCAGCCATCCCAGTTCCCCCGGACCCACTTCAACTACACCGTTACTGCCCAACAACTCATGGCTAATTCAAGTTTCCCCCCTTTAGAACTCTGTCTCCCCTTGCTCGCGCCTTCACCTCTGGGTTTCGCCCCTGACCTCCAGTCAAGCGCTCCCACCTCGCGTCCTTCGCTGCCTTCCTGGTTTCATCCAGCACAAGATGTCCACCTCTCTTCAGGCGACCGTGGCATGGCACTTGATTTCGCGCGATCTGGCACCGGCCTTCTCCCCGTCTCCCTGCCTTTCCCTGTTCTAGCCCCATTTCCGCCCCCAGCCACCAGGTTCCCTACTCTATGCGCACCTGTTCCGTCTACCGTCTTGTCGGACAACTCGCACTTTACGGATCAAAGTCAAGAAAGGCCGTCGTTAACCGCTTGCTCTTCAGCGGAGTCAATCGAGAACGCTCTCAAACTCGAAGACATCTTCGACTTCGATCCTCCTAGTCTCGTTGCCGAGCCTCCTTTTGCGCCTCTGCTCACAGCGCCAGAGGCTCCTCACTCACTCTTGGACCCTAGCATCTCCGATCGGATGTTCGATCCTCCCTACTCTGCGTGGTCTTTTAACGCGATGGGTCAGTCTTGGAGCCCGTCATCTATCACGCCCCCTCTGTCCTTCGGCGGGTGTTCCATGAACAGCGACAACAGCCCTTCCTTGGCTCTGCGGACTTCGATGAACGACTACCTACGCATGTCTCTCACGCCCCCGTTGGTGCCAAAGGCAGAATTAGTCACCCCTCCGGTATCTCCTTTCTTGGGCCTCTACGCGGACGTCAACATGCACCTTAGTAATCTAGAAGACGATATCCCGCAGCCCTGTCTGGACCCATCGGAGATCATGTCAGACAGCTTAAGCATGTACTGTCATCCGCTCTCGCCTGCTCTCATGGAGGTCGACGAAGAGGAGCCTATGGATGACCGTTGGCTTTCTCCCGCCCCGGTACTTGTCGAACCCACTGGTCAAGCTCCACTTCTGTTGCGGGAAGCTTCCATCTTGTATGCGTCTGTCGAGGAGCATCCTGACAGCCGCCCGGATGCAGCCGCTGAAGTCACCTTCCCGGAGGACGCCATCAATGCCATCGTCGCGATTCTGAAGTCATCTGCGGTCAAAATAGAGCCTGAGATGCCCGCCAGGCTTCTCGCCGATCTGCCTGCCACATGGTCTTATATCAAACCCGAAGAAATCGTCGCGTTTGTACCTGCTCCAGAGCCCATGGCGCCTGTACCTACATGGAATCCTCCCACATGGACTCCGGTCGAGCCCCAAGAGCCCATCGTTCCTGTGCCTCCCTCTTCGCCTCAGCTCATGTATCCTGAGACCCCGGAGCCGTCACCCCTCGCCGTCATGCAGCCTCTCGCCTATGGTTCCCATTCACCCGCCTCGCATGCATCATTCGAGACTGAAAATAGGATGCCTCTCAAGATCATTCATGCCCCTCAAGCCCGAGTCGCTCCTTTTACGTCATACACCCCCTTCAACTTCCCTCCCGAGAACGTATACACCTTCACATCGCCGTCGAACCCGCAGTCAATCCCAGAGGAAGATCCCGAACCCGAACTGACGCCCCAGCCCTCGCTCCCGCTCGCGCCTCAGCCTCCGCCTCCACCTCCTGCGGAGCCCTCAAGCCCGGTGCTGAACGCGCACGTGGGGGTGTCGATCGGGGACCTCCGTCGGCGCGCGACCGACTTCCGGCTCCGGAACCAGGGCAAAGACCTGGACAAGACGTTCCTGCAGTGCTTCGCCGGGCGGCTGAGCGCACGCGGGGAGCTCCTCGAGGACTACCGGTGCTACGTCACCGGCTGCGGCCAGCGCAACAAGCGGCGGGACCACATCCTCGTCCACGTCGGCTCGCACGTCGAGCACCGGCCGTGGGCGTGCAGCCATTGGTGTGTGCCTTTTGCTCCTGCTTCTTGTTGCAGGCGGTGGGCTGACGTATCGGGCAGCGGGATGAAGTTCCTGCGGAAGAACGAGTGCAAGCGGCACGAGTCGAGCCACGGGGGGCGCAAGCCGTTTGCGTGCCCGCTGTGCACGCCGTTCGGGGACCGGAGCTTCGTCCGCCAGGACCTGCTCAAGCGGCACCTCCGCGTGTCGCACGGGGTGAACGAGGTGGGCTCGAGAAAGAGGGGGTCGGCGAAGAAGGAGGCACTCGAGGCGTGGCCTTGACATATACAGAGACCGTACGTTCGGGGTCCGTGTTTGCTGTATTATTACCGGAGCCTTGGACAGCGACGATGAGGATTGGCAACAGCACTATCCCTTGTATAGATCATCTTCTCCCCAGTCCCTACGTGCACTGTGTGAGCCTGATGGACAGAAGGAAGAAAGCATGGTCGACACGAGATTGCTGAGTATTGGCTCTCCAGGGATGCAACCTGCATGCACCATTGGTCCGTCTGGATCAAAAGCATGATGCGAATCTCATCGATGATGCCTAAGTACTAAGTACTGCTGGGTGGGTTTATGTAGTCGCTGTAGAGTAAAGTAACGCCACAGCCGTACGATATAGAGGCCGTCGACTCGAGGCGCCCCTCGCTCGGTAGCTCGGCGCTCAGCCGGCGTAACCATCCGACTCCTGCCTCGCCAACTCAGCACGATCGCAAAAACGCCGCCCGCCGCCGCCGCCGCCGCCGCCAGGACGTGGCGAGCGGTGAACGTTTGAACGTGCGAGCAGTGCGCCTGATCTGCGCTCGTCCTGCGAGGCTCTGTACAAGAGGGTACGGCGTCAGCTCCCGTGCGACAGTGCCAGCTGGGGTCCTTGCAGGTGGGGGCGCAGAGTCCGAACGGTGCTGTGCGAGATGGGTGTCGACATCGATGGAGGGCGCGCCGTAGACGTCGTACACGGTGGGCCGTTTCTTGAATGTCGGGGCTCTCAGTGTCGGAGAGTTGGTAGTGGTGATGGTGAGGAGGGCGAAGGACACAGCGTGGAGCACGAGGCGCATGGCGTCTTGGGTGTTAGTGGTAAGAGAGAATGATGGATGCCTGGGGGATCGAGCGCAAGAGGGCGATGGCACGAGACGCTTGAGTGGCCAATATCCCGAAAACCTCTATCTGATTGGAGGCGTCGCAAAGGGCTTCCGGTACGACACCCCAGAAGGATGTGGCATTAGGGCATGGTCAGGGTATCTGAGATATGGAGAGAGAAGTTCGTCTCGACTGTGGCATCGGTCAGCACATGGCAGCTGAAACCCAGAGATCAGGACCCAGGAGGTCAACCCGATATTAATGAATTATACATACTTTCTGTGCGCCGTCCAGGATCTGACATACCTAGTGCAGTCAGTCTGCACAGCAGGGGTCATACTGCATAGCCTATTGCGAACCAATCGATTGCACGATGAGGGGGTACATGTCGGTAGCAGGAGCCGACCGGGTAATACAATGATGGGAATTCACAGATCGTACACAAACCTGTTGGTCTGTCAGACGCGATGCGGGTTGCCAAGTGTAGGAAACACACCTTTCGGGATATATTGTCATCGGGAGTTTAAGAGAGCTCGAGATCGAGATTGACAACAGAGTTGCCCGCACCACCAAAGTTGCCGCTCCAATCTTCCTCCTCCTCGATCTTCTCGACAGCGGGTTGGGACTTCCCGGCTGCACCCTGACCTTCGTGAGAGAAACGGAACATGCTGGGCGGCAGCGATTGCGTCCCTGCTCCGCGACTCGCGCTCCTCTTCAACGGGAGGATCTCGCGCTTCGCTTTCTCCTCCCTGAGCTTGAGAGCCGCGGCGCGAGCGGATGGGCTCATATCTTCGTCGTCGCTCAGATCGACCTCAATGTCGTCATCGGCGCCTCCAAGAGGTTCAACGTCGCTGTCTTCGTCAGCACCGTTGTGAATGCGTTTCGGGCGTTGCTGAGGAGAGGACGGAGCGGAGGCAGGTCCTTTGTTCTTCACAGCCTCGCGTTGGGCGATCATCTCACGCATGGCGTCGTTCGAGGAGATGAAGAAGGGAGTGTTGGTGAAAGGCAGGCGTGTCGTCGCGAACTGTTGTGGGTTCGCAGGGACTGAAACGGTACGCTGGAAGCCCTCCGTGACGCCTGGATGTAGGGAAAGGCATCGGCATTGATCTCCTCGCGCAGTGCGAAGAGAAACAGGGAGCACTCACTCTTGCGAACGCGAGAGCCAACATTGCGGAGACGAGCAAGGGTCTCTTCATCAATTCTGGGAGGTCCTGGTGAACGGCAGTTTCACGTTTCCGGGCACAAGACACGTACTGGGACTGAGTCTGCTCGGGCGCACTAGACACCGCGGCCTGCAAGCCACTTTAAGTATCGACGAGGCCCAGTCAGAACGCGCGCACCGACCATTGTCAAGCTGAGCCACGTGGGGGTGTTGGCTGGGGAGTTGGTGGAAGGAAGAAGGAGGAGGTGAGGGAAGATGCTATAGGTCTGCAGGCAGAACATGTGCGGCAAGCTCTGCGTGACCGCGAAGGTGCCGCACGTGAGCCACTGTGAGGTCACTGGGGCGACGCGCCGTTGGCATTGTGTCTCCGCTAAGTCTCCCACTACATCCAGATCCTCTCCCTCTTCGTGGTCTCGCTTGTCGTATCACTGTCTGCCAGTGCAGGTCTACCCACGAGCCTCCAGCCAACATGGAGGTTCTTCGGCCGGATACAGTCCTTCGGAATGGGGGTCGCTGTGCCATGCGAGGATCCTGCGGGCCAAAAGAGATGTTTGGGAAGCCTCTCCCTTGTCCATATGACGGTTCACCATCTGAGGTATGTCTATATCACGTTTCTTTGCCTACATTGCATAATCCGCTCCTTCAGGATGACGTCGACCGGGAACTGCTCACGACCCTGTGCGGTGAAGACTTCGCCCAAGGACCCGTCTGTTGCAAGACGGACCAGCTGCAAGTCCTCCGAGACAACCTCGGACTGGCTGAGAACCTCATCTCTGCATGCCCGGCATGCCGGAACAACTTCCGCAAGTTTTGGTGTTCCTTCACATGTTCACCAGACCAGAGCAACTTCGTGCACATCACCGAGACACAGAAATCCTCCACCGGCAAGACTGCAGTCAAGACCGCAGACTTCTTCGTCTCGGAGGAGTTCGGAAACGGATTCTACGACAGCTGCAAACAGATCAAGCTCGGAGCTACCAACGGATATGTCATGGACCTTCTTGGTGGTGGCGCGAAGAACTACCACGAGTTCTTCAAGTTTATGGGCGAGGAGAAAGACATGGGCAGTCCTTTCACAATCAACTTCCCCTCACCTTCGGCGGACGACGCCCCTGCGCTAAACGCAACCGTGCGTAATTGCTACGACAGCGACCTGGGCAGCAAGTGCACATGCATAGACTGCGAGCAAGTATGCCCAGCACTTCCTACCCTCCCCCCTCCCGGAGCCGCGCCCACCTGCCATGTCGGCTACATTTCCTGCCTCACTTTCATTCTCGTCATTTCGTATGGTGTTGCCGTTTCGCTGTTCTCCTTGGGTATAGCCTGCAAGTCACCCTCCGAAAACGCCGTGAAAGCTCGTACGAGCGTGTAGCCCTTTCCTCCGACACCGACTCACAGCACGTCGTCTCCCCACGGACTCATGCACGAGGCCTCGTTGGCGCATCTTCCTTGGCCCAATACATCGACGGCGAAGGATCCACCGGCACACAATCTGAATCCCGTCGCCTAGGTCGTGGTGCCTCTCTACTCGACCCCATTGAGACCGTACAACCTCGCCACTACCGCCTCAACAACTTCCTCCGTAGGACCTTCTACAGGATCGGTCTATTCTCGTCCACCTACCCGTGGCTCAACTTCGCCATTGTATTCTCCATCATGGGTTTACTCAACCTTGGCTGGAGGCGGTTTGAGATTGAGACGGACCCGGTTCGCCTATGGGTTGCCCCAGACTCGGAAGCCAAGCTGCAGAAAGAATTCTTTGATGAGCACTTCGGTCCTTTCTACCGTATAGAACAAGTCTTCGTGACCTCCACCAACGGCACCTCCCTCGACGACCGTGAGTCCGTTCTATCATGGGAACACCTTCAATACTGGGCGGAAAAGGAAGCTGCTATCCGACAACTCCGCTCCTCACCGAACGATTACGTTCTCGACGATCTATGCCTCAAGCCTGCAGGTCCAGACGGTTTCTGTGTCGTGCAGTCTATCATGGCATGGTACGGGAACGACCTCTCCGACTACGACCCGGACACATGGGCGGACCGACTTGTAGGATGTGCGCAGCAACCGGTTAACTGCCTACCAGACTTCCAACAGCCACTCACACCCGCACTTGTTCTCGGCAAGGTGCCCGAAAACGAGGATGGAGAGAAGGGATACCTGGATGCCAAAGCCCTCATTATCACCTTCGTGGTTCGCGGTACGCTGGATCCCGTCGAGGAGGCCAAGGCAATGGAATGGGAACGTAGTTTACGGGACTACTTGGAAGAGCTCAGCGTAGCGCACCAGAAGAGGCCGGTTTGGAAATTGCATGGTTGGTAGGCGTTTCCATTGAAGAGGAGATCAACAAGAGCACAAACACGGACATAAAGATTGTCGTCCTCTCCTATGTCGCGATGTTCTTCTACGTCGCTTTCACTCTTGGCAACGGTTCAAGCATCCGTGACGAAGATGGCCCCTGGGCCTCTATGTCGCTGTGGGCCCGAAATCTCCCCAAATTCTTCTCTCATGGGACCGCCTCCTCAACACTTTCCCTCGATTCACGTACCACTCCCACAGTCTTCCCTCGCCTTCCTCGCGGTCTGTTCGTCGGGTCCAAATTCACGCTCGGACTTTTCGGCATCGCGCTCGTCATCCTATCCGTCTCCTCCTCCGTGGGCTTGTTCTCCTTCATTGGCGTTAAGAGCACCCTCATCATTGCGAGGTCATCCCTTTCCTTGTTCTCGCCGTTGGTGTCGACAATGTCTTCATCCTTGTTCACGAGCTCGATAGGCAGAACCTCCTTCATGGCCCCAACGCTACTACGAGCATTACTCCTGTCTGGACGTACTCCGACACGCCGATGAGCCCTACTCAGTCACGCCGCGGTCTGGTTTCGATTCACAATATGATCATGAACGCGACGAATCCATGGACGCAGGCTCCACGCCACAGTACCTCGGCCCCGAAGAACGTGTCGCAAGAACCCTCGCGAAAATGGGCCCGTCCATCTTGCTCAGTACGGTCACGGAGACAACGGCGTTCGCCTTGGGTGCGCTCGTGCCTATGCCTGCCGTGCGGAATTTCGCGCTGTACGCTGCAGGCAGTGTGTTCCTGAACGCGTTGCTACAAATCACCGTGTTTGTCAGCGCGATGGTCATCGACTTGAGACGTGTCGAGGTATGTATATTATCCTAATGTTAATCTGTGCTTGCTCACGAGAACATTCAGGCCAGTCGTGTGGATTGTGTTCCTTGCCTGAGGCTACCTCCACGGATCGTTCTCCTTGAGGCACCGCCAACAGGCAGCGGCCTCAGCCTCATCGCCCGCTTCATTCGAAAGCGGTACGCTCCTTTCCTCCTCAAACCGGCTGTCAAGGGTGCAGTCTTGTTGATTTTCGGGGGTGTCATGGTCGCGTCTATAATTTCCGTGCAGAACATCAAACTCGGATTTGGTGTGTTGTAATCAAAACTGAACCCACTCCATCATCTTACGTTTGTTACAGATCAACGCCTTGCGTTCCCTCCGGAGTCAAACTTGATCAAGTATTTCGACAGTATAGACGCATATTTGGATATCGGTCCCCCTGTTTACTTCGTGGTCCACGACCTCGACGTCACTCATCGACCAGGACACAAGAGTCTGCGGTCGTTTCACCACTTGCGATCCACTGTCAGTAGCGAGCATGCTGGAGCTGGAACGCGGTCGCCCAGAGGTTTCGTACATCGCTCAGCCCGCCGCGTCCTGGCTCGACGAGTACTTCAACTGGCTCGACCCAAACAAGGAGAAGTGCTGCCGGGTCCGCAACAACGATCCCTCGACCTTCTGCGGCTCTGGCGAGTCCCCGCCGCTGCCACGTATGCTACAAGGACCATGAGCCCGCATGGAACATCACGATGGACGGCCTCCCCGAGGGCGACGAGTTCATGATGTACCTCAAGCAATGGCTCGTCTCCCCACGGACGAGGACTGCCCCGTCGCGGGCAAGGCCGCGTACGGCGACGCGCTCGCGCTCACCCCCGACGGCGCCGCCGTGGCCGCCTCGCACTTCCGCACGTACCACACCCCGATGAAGGGCCAGGCCGACTTCATCAACTCGCTCGCCGCCGCGCGTCGCGTCGCGGACGACCTCGCGGCGCAGACGGGCGCGCAGGTCTTCCCGTACTCGCCCCACTACGTCTTCTTCGACCAGTTCGCGCACATCGTCGCGATCACCGAGCAGATCCTCGGCCTCGGCCTCGCCGCGGTCCTGTTCGTCACCGCCCTCCTGCTCGGCTCCTGGCGCACGGGCACGATCGTCACGGGGGTCGTCGCGCTCACCGTCTCGCGGTGATGGGCGTCATGGCCGTGTGGGGCGTCGACCTGAACGCGATCTCGCTCGTCAACCTCGTCATATCGCTCGGTATCGCCGTCGAGTTCTGTGCGCACGTCGCGCGTGCATTTATGAGCGCCGGCACCGGTCTCCCTGTGGACCACCCCGCGGGGCAGAAGGAGCGCGACGAGCGGATGTGGATCGCGCTGGTGGACGTCGGTCCTTCGGTAAGTTCGCAACTGTTACGGGTTGCGTTCGGGTCGTTAACGTGGCACATTGCAGGTGCTCTCTGGCATCACTTTCACGAAGCTGATCGGCATGTGTGTGCTCGCCCTGACCCGCTCTAAGTTCCTAGAGGTACGTACTGGACCGGCGCCGTTGACAGCTGTAGCTCACCGTCGCACAGATCTACTACTTCCGCATGTGGATTACGCTCATCATCTCCGGCGCGTTGCACGGTCTGGTCCTCCTCCGGTCGTCCTCAGTCTCGCAGGAGGGTCTGGTTTCCCTCAGCAGGAGGCCGACGAAGAGTGGATGTCTCATGCTATTCGCAACGATTACGAATACACGTGAGTAGTATCTCTACTGCTCTGGCATCCCTCTCATTGAAGCTCGTTCCGTGCAGGCCCTTCTTGGCAGACGATGATTCAGTTTCGAGCGACTAAGTTCACCTGCTAGATAATATGTACATATACCATACGACAGCGGTTTACTGGATCATACATGACATTTTTGGAACAGTGCGCAACTGGAGGGGTGTCGCAACCGAGTGAACCGGATTCAATCCTTGGGCGACCTCGAACGGCTGTCGCGGATGTCATCACGGCTGAAACTCCTCCTGGCCTTGCTAACAGAGCGGGAACGGGTCCTGCTGCGCGAGTAGCCAGAAGAAGAGTAGAACGAGCGAGTGCGCGAACGCGTACGAGAGCGGGGGCTGAGAGAACGCGTGCGCGACCGGCTCGATGCCACCGAGTAGCTCCTCGAGCGACCACGGTAGCCGGTGCCGCCGCGCTCGTAGCTTGGCGACCGCCGGCGGGGCACGAGGCGGTCCCCGCCACGTCGTAGTGGGGACCGTGAGCGGGTGCGCGAGCGCGAGTACCGGCGGAAGTCGCGCGGCGGGGGCCTCCGGCCTGCCGGTGGAGGAGGCGGCCTGCGATGACTGTCGTTGTGTCGTGGGTCGAAGCGACGGGCCCCGCGCGGCGGCGGGGAACGGGAGCGGGGGGAGAGGGAGCGGGTGAGGGACTTGGGGCCGCCGCGGCCAAAGCGAGGCGCGGGGGCGGGCGGGGCGAACGGGAGCGTGAGCGGGAGTGGGAGCGGAAGGGGCCGTCGGAGAGCTCGACCTTGACGGCAGCGCCGTCGATCTGGCCGCCGTCCATGTGAGAGACAGCCTTGCGTGCGGCGGCGGAGTCGGCGAACTCGATGGTCGCCTTGCCTTTGTTTTGGCCGGCTGTGGTGACAGGGCGCGGTGAGAGGAGCAGCGAGAAGACCAGGACGCGCATATACGCACATTTTACATAGAGGGGCACGCTCATTTTGAGGATGTCTCCGTAGAAGCCGAATATGGTTTGCAAGTGTGGTTCCAGGACGTTGCGAGTGAGGCTGGAGACGACGACCACTTTGGTGGTAGAGTTGGCGGGAGGAGAGCCGTCGTCCATGTCTACGTCTTCGTCTCTGAGTGGGCGGGGAGAGGGTGAGCGTCCCCGGCTAGACATCGTGTACGAAGCGTGGCAAGGAAAGCGAAAGGAATACGAGGGGACAAGTCGAGGAGCTGCGCTGCAGAGCGTGCGTGGATTACGGGGAGTTCTGCGTCTTGTCACCCTCTACGATTTGTCACGGCGCGTCACACTGCTCGCCGCGGCCCGAGAAGCCGTGCAGCCAAATATCGTTCAGAGAGCTCCTTTGCTTGGAGAGCTACCTCGACTGCCCCTTCACTCACTACTATGGCCGACTCCACGGGCTCATCCTCTACTCCAGGCGCGAAGAGTGCTGCGAAGCCACGCAAACGCTTTGTGGGCTCCAAGACTGCAACTCCCTCAAAGCCCGGCCACAATCCAGTCGTCGCAAACCAGATTCCTCCGGCCATTCTCAACGACGCCCAGCTCAATGAGGCCATCAAGCAGCTGCCCTCGAACTACTCGTTCGAGATCCACAAAACTATCCACCATGTTCGCAAAAACGAAGCCAAGATGGTAGCCTTACAGATGCCGGAGGGACTGCAAATGTTTGCCTGCACGATCGCTGATATCATCGAACGGTGCGCAGGTGCAGTTTTCTGCCCATTCGCGCCTTGTACCCAATTAACCCTTCGTATTCTCTAGTTTTACGAATGCTCTCACTGTAATCATGGGAGATGTCACGTATGGCGCATGCTGCATTGATGATTACACTGCCGTTGCACTCGGATGCGATATGCTGTCCATTACGGTCACAGTTGCCTGGGTGCGTGGTCCATTCTTCGCTCTTGGGAATCTTCTGATTCCTCGCTGTAGTCCCCATTGACCAGACGCAAATCAAAACCCTCTACATCTTTGTGGAGATCGCCATCGACTCTACGCACTTGATCCAAACCATTCGTCTCAATTTCCCCAATGATAGGAGACGCTTTTGGGAAACATTACTAGACGGCGAAGAAGAGCGGTCTATGGTTCCTGCCGGGCAGTCACTTGCGGCTGGAGGTCATCTAAGGATTGAGGGTCCAAGTGCTGACGAAGCGACGTCTGATCATCCGTCTTCGACCGTACCCCCCGAACCTGAAACTTTGGAGTTAACACGACTGGCCCTGGTTTCAACCATCCAATTCGTATCTGCGCTCTCAAACCTCAAAGATGAGCTTTCGATCGAGTCGGCGAACTCGGACGTTCCTTCGCTACCCGCCGGTTTGATCGAGAGTCCGCTGGGTGCCGATGAAGATGCTTCACAGGCATTAGGTGGACCGAAACTCTGGACGGGCAAGTACGAGGTCTCCATCCCGAGAACGAAGCCATTGTCTCCCGGTGAGATCCTGGGCTGTACAGCTCCATCACTTCCAAACGTCGATGCGCTCCTGTGAGGGTCCCATTCTGTATGTAGCAAAATCCGTGTTAACCCGTGCGGCAGATACTTGGGCGACGGCCGATTCCACCTGGAGTCCATCATGATCGCCAACCCCACGGTGCCCGCCTTCCGGTACGACCCCTACTCGAAGAAGTTGACCCGAGAGCGCTACGACCACGTCGAGATGCGCACCGTGCGCGACGAAGCCGTGGAGACTGCCCGCCGGAGCATCACCGCAGCCCTCACCCCCGCGTCCGCGTCCCCCGTTACCTCCCTCCTGCCCACCCCGCCCCCAACACCCGTGCCAACGCCGCGACCCGCTCCTGCGACGTGGGGCGTCGTTCTCGGCACGCTCGGACGCCAGGGCAGCTTCCGCCAGCTCCGCGCGATAACGCACCAGCTCGCGAGCGCGCCGGCCCCGATCCCTTACGTCCCCATCCTCCTTTCTGAGCTCGCGCCGGCGAAGCTCGCGCTCTTCGGGCCGCACCTGGCAGCGTTCGTGCAGACGTCGTGCCCGCGGCTGTCGATCGACTGGGGGTACGCGTTCGCGCGCCCGCTGCTGAGCCCGTATGAGGCTGCGGTCGCTGTAGGACAGGCGGCGGGGTGGATGGCGGAAGGCGGGGGCGATGCGAAGAAGCGGGCAAAGGAGGGAGGTGTGTACCCGATGGACTTCTATTCCGCGGGAACACCGTGGGCGGTGGCGAGGGTGAAGGCGCAGTATTGAGCGAACGATAGTAGATTGATGTATCATTGATGTGGCTCTAAAACGTGCGCACGCGTGGCTTCGCTCACTCAACAAGTTGCGACGTTTTACCCTGGACGATATTCGATATTCACAAATGCACTTCTCGTCATGCCAGACACATGCATTAACAGGAAGCATTGCGATTCTGTGGTAGTAGTACAGCATCAAGATTCAAATCCATGCCAAGTATCCATTCTCTTCCGCCTTCGTTTAGACACTGAACAAGGTGTCAATCAACCGAGCACGGTCAACACGAAGTGATGAATGACGCACCCATACGCATACTCCACTTCATCAACGCCTCCGCCAGACTGGAACGCTCCAGGTTCACGCGGCATCGGCCCGAGCTCTTCCTCGTCGTCATCGTCGTCCTCGATGGCGGGGCCGCTCTCGAGCTCGAACGGCATCACGGGCCGCAAACCGCCGCTGCCAGAGCTAGACCGGCGTCCGTGCGCAGAGGGCGACTTCGCAAGCGCAGCCATCGTCTTCGGGCTCATGTGCTACAAAAGAGAGTCGGCGTCAGCACGCGCGTTCCGACGCAGCCACGGAGACGAGGGTGAAGGAGGACGGAGAAAGGCGGAACCAGACACACCTCCCAGTTGTTGACGTTCTCGTCCGGGCCGTCGCGCTTCTCGCCGCCAGACTCGAGCAGGCGCGCCTCCTCGTTGAGCTCGCCGATGCTCGCGATGCTCTCGCTGTCCGAAATGTTGTCCGCGATGTCGTGCACGAGGTCGGGGAGGCGCGCCCACGCGCTCGCGCCCGCGCCGTCGCCGGCGGTCTCCTCAGACCAGCGGAGGTACTCCTCGTACTCCTCCTCGAACGCGATGTCCTCCGTCACGTACGGCAGGAAGATGGACGGCTCGGCCGTGTTCGCGCGCAGCGGCGGGAATACGTCCGCGTCGACCGTGTTTGGCGTCTGCACTGGGCGGAGCATGCCTGACAACTCCGGGCCGGGGTGGAGGCCCTCAAGGTGGTGGGACATGCTCGCCGCGCGGCGGTGCGCGCCCCCGGTTTGCACAGTCGCCTGTACGCCGTACCGCTTGTTGTTGTCTGCGGCGCGTATGCGGACGTACATGCAGGATAGATGAGCGTCGTCAGCGGTGTTTCAGACAGGGTTGAGGGGTGTGATGACGTACAGAACTTCACGAGATGGCGTAAAGCTTGTTCTTGCGCCTGAACAGCGAGGTTGCGAAGTGAGTAAGTGGAACGGCTTCGGGACGACGCGAGGACACACGACCCACCTGCGCGTCGTACACGTCGTCGACCTCAATGCCCGTCAACCACTCGTCTCGGAGGTCGGGCCTGCAATTCAGATAGATTGCCGTGATGACCTGCATGTTCGCTAGGAAGACTCCACTTCAGCACGTTGCCGCGAGGGAGAGGCAGGTGACGCTCACATTGCCGCCACTTCCGCCCACAGAAGGGGACTTGGCTCTTGATGAGCTTCAGGACATGCAGCTGCAGCAAGGGGTGCTGCACCTTCAGTATCCGCTTCAACACCGCCTGTCAAACCACATTGATCGTCAAGTTGCGTCCACGTGTACGGCTCGTGCCCCATGCTCGTCGGAGCACACTCACTGAGCTCTTGTACTGCACGAGCATTCGTATGCGATGTGAGCGGTGCTTCGACAGCTTCTGCATAATTTTCGCGAAGTTGATGGTGGAGAAGAAATTGCGCCAGGAGAAGTCGGTTAGCATGTCGACCTCCTCATCGTGCTTCTGCCCATTGGGAAGGGTGGTCGTCCGCACAATCGTCTGGCGAGACGCGCGCTGCATGTGATCGTCTATACCAACGCCGGACTCGGTCCGCCGCGCAAACCGCGTTTGACAGTAGCGGAAGAAGCTGGGTGAAAGGAAGTGGACCGCGGTAGGTCAACTCAATGGCTCATGATCCGCACTGAACAAACGTGGGCAGGTAATGCGTTTGCACTTACTTGTGCTCGGGGCTGTCAGCCTTGGAGACAATAGCCGTAGAGACCTCCTGAAGGCCGAATATTTTCAGAATGAGCAGGAGGCAGTTGGTGTCCAGCAGAAGCTGCCCGAGGTGATGAAATTTCATCACATCTGTGCCTACGTCAGGGCCTGACCGCAGAAGCTTTGGAGCCCCCACACTGGAAACTCACGGGACATCTTGAACCATTTCAAGGTGAGCAGAGGATGGCGGAGACCGCCTTGGAGGTCACTTCACGGTGCCTCGTGACATCGGTTTCATCGAGAGTAGCGGGCTTGGGTGGCATCTGCTCCAGCGCTGCGCGCCTTATCAGAACTGCGCCCGGCGCATGGAATGGCAGGGCACGCACGTGAAACTACTCCCGGGGGGAAGCCTGCGGCCGCAGGAGGCGGGGCACCATTGTTCGCCGTCGAAACAGTTGCCAAAAGAAGCTTGAGCAGAACGAGCACCCATCCCGAAGAACGGGGAGGACGGCTCCCTGGCGGAGGAATGGGCGTTGTGGCCGAACCCAAATTGGAAGCGAAGCTCACATAGATCTGCTCAACTCTCTTCAGGCGTACCAGGGCCTCTCGGCGTTCCATCGCGCGGCGTTTGTCCGCGCCCGTTTCGCCTTCCGCGATCATCTTTTCCGCCTCCACTATCTTGATATCTAATAGCGCGACGTCGGGCAGTTTCTCGGCGGCATCTTCGTCTTGCGACGGCGACTGAAAGCGCGAGATCGTCAGCGACTGTGCGAGTGCGCGATAGTGCCTGATATACTCACGATAGCAGGGATCTTAGGTTCGGAGGGGCGCCCGGCGCCCGGGAGGTATTCGAGGCCGCTCTCGACCGTCATGCACTCCTCGCGGGTCCGCCACATCTGCCAGAGGGAGAGACTGACGTACATGTGTTTGGAGTAGAGCTTATCCGCCTCGTCGATGGCGAATGGGACGAGGCGAGAGTCATTGTAGCCGATGCGACTCCGCGAGAACGGGAACAAGAACGGCCGGCTCTGGTCTGTCTGGAACTGTTGCTTCTTGGGCTTGGGGGACGGAGGGGGCGAAGGCGCAGGCGTAGCAGGCTGCGGCATGGCACGGAACGAGGAGCCTGGCTGCGATCCGCCGTAGTGTTGCATGCCGCTGTGCGTTTGATCCTGGTGCTGCGAGTCACCACCATCGTGCTCATAGTGGTGACGGACCGGGATAGGCGCGTACGCATGGGAGAGTTTGGAGGTGTCCACAGGCACGGCGGCGGGGACCTTCACAGCGTTCGGGTTGAAGGTGGGGTACTTCATGGAGATTTCCTGACGGAACATCTCCAGGTCAATGGGTGACGCCTTGATTGGAGCGGCTGTTTTGCGTCAAGATAGTGTGTCATAAAAGACGGAGCTGGGAACCGACCTTCGTCAGCCACTGGCGAGAGACCCGCGAGCTCTCGAGTCAGCCGCTTCACATTCGCAAGCTCACGGAGGCCGCCACAGCACGTGAGGAGTGTTTTCCAGAGGATGAGCAGCAGCTACGAAAGGGCTATGAGCCGGCTGAGGCGTCGGCACGAAGCGTGAGGGTCCGTACTTTCTTCACAGGATACCCCTTGGCGCTTTTGTCTCTTAGGCCCGATACAATGTTGAACAGATAAACGGGCAAAGGTGGCTCCAAGCTCACTAGCGTCAGGGGATCAGCGTCGTAATCCTCCGGCACAAACGGCATTGCTCACTCAGCTCGTCCGCAAAGTCATCCTGTGTTTTGAATACCTCGACCATGTGATATAACATGCCTAGGTACACGGATAATTCCGTAGTCACTTCTTCCATGAAATCCGCCTTCTCCTGTGACGAGATGTTGAAATGTGCGGCATCCGCATCCGATAAACTACTGCAAAGAAATCAGCGTCATGAGATTAACATCCACGGACGGCATGAACGTACCATAGTAGGTCATGTTTTGAGCTCGCAATCTTGATGGCCTCGATGATGTTACTGAGGCCATTCGCGTCTTTGACGATTTTGCAGTTCTCGATTATCCAGTGGAGCTGATCTCGGGCGAGGTCGTCTCCGCGAAGGTGCCTAAAATGGGATAAGGGAGACGATAACAAACAGGGCACAATGAGACTGACCTTGGAGGATATAGAACAGACGGCGGGCGTTTGTGAACCGGATCTCGGCGTCGCGGTGCTCCAAACTTTCGAGGAGAACTTCGACATGGGCTTTGCGCTGTGCGATCGGGCTGGTGGTCCATTCTGTGCGGAGTCAGAGAATTCACATGTGTGTGAGCCTGTGCACGAACCTCCAGGGTAGGAGCCATCCCAGGCCCTGAGGTTCTCAGCGACCTGGGGCAGCTCGGCATACGAATAAAACTCCTCAATCTCGTTCATTACGGTGTCCTCGTCATAATATCGGAAATCATAGAATGATTGCTACTTGCTCCTCGAGTCAGCCGCGTCGGCGCGCAGGTGGCGGAGGACGGACCTTGGGCTTTGGTGCAGAGCCGACCATGGCCTTGAGCTGGCCGAGCGTAATTGAGTCAAGACCGACTTGCTGCGGAGACAGGGCATCAGCGGGAATTCTGTGCGAGGAGAGCTGGAGCGGTACCATGGCGAGAGCGGGGGGCGTGCGGGGGTGAAATGGCGGGTGGGTGCGCGTATATGCGCGCGCGGAACGCGGTCGGCAGGCGTGCGGGTTGAGCGCGGGCTCGCGATAGGTGCGGTGGGCGTGCGGCGGACGAGTCAGGAGAAGCGGCCGGGAGGAGGCCTCCGAGACCGAGACCGAGAGGGGGAGCGCTGGGCAGCCGCGGACGGGGAGTCGCCATATGCAGCAGCTGACTAAGCGGTGGGGCTCACAGAAAGAGCAGCCGCGGTTGTTTTCAGCCCAAGCCACGACGACATTGGCCCCCCCCAGGATCGACCTCCCTCCGTCGGTCCATCGTCTCCGTCCCCAGGTCCTCTTTTCTCTCTCGCGACTGACGACCACGACGGCGTCGACCACGGAGAGGGTGTTCTAATCCCTGCCAGCGATCACCACCGGTTGGGAGGTGCCTGCAGGTCGCCGTCTGCCCCATTCCCCGTCCCCGTCTCTCACATCGAGCATCCCAAAAGGCACGCCTTCGCTGTGCGTACGCCATCTCGTCCTCGACACTCCTACTCTTCGCTTTCCTCGTTTCCCGCCTCCGTTCACGACCTACTTTACGACCGGCCCAAGGCCCCTTCAATCCACGCCGCACCCTGGCCCCCCGTCATAGGCCCTGCCCACCCCCCACAGGTCGAGCAACCGCTTGTGACCGCCCCGTTCTCTTCCCTCCTGCCGATGCCCGTTCCCGTTCCCGTCTTCATCAAGCAGCCCTCCCACCAGGTCATCAAGATCAATCACCCCTCCCAGCCCGATAGCAAATCGTCCGTCTTTCAGCACCTCACCAACACGTTGCCCCTCCCTCCTCAGGGACCTCCACCCTCGCTCGCATCCCGGGAGGAGTGGATCAGCTCTCTCCCTTCGTGGAGGAGGAACAAACCCCGCCGCATTTGGGAGGACGACTACGGGCTTTCCCAGGACCTCACCCAGCAGGGTTTTCAGGAAGGGTTGACCGCTGCGGACAACGCATCGGTCATTAAAGGAGCGCACGCGCAAGCGAGCATTCCGCCCGTCCGTGCCTCGACGTTCGAGGCCGACTTCCTCTCCGGCAACATGTACCTTGCCCCTGAAGAAATGGACGACGAGATGGATGGTTACCCCGCTATGCGGGACTGGCGCAGCGACGATGACCTTTCCGACTTCCCCCAGGTCCAGCAGAAGACGTACCAACGCATGTCGACCGACAGCCCCATCGCCGTTGCAGTGGATCGCACAGCCGACTCCCGCACCATCACTCGCTCGCTTTCGGCGCCCGGAGTGGCTGAAGCGTACGCCCGGTACGAGCGTGGCGCGTTCAGTCCCGTCTTGGAGGACTACTCCCCTGACGTGGCGGAGAATTTTTCTCCAGAGCAAGCCGGCGACGTCGAGGTTGGTTCTAGCCCTATTGGACCAGCCACTCCATTTGCCGACTACGTCGACAACGCTTTTGTGGAGGCCCAGTATGTCCCCGCGTTGCAGCGCAGCCGGGCTGCTGAACGCAACCAGAGCGTTTCTTATCCCACTCACGACGGCTACCACGCTACGTGTTACCAATGCCAGACTTGCCAAGGGGAGCAGCCCGTTCAGCAGGCTCCCGCCACCGAGTCCGTCGTCACGCCCGTCGCTACTGCCGCATACAAGAAGCTGGCAGCACCACTGTCAGAGTGGATCGTCGGATACGTGTGGAAGGTCTGCACGACGGGAATGCGCCTCCCTCCTGTATACGCCCAGCCAGGGTACGCAGCCGTTCACTGGTCATGGTCTGGCGTCGTAATTAACGGCATCCCTTGCAGCGCTTTCTTCAAGCACTATCCCAGCTCGCCACCATCTCACTTGATCTCCTCCACCCACTCCATGCTGCTATCAACACTTTTACAGCCCTCGGCGGTGTTCCTTGCTCTGTGGTACATCGTGCGTTTGCCCGTCTTCTTCGGTCCTGTGGGATTAGGTCCGGAGCACGTCAAGGAAATGCGCTTCCGCGCCGAACTGCTCGGGGAGGCGCATCTTGGAGCCGATCGGGATATGATCGAAGCTTACGCGCCATTCCGTCTCATCCTGCTGGGCTGTATGCTCGCCAATAAGTGGCTGGATGATCACACTTTCTCCAACAAGACTTGGTAAGTCGAGTGGTACCATGTTGCGAAAGCTTTCGCTGACTCATCCATGCAGGCACACCATCTCGAACGTCCCTATCCGCTCATTGAACAGGCTCGAAGCGCTTGCTTTGGACATTTTCCAGTATGACCTGTCCATTGCTCCCCTCGACTGGACCGACTGGCTTTCGGACATCATGGCGTACCACCAGGCGCTATCGTCTCCCATGTTCCCGCAGCCTATTTCGCGCCCTTCGACCAGTCCACACATCATCGTGCGCCAAGCTCTCGAGACGTTGGTCAACGCCGGTACAATCGATTATGCCTACTCGGGCAACGAGGTTTCCGGACCTCCGATGCCAATCTTTGTCGGACTCGAGGATCAGAAGAAGACTGATGAAGACACGTATGTGGACGACGTGCTGGAAATCGACTTGGACGAAGACGGGCCGCTCCGCGAGGAGTATCTCCCGAGGAGGCGGACCAGCACCAGGTCGTTCAATGCGCATGCTGATCCATATGCGAAGGGGTCTGAGCGCGCACTGCCGCCACCTGCGAAGTGGAGTCCCGCCGCAGATGAGCCCATTCTGCGCGACTCTACCAGGGGACATGGTCAGTACGTGGCACCCCAGCCTGTGTCCCACCTTGGATTGCCGCCGCCACCTCCGCAATACCAGCCCTCGGTGGATATGCATCACCCTTCCTGGCCTATAGGTGGCTACGTCATGCGGCAGGACCCGGCTCGGGCTTTCCCTCCCCCCATGTACCAAGCCCCCCACCCTGCCTTCGACTACGGCTACGGCGTTCCCACTGTCCATCCCAGCCATGGCCGTTCGCACTCCCTCTCCTACAATCAGGCCATGGAGCAGGCGCCTGCTCGCCTGCGGTCCTTCTCGCAGACGCAGTTCGATCACGATGTTCGTGTGCCAGAGGCGCAGTACGTGTCTCCTCCTGCATGGGGCACGTACAACCGCATCGGCTTCCCGACGTCCTATGATCGGCCCTTCGGGCTTTCTCACCGCCCCTCGCTCATGGCGTGAGGTTGTACAACAACGCGTTCTAGATTCGCAACGGAGACTTAGATAGTTGCACCTGGCTCCTTTCCCCGGTACCCTCCATGCATCATTCATTATAATAATCCTCTCCGTCGCTTCCGGTGTACCATCCCCTCCCGCTCCCCACCTGAGCCACCTCGCGCAAGCGCGGGGTGGTTCTTTCGCCACTCACTATTGTGCGCTAGCTCTCCGCATTCTCGGTCATAGGTTTCCTCAAGTCTCTCACATCACAACATCGTTCGTCTACTCGGGCCTTCTGCCATCCACGACATATCCATCCCGTCTCAGGATCGCCCCCATCTCGTCCCCTCGCACTTCGTATCTATTCTCACCATTACCGGCACACGATTCGGCCTGGAGGCGCTATGCGCTCTCAGTCGTCCACGCGCCGAGGGGCATTCTTCCACACCGTATCTGGCCTGTGCGCGTCGTCGTATGTCTGCATACCGAACGTTGGGCGGTCTCGTCAATTCTCCTGCTTCCTCCTCCGTAACGCCGCGGTTCCTCGTGTACAGAATACCTACCTACCCGCCCGCTTACATTCACGTTTCCGCTACCCCTAATGTTGTCTCACGTCGCTCTCCCATCTCGTCTTCTGGCTTCGCATCACGTACGTCTGTTCTGCTGCATTGTTTACAAACGCACAAAAACATACGGAAAACCCAGAAAACCCAGCAATGTCTCTCGTCTCCTACGTACCCAGTCGTTCCTCCCTCCCCCCTCCCTTGGTGGACCCATCCACCCGCTCCCTCGCATCCGCCTTTGTACTTTCAACGGACGAAGCCCCCTTGCTCCTTGCCATCCGTCGCGCTCCCCCCTTCAGCATGCTTCGTCTCCGTAGGTATAGCTTATGTACATCGGTCCTAGGTCTCCGACATCTCGCGGGTGCTCCTGCTTGCTGTACATGTCGTCAATGGAAGACCGTTATGCTCCGAGCCTGTGCCGTGTGCTCCCGTACGTGTGTCCCACTCGTGTGCACGCACCTGGTGGAACGTGTGTGGTCACTCGTTCGTTTTGTGTGCCGCCTTGTTGCGTGTAGGCCTTCGCGGGTGGACGCGCGAGAGTCCCGAGGCTTATCGGCGGGCACCTCGGTGAACACACCGACAGAAGGTGGACCTGCGAACTGCATCGATGACCACCAAGTACTAAGTACGCGTACTGCTTCTTTAAACGACCGTGTTGCTCACGTGGATGACATCGAGCAGCGACGCCGCTCTGCCTTTGTTATGTCTTGATCTTGCTCGGCCTGGACACTATAGTGCCTTCTAATCAGGGAGGTGGCAGCGGAATGACATAGTACGGGATTGCCAATCGTGAGCGCGGCGGCCGATGCGGCTGCAGAGGCTGAGCGTGGGAGCTCCCTGTTAATTACCAGCTGAGCGCCGTGGTCGTGAGCTTTCCGTCGGAGGTTAGTAGCGCGAGGCATGGAGCACGGGTGCCTGTTGGCGGGGTTAGGCCCGGCTGGGCAGAGCGCGGCCGATTTTGGCGCAGGTTCGCCTTCGTGATTAGTATGCCGGGCCCGGGGCTGCGACCGAAGGAAGGACGTATGTATCCTCTTCTGTCCTAATGGTTATGGTGATCGGGACTTGGTGCGTGTGCATGGATTATCCGCCCTCTGGCATGAGATGATGACGTTAATCGTGTCGGACTGTGTGAGCCATAAGTCGATCCTACGACTAGTGACGGAAGCTGGCTGGTGACGCCCCCGCTCGGTACGATATCGGTTGACTGGGATAAACGGATCTGCGTGCCTGGGATACTGGCAATAAAGAGCATCGCTTACCGAGTAGTTTCGGCTTGGGTACCGCAACAAATGACAGATGTCGCTGGGCTTGATCTCCTACTATGAACGCCCCGGGCTTCAAGCGAGAATCGGAGGCGTTGATTGCGAGTTTGGAGACCGAGCAGGGGCAGCTGTCACCAAATAGTCGCGAATGAAAGCTGCATCTTTGCGACGTTCCGCTCCGAGGAGAATGTAGAGTCTCGACCGATAGAGATTGGTCGGACTTGGCGGGCCGACATTCAAAATCATGTATTAAACCTTCCACTAACGGTATGCAGCCGAACCAGGTATCGGGCCGTGGATCGTCGACTACCTGAGACTGCACCTGTGTGACTAGAGCTTAGTTACATTGCATGGTTGCTCGACGTCAAGAGGCAACTATGCCATCGAGAGACACCACCTGACCACGCTGTTCCGATGACGCGTTGCAATGAGGTTGTAGCCGAAACCTGCCATGAGCCCTAGCTGAAACGGCGCAGCACTGGAAACGATGGTCTCAACGCGCGGTGTCGACTAGGTTTGTCGCAGATTGTGCAGCACAGGACATGTTGGCTTGAAAGGCCAGTACGCAACACTCGGAGGGCAGAGGAGTGTCGGAGCGCCGACCGCAAAGCCAAGAGCGGAGGCGCTGGGTGGATTGCATCCGCGACGAGGCCTGGGTGCCGGCGTGCGCCCTGGCGATGGGAGACTAGTCCCTCGATGTCGCGCGTCGCATCACTGCGCTCGTTCTCCGCTTGCCGCCACGGACCCACGTCCGAACTCCAGCACGGCCATGCGCCCCGTCCGAAGCTCGTGGCAGCTGCTTCGTGCCTTCCTTCGACCTCACACGGACTAGCCGGCTGCTGCTCTCTGCCCCACGCGCCTTCTAGGAAACACGCTCCCAGAAGATTGTCACCACGCGGCCGGCATTGCGTTCTGCTCCAGCTTAAAATCCCCTCCACTATCCCCGATGTTTTCCCCATCCGCTCTGCCTTCCATGGCTCCTTTCTCCCTCTCCCGGCTCGCGCTCAGCATTGCCTACCTTCTCCTCCCAGGTGAGGTGAACTTACCTGCATACTTTGCCAACTCATTCACCCAACCCCCCAGGTCTTCGATCTACTGCCAGAGCCCACAACCCAACCATTGCTGACAGACGACAAGGAGCGGGTCTGTAACGCCAGTCACACATCCGGACCCTCGAAGTTGCGGACGCCTAGATGTGCGCAGGGCCACGACGACATTCGCGCCACGCAGCAAATCATCCGGTCCTTCCTGCGCGGTCTGAACTTCGTGTCGCCGAGAACACCGCAGAACGACGGGCTGCGACGGCGGCTCGCGGCGGAGATCGCGTCCTGGAACATCGACGTCAGCGCGACGTTCACCGACAAGATGCTGCACAACAGCTGCAACATGGCCGAGTGCACCTCCGGCCACACCAGCGCCGAGCACCAGTACTTCGTCGCGCTCTACACCGCGTTCACCTTCTACGCCGACGACCACTGCGGCGCCGACCCCGAGCCCATCGGCCAGTTCGCCCAGCGGTTCTCCGAGGGCGCCCCCCAGCTCGACCCGGTGCTCGACCGCTTTGCGGCGCACATCCGCCGCGCGTTCGACCTCTGGCCGCGCATCGGCGCGAACGCGATCATCAGCGGCACCTTCGACTCCATGACGGCCATGTACATTGAGTACACGACCACGGGGATGGCCCCAATCCCCGGCGCGACGCGCTATCCCTACTACGTCCGCACCAAGTCCGGCGTGGCCCCCCCTACGCGCACTTCGCATTCCCAGGCGACTGGCGCGACGGCGTGAACTCGTACCTACAGATCATCCCGTGAGTGTTTCGCCTGTCGTCGACATGGGGATGGCAGCGCTCATCCGGGATGGACGGGTCGCGCAGAGAGATGGATTACTTCATCAACTGTACGAAGTGAGTGCTCTCCCTCCCCTCTGGAACCGCGCCGGTGACACAAGCTCATGTGCGTTTTACGTCCGCAGCGATATGTAGGTTTCTGTGGGCGTCGGCATCAAGGTGCGGCTGATCTGACAGTCTTCGGTTCAGCTTGTCCTTTTACAAGGAGACCCTGGCGGGCGAGACGGACAACTACATCCACCTGCGCGCGGCCGCAGAGCGGAAGTCGCCGTCGGAGGTGCTCCGGATCCTCGCGGACGAGGTCACGGACACCGTGCGTAGGATCGACGCGATCACGTCTGCCGACCCGGAGCTGGCGGCGCTCTGGCAGCGCTATCTCCAGGTGCGTTACGTCCGGCGGATGTCCGCCTGCGTCATCTGACCGTCGCGCCGTCCTCCAGGGTTATCTAGAGTTCCACGTGAAGACGGGCGGTATCGCCTGGCTGAGCTTGGGTTCTACGCCTAGTATCGTCGGATCGCTCACGGGTTCTAATGAGAGCGCGGCAGCAGCAAAACATAATGTATGCAATGCAACATCACTATCCGCTTGTACTTATAATGTAGTCACAAGCTCTAGTCGAGCTTAGTTATACACAACACTTCACATCCTTCCCTAATTAATTGGTGACGTTAGACGTCGATGGTTATCTTACCCCTGACAACATTCGCGGGAGAGGACACGGCCCGCGTGGGTGTCACGATCGAGATTCCGTCGCGGGAAACGCAGCTGCCAGCTCACATCCGGCTCGAGGTGCAACGCAACGAGGCGAATCAATATCTTTGGGCCGGCGTTTATCTGGCGGCTGCAATGTGTGCGCGTGTTTGGCACCCTGGCCTGATATATGTAGGCGCCAAACGCGAAAGTTTTCCTGGTCGCTTCGTGCCGTCTCACCTCTCCACGCGTCGCGCTCCGTACTGCGTCGTGTGCTGCTAATGGCGTAGCCGCACGTCCACAGGTCCTGTTCTGACACGAGTTGGACGATGCAAGACTCGGCACCGGTGAGTATCCGCTCCATTCCCCCTTCGATGATGCTATGTATATTCCCAAACATACGAACGCCCTCGGGCGTTGTGAAATGACAATACTCTACAACGGTATCTGAGCCCTCCCTGTATCTTTTCGTCTGCGCCGCGTGTCTGACGCATGTTCGTGTGCTGACCGCGCTTTCCCTTCTATGCAGGCAACCCAGTGCACGAAGTGTGGAGTGCGTCCGCCACGGCGCGTGTATCTTCCGGCGATCGCGGTGAACACATGCGGTGGTGTTAGCGTCTGTGATGACGCCTTCGCCACTCCGCATGGCGGCGCCGGGCCCCGAGATGTCATCCGAGTGGTAAGTGTTCGTGTTGCCTTGCAAGTTTTCCCGCTTCCCTCCCGTTCCTCGGGTCCACGTGCCTCTCGCGCTTGATGACACTTCTATTCACACTGTACGAACGCCGGCGCTAATATGCCGATGTCCTGAGTAAACCTTTACTACAACGGTATCTGACGCTTTCTCGACTTGTTTGCCTGTCTCCTGGTTTTCTCGTGACGACGACGAACTGACGCATGCCTTTCGTCAGATGTACTTATCACATGCTGTGACGAGGGCAAGAACAATGTTGGTTGGTGAGTGTGAGTGGACATCATACGTAGTACGTTCCTATGTATAGTCTCTATAGATAGATAGAGAATGTATTGCAGACCGAAACCTGGTCACCTTTTTTGAGCGCTTTCTCTCTGGAAACTGATTCCAGGTTTATTCATCATTCGAGAATCAACGTCGTTGCGACCGTCTCCTCGCTATGGCGGCTTCTGCTTCGCTCGTGAGACGTGAAGAGTATCGTATGCAATAGGCACGACGCGTCTGCTGTAACTGTCGGCGCGCGCCGAAGCCTGATATATTAACATGTCGCGAAGCCCCTAGGATGCGAGTCCGAACTTATGTGCCGAGAACCATGATCATACGGAATGCGAATCGGTGGCCACCGTCGCGTGCGTGCGTACGCACAAGCAGAAGGCAGCCACAGAGCAACATGAGATGATAGATATTGAGACATGTATGGATGAATGTGGAGCGTGGTGGGAGTTTGGCAAAGGAGACGCCGGGAACCAAAAAATGCACAACAGAGCAAGGTACAGAGCGATGCAGACGTCCAGATCGTACACACCACACAACCACCCCCCAATCCGCGGTCTTCCGCCGACCACCCTCTCGCCGAAACGCGCTCCCACGCCGCGTCCGACGTCCCAAAAAATTCTTGAAACAACGGTCTCCCCATAACGCACTCCATTTGCCGTCCCAAGCCCGAGCTCCACGATCAGCGACACCACCGGTGAGAACGACGATGACCTCCTCAGGTTCGCGTTCACGGTCACCGGACGACGGCGTTGACGGACGCGTTCCGCCGATGGCTGGAGCTCGGGACGTGCCCGTCCATGCTGTGCTTGTGGCTCCCGAGCAGGTTGAACGGTAGCCGGCGCGAGGAGCCCGGCGCGTTCGCCGTCGTCGGCGTCGCGCTGCGCTCCGGGTCCGCGGTCCCGCTACTGCTGCTGCTGCCACCGATTAAGCCGCCGCCGGAGGACCCCTCGCGCTCGCGCGACCCGCGTGGGGGAGGCGGGAAGCGCGCGTACTCGCTCGGCGGGCCGGTGTACATCTCCGCGTAGAGGGGCATGTTCGTGCTGCTGCTGCTGCTGCCGGCGCGGTGCGCGCCGGGGCGCACGGTCGAGTTCTGCGTCGGTGTCGCGAGCGCGGAGCCGGAGCTGGACCCGGACGCGTCGGCGGTGAGGGAGGGGGAGGGGCGGCGTGACCGTTTACGGGCTTGAGCAGAGAGGGGCTCGTGCCCGCACGCGAGCGCGACTCTTGCGAGGACGTGCTCGGGGGGATGGTGAGCGGGTGCGGGGGTGAACGGAGTTGTGCCGCTGATGCAGAGGGGCGAAGCCGGCGGCGAGGCGCGACTGAGCCGAGAGCCGAGATGTCGTCGTGATGGTGGACGGTCGGTTCCTTTGGGGGAGGGGCAGGAGGTGGAGAGGATGCGGGTTCGTGTTGAGATGGGGTGTCTGTGGATGCTGTAGTCGCGCTTCCGCTGCGTTGTCGGAGCTTGTATTTCTCCATCGCGTCGGCGTCGCGCTCACGCATTCGTGTCGCGATAGGGGAGAGGGCGGCAGCGGCGTTCGTGGTCATTGTGGGAAGGAGAGTGGCAGAGCTGGGCTGGGAGACTGGGGAGGAAGCGAAGCCGAAAGCGCTGCTTGTCGAGCTTGCCGAGGGTTGCCCAGGTGAATGTGTTCCAGACGGTAATGGTGCTGGCCGCCGCGAGGGGGACGACCAGAACCTCGATGATGATTGTGCAGAAACACCGTTGTCGAGTGCATCTCCACTGTTGGATGTCGTAGTCGTATGGCTCGTGCCAGAACCACTTCGCATCCTCACAGACCCGCCATTGGTCTGCATCGAGTTTTCCCGAGGCGATGGAGGATATACCTGCATGTTCCCGCCCCACTCACTCCCTCTCGCCGCGGCCTGCTGAAACACGCCTCTTCGAGCCTTCTTGTTGATCTCGAACTGTATTCGAGCTGTGTCTTGCAGAGTCTCCCGCGTGCTTACTCTGGACGAATGTGTCAATGATGATCGGGTAACGTAAAGGAACCACACTGACGAGTATGCATAGTCGGAAGGAGTGAACCCCTGGTTATTCCGCGCGTGGTACTGGCATCCGCGCTCAATTAACAATTGGACGATCTGGGAAAGGAACGCCGATCAGCTTTCCTGCCTAAGTTATGGCGTGTTGACGCATACGTACGGTAATATGTCCCCAGGAGCTCGCGCTAAATGAGGATAAGCGGGAGAGCACGGAAGCGTATTAGCAATATGCTCACTAGTGTAAAGGGGTGTTCCCCTCGTTGTCGGCAAGGTCGACGTCGGCACCAAGATCGCAGAGCATCTAGTGGTCCTTGAGGACGGGTGACAGGGGATGAGAACGGACGCCACAACTTACCCGGACAAGCTCCTCGTTTCCCTTTAATGCAGCGACATGGAGTGGTGTTTTCCCCTCTACATTGGCCCAATCAACGACGTCCGGGAAGCGGTCGATGTACATTCGTGCCATGCGGAGAGTTGCGCCCAGGAAATCCTGCTCAGAGGAGCTCTTGGACTGGTGGCCAGATGGCTGGGGACGTGCACCAGCCAGCAAGTTGAGGATAGTGTTGTCTTCCGCGTCCTGAGCACGGCAACGTCGGAGGATGTGAACGGGACGCAAAGCGGAGTGAGCCGAGGATACATACCTTGCTGTACTCATGGTCGTCATGTCCGCTGCTGAGAAGATATTCAAACGTCTCTTCGTGTCCCAGGACGGCGGCCCACGCAAGTGACGTATAGCGTTTTTGTGTGGATCTGGGTTGCGCATCTCGGTCCTCTTGACTAGTCGCTTGACAAGGAAGAGGTTGTTTTCTGGGGACAGGGCGAGGGTGAGGGGCGGGGCAGAGGGGGATGAATGAAAGTACCTTGGACGGCGCGCCGCAAGCGGACGGTCGCGTCTTTCTCCGCCATGGTGTTGCGGGGGGGAGGGGCGCGGAGGGGCGGGGGAGAGAGAGCAGTCGGTGAGCACAGCCCAAGCGAGTAATAATAAGGAGAAACGATCACGTGTAGCCGCCGCTGGCCGGTACGTAATGCGAGGCCGGTGCAATATTCTCCTCCTCCGCCCCGAGGGCAGTGCCTGGCTCTTTTCTCCTCCCCCGATCACGGCGCCCGCGATGCCCAAGTCATCTCCGCTCCGCCGTCTCCTCCTCGACCGATGGTACGACTGCTGCCCGCCCCACTCGACCCCTCACCGACTCATCCTTCTAGCGCGCCCCACCGCATCTCCACCGCGGCCCTTCGCGTTTATTGTGGGATCATTCTCCGCTCCTTCTGGACTAGCTGCTCACCCTCCGCACGCCAATAGACTGCATTTGCGGCGAGTTTATCGTGCGTCCCGCCCCCGCGCGCACGTTCTCTCCTCACCCCTTCAACCTCACAGCTCGTCATCGACAAGAGCCTGACCGCTCTACCGCGCAGACAGACTGATGGCGCGACCGTCATCCGCTGCGCGACGCGGGCGACGCCAAGGCCCGCGTCTTCAAGCTGAACGCGACCCCCAAGGAGCCAATCCTCGTGGACGGTGAGTTGCCGTTCGACCCTGCCTGTGCCCGTCCCGCCCCCTTTGTTGATTGTTCGCGGCCATCGCCAGCGAAGGCGGGCACGAGAAGCAATACAGATTTCACTGCCCGCGATGCGCCCTGCAAGTTGCGTATCAGTCCACACCGCCGCCCGCAAATCGGGCCCCTACCTTTACGTCTCAAGGGTGCACTCAGCCTCATCCAAGGCCAGGTCCCCGCGGACGCGTTCGAGGACGAGAAGCTCGTCGCTGTAGCTGCGTAACATTATGTGCGTTGCCTGTATTTCTAGCCGTTCTCGCGCTGCAGCCGCTTCGATTGTCCGTCGGTCGTGCTTATCCGCGTCAGACATTTGCAACACCTTCCGAGCCCGGCGTGATACGCATCAAAACGAATATTGACACTCTACGCTTGATCCTGAAAGGTTAGTTCACAGCGACCGCAAATGGAAGTTTGAACGTGTGGAATGGCGATGACCCTGCGTCCCAACGAGTCGGCGATTCACCAATCCAGCAGCGGGTTGATCCAACAGATGGACTTGTCATCAATTTTGACTTTCGTCATGTGTAGGCAGGGACGAATCAATGACTGCAGTTTTGGCAGTTCGCAATCACACATTTTACCACTCATCATTTCGCACGCAACAACGATGGTAATCCCGATTACTTCGTTGGAACCAATTAGGAATGTTCTAAAACATACTCAGAATCTTCGCCCAATTTTGATCTCAGGAAAGTTGTACATTGTTTGCCGGGAGGAATTCTGTATAGGGCCAGTCTGCGATGCATCTGCGTGTCTTACATCCAACCGCGTCCCTTGAAGTCATCCAAAGCAGCGCTTGTTAATTCGTCAACCGAGCGGTACTTCATACCGAGCACACTGACGCTCTTAGCGTTTTCGTAGCGCACGTGATGCTCAGCCTTCGCGGGATCGTATGAAATGTTCCCGGGGGGAATCTTCTCCGACAGGCGGTGCGCGGCCGACACTAGACACAGAGTTAGCTGACGAAATGCAGGGCGATGACAAGTAGCATACCAAAATCTTGCCATTTGAACGGGCCGTTTGCGATAATAAAGCGGTTCCCACCAGCCTCCGGTTTCTGTAGAGCTAAGACATGCGCTTGTGCGACGTCCCGAACGTCAACGAAGTTCGTGCTGCATAACCCCAGTCAGTTCGTACCGCCAGCGTATACACAATCAACGCACCTTGTATCATTGCCCGAAGCGCCTCCCACGACGTTGTCGTACCAAAGCTTCGCCGAGAAGTTGAGATTTTCCGGCTTGTCCACTTCGTGCAGCACCGGGCCGAAAACAAACGGCGGATTGAGCGTGACGAGGTCCCACTGTATGTCCCCGCGCGCGCTGGCATCTTCCTGCAGCTTCCAGGCTGCGCGTTCGGCCAGTGTCTTGCTTGCGCGATATTTCACTATCGCCGGGGCATCGCGTCCGCGAGCGGTGGTCTCTGCGACGGCTTGGTCATTCCATGACGACTCGTCGAACGTCATGGGGGTAGCGCTTTCATGCAATATTGCGGCGGTGGAGGACAAGACAATGACACGGCGAACACGGGTGCCGTGCGTTGCGGTGGCTTTGAGTACCGAGGTCGTGCCTTGGACGGCAGGAACGATGAAGTCGTCGGGCTCGATCACGGTCATGTCCACGGGCGACGCGGTGTGCAAAACTGCGTCGACGTCCTCGAGAAGCGGTCCAAAGGCCGTCTCCTGTGCATGTAGAGGCGATGTGAGTAAGCGGGTATAAAAAGGCAAGGGCCAGGAACATCGCACGTCTGTGATATCTGGGACGATGGCGATTTCAAAGTTGTCTCCGAAAGGCTTGAAGATTTTCTGGAGGTGGACACCCTTCTTCTCGGATCGCACGACCCCTCGCACAGCATACCCGGCATCCAGCAAGCTCTTGACTATCCATACGGCGACATAACCGTTGGCCCCTGTGACGAGGACTTTTCCTGACGCAATTGCGGGCATTGTCAGCGGGGTGTTCTTGATGGTCGCGATGAGTTGAGTTGAGTGTTCGGGAGGTGAAGCGTTGATATTCTATTGCGCTCATCTGAGCTACTCTTATAGCCCTATGTCCGGCCAAAATGTACTTCGCCGAAGCCTATGTCCGACTAACTTCGCCGAGGCTAGAACTGTGCTTGATGAGTAAGCTTCGACAGATTGCTGAATAAGACTTGGCAGCCGTGGAATGAGAGAAGATAGGGTGGGTGAGTACGCACAACGAACTATCACGTTGATGATTCTTGTGCATGCATCGTGCCGGCCGGTCCGATGGTAAGTAGGAGAAGTTGAAACGTTGAACTCCAGATGGTACCAGGGGTCGAAGCAAGCGCCTCGGCGTTCGCCGAAAGGTGAGCATTGCGTAATGGGTAGCCAGGCCCGAGCCGTCCGTTTGCAGCCACCGGGCCACCTGCCACCACCACCTTCCACTCTCGCCGATCGTCGTCCTCCTGCCTGCGCGCCGTCTGCCTCCGCACGAGCCCTTCAGGCCCCGCGCGCCAGCTCTCCTTCTTCTTTTCCCCCCTGCCCTCTGCCAGCGTGTCATCCTAGACCATGACCTTTCCCTCCAACCCAGACGCGGATCCGGATCCGTCCTCCCAGATCGCCTGGCCCGCACGTCACGGAAAGCCGTCGCGCAATGGCTCTGGGACACAAGCGCAGAGGGTTGGTGTGGAGGAACGCACAACGCGGAGCAATGGCAAGCCTGTAGCGTCGGGGACGGCGGTGGAGACGGATAGCGCGGGCGGAAAGAAGAGGATGTCGACGCTCGACCTCATCTACCTCAGTCTCGCGATGGGTGGGTCACAAGTTGCGTGGACGGTTGAGCTCGGGTGAGTGGATACGGCTTTTATGTGGGAAAAGCTACGAGGTATCCTCACCACCTTGTTGTGTCCGTGCAGATACGGCACTCCGTTCCTGCTTGAGCTTGGCCTCACTGAACAACTTACAAGCCTCGTGTGGCTTGCCGGCCCTATAAGTGGGCTGGTAGCTCAACCTGTGATCGGTGAGCCTCGCGTCTGTGTCCCCACATCCTTGCAGCACGCTGACAGTTGCTGCACATAGGTGCCATCTCGGACGCGTCTACGTCCAAATACCGGCGTCGGTTTTGGATCGTGACTTCCACGGCTGTGCTTGTCATCTCCACCCTCACCATTGCATACTGCCGAGAGATTGCTTCTTTCTTTGTGAATGACGTATTTGGCGGCGGCGGCGGTAGCTGGGATCCGGAGAATAAGCAACGGGTGAGCTAGGTTCTCTATCCAGAGCTCCGCTACTCACTAGCTACCAGGTACACGATACAGCAATTGGTTTTGCCATCGTTTCGTTCTATCTCCTTGACTTTGCATTGAACGCTCTGCAAGCATCCCTTCGGAATCTCCTTCTCGATGTCACGCCGCCCGGACAGCTCAATGCGGCAAATGCATGGCACAGCAAGATGTTGAACGCGGGAAACATCGTTGGCTATGGCTTGGGTAAGTCAGTTCGACGTCAACTTGATGTCAAGCCTAGTGACTTTGCGGGCTAGGTTTCCTGCCGTTGGCCAATCTGCCGATCCTTCGGCTTCTTGGAGGAAGTCAATTCCGCAAATTCTGCGTTGTATGCATGATAATTCTTTCAGCTACTGTCTGGGTTACATGCTGGACCCAACAAGAACCCATTCGGAAGAAGCGTCAAATTGAGAAGAGGTACGCGCCGTCTGTTGTTTCTGGCAATCTTGCTCACAATTTTGCAGGAGTAGCATGCGAGACATCGTGAAGAACATCTGGAACACAGTCTGGAGTCTTCCGCTACCCATTCAGCGCGTATGCATCGTCCAGCTGTTCGCTTTCATGGGCTGGTGAGGCCTCTGGGTCATGTGTGCACTCCGCGACTAACATTGGTGTGAAGGTTCCCGTTCCTCTTTTACTCGTATGTAACTACCCGACTCTTGCTCGCATTGGGCTGACGTTTACGCCCAGGACGACATACGTATGCCAAATTCTGGCGTACGAGCTTGGTGAAGAGCCGGATCATGATCGCGCTTCGCGAACGGGCGCACTAGCCATGCTCATCTACAGCTTTGGTACGTCTACGATACGTACGCCGTTGACTCGACCTGACCCCGCGGACCCAGTTGCCGTTGCCGCCGGTTCTCTCCTTCCATACCTCACCCGGCGTGATGCCGCGCTTCTCGCGCACGCCGGGGACGAGGATGAGGACGCCGAGCTCCGCCGCCTGCGTGCCAAGTGCGCGAATGGCGCGCCGAGGCCGCCGCGCACGGCAAGCCGCTCGGCTGCCGTTTATGCCGTTCTTCCTGCGCAACATCTGGACGGCCGCATGATCCTCTTCACCGGGCTCACGCTCGCCACGTTCTTCGTGACCCGCGTCTGGCAAGCGGTCGTCCTCGTCAGCCTCGTCGGCATCTGCTGGGCGGTCGCGTGCTGGGCGCCGTTCGCGATCATCATGGAGTTCCTCAAGGAGCGCGAGCACGCGGACGCGGAGGCGAGGCCGGGGCCGCCGCCGAACGCGGCGGGAGGCTGCGCGACGGTGGTCCCGGCGGCCGAGTCACGGGCGGACGCTGTCCACGCCGGGCGAGAGGCGGGGCAGCCGCACGGTGAACGCGGAGGTGGCGCAGGGAGAGCGCGCGCCGCTGCTGAGAAGACGAAGGAGCTTTGGTGAGCACGACGCGGAAGAGGCGGTCGTGACGGAGGCGGCGGGTGGAGGGACGGTCCTGGGTATCCACAACTTGGCGATCGTGATGCCGCAGTTTGTCGTGAGTGTTCCGACCTCTTGCGTGGTGCGCGCTGGAGCTGATGTGGTCCTCAGGTCGCAATTGCATCTAGCCTGATTTTCCGCGCCGTTGATGGCGAGGCGGAGAGCGGACCGCACGGTGGCGGCGGCACGTTCTACGGCAAGAATGGTGTGGCGTGGGTGCTCAGGTTTGGTGGTATCTGCACCTTGGTATGTTGTTGTTCCGCCCGTGGACCACTTCGCTGACATCGATTCCTGTAGTTTGGCGCGATGCTGGCGCAGAGAGTGCCCCCGACTCGCACTGAGAAGGAGATGCGTCGCCGCCTCGCGGAGCTCAAGGTCCTCCAGGAGGAAAGCACTGTCTAAGAAGTGCACCCGTCTCGAATTGCCGCTCTTTGCTTTCTCGCGAACATCCGCTCCTGCTCGAATCATATAGTCATGCATATATCCCACCTCTGCTTTGCATATCCTTCCCTTGGGCTACGTGTCACCGAACTTGGACTTGTTTGTCGTTTGTGTTGTACACCATCACGTTGCTATCCGAGTACCCCTGTACATGTAGCGAGGATCGTGTAATCCCAGTCGTCGCCGTGTCTGCTCGCCAGGTGTCTGCACGGAATCGGCGTGATAGGTGCTCCTGTGAGGTAAGCCGCGGCTGCAGATGCCGCTATCAGCAGCATTAGTACAACTTCGACGCCATACGGATCCCTTCATACCTTCCGATTTCGATACATTGTAGAAGAGGCGGATGGACAAGGCGTTCTTCACAGCCAGTAGTGGGGGAATAGTGCGGAGTTGCTCGAGTATGCTGGGATCCTCGCCCTTCACGCAAACGAGCGCAACCGTGGAAAACGTTTCCTTGAAGAACGAGACCTCCCAATGCAGATTGCTTTTCGAGTCTTCAAGGCGACCTACGTCGAGGTCATATTCAGCAGGAAATTCCGAGTTGCGAGCAACAAGAAGCAACAGACCCTCGTTATAGGTGGGAACAACTGTTTGGCGGACGATCGTTCCATCGTCGTCCTCAATGTCACACTGTCCCGTGTGTACTAGCACCTGCTTCTCGACCAATGCACCTTTTGGGAGTTCCGGGACGACTGCAAAGAGCGCCGGTGCGGTGGAGTCCTGTCGAGTTGCGACAGGCCGATCAGTCAGCATGAACAGGTGAATGCGGAGGTAACTTGCCTCGTTATGCTTGACGCACGCAGTGCGTACTGCTGGTATGTCCCTTCTGTGTGCCAGCCAGTAGATAACGCCTTGCATGTGCCCTTGCCAGCCACCTCCCGAGTTGGTTTTCAGAGCTTCTACTACTCGATGCGCGTGCTGAAAAGCAAGAGCGGCCTCCATCGCCAAGGATGGAGGAGATGGTAAACTGAGGCGGCTCGGGATCAGACCGATCTGCCCCGAGATGAAGACCCGCTCGTCTGCCTAGGAATGCCAGAGGGGTGAGTGACTACAGAATGAAGAGGAAGTGCACACAAGGCACTTACGACGATAGCTTGTGAGTATGGACCGATGTTGGCTGGTGCCCAGTAGCTTAGGCCTTGGACGTGGAGTGCTTGTCGGTCGGTCGGAGAGCGCTCAGCAAACGCGATGCAATCGACTCGGACGTGTATCCTGGGCGGGAGGTCGAGAGCGACGCACGCGCGAGCAGGAGGGCTAGTTCCGAAGTAGGTGGCGTAAACAGCGTTTACCCGTCCAAAAAGCTCCATGGATGAGAGGAAGATGTTGATGTTGGTGCAGTTCGCCAATGTCAAGCCATGCGCAGCCAAGGACTCTGGTACCCCAAATTAGCGACCCGACGAAGTAGAAGGCAGTGATGTCTTATACTCACCCTGGAGCTTTCCGAAACAAAATCGTACTTCGTCTTCGAGTGACATCTCGGGATCCTGGATATCTTCGCGCTGAATATTTGCCACAGACACCCATCGTCCCAGACGTTTTGTGACCGCGATGGGAACCATCGAGTTTTGCGTCGAGCCGTTTGTGGTTTCCTCTGGCCACCGCTTGGCAGTTTCGACAATATCAAATATGTCTTGGAACGGCTCGGAGAGAACTGGAGGGATGGCGATTTCGGGAATGCCTGCGCTGTCTTTTGGAACCAACGATGCCTCCTTGATCCGAAGGTAGGCGACAGTGGCGAAATCGTTGTCCGAGTGTACCACAGTCTGGACTTCATCTCTGTAGTAAGTTAGAAGATTCACAGTGATGGTCTTATAAACGTACAATTTGATACGGGATTTGAATAGAGGACAATCTAATGTGAGGGATTCATATTCGCCTCCCTCTCCGCAGACATGCGAACCGTACAGAGCGTTCTAGAAGAACCGTGAGCTATGGAGTCAGCGATAAGAGGAGCGTAGAACTCTTACCAGCTTCATGAGTGTCGGTTGCATCTGAGCGAGAGTCTTGCCAAGGTGTTTCGTAGTCAATCCAATGCCAGCGACCTTGATCAGGATGGCTTCCATGCCTGCCTCAATCATCTCAGAGAGAAGCTCCTCTTGATCGCGCTGCCAAAGGTAGCACAACGGTGTCATCCCTAGACGACGGCAGCTGGGGTTTTGATGGTCAGGGAATTACGGCAGTAGCAGATAACAGTAGACATACACATGTTCAACGCGCACACGCTGGTAGTTTGACAAGATGGCACCCACAGACACCCCTTGTACATCTGGGTGGTGGCTCTGGCGTTCCAACATGAGAGTGAAATTAGGTGAGAAGTTTGAGTATTTACTTTGACGGTTGTGAGCAAATCATACAGATCCTCTGTCTCATCTCCAGAGGTTCCGCTGCCACTAGCGGGATCACGTCCTCCATATTCTCCCCCTTGCTCGACAGCAGCCCCGTATATCACGCGCCTGTATAGCGGCACGTCGAGCGCGCGGCCAACGAATTCTATCGCATCTTGCCCGACGGTTTGGTACAGGTACGAGTCGAGTTCCTCTGAGTTGCATGGAGTCGGAAGGAATCAAGGGAGCAGCTTGAATGTGGTCGAACCTTTGCCTTGTTCCGGGCGCAGAGACGCGGCGGCGATGAGCTCGTGGCCGTTTTTGGAACAATGGAGGAGGTTGTAGCAGCTGTCCTTCCCGCCGCTGAGCAGGGCAATGTACTTCATCGTGGAGAGGAGGAAGAGACTAGTAGTAGCGGGCCGGGCCAAGTGGCTGGAGTCTCGAAGGCAGAGCGCCTTGATTAGATTGCCTCGGGCTTACGTCATGAGTGCGTCCCGCCACCCTCGTCCAAGGACGCCAATCCAGTCTCACTTGCAGGTGTGCTCTCCAGCTCTTCCCTCTACCCCCATCTACCACCACTCCCACATCTCCTCCCCCGTCATGGCGGCCTCAGATCAGCAAACAGCGATGGATGTTGATGAGGCGGCGATCGATGAGGGCTTGTACTCCCGCCAACTGTGAGTCCTCTCAGACTGGAGACGCGTTTTCATGCTCACCAATCGTTTTCCAGCTATGTGCTTGGGCACGAAGGTGTTTCTTTTCGGATTCATTTCGTATAGCTTCAACGGCTGACCTGTTTCGTAGCCATGAAGCGCATGGCCGCATCCAATGTCCTCATCGTAGGCATGAATGGACTCGGTGTTGAAATTGGTATGTCGCTATGCAACGACTGCGCAGAATCCGTCTGAAGTACACTTCTGTACTGTAGCCAAGAACGTATGCTTGGCAGGCGTCAAGTCCGTCAACGTTTACGACCCCGAGCCTGTGCAGGTTTCCGATCTGAGCAGTCAGGTATGCACAATTTGACTCCTGCGACACAGTGCTCATTGTCGCCGCATAGTTCTTCTTGCGAGAAAACGACGTGGGGAAACCTCGTGCTGCAGTGACGGTGCCGCGACTAGCAGAGCTGAACGCGTATGTTCCTGTCCGGGATCTTGGCGGCAATGCAGGGCAGGAGATCACCGTGGACATGATTAAAGGCTTCCAAGTAAGTGGCGATATTTCGCCGTCTGCCCTTTACCTGACGTGTGATCAGGTCGTAGTGTTGTGTGGAGTCCCGCTCAAGAAGCAACTCGAGATCAACGACTGGACACAACAGAACGATGTGCACTTCATTGCCGCAGACACACGAGGGCTTTTCAGGTAATTTACAGCGCACTTCTCTGCCTAATGTCAAGGTGACATTTATTTGCGCCAGTACCGTCTTCAATGATTTCGGGCCAAAGTTCACGTGTGTGGACCCGACGGGGGAGCAGCCTCTGTCCGGCATGATTGTGTCTGTCGACAAGGTAACTAAGCCTGGACATCGTCTGAAACATACGCTGATACATTCGCTGATAGGACAATGAAGGAATGGTGACCTGTTTGGATGAGACCCGGCACGGTCTCGAAGACGGTGACTTCGTCACCTTTAGTGAAGTACAGGGAATGACAGAACTCAACGCCTGTGAACCGCGCAAGATCACGGTCAAGGGTCCATACACCTTCTCTATCGGTGACACGTCGGGCCTTAGCGACTACAAGACCGGTGGGATCTTCACGCAAGTCAAGATGCCGAAAATTTTGGCATTTGTGCGCATTAGATTCTTGAGCACGAGAACTGCAACTAACAGCATACCCAGAAATCATTGCGCGAAGCACTGGCATCTCCCGAATTCTTCATCACTGACTTCGCCAAGTTCGATCGCCCCGCTGTTCTGCATGTTGGTTTCCAAGCTCTCAACGAGTTCGAGACTCAGAACCAGCGGTCTCCTCGCCCCCGAAATGCTGAAGACGCTGCTGCGGTAGTGGCACTAGCGAAGAAGATCGATGCGGACGTCGACGAAAAGGTCGTCACCGAGCTCGCATTCCAGGCCACTGGAGACCTTGCACCTATGAACGCGGTGGTCGGTGGCTTCACTGCTCAGGAGTTGTTGAAAGCTTGCTCTGCCAAGTTCCACCCCATGTTGCAGAACATGTACTTCGACTCTCTGGAGTCCATGCCTTCCCAGACGCCGACAGAGCAGGATTGCGCACCCACCGGGTCACGATATGACGGCCAGATTGCTGTCTTTGGCAAGACGTTCCAGGACAAGATTGCGAATTTCCGCGAGTTCCTCGTCGGTTCCGGTGCTATTGGTTGTGAGATGCTCAAGAACTGGAGCATGATTGGTCTTGCCTCTGGTCCGAAGGGCAAAATCTACGTTACGGATCTCGATACCATTGAGAAGAGCAACCTCAACCGTCAATTCCTGTTCCGTGCCAAGGACCTCGGCAAGTTCAAGTCAGAAGTTGCTGCTGCCGCCGTCGCGGAAATGAACCCTGATCTGAAGGGCAAGATCGACGCCAAGCAGGAGCCGGTCGGACCCGACACTGAAAGTGAGTGAATATTTTTGATTTGTGTGTGAAGTTGCTAACGCATTTGATAGACATCTACAATGCGGACTTCTTTGCGAACATCGACGGCGTCACGAATGCGTTGGACAACGTCAAGGCCCGTTTGTACATGGACCAGCGTTGTGTTTTCTACTGCAAAGCTCTCCTTGAGTCCGGCACCCTTGGCACGAAGGGTAACACTCAGGTCATCGTTCCACACGTCACCGAGTCGTATGCGTCATCTCAAGATCCGCCTGAGAAGGAGACACCAGTCTGCACGGTCAAAAACTTCCCTAACGCCATCGCCCATACAATCGAGGTAATCCAACATTCGCCCGCGTGACGTCCAGCACCCACTGACTCTGTTCGCAGTGGGCACGACAGGATTTCGACGGGCTCTTCGTGAAGCCGCCACAGGCGGTAAACTCGTACCTGTCGGACCCCAACTTCTTGGAGAACAACCTGAAGTACTCGGGTCAGCAGAAGGAGCAAGTCGAACTGATCTCTTCATACCTCGTCGCCAACAAGCCTCTCACCTTGGAGGAGTGCATCGTCTGGGCTCGACTTCAATTCGAGGAGAAGTACAACAACGCCATCCGTCAGCTGCTTTTCAGCCTTCCGAAGGACGCCGTCACCAGCACCGGCCAACCATTCTGGAGCGGTCCCAAGCGTGCACCTGACCCCCTCACGTTCGACTCCAGCGACGTATGTGTCCTCTCACACAGATTTTTGTTCGTTCAGCTAACGGCTCGTTGTGTAGCCGACGCACTTGGGGTACATCATGGCCGCCGCCAACCTCCATGCGTTCAACTACGGTCTACGAGGAGAGACCGATCCGGCGGTCTTCAAGAAGGTGGCAGATGAAGTCATCGTTCCTGAGTTCACTCCCAGGAGCGGCGTCAAGGTCCAGGTGAATGACAACGACCCTACACCGCAGAACGATGCTGGAGGTGCGTGTGAACGCTTGGCAGTGACTTGTTTGAATTCTAAGCAATCATCCTCAGAGACCGACTTGGAAAGTTTGATCAAGCAGCTCCCTACCCCTTCATCTCTCGCCGGATTCCGCCTGAACCCGGTCGAATTCGAGAAGGACGACGACACGAACTTCCACATCGACTTTATCACTGCCGCATCGAACCTGCGCGCGATGAACTACAGCATCACGCCCGCCGACCGGCACACGACCAAGCAGATCGCCGGCAAGATCATCCCCGCGATCGCGACACAACCTCGCTCGTGACCGGGCTCGTCTGTCTCGAGCTCTACAAGCTCATCGACGGCAAGAGCAAGCTGGAGGAATACAAGAACGGGTTCGTGAACCTGGCGTTGCCCTTCTTCGGCTTTTCGGAGCCGATCGCGCCCAAGAAGGCCAAGTACGGCGAGACCGAGTGGACGCTCTGGGACCGGTTCGAGTTCAAGAACAACCCGACGCTGAAGGAGATCGTGGACTGGTTCGCGAACGAGCACAAGCTCGAGCTCTCGATGGTCTCCCAGGGCGTGAGCATGCTCTGGAGCTCGTTCATCGGGAAGAAGAAGAACGAGGAGCGGCTGCCGATGAAGTTCAGCAAGCTCGTGGAGACCGTGAGCAAGAAGACGATCCCGGCGCACACGAAGCACCTCATCGTCGAGGTCATGGCCTCGGACGAGGAGGGCGAGGACGTTGAGGTGAGAGCTCACTCGGATCTGAGGGGCGTTGGCTGACCCACTCCGCTTAGGTGCCCTTCATCGTCGTACACGTCTGATTGGCAATGAAAACGAGACGAGAAATGAAGTAGAATGTACAATGGTGTATAGAACACTGACTCTTGTAGCTATATGCACGCCCAGTTTTTGATCGAACGCACTACAACAAGGGTTAGGGGCGGTCAAAGTTAGACAGCGGGGCCCGAAGCGACGGAATCGTCCCTTACACATAACTTCGACCACCCCGCGCGACACACGCTCTGGCCGACTCCCGATAAATTGGCTGATGTTTTCCGTTATACTTGACTGGATCGTCACGGTCACGTGGTATAAACATCGTGAACGCGTCAGCCTTGTGTCAAGCTCTTCGTGCTCGAACACTTTATAGCGCGTAAGTGGTCGTGCGACTGCTGGGCGTCACATTTATTTCGCGGTGCGGCGATACATAGCGCGTTCCTGGTCGCATGGACGCGGAACACACGCTGCCGACTGAGGCAGGCCCACCCAAAGCTCGCGAGGGGCCGCCTTTGACCACCCCTATTCTCCGGCACGCCACGCCGGCACGCCCGCCAATCACATGAGAAGTTGGATGTACTTCAAGTGCGGAGTGTGGCTCGCTCTCTCTCAGCCTCGCCATGCCCAAGCGTACCGAACGCAAGCGCGAGAGACGGAGGCTCCGTCGATTCCTCCTCATCGCGCTGCCCCGTCGCCACTTTTCTCTGTCTTCCACCACACTCTCTATCAAGCGGCTCGCCATCACCGAGGCCTCGAGCAGTGGTAAGCGCATCTATCCTGAGGAGCGGCCCCTCGGTTTCTAATTCGCCACTGCGACCTTTGGCCTCCCCGCCGTTTCCACGGTCTCAGCTCCAGCCAATGCCAACGTTCCGGCTCGCGCTGCGGACACTCCACCTCGCGATGCGAGTGACAACAACGACCTGCGTGATCGACTCGCGATACTCGAGGCTTCAGTACGCCCGTCTTCTCACGAGCGAGACCGTCCGTGACCGTGACCAGCAAATCGCGGACCTCGAGGCTTTAGTCTCCAGGCGCGACGCGCAGATATCTGGCCTCCACGAGCGGATCGCCGAACGTGACGTGCACATCACCGACCTCCATGGTCAAGTCGCCACGCGCAATGCTCAAATTGTGGCCCTCGGCCGGCGGGTTGTAGAACGTGACCAGCAGACCACCGACCTCCATGGTCAAGTCGCCGCACGCAATGCTCAAATCGTGGCCCTCGACCAGCGGATCGCCGAACGTGACGTGCACATCACCGACCTCCATGGTCAAGTCGCCACGCGCAATGCTCAAATCGTGGCCCTCGACCAGCGGATTGTAGAACGTGACCAGCAGACCACCAACCTCCATGGTCAAGTCGCCGCTCGCAACACTCAAATCGCGACCCTCCTCGGTGCAGTCACGGAGCGCAATGCCCGAATCACAGGCCTCCGTGGTCAAGTCACGACCCTCGGCCTGATCATCATGCTCATTTTCGCACACAACCGAGATCTACGTCGTCTGGCCGACACGCCAGCCGCGATGAACAACACTATGTCCGTGCCCCCTATTTTATATACTCGGTCATCCCTGGTTATGCTTATTTCGGAATGCACCGCACTTCTCCCAGTGTCCAGCGACTTACACGCGCGATCCATTCGGTCGCCCCCCGCTGGCTCGCCCGCTTCCTCCCTGGCAGTTAGGCCGACGCCATGTCCGCTCGCAGCATAACGGACATCCATGACGGTTGGACACTTGCCGCCGCTTCCACACTTCATACACATACGGGCTACACCGACTCCTCGACCACGGACCACAGACTGCCTGTACATCACTACCTACAGAGAAACCACTCTAAATAGCCATATGCTACCTCTCCGTTCTATGTCGCACCGGGCTACTCAGTTCTGACCAGGTGCCGGCGTGCCATATTTGTACGCAGGGCCACCCCGGTCCGTGGCTGTCTACGCCGCCGCGGCGCACGAGCCGCACCGCCCCGAATTAATGTCCGGCGACGAGCCGATCACACGCAACCTACGCGGCGCAGACGGCATCGCGCGCGTGCACACGCATTCGACGGTGCCAACGCACACGCAGAGTTCGCAAGCGGCGTCGCAATATGCACCCAGGGAGCAGCCGCAGAGCCGCGCGAATGGGCAGTGAGGGTGCCGGTATTTGTCCAGTGGGCCGTGCGCGAAGGAGGTTCTGCCTGCTGTGAGCTAGGAGTCCACCTCGCGACGGTACGATCCGGACCGCCGCCGCTTCTTCGCCATCGAGAGTCTTGTCCTCCACCAGGTCGAACGCTCGGCGCGTCGAACGGGCCTCCGTGTGAGCGCAGGTTCGGGTGTCCTGGAGCGGCGCGTGAGTCAAAAGAGGGAGCACGAAGTGGTGGCGCAGGGAGTCGGCTCCTGGTCGAGGAGGCACGGCCGCGCGAGCGTGGGCAGCGAATATGATGGCGAGCGCGATGGCCAAGGAGACTCGCGGTCGGAGGAGGGCGAGATGAATAATCGATCAACGAAGACGATCAGGACGAGGAAGTGTAGGCTGACGAGGGGGTGAAGGCTGGTGATCTAGGCAAACGAATGCTCACCCTCGAGCTAGCCAACCACCTAGGAGTCTACGCCGCGGTTAGGTGGCTCCAACATTGCCTCCTCCGAAAGTATATATAGCCTGGAAGGCGTCGACCTTGGAGGAGGTCAGATCTGCTGGGTCAGCGCGGCAGTCACCTTATCCAGATGTGCGGAGACCTAAAGGTGCTCATCAATCAAAACAAGGAGGTCGTATGTTCCCGGATGTCCCAGTCGTACGTGGAAGGTCTGCCTAGGAGACTAGGTCATAATCCTTGTGTGGACGCTATCTTGGAATCTGAAGCTCGAAGACAGTAGCGTAGCCAACTTCGGTCCAGCAAAAGGTTCCGGCAGTAGCAAATACGCCCCTCGAACGCAACTTTGACCACGGTAGAGTCAAGATAATTCATAACGGCGATTAAGTACCAGCAACGTACTCGTATCAAGCACCTACATATACGGATAGCCTCACGACAAGATACTCCGCAGCTCCGCAGCGCGTACAACAAAGAGCTGAGTTGGGGTTCACATCGCTTCGCCCTCGTTCGCCTGCACGATCGGTTCCGAGTCCGGGGTCAGTGTGGTCAGCACGGACGGCTCGGCGTCATCCTCGCGGGGTGCGCGCGCTTCCTCGACGGCTTCCTCGTTCGACGTACCCTTCGCCGAGTCGTTCTGCGGCGGCGTGTCAGCATTCGACTCGGCGGACTCCTCCAGCTCCTCGAGCAACTCGTCGTATATCTTCTTGATGTCTGTGGACGTGATAGGATCGACGGTCAGAGGCGAGCACCGCGAAAGCAAGAGAACAAACGCCAGACTCACTCGACGCGTGGGTCTCCGCAGCGGTCCGCCACGATTCGCGCGAACGCCCGGCGTGCTGGGACAGGAAACGGAGTCCGTGAGGCGACTCTGGACACGTTGGGTGGGTTCGCGGGGCTCGCTCACCTCTGGACGCGCGGCGAACTCCTTCCAGCGCGCCCTCTCGCTCATCTTGTCCCAGACGTCGCGCTTCTCGAGCATGAAGCGCGCGATGGCCTCGAACTCGGCCTTGCTGTAGCGGCCGCGGCGGAGGGGCGAGACGGCCGGATCTCGCGCGCCCTGGGCGTAGTCTCCGTCCTCGTCTTCCTCCTCTTGGTCGTCGTCATCCTCGTTTTCGTCCTCGGCGTCGTCGTCATCGTCGTCGCCGTCGTCGTCGTCGTCGTCATCCCCCTCTTCGTCCGAATCGGCGTCTTGTCTCGTCGCCTCTTCCTCTTCCTCGTCGCTCGAGGTGGGGAACCGCAGCGGGACGAATTTTTGCCGCGGGCCCGCTTCTGGGCCTGGATGAAGATCTCGTCGGGGAGCATCGGGTGGGCGTCCCAGTGCCGCTTCCACGCCTCGGCGCTGTGGTGGGGCGTCTAGATAGAGTGACCTGGGGTGAGATGACGTTAATCAACGGGGGGATCGACGGGACTGACGTGGGCGGCCAGCTTCTGGTGCAGATCGTCCTTGGTCAGCTCGGGCTGGTGCAAGAGCTTGTGGCGGAGGAAGTGGATGAAGAACACCTTCTCCGCGTCCGTGAACCGCCGGTGGTCCTCGCCCGCCTTACGCTTCGGCGGCACCGGCCGCGTCGCCGGGTCCGCGTGCGGGATCTGCGTCTCGTCGTGGTACTCGATGATCGGGCCCCCCCGTCGCGGGCGGTTCGCGGGCGTGATGACGGGCACGGTCAGTTTCGAGGTCCCGGACGGAGATCCACTTTTGCTTGAGGACGCCGCAGCGGCTTTGGCGACGGGGCCCTTCTTGGCCGGCTTCTTGATAGTCACCTCGGCCTTCATGCCGGCAGCGGGGGAAGAAACGCGGTCTGTCTTGCGGCGCTTGGAGGAACGAGGTGAGTCATCCGAGTCGGGCGACGCAGCACGCCTTCGCGCGTGCGTCTCAGCGGCGAATCGCTTTTCGAGCTTGACCGGGACCCCCGTACGGCTGTGGGTGGCGTGAGCAGACCGCCTCACCAAGAGTGCGCACACACTGACCGGGCAGTCTGTCCGGCTCTGTGGCCGCTTTTACGGAGAGCGGGAGCGATTCGAGGGCCGACATTAGACGCAGAGCTTTCGGGCGCCACTTCTTCAGCCGCACGATCGTCGTCAGACATGGGCTCACCCAGGTAGATCTTCGGGTAAAGGCGCTCCAGGTTATCGAGGAAGTGGTTCGTCCAAGCTAAACGAACAACAGCGCGTCAGCATCAACACGACGCGCACAAAGAAAGATATGAAATGTCCACCTCTTGACGAATGACCGTGGATCTGGGTTTACACGCGGTCAGCATGAGGGACTCGCGCGTGGAAGGGGCGCGGGGGCTTACATCGTGTAGCCTCTTGAGGCCCTTGCGGGCAGACTTGTTCGCATGCTTGGCTTTCTTCAGCATACCAATCAGGAGCATATCGTCCTGCTTGTCGAACGTGTCATGCGGCTCGTCTCCTTCATCAGCCTACATGACGGGTGAGAACGTGGTCAGACACAAAGGACCCGCGGTGACCATCGCAAACTACGCACCGCGGCAGGCTGTTGCATGGCCTGCATGAGCTGCTGGTTGTGCACGTTCACCCACCCCTGCGGACCAAAATTGCCCCCCAGCCGTTGTTGATCCCCCAGTACGCTTGCCCCGGCTGCTGCTGCTGCTGCCCCTGCGTGTGCTGTCCGCCTGGTGGCACCCCCGGACCCGGGGTCGCACCCATCGGCACACCAGCACCCATACCAACGCCGAGGCCTATGCCCATGCCCATCCCCGGAAAGGCCATGTTCATATTCATCCCCATGCCACTGGGCCCGAACCCACCTTGCATCTGCTGCTGGAAAATCTGGTTGTAAGCGCGGCGTGCTGCTGGAGGCTGGCCATTTCGTGGTTCATGGCTTGTTGGCCGTCCATGGCGGCGCGTGGCGGAGAGGAGATGGTGGGGAGAGGGAGAATACGAAGTGGCGGGGACGGCGGCGGAGGGAGAAAGCCTGTGCCAGACCGTTCCTCGCCACAAGGCCGAATGCCCGGCCCGGGCACGTGAATCAACCGTGACGCGCAAATTATTGTTGTCCCACACCTTCAGGCTTCTGTCAAGCCTGCAGAACCCATTCAACTACGGAACACCGCCCGTCGTCGCCCATGGATACATGCTGTTGCAGCGTTACCTTGTGGAGTACAACAACTCTTCAGTGACTCGGCTACCCATGCCAGGAACCCAAGAGGGTGGACTGTTTTTAGCCAAAACCTAAACCCTATTCATTTCTTTTTGTCTGACCTTTGTGTTCGTTCAGGACATGTTGGTCTAGCTATGAGCGACTCTTGGGCACTGCTAGCACTGGACCGCGCTCTGTGCCGCTTAGGCAGTCTGCGTTCAGCGCTTCGTGCATTCTCCCCTCCCAGAAAGCCGACCTTTCTCCCACTGAGTGGCCACGACGTCATGGATTACGCACCCCGTTCACACAGCCGTCCACGATCAACTGTCGATTGCCACCTCCCATCAAACCCCGCCCCTCTCACGCCACCTGAACGAGCATCTACCTGGCAGCTGCATCCTGCAAATCGAGCCCTGCACGCCGTCCCTGCCGTGCGCAGAGCGCCTCCGACGTCGCCCTTTCTCCACCTCGAGCCGCCACAAACGGTTGGTCTGGCGCGGCGTGATGTCAGCGCTGATGGCAGATGCCTCAGCACTTCGCCGTGGCCGCGCGCACGAGTTCCGGCCAACTTCGAGGCGCCACGGCCCCGCTCGCCGTGCCCGTTCCTCTCGGCCGCGCGCCGTGCCTTCTAGCACCCCGCGCAGCGGAAGGAGCCACGGAACTGCGCACAGAATCGTGCAGCGCGGGCTCCGACTGCGGTGGAGCGGTGGCTGGCGTTCACGCCGACGGTCGAGGTTCCGAGCGAGACTAGCGAGTACTCTCCGACTCGGAGCACTGCGCTGGCGTGGCACGACACCTGTGTCCGTGAAACCTACGCAGACGGCGCTCAGACGGCGAGCTCTTGAGCTTGAGGTGGAATATCCAGTGCCATCCCCTGGACGCACCGGTGGTCCGGTTGGACCGTCCGGAACGATCGTCCTCGCTGTCCCTCGGTGCCTGGTCCCCCGCCTGTGACCGTATCCCCACTGTCACGATGAGTCCACAAATTTCCTGCTGAGCCTCCCCTCCAGGAGCGCCGTTTTCAGTGCCGCACGACAAGCCTGCACGAGAAGTGCCTCTCTGCGGGCCGCGCACGAACACCTCGTGGACGTGGACTCGGAATAACAACCGGTGGCGGCGGCGGATTCAGACGCCACGCCAATACTCGCGTCCAGCTCCCGCCTACATCCCACCGGTCCTTCAGATCTTCAGGCGCAGGACTCCGCCCGACTCCCCCACGCGGCCGCGTCGAGGCCGCGACGCTCCTCCGCCGTCTTCTCGACGTGTTCGGCATAGTCCCAAGTTCTCGCCCGCGGAGATGGCGCGAGGCTCTGTTCCGAGCACTTGGGTGTGATCCATCAGAAACGTAGTGCCACTCTACAAGTTGCCTGCGCTGTGCAGGGGCAGCAGCGCAGCAAACCGGGAGCGCGGTCCTCTCGTCCGAGACATCCCCTCCATCCGCCGCGCATCATCAACAGAGTTAATGACCCAGATACCAGATCGAGCAGGTCGGCCACACCGGCTGCCGCCGGCCCGGGACTCCGCACGTTCGGCGTTCGACCGTCGGAATGCTCTGAGGTCGGTCCGTCTGAGGACGGGCAACGAAGATCATCACACAAAACACACACCGAGGCGCAGGCCTTTGTCTGCTCCAAAGCAACATAGCCGGGAGATACACGCATCATGCCACTCCAACAAACAACCCGCCCCGATGCCAGGCTCCGGGTCGGACGTTCCTGCGCCAACGTGAGCGTCGACGGGATCGGGTGGCGATCCATCATTGTGCGACGACGCCACCCGAGATCCCCCCACGACCGATCCCGCAAGCCCTTGGCGACGTGTTCCAGCGCTCGCTCTCTCGCGGACAGAATAATTAACGAGGGTGGCATATGCGCCAGCAACGCGGGGTTGCGGTTGTATCCTACACTAGAGTACATGGATGACAAGGGGGTTCGATGTACTGCACAACAGCTGCCCGACTGGGAGACGATTAGAGCACGGCGTGCGGGTTGGACTATCTACTGTGGCAGGGGGGCAGTCCGCGGTCGGCGAGGGGCGGTGGCGGAAGGGGACGATTACTACAGTCTAGGGTAAAAGGACGGTGGGAGTGGTGCAAAGTAAAGCTATAGACAGCGAGGGGACTTGCAAGTAATGGTTCTATACACAGTGAAATGAAAAAAAGTTGCGAATGAGTGTGATGGTGTTACGTTGCGATGGTCAGACGGCGATAAGACTGGTCCAGCAGAAACGGTCGTGGTCATAAGAAGGGAATAAATGTAAAGGTGCGAGTATTATATGGACGGAAGGATGCAAAGGTGGTTTGATGGTGGCGAGAACTCTTGGCGCGTCGCGCGCACGCGCGGCGACGCGCCGACCCAGGTGAAATCGAATAAGCCCCTTGGTGAACGGAACCCAGATGGCGAGCCGCTGAAAGAGGTGACGAGCGGTGGATGACCGACGGTGCTGTGACGCCACACCGCCATGTCGAGCTTCTGCCATTGCGGTTAGACTCCGCAGCCGCCTCGGGCGCAAGAGTGGTCAGGAGGTTGCCAAGTGCCGGACCAGCGCGGGCGCGCCGGAGAGCAATGGCGTCGCGCTCCGACGCGGCCGGGGCTGCTCCTCTCGCGCGACCCTGGCGCCATCACGGGCGGACAGGTGCAGCTGCTTGATTGCGCAAGCCGCCGAGGCGCGCGCCCCCGAGAGTCCCGAGGTTCAGTGAGCCTCAGGGCCGGCGGTGCGCCTCCGCGGGCTGGTGACAGGATACGTGCGCGAGGCGCGGCGGGCGCGACGGTCGGCGCGCGTCTCCGGGGCGGGGTCGTCAAGGTCGGGGATGACGATCTGCATCGCGCGCGAGCGAGGCGTCGCGGGGGGAGTGCGGAGGACGGAGCGCTTGGCGCCGGGGCTGTTGAAGGCGGAGGAAGGGATGGGCGGCACGGGCGGGATAGAGACCATGAGGAGGCTCGGAGGGGGAGGAGAGCGCGAGCGCGACTTGCTCGGGGGACGGCAGTCGATCATGGAAGCGGTGCGGCGGTGCCTCGGGCTCCGAGGGGTGCTTGGAGGGGACGGGAGGGAGAGAGTGAAGGGAGGGGGGGTTTGCACCTGGGAGGCGGTGGCGGCTGCGCGCGTCCCGAACTCGTCTCCATCGAACCAGAGCTGCTTCTGAATGTTCGAGGTGAGTGCACCGGACTCGGGGGCGGTGAGCTTGTCGAGGAGGGGAGAGCCGATGAGGCGAGGAGGGATCGGGGGATCATTGAGGTTGGAGGGCAGGTGGAGGCGAGAGCGAGAAGAGACACGGCGAGGGCCGAGGGGAGGGGGAGAGGGGAGGGAGTTGTGGACGAGGAGAGGAGAAGTGGGGCGCGGGGAGAAAAACATGGGACGAGAACGGGAGGCTGTTGAGGGACGAGAGTCCAGAGGAGGAGGG